GAGTCCACACGGGGACGTAATGATCCTGAACTGAGCTGGGTAAAACAATGGCGACGTAGAAGGTGAAAACTGATGAAAACGATCCTGGCTGGTGAAAGTGAAATGATGCTGGTGGATTAAAAGATAAAAGCGAGTTGTGGACACCAAATTCCGTGTATTGGTGCAATATGAGCGTACACCAATACCATTAGAAGAAAAGCCGTGACAGAGAGTATAACTTGGAGTGACTATGTTGTTATTGTCTATCTCCTAGCGAGTACAAGCAATAATGGTGGTCGATAACATGAATGATGGCTAGTGTCCAGTAACTTGTGTCTCACCACTCCCTATTTTCCGTGGTGTATACTAGCTTTTATACTACGAGTCCGGAATAAATTTAGAATACTTGAAGCGAATCCTTAGTAAGTCCATAGTACATAGATTGGTAAGAAATGATACCAAACACATGTTCCCAATGTTCTAAAGTAACAGCACCCACATGGTTTTACTGTGTACTGTGGTTCGAAAGTAACAGCACCCATATGGCTTTACCGCATATAGATGAAGTGATTAGCAAGAATGCCACTGATCTCCGGAATTTTGAGCTGCTGTGTTGCTGCGGCAAAGTACATTGAAGCAAGTGTACTGAAGTAGATGCTTGCGGCAGTCTCTTGGTGGTATAATAGCCTTAGTAAAGACTGAGGAAAGGTCACGGCATTAGAGCTAATGCCACGGAATTGCTATTTGAGCTGCGGAATTGTGGCTGTGCTGCAGAATTGCGGCTGTGCTAGGCAATCAGATGGGATTCTAAATCCGTGAGATCGACAATCAGGTGCCTGGTGAAATTAATGAAAGAAGACTGGCAGAATTAATGAAAGGGGCACATAATTGATGTGGGGTACAAGTGGGGAAGGATAATTGGCGGCATTAAGCAATATTGCTGGGATTGAAACAGTAGGTTTGTGTGGTGGCTGGGGAATTAAATATCTGGTAAAATCCATGAATTCTGAGTGTACAGAGCCTGGTGGCTCATCACTGTGCAGAGAGCAGGAAGGAGTGATGAAACCATTACGGACGTTATTGTCAATAAACTCGCATAAGGCTTTTAGTTGAGATTCAGAAAGGGAATAGATGGGTCCAAGTGGAGGGGTGGAGCCTTCCTCAATATTGATCTTGAGGTCGTAGGGGCGATGCTTGGGGAGTTTTTCAGAAAGGGAATCACTGAATACATCAGCAAATTCATGGTACTCTGGTGGGACATCGGATAAGTCAGTGGAGGCCACGGAGGTAGACTTGCCACTAACACTAGGCATAGAAGGTTGTAATGTGAACTGCTGGACCCCTTCTTCTGCAAAAGCTCAGGAAAAAGCGGCAGCCAAAATAATAGATATCTTGGGGGCGGCTGAAGCACCAAAGGAAGGAATGGTAGGGTAGGAATAGATAGGTTCATAAGGCGGCAGGGCCCATCGCGATCTCGATTTTGGAGTGGAAGATGGTGATGGTTGGATTGGACTGGAAGAGTCCAAGCAGACTGGCACATGTGTGTCAGCAGCCATGGAAGCACTTGAAGAAGAAACAACCGATAATGGTGAACAGAAAGTGATACTGTGCTTTACCCAGTCAATCAACGGATTGTAGCGGGAGAGCCAGTTGTATCCCAGAACGACATTACAAGATGAATCTAGACGAGTGACATAGAAGTCAATAGGAAGGATGTCTCCGGAAGGGAAACGGATTGGAAGGGACATAGATTGTGAGATCCGAGATCCGACAGAGCTGTCAAGAAGCTGAAGTTGGACAGGGGGAATGGATTTGGTAAGGAGATTGTGGTCCTCAACATACTTCAAATCAACAAAGCAGTGGCTAGAGCCAGAATCAACGAGTGCAAGAAAACGAAGGATAGTAGAAATGGGTGAACCGTCGGACTCCGATCCAGAGCCGACTTCAGAGGAGAGGGAGACAGTTAGGGAATGATTGGAAAGAGCAGCAGCATTGAGGGTTATGATCTCCAGTGCACTGTGACAGTCAATGCAACCCTGTCCTAGTGCGGAGGATACAGGGTTGCTCTCTAGTTTTCCGATTCTGAGAGAACCGGTTCAATAGAGGCAGAGGGTTCAGGAGTAGAAGACACAGCAGTGGCATGATCCTGAGTGGAGGCCGTGGCCTTGCGCTTGTTACAGTCCTCAGTTTTGTGCTTACCTCCACAAAACATGCAGAGGTTATTCTTCTGACGGCAGTCCTTTTCTTCTTGAGTAAGACAGCCATCTTTGCCTAGCTTGTCAGTGTAGGGCTTAGGGTTGGAACAGGAAGAAGTGTTGTTGGAGGAAGATGAAGATGATCCCGTGGAGCCCAAATGGGAGGACTTTTGGCTCGCAGAGTTGGAGTTGGGAGATGAAGAGTTAGAACCCTTCGCCTTGTTGCCGTTGCTGGAAGAGGAAGATGGGTTACTGCGATTTTCTCGGGAGATTTCAGCTTTCTGAGTCCAGTAGTGAGCGTCGAGCTCTTGAGTGAGATTCTGCATGTCACGGAGGTTATCGGGTTTCCTGTGGTGAGCCATATCATCCTTGATGTGGGAGCAAAGACCACGATAGAAGGCGTGATGAAGGGAGTTGTCACCGTAGCCAATAATGGCAGCATACTGATTAAATTTGACAATATACTTCATGATGCGGTCTCTGTCATGCATCCGAAGGTTTTCGAGTTCATCTTCGGCATCTCCAACGGCATCGAAGGGGCCAAAGTTGGTTTGGAGTTCTGAAAGGAAGGCAGCATAGGAGTATGCCCAGGCAGGAGGGTTGTGGTGATTCAGGTGGAGGATATCCGGTTCGAACCAGTCGAGTGCAACACCGGAAAGGAAGGAGATGGCATAGTTGACTTTGGCCATGTCCGATCGGAACACGTTGGGACGGTCATTGAAGTTTAACTGGAGAGAGACAATGAAGGCTTTGAGTTTTTGGGAGTCTGAACCATCGAAGGTATCTGGTTCCTTGACCTTGGTGCATACAGCATGTTGTTGATTGCCATTGACAGCATCGGAGATGCTGCGGAGGACATTCGTGAGTTGAATGAGGATCTGGGCGTCATTATTGGGAGGATTAGGATTGTTACCAGGATTGTTGTTAGGTCCTCCTCCAGGACCACCGGGACCACTGGGACCTCCGGGACCACCAGGACCACCAGGATTGGGTGGGTCATCACCAGGGTTTCCTGATGGGTGTCTGCAGCCATTCATTGGCATATGAGGGGGAAATTCCCTGTCTTCCAAACCTTGGTCATCATCGTCATTGCGACCTTGGATATCATCGAACAGAGACATAGTTGGATTCCACAGGGGGTCACTTCGATACTCACCCCAGCCATTGGATTCTGATTGCTGGGCTAGGAAGGAGTTAGGCGATCGGTTAGAGTCAGATTGGCGAGCAGTGAAGCCACTGTGAAGGTAGGTTTCCCTACAGGATTGTTGGTGAGGGGAGGAATCTGATCCGAAGAGAAGGGGACCCTCTTTTGAAGCAGAGGCAGGGATATCGTCCATGGTATAGGTTCAGTTGTTGACCATGGAGTTGCAGCTGGTTTCTGGAGGAACAGTGAAAGTAGAAGACATGGTTAGGAAGAAAATTTCGACTCAAGGGTTTGAGTTCGAATATACTGTTAGGATCATGCCAATAGGATTGCAGCAGTAAGTGCACATAGCGGAATGCCACGGGATGCGTCGGGCATAGGTGAAGCTATTAGCAACATCACCCCTGAGCTGAAGCCCTAAGATGGATATGGATGGAAGTCCGCGGAGTGGCAGAGATGAGGTAAGAGATAAGTCCAATGGATTGGAGTTCCACGGACTGGAGAACGAGAGTGTGACTTAAAGAGTCAGAGAGAGAGATTGGGCTGAACCAAGTTGATATTCGAACTGAGTATCTACAGTGTAGTTCTAGGGCTTATATACTAGTTAGGAGTCCGATCTAGTTCCTACTCAGAGTGGTCTACATTCTAGGGTTGTCAGAGGATGTATTCTACTGGTCAGTAGCTGATGGGGTCCAATGACATGTTCGCTACCGATGTCGGGCTATTGATAAATTGTAATGGAGAAGTGAAATATAAAAAGGAATATGATATGGAATATGAAATAGAAACTGGGAATCGGAATCCATAGGTTTCCAGGCTGTGGTTTGTTGGGTTGAGTGGAAGTCGGGTTTCTATGTGTACAGGGACAACAAGTCTTCGCCATCATCTCATAAGAGAACACCTCAAATTATGGGTTACGGCTTGCGACAGGCTTGGCACTTTGATCAAGGGCAATGGGACAAAAGCCGCTGAGGAGTTTCGGAAAGCAAACGGTATGACAACACCCTCAGATACCTCATGTAGCGACCCTTCATCTATATCCGAATTCTCTCATGATGCATTTATCGATGCTATCATTGAATGGATTATTGCTGATGATCAGGTATGTAATTTTATCGCATGGCTATATAACACATACTGACTTTTTCTAAGTCAATCAATGTTATCGAGTGCCCACAACTCCACCGAATATTTCTCATGCTTCATGATGAACTAAATGATACAGATATTCCGCACTGTACATTTATATGGGCCCAGGTTATTGAGACATGGGAGAGGTATATTCAAACCCTCAAGGGAGAAATGAAGGCAAGTCTTCATTTTCTCTGTTTCATCGTGATTTTAATTCTCCAGCAACTTCAGCACTCTATGGGTAGCATCTCCCTTACCATGGATCTCTCTAGTGACCTTAACTTAGTGAACTACATGGCTGTCACTGCACACTGGATGGAGCCTGTTGGTGTTGATGCTGATGGCCATACTACTGTTCATCTATGTTCTGACCTTATCGGGTATCATTGTGTTCCTGGTCGCCATGAGGGTGAACATCTCGCTGTGGCTGTTCTCTACATCACTAATCGTGTTGGGATTACAAGTAAAGATCGCAAGCACCGATTGAAGGTAGGAAAACTGTTATGCCAGAACATCTAAGCATTGACTCTCTATAGCTTGGTTGGATTACGATGGATAATGCAGCTAATAATGGGACATTTACGATTTTTCTAGAACAAGATTTGCTGCACTGTGGATTTCGTTTCTGTGCTGTTGAGAAGCGAATAAGGTAAATAATTTTAAATCTCATAATATCTTATGTTGACTCGACTCTAGATGTTTTGCCCATATCGTGAATCTTGCTGCAAAGGCAGTTACATCTGCTATTACAGCCTTGAATGCTGTTCTTCTGGAAGGTATGTATGTGTTCAGAATGTTAAGGATGATCTTTATCTGCATTTCAGAGAGCATGGACATCACCCAAGATCCCATAGCTGCTGTTAGGGCTCTTGTACGTGCAGTGAGATTGAGCATCCTTTTGTCTTGGATAAAATTGAACTTATTGGAGTAGATTCAGGGATCATCACTCCGCCGACACAGTTTTTTGTCAGTTCTCAAGACACTTGATAAAAAAGTGCTTCAACTAGTTCTTGATGTTGATATTCAGTGGTCATCAACTGATATAATGATTGAGCATGCAATTGAACTCTGGGAGGTAAGAGACTATATTTGTATTATGCTCATCGCTTATCAATCATTAGGAAATTGAAGTATTCTTGGATAAAAGGGATTTCGCTGATCTTCGTAGGTATCAACTCTCCGAAGAGGAATGGAAAGCATTGGACATTATCCATCAGATTTTGGCAGTACGTACACATCTTTTCTCAGCATAACTCTTGTTAATTGCCTTGCTAGGTGCCACATGCATTTCAACAAAAGTTATCAGCTGACAAGACTCCGACTCTCTCATTGGCAATTCCAAGTTTCTGATGTATGATACAAATCTGGCAGAATATGAAGGAGACCTTCCCCCCAGCAGCGTCAGCCCTTGATGATGGACTCATCAAACTTGAGACCTACATTGAGCGACTGGATATTGTTCCAGCATATATACTAGCAACAAGTATGTTAACATGGCAAGCTCCTTTGTGATATACTGATTATATCACTTCAGTCCTCAACCCTAATGCAAAACTATGATGGTTCAGTCATTACATGCCAGCAGAGGAGGATGAGGCTCGGCAATTATTTTTACACAAGGTTTGTCTTGAGCACTCCTTGTTCCTTTTTCTAATATGTACTGCGTAGCTTCGAGAGTACCAGTCTTTAACCTCAATCCCATCAACACCTGCACAGTCACAAATATCAGATCCACATGGAAGTCACTGGGCAGATGATCTACTTGGTGACAATCTCTTTGATATCACAATGCATCCGCAAAGTCTCGAGGCTGAAGTTGATGCCTACTTATCCGATGTCAAGACTAGTCACAATATTGTGAAATATTGGCAGGTAAGCTTGTATGTTGAGGTTCTTCAGCATCTCATTGCTCATCAGTTCCAGGATAATCAACTTATTTACCCAACGATATTTGTGATGGCTATGGACATCCTCCCAATTCAGGGAACATCAGTACCTTGTGAACGTGTCTTTTCCTCAGGAAAGGAAACCGCTACGGTACGATGGAACCAGCTATCACCTGAGTTGATGGAAGCTCTTCAGATGTTGAAGTTTGCTTTCAAACGGGGTCAATTTCTTAACTTTACAGAAGGAACATCTAAGAAGGCTGAAGTTATGGCTTTAGAAGCTTTACTTGTGGAGCAGGATAGAGTACCAGAGGATGTAACCGCTTTTATTGAGCAGCTCTGCACTGCAAATTAAAATTTACATTTTTGTTACTTATTTTGGTATCAAGCACAGTGCTTAGTGGAAGCCGAGTGGAAGCTGAGCTGAGCTGACAAATTCATACACAGCTTGGCCCAGCTAAAAGCTATATAAGGGCATAATCTGGGAAAAGCTGACCGGAGCTGAGTTTAGCCGAGCAGTGGCAACACTACAATTAAGAAAAATGCCACGTAACTACTGTATGTACATATTTACTGGCATCATCCTCATTTGGAAGTGCCAGCCTGATAGGATGCCTCAACACTCCCTCTCACTGACACGGAGGACAAAAGAAAGTAGAGCAAATAAAACATACAAGAATATAACTCCCCCTCAACCAGAATCATGGCACTCAGTTGGAACCATCCACCAAGGACTCAACGTCTGAATTGGCATTATCCCCAGGCCATTGCTCATACCCCAAATCCTGATAGCATCCAGCTCCAATGAAGCTTCCATTAGAATCTTCAAAGGTGTCCATGCAATTGAAAACCTCATCCAAATCTGATTGCGGACTGAGATGGTCAAAGAGTGAAAGTGAGCATTGAAGAAGGAGATGATCATGAGTGGGAGAAGTGGGGTGGAAAATTGGAATGTGAGCAAAAGTCATGACAGTCAGAATGGACATATGATGAGCTTTCATAGACATGATGGGAATGTTCCAAACGCTCCTTCCCAGGATGGCCTAAAACCCAATCCTTGATCTCCTGAGGCATGTCTACAATACACATGACAGCAATATGACTGGTCCAACCACAGCGATGACAATGGTTGTCATGTGAGGGATCACACCAGCAATAACCACAATTGTCGATTACACCAGATGAACCATGAGAAGCTGATGGACAGGATGAGCGACCAGATAAGCCATACTCTCTGAGACCGAACACCATGACCATTGCCATTGTCTGCTTGGTTCCTTGCAGAGCAAATGGCAAAGGCAGACTCTCTCTCTTCCTGTTTGACCTGGATGCTTGATACTCCCCCACTTTTGACAGTCACTTCACTTGCCATCAATAATGCCTTGATATTCTCGAGTGATGGTTCTGAAGTGGAAGTGAGAAGAGCAGTGTGAGCAACATCAAAGGAAGAGTCAAGATTGTGGATGATGGTATCTCAGATAAGGAAGTCAGGGATTTCATGATTCATGGCCTTGAGAGTGGTAGCAGCATCAAGAATGGTGCAGATGTAGATGTCGACAGGCTTGGAGGGATCATGGACAGCACCAAAGAGGTGGGACACATACTCAACACGAGTAGTGAACTGGCTCTTCTTGAATGCATTCTCTAGAGCAACCCAAAGTGCACAGCCTGAATTGATACCATCGGTGATGTAGTGGTAGTCGCTGTGAATGGTGGAGTACATGATTGCGAGACCTTCTTCATCCTTCTCCTCCCAGGACTTGGCCTCTTCTGGGTCCTTGGGCTTGGAGATTTTGCCACTGATGATTAGGGCTGCATGCCGTAACTGTATTATATGGATGTCAGTAACCGCAATATGGTATACGGCCTGAAGCCGAAGACACCAACATGAGATCTTGTACAGAACAGTATACAGTTCTTCCGTCACCATCACAGGACTTTGGATATGGCCATCTAACAGCATAATACGGCTGAACAAATCACACCATATGGAATGATCCAGACTACCTGCCGACATGTTCTCTTCTCTCCTGACTCGTTTCTTCCTTTTTCGTAAGTACTGAACCTTCTTAACAGGTCGCTCCCATAGATCAAACACTGGAGGCCGTATGAAGGAACACATCGATGCTGAAAACTGCGACGAAGATGGACAGCCTGCTGTACCTACTAATTCTTGCCGCTGTTGCAAGAAGGATAAGAAGAATGGGAAGAAAAACAAGCGGAGTGGTGAGTATCATTGCTCATACAGTTTATATCACTCCTGCTCATTTTCCTCAGCTGGAATGAATAACATCAATTCCAATCCAGACGATGGCGACTTCTCCATTGAGAGTGAGTCAGAGGATATGAAATATCGTCTCTGGCACGAGCGTGCGGCTATTGGTAAGACTTTAAACGAGTAATGAGCTAAAGTACAATTAAATAGACACATTTTATTTATTGACAGTCGTAAACGGCCGTGGACAGCTGTAAGATATCCGTACCGACACCAAAAGGCTTTCAGATTATGTTTTACGGTATGGTATACGGTAACTTCCATTACCAACTAGGACCAGGACCTTACGGCCATATACCGTATACGGTATGGTGTGCAGCCCTACTGATGATGCCAAAGGTCTTGTTCATCATGAAAACCATCAAGATCTCCTTCTTCCATTGTGCATAGTTGATGGCCTCTCAGAGCTTGAGGACAGAAGAGATCAGGGAGGAGACACCAGATAAGACCATGATTGAAGCAGGGATATGAATGAATGAAGTGGAAGTGGAAGAAAAGAGCGGAAGAAAGAGAATGAGAGTTTGGGGGTGAAACACAGATAGCAGCACAGATATATCAATTTAAGGTCAGAGGAGCTCGGGGCCCATAACCTATTGAGGAATTAAGGTTGAGAAGCACTGAATAGACATCAAACAGGTGCTTGATGGGCGCTAAACGATCACGAGATGGGCGCAAGAAGTGAAGTTCAATTAAGAAAAATGCCACGTAACTACTGTATGTACATATTTACTGGCGTCGTCCTCATGTGGAAGTGCCGGCCCGATAGGATACCTCAACAAATGCCTATTTCAGACGTCACATACTACATTAACAAAGCAATCATAGAATATCATCCACTTTCTTTGTTATACACCTGGAATAAGTCAAAAACACACGGTTACAGCATTATTCACAGTGCATCACACAAAATATCATCTTCTGTCCAATAAAGACACTCATAGTCAGTGCTACGTAGCAAAAACCTTTTTCCTGATGCCATAGCATATTTTTGCAGGTATTACAGGAAGTGGAAATGCAGCAGATAATAGTATGCTCTTCCACTAATGGATGTCAATGGCCCGCTGCTTTCTTACGCTCCTTTTTCTGAACGCGTCTTTCCCGGGCCTCTGCCTTGACAGCTTTTTTGCGCTCCTTTTTTGCGTCGCGGTCTTCGTGCCTATGGCCCCGAGGGCGCTTTTCCCGATCAATATCCTCCGGGTTGTCACCCACTGATCCCTCGTCGTCATCTGCCACCTGCTCGTCGTCACCCGGCGCAGCTGCTACCGCCTCCCGCACCCGCCCCTCCTCAATATCCCGCTCTGGATCATACACATCATCCAATCTCCGCGGGATATACGTGTGCTTGAAGGCGCCATCATCGAGATCCTTCTCCTCCGGCTCACTCATCAGTTTCCTCAGCGTCTCCTCATTTTCCTCCTCGTTAGTCACCCACCCAAAAGACCTCCTCAGCCCCAGCACGGTCACCCCTCGCCTCCCGAAAAACACTTCAACGTTGCTCAGATCACTCCGCAGAAAATCAAACGCACTCGGATGGTCGTGCTCGACGCTCTGCCCAACATCGATAATCCAGATATGATCTTGGTGCAGTAGTAAGTTGTACTCTGATAGATCGGCATGCACCAGGCGACATTGGTGGTAGATCGTTCTGACCGTGAGCATTAGCTCGACATAGAGGTCATCCCACGCATCCGACTCTGCGTCCTTCAGTCGTGGACTCGCTTGTGAAGCTTCACCCAAAAAGTCCATGACCAGTACGTTCTCCCGGACCTCGACTGGCTCAGGACACCTGACCCCGGCCGCCCTCAGCCTCTTCAAATTGCGCATCTCCTTCTCTGCCCACATACGGACCATCTTCCGTGGGTTGTGCCGAGCGTAGCCCCTCCGGAAACGATGCTCCCCAGCGACATACCGGTCGCGGTCCTTGAAGATGAGAATAGATGTTTTGTAGATCTTGAGGGCGAGTTCACGCTCGACGGGTTCATGGGCAACACCGTGATAGACATTGGCTTCCTTTCCTGTGCTCACGCAGCCGTTGATTTCTGCGACCACGCCCCGGCCCACCATCTTCAGCAACACGACACGCGTCCGTGCATCCAGCACCTGCTCCGTCGTCGCACGATCAGCTTTATCTTTGAGGTTCGCGTGGGCAGATGCGCCTTTTCTGTTCACACCCACACCCAGACTATGGTCCATATTAGCGATTCGTGAGCCATACTTTGAAGAGAGCAGGGCCAGTTGCGAGGCTGTTTGGTCCTTCGAAACCGTCGTCGTTGCCTTGCGAACTGCCGTCGACTGAGAAGGGTGATTGACAGCCGGGAGAACAGCAACATTGCTCCCTTTGCCGCCTGCAGGCCTGGTCGTCGTAGATGTCGTCGTTGCGGATCCCGACCGAACTGCAAGGTGTTGCCTTAGACGATTGTACTGTTTTGTAAAATCTAACAGGCCATGTAAGCAATCCTTGAGAGTTAATCAAGTCTATATACCTTTCTCTGCAACCTCCCAGTCTTCGTCCTCGACTCGGACATGATCATACTCTTCATACTCATCAGAATCATCCAAGTCGTCATCTGAAGTCAAGTCGACAAGCTCTTCATCGTCGATACGACCGTACTCGTCGTCGGGAGCGTCGTCGAACTGGCCATCTTCAAAGTCAGTCATGAAAGAGAAAATTAAATGAATATTCACTGCGGCTGTGCGCTTAGTCATCCAGCTTCTTAAGTCACGATTAAGGGCTTGGCAAATGCCTTCATGGATCGCCCGGTTACCTCAAAGTCTCGCGGAATCTGCAAGTACTACAAGGAACCGAGAGGCTGCTTTGCAGGCAACAAGTGCAAGTTTCTTCATGACGAGCCAAATACTCGAAGCTTGACGCCCTACGACCAAGCAAAGACTTGTCGTTTCTATGCTCAGGGTGCGTCATTATCACCGTCTAGGTTCATCTTTCTGACCTACTCTCTAGGTTTTTGCAAGAGAGGCGACAAATGTTGGTTCAAGCACACTGCAAGACCTCGTAGTCCTGGCTTAGAGGACGAGGACGAGCCCTGTTCCATTTGTTTTGAACAACCTGTTACCTATGGCCTTCTCAGTGCGTCGTCGTGTTTTCTTTCACTTGTCCATTGCTGAGACCGTTCCAGTGGGTTGCAGTCACGTCTTTTGTATTTCAGTGCGTCAAACTCTTCACCTTGCCACTGAATACTGACGCCTCCTTGCAGTGTATCAAGCAATGGCGAGATTCATCCAAGCAGAATAGAGATCCGGGCCCATCCAAAGTCACCAAGCAATGCCCAATGTGTCGTGCTCCTTCCGCATACATCACGCCCTCATCCATCTTTTACAAGAATGAAGATCCCAGAAAGGAGAAGATCATAATTTCGTACAAGGAGAGCATGGCCAGGGTACCTTGCAGGTGTGTACCGCCATGGTATCTCGCCGATCCGGATTCATCAACTCCTATTCAGGTATTTCCAAGCATCCAAGATGGAAGATGCTACCAACCCATTTTGTCCCTTTGGCAAGGATTGCTTTTACCAACATTTGAACGAGGACGGGACTCCTCACGTTTTCACGCAGGGTGTTGATATGTGTATGAGGGTGCGTCACGTCGTTCGCTCATCTGACTAGATATTCAACAAATCACAGATTTATTCACGGCGTCGGGCGAGACCTGTTTTTTCGTTCCCTGGAAACTATTCGGACCCTGTTGAAATGATTGGATTGCTCATGGACACCATGGACAATCATTTTAACGACATGGGAACGTTTGAAGGCACGCTTGATGCTATGCGAGCAGAGTTGCGGCGATTGGGATTTGATAGTAACGATGCGCCGGTCCCTTTTCCTCCGGCAGAGGCCGTATCGCATCACATTGACTTACTCCGTCCTGTGCGTCCTGTTGGGTCTCAGACGCGACGACCACCTGTTTCAGTAAGCAGTGACTGCTAGCATGAATGGGCGTGAACTAAATGACTAGCGTGGATAGGACGAGACTATGCCGAACCTTGAACCAATTATTTCAAGCTCATCCCATGGAATCGTACAAGAGAAGGCGAGAGGAGAGATACACATGACAGCGACGACTCTATGCCTCCACTAGAGGACGTTAGTGACAGCGGCTCGGAAAGTGGTTGGAGCACTGAAGACGATGAAGATGACGATTTAGGTCGAGATGCAGTTCCGCCTTCTGGGTTTATGTTTAGGCCTGTTGAGACAGCTGTTACTTGGTCTGCGGGAATAGGTAGCGGCATGGACTTGGGTATCGACGTTGACGACGAGACTCCCGACGACACAGAAGATTCGGTGGACTCGACAGCAGATGGCGGGCAGTCTAGCACAGAAAATGGGCGACCGCCGTTTGTCACGGATGGACGAGGACGGGTAATTGGTGCAAGTGAGGAGGAGCAGGATAATGCTCTGTCACGATCGTTCTTTGGTCGTTTTTTCTTTTCTCGCTCATCGTAGTTTCGTGTTGCAGCATTGTAGAAATTATATTTGTAAAATATACAGACGTTCTAGTCACAGGCACCGTCTTTCCATCTCTCGTCCGTCTTTTCTAATGAACAATCAAACTGTGGCTTTCCGAGCTTCAAGTTGACCTCGTTGTGTCTCTCACACAACCACCGACTCAATCCTGCCCTGCTGCTAACGTCTGGTGGATGTGCCTCTATGTTCTTCCCAAAATCACTGGCGCAGTAGAAGCACGGGTACAGCACTGGGAGTGCTCTGAGTAGCGTGAGCATATTGGCGCGCTGGTTGGGCGTCGGACGGTCGGGATAGTAGGCGGCTGTGACATGGAGGAACGTCCACGTCGCGCGACCAAGCTGCTCGACGTCGGGAGGACATTCGGTTGGTGGTGTCACTGGCACTGTCGCAGCTGCAGCCGCCGTCGATGACGCGGTTTTTGTTGCTGTCGTGGGCGGTCTCCAGGCTCGAAACGCAGCGCCACTGCTACAGACTCTGCAGGGCTTGCCATCTGGGCCTATTACCATGCCTGGTGGAAGGGAGCCATCGTTCTGTGAAGGCGATCCCATGTTGGTTGGTAAGGCGAAAAAGGACCTTTGTCTGTGGCTGTGTAATTCGGCTCTGACCGTGACTACGATGTCGTCTGGATTCAGCTGGACAGGATGTGAGCCCGTCGTCTGTTCATTACTTCTGCTGCTCACCTCGTCTAGCTCGACCTCGCTGCTTTGTCTATTGGCAAGAGTTTTCCAAATGCTACTCTCAAGCAGATGTTCCCCAGCAATGTGCCGCTCAATCCGCTGATTACCTCGAGTGTCTACATGGTGACAAAGAGGTGAGCTTCATCTGTTGCCTCTGTCGCCTGGCTAATGCTCGACAAGGCTGCACGTACTGCTGCCATCGCTGCCGAAGCTACTCGTCAGGGCGCCGCAAAGGTCCAAGAGGCGGCAAAGGAGGAGGGTTTGCCCGTTGGCGTTGGCCTCATACAGCGCTCGTAGTTTGTGCAAACAATATCACTCCGAATATCTTTGAATCATCACTTTCAAAACCACAAATCACTGTACACATAACCTCCAAGAGATACTACAAGTCGAGAGGCTCAGGGTAAAATAACGATACAATACTTTCATCCCCTAATCTATCACATCCTTGGCTGAATCTTCACCAGAATCCAGCAAGCTATGGACAGACATTAGCATCAGAAAACTGAAGACCAAAAAGCACGCACCTGAACTGTTTCATCAGAGAACACTCGCCACCATTTTCCAGGTCAATGTTGTACGAGTAAAAGTAACCCTCAGAGGAAATTACCATAACCTGTGGCATCGTCCCACTCAGCGCAACTACACATCGTGCACCACTCGTCGGCAATCGCAAGAAAGCAAAGTCCCTGGACGGCTCCCACATCTCCGTTATGGTGTTGGGAAGATACCCGCCCATCGAATGTGATAGGCTCTTCGTGACCTGTAACGACTTCCTCCTCAGACTAGATGACACTCCACTGCCCTTCTTCTTCTCGATAAACGCCTCGTACCCTCCATCAAGCTGTGTTGTCTCCCTGCTGTCCACAGACTCTGCTGGACTCGCCATCCCATCTTTCCTCTGTGTGTTTCCGCCACCTAGCCGGAAGATGTGGACAGTGTCATGCGCTGAGCTCACCGCCAGCAGCGACGAAACCAAATTGAAATTGATCGAATAGATTCGTGCTTCGCGCGTCCCCCGGCGGAATTGATAGAGTTTCTCAGCACCCGGGATGCTCCAGACGCGAATAACAGTGCCCTTGTCGGAAGCAGTGGCCAAGAGAGTACCGGTGGAATTGATGGACAGAAAGGATATGGGCGATTTGTGAGCTTGAATAACATTCGCGACGGTGAGAGAGCGGGTAGAGAACAGCAGAACGTCGCCAGATTGTGTCTGCGGCTGCGAAGACGAGGCGACTGGTGGTGGCGCAGCGAGCGGTGATGTTGGTGAAGGTACAGGCGAAGGATACGCCAAGTACGAGCTGTCGGCCGACGGAGAAAGGGCACAAATGGCTGGGACCGTCAGTACACGCTTCCCATGAAAACACGCTGGAGCGTACCTTCAGGATTCGCCGTCGTTTCAATGACGTGTAACAGCCGCATGTTTGAAATATCGTATATGTAAATCTCGGTTTCCAGCACGATGACAAGCGTTTTCCTGTTCAGCTTGACGGCGAGAATTGACGACGGAAAAAGTAGCTCGCATATCATGGATTGCCTCTGCACTGAGTTGAGTGGCAATGAAGAAAAGGGCCAGTAGAAAGCACCTTTGTATTCACTATCTGCAGCTTCCTTGGACTTGAATGCGGTTGGTCTGCCGCTCCGACCAGGGCTATCAGTGACGTGCAGAACAGCATCTCTACTATGCCACGGGCACCATCATCTAGATACCAAATTCAGTAATAGACGACCACGATGTTCAGTGACCTACTCATCGTGTACACCCTTCCAAATGGCTCGCAGTTGGTGATGCTGTAGCCTCTCCGAGTGCCGACCGACACGCATCTAACAGATTCTAAGCGTTTTTGCAGGTACATTCGACTCGAACATTCAGAAACTCACGAGAAATCCTGATTGAAGTTAGCAAAGAGCATGTTGCTATTCGTCCGTTCAGTCATGGTGAGCAAGAGTGAAGGTATGCAGGGAAAGGGTAACTTGCCAAAATTGATCACATTGGCTTCCACGTGCGTGAAATTTTCCTTATTTGGTGTCCTGAGAGAATGTCATTTCTACAACTCTACACACATAGGCTGCTGAGCCCTGTAAAGAGACGACTCCTCTGCGCATTCCGTAAACATTTCAGATCGAGCTGCGCGCCCCACCGCGACCACAGATTCAAGTGAGGTTATCGATCCTGTGAGATTCAAAACAGGAAGTGAGCGCCATTCCGGTAACGTCTTCCCTGGCAAGTCCAACAAGACAGAAGGTTCAGTACCGTCCGTCAACTGCATCAGCGGGAGGAGAAACAAGTCTCGCTTCTCTTTCGAGCGGTCCTTCACATGGGAGCCAACTTCAAGGTGGTTCGTAGATAGCGAGACGAAATCAGCAAAGTTGGGATAAAGCATAACGTAGCCGCGAAGATATACCAGCTCGATAAAGTATTTCTTCCACGATTTTCTCCATTGGTTAGAGCGTACCTCGGGAACGATGGTAGCGTCGATTTTGAGAGATAGTTCGGAAAACCGGACCGACAGATAATCGTGGAATTCGCGCCAGTGTTCCGGGAAGTATACCGCGCCCCAGCTGCAAGGGATTTGTGAAAGGTATGGTGATGACACCGGCAATTCCAAGCTCTTGAAGAGAGCCCGTGCATCAAATTTTCTCCGTCCGTCGGAATGAAGTTCGATATGCTTTTGTTGATAAAGGCTGACACCGAAAAGTTGTGGTGACACATTACATTCCTCGCCGTAGCTGATTTATGTTAACTGGGTCCATGATCGAGGAAAATATTACCCACCGGTAGCGAAGGATGGTCATTTTGATCCATGCATAGAACAAGGGTGATAGTTCTACATCATCCTCAAGCAAAAGACCGTAGCTGTGATTCGAATTTGGATACCAAGATTCAACCACAGCAGGCAGCAGTCCTCCATGAATGACCCGATGGTGTATGAAGACGCTACCGTGAATCCATTGGAAATTGCGAGCCAGATGCACAGTAGCCTCATCGGACGATTGTTCCAAATTGATTCTCAGATCCAGTCGGTCGCCGTAGAATCTCCCGCTGGCGAACGAACTCAATAATCGAGCCAAGGAATGTGGTCTATCCTTAGTGATGACACTAACATCGACTTGTGGAATGTTCCAATCTAGTCGAGTGGTAAGATTTTGCATCGGGCAAATGAGAGAACGTACTTCGCCATTCAGAAAACGAAAGTGCCCCCATCCATACACAATAGGGTAGGTCCCGCCGAGGTAAACGCACTCTGGTAGCAGAGGTGGTCGCAAGTTCAAGTTCATTCAGAGATAATACAATATCTGGGGGACGGCCGAAGATGCGATAGACCTGTAAGGAGTAGTCCTGGGGTTCAGACAGAATGCTATATTGGATGACGCACGATCCATGACTGAACGACTGTTTTGAGGAAGGTGATGTGACGACCAGAGAATACACCGCGGCATATACCAGAAATCCCTTTCTTTGAAGCTGGCAAGGAACCGACGCAAATGTCTGCAGATCGCTCAAGGTTGGAAATAGGATGATGAACACCGGCTGAAGCTGACGATCCTCAACAACAGAGCAACGAGGAGTTGAATCAACGCTACTGTTACTGGGGAGATGAGGGATAGTTACGAGACTATCCAAGGCGCCAAAACCTTTTGGGGGTCTACACCAAGCGGGATCTTTCCCTGGAGAAAATGGTAGCACAACTCCGCCGTGTTCGCGATTAGTTATAAATGCGATGTGAGTTCCAAAGTCGCGCCAAAAGTGAGAATCGGAAGCGCGGCTGGTGGAGTATGCTAGAGTCCTCGGCATCACAAAAGGTGGCACTAAGTACGAAGCCTTCTCAGGCACTCGGGAAGGAGCAACGCATGATGTGCGAAAGCCTCTAGGTCCTACCGGGATAGAAGAATGGGGTGGATTGAGAAGTACAGCTCGAATTTCCACGCTTATGGTAGAGAGAGCAGTGTCATCGAGGAGTAAAACCCAATCGGTGACAACTTGCGATGCAACCCTGAGAACAGCCATCGCGCCATGTGCATCTCGCGGCCATATACGAAGGGAGAAATCCGGGTGATCTATACCATCCAGAGATGAAACGAAATCACGTATCAGAGATTGTGTCGCCGCAAGGTTAGATTCTGGCGTGACAAGAACAATTTCGCTTAGACGTGATGCGGATAAAAAAGGCAGGATCAGGTCGGTAAGTATTGGAATGGATGAAGGCAGAAAAGGGAGGACGGCCGTCAGCGAGTGCGGTTTCGACGATTCGAGACATATTGAGATGGACAGCGTATCGATGAGAAGGGGAAGGTGGGCCATTAGTTATAGGATTGCTTGGGCGTTGTCGAAAAAAAGTAAACCAGACGAAACACGGAAGAAATATTAAGAGAGGGACGGTGCGTTGTGAAATGAACGAATGCATTGAACAAAAGTTGGGAGGAGTCGAGGCAAAATCACAACACGCCAAAGCCGGCCCTAAACAAATCATGTGGCCTTGGCTCAGGCAAATGTCGTGACACGGACCCGTTGAACAATACACTCATCTGCCTCCGACTTCTATCCCAGCTGCTGACCATTTGCTATGCACCGAAGAGGAAACAAGTCCAAAAAGGCGCGTCATTTACTCTCGCTACCTACCATTTCAGTATTGAACTGTTGTCCTAGGTCCCTAATGTCAAATTACGTCCTGCACAACCGAAATCCTCTTCGTCGAAGCGAAAGGAAACTGAAGAGAAGCTATGGGCGGAGGAGACCCAGCTAGGAAGCGAGGACACGAGCTATATGGACCCTTGTCCGAGGCCGTTTTTGGGAATGGTCATATGTGCAACAGGAATCCAGGACAAGGCACGTCGTGTTCATCTGTACAATTCTCTATATTAACAGCGCCACCAGCCAGCCCTATTCAAGAAAGCCATAGAACTCGGTGCCCAGACCGCTTCAGCGTTTACAGATCGTGTCACCCACCTTGTGGCGAAAGATCATGGCGGAGCAAAATATAATGTACGTCCTATTCACCTTTCTGTGCCAGCCTTGATTTACACTGTCTAGTGCGCCCTGCAACTTAAGATACCAATACTACAGCCAAAGTGGATAACCGAGTGCCATGAGGTCTGGCTCCGAGGAGATGATTTTGACGTTCAAGAGGTGCGCGACCGCTTGTTAGTGTTGTCCTCTAATTCATAACGTACCTTGTAGAGCCTGGAGAAATATCGCCTACCAGTTTTCTCGGGGATCATTCTATCTATTTCAGGCATAACGGACTTGGAAAGACGGACGCAAATTAACCGGCTATTAATCCAACAGAAGGGCGTTTATGCCAAGGAACTCACACGACCAGTCAAGGTGACACATCTACTGTGTTCTGGCGACGATGAGACAGATAAGATGAAATATGCCGAAAAATTCAATCAAAATAAGGAAGCCAATATACATCTCGTGTGGGAAGAATGGTTTTGGGATTCGTTGGAGTTCGGCGGTGAGTATCCGCTTACGTAAGGTCTTCGTATCTCTGAAATCCATTGCAGGACGATTCGATGAGGAAACATATCAAGTCCGGCGCCCACGACCAGAACGCAAGTCTATTACTGAACGTTTGTATTTTAGCCACCTTGTCAAATCATCAATCTTACCCTTTTTTTTCTCTCACAGCCCCTGCTTCTTCTTCACCGGCTACGGACCCAGAGCCAACAATGTCTCTCCCTAATAATGTGGACGATGAAGAAGAGCCCGCCTCGATTAACCGCATACCTGCCGTAACTGTCAAAGTATGGCAGAGCCTTCTACAACACAGGGGATATGAGGTTTCGAGTGAAGGCCGTCTTGTTCGAAGTCCAATGAAATCACAGCCTACTAAACAACTTCTTGAGGACCGACCGTCCTCACCGACGGGCGAAAGCATTATCACCAAATTTCGGCGTGCCAACTCCTTTGCGCCTCCAAAACAGGGTTCTGGCGAAACTCCCTTCGCCCGGAGTAACTCTGAGCCTGTTGCTGGACCTTCGTCAATTGCGACTACTTCGACGTTATTTACAGGGATCAAGTTTTGTGCTCTTGGAGAAGCCAAGTCAGCATCTGTTAAAGACGCGATCGAGCGCTCTGGTGGCAGCCTCACTTCAGAAGAGGATGATGCGGACTATATCCTCGTTCGCCTCGTCAGGTAAAGTGTTTTTCTCTTCCTTGATATCACTGTCTCATCGTAATCATAGCGGCAGTAAATTTTTTCGCTCGGAGATGGATCCGGAACAGAGAAAGAAGTATCGCACGGAATGCTGGCTTGAGAGGTCTATATTTGAGGAGAGACTTTGTGATCCTGAAGATCATGTATCATTCTCACCTCTCGGAATCGAAGTGCCTGTACCTAGTGAGTTTACTGATCTAGTGTCCGGTATCGGTACCATTGACGATATGTGCATTTAGATGCCGAAAAGGTACTTATCAGTTTTTCTGGCTTGGATGAATCGGAAGCCTATTTCACCCGCCGTCTTGTGCGAGCGCTCGGCATGACTCTAGCACCTGTATTTTCCCGCCAAGCGACTCACCTTCTGTGTCCTTCCGCTACGGGGGCAAAATATGACAAAGCGCGCGAATGGGGCGTACCCGTTATACATATGGGATGGCTGGCAGAGGCTGTGCGTATAGGCAGTGTCCCAGACGTGCCTGTTTTCCTAGTCGCGTCTATGAGTACCGATAAAAAGGGGAAGGGGAAGGCTGATGACGATTCAGCAATGGTTGATATTACCAACGGTAAGCTCCAGCTCAATGCTTATTACATGACATTCATATCCTGTGTCAGCAACCAAGCTAGGGACGGAACCGCCTTCACAATCTTCAGCGAGGGGACAGAAAGGTCTGGGCTCCGACCTTGAGCCATCAGGATTTCAACAAGCCTTGGAAGCGTGTCCGCAATCTTCGTTTCGACGCCCGCAGGATGCTCCTGTTATATCACCACCAGAACCTTCGTTCGGTAAACCTCGCAGCGGACTACTGAGCTCTAACATTCCGGGGTCAGTGGAACGGGAACAAACGCCTGTTTTCAGTATTCCATTACCCATCATACCGTCTGGAGGCGGAGATTCTGTACCAAAACCGTCGTCGGTCCACACGAGTCCCCCCAATCTACTTGGGAAGCGAAAATCAGAAGAAGGTCCAGTAGTGGAGAAGCGATTGCGTCCCCGTTTGAGGTCGAGACCGAGGTCGAGGCAAGAGTCCGCGCGAGATATCGCTGTTGAGGTGGCCGCATTGACTGACAGAGTGGCTGGCTTTGATGAGGCGTTTGACGAACTTGGTGGTGAAGGATTGGACAGCGACGTGGTAGGAAGCACAACGAAAGTTGGCGCACTGGAAAGTATGCGGGTGATGTACGAAGATCCCGGCCAACGCGAGGAGAAACGGAAGCTCTTGAATCTATTGAGCGGTGGAAATATGCAAGAACTAGGTACTACCTCTAAAGGTCAGACCCGAGCAAGTGGACGGAAGCGCTCGAGGGTTGCTGGCGTTTGAGATCTTTATTGCTATTTATTTATTTCTGTCTCATCTTTGAATGAAGACGTGGATGTAATTGCGTAGTATACACCAAGGGCCAGCGGTTTCGGCACCCCGAGGATATGGTAGAAGAGATTGCAAAGTACAGTACTCAGCACATAAGTTATACCTCATTCCTAGCTTCTAGGGCCTCTAACCGAGCTACTTGTCTGTGTTTCGTGAGATCCACGAAAAAACATCAATGATAAATGGAACATACCGATCTCTAACCGCTTCCTGCCACCTCTGCAATTTTGCAATCTCGTTCACTTGGAATCCATAGATTCTTGGCCTATACCTGTCGGCTTTGAGCGCGACACTGGCAGTGCTGATGCCTTCTCCTCCGTCACTCGCAACAACTTCTTGCACTTCTTCCCGAACCCCCCTTCTTCGTCTTCCCGAAGAATCCACACCTTCACGAGAGCTTGTAGCGCCTTCTGTTGGTGGACCAGTCTTGGGAGGAATTAATGTGGGGTATACCAAGAACAGGAGGTGGGGAAATGTCGTTCCAAAGTAGGCACCATCAATAGATCCATGTCGGGACGACTTGGGTGAGTATATATCTTCACAACGTCCACAATATAGCTTGACGGACTTTTCGTACGGAACATCGGTTAAACCTACGGGAAGAAGAGGTTGCTGTTGGCAGAGAACACGTGGACATCGTCCGAATTCGATGCGTTTGTACTTTTCGAGCTATAGTAAAGGATTATTGTATGAAGAACCAAGGATGTTCCAAGTGAACCAACCATTTTGGCTAGGCCTCGTGTCGTAACGATCCATCTAGCGTGTATGAGGCCGTACAAAAGTCTAGCTTGAACATCAAGTGAGGCGCGGAAGTCGTCTTGAATGTCATCATCTGCGACAAGACTCAGCGCTGCTTCCCTACGAGGAACGAGAAGGAGACCCACCAAGATTGTCAGTGATAAGGTCTAAAGCCTGAGGGTAGTTGACGATCTCGTTGTTCAGCCCAGTCAGGTTGAATCGGTCCAGAATGAAGTCTTCATCCACTTCGCAGAAGTACTCGTTACCCTTGGAGGATAAAAACCAAGATATCCACTGTACAGAGGGTTAATATAATCGAGGAAACTCAAATACATTGGGACATGCCGAGCTGAAGGCTGTTGAGACAAGGATAGTAATGGGTGTAAGAAATCATACCTGGAGTAATCCGAGTCGGATCCCGTTGAGATCTCCTCCACTGCACGATGAAGCATGGTAGTCAGTGTTCACGACGGTGCTAGGCAGACACGAACTTGCGAAGAACAACAACTGTGTAGGAGTAGGAGGAAGAGGTGATAGTAACGTTATCGTCACGTCACACCCTTGATTTCTGCCCAATAATTTTTGGAACTTTTTTGCATCAGAACTTCAATGGTCGAATCACGGCTGGTCGATGCAAAGGCCTACATTTACTTCCTTTTCGCACCTCCTCGACGCGCGTCTTCTTCGTGCTCTTGCCGACATGGGCTTCGCCCGTCCCACTCTGGTACAAGCAAAAGCGATTCCATTAGCTCTCGAGAGCAAAGATATCTTAGCTCGTGCTCAGACTGGAAGTGGAAAGACTGCTGCATATTGCATACCCATCGCACAGAAGATACTCAATGCAAAAAGTGTGGGTGAGCTTCAATGGCATTCTCCTGGAAGTGTCGTTGATAATATTGAATACAGTCTCTGGACAGAGAGGATGTCTCGTACCAGGCAACTCGGGCCTTAATTTTGGTTCCAACCAGAGAATTAGCCCAACAGGTCACCACCTCACTGAAGGATATATTAAGGTATTGTGAAAAAGAAATCACCTGTGTCAATATCTCTGCCGGGACGACCTCGCATCTACAACGGTGAATCTTGCCCACTTTTAAGTTCTAGGACGACAAATAACGTCGAATCTTAGGACTCTTCTGTCGGACAAACCTGACATCGTGGTCGCTACACCAACTCGGGCATTAGTACTCCTTCAATCCAAGGTAAGCGTTTTCTGACACCTTCTACACGAAGCTGAAGTTTTCCAGTCGCTGTCTTTGGCTGCTCTGGAGTCGCTGGTCATTGACGAGGCAGATCTTATTCTTTCTTATGGCCATGATGAAACCGTTCGGCAGATATTCAGCGGAATGTATCTACCAAAAGTATTTCAATCATTCCTTATGAGCGCCACTATGACAGAAGACGTCGAACTTCTGAAAGGGTTAACATTGCGCAGTCCAGTTAGTTCATACTTCTATGAGCCTCAAACATCTATCTCACCTTCTCTGCAGGCCATACTGAAATTAGAACAGGGCGAAGATGAAGCCGCCAATTTGACGCAATACTCCGTCAAGTGCGATAAATGTTCCATGCCCAAGTTCTTGAAATCTAATCGGTTTTCAGATGCTCAGAAGTGGACAAATTCCTCCTCACATACGTTATCCTGAAACTCAAGCTCATCAAAGGAAAATGCATTTTATTTGTCAATGATGTAGACCGGAGCTATCGGCTCAAACTCTTTCTTGAGCAGTTTTCCATCAAAAGCTGTGTCCTCAACTCGGAGCTCCCGCTAAACTCGAGGTGAGTAGATGGTATACGTGTTGGACACCCGGTTTGACGGGACAAACAGATATCATACGGTGCAGGAATTCAACAAAGGTGTCTATGACTATATAATCGCCACTGATGAAAGTGGAACCCATGGAGCAGACCAAGACTCCGAAGATGATGGTGATGATGATGATGATGATGATGATGATGAGGAGGAGGAGGAGGAAGAGCCCAATGATAAGAATGAAGAAGCTGAACAACAGTGTACGATTCTTTTCGAGTGTTGTAACTAATTGCTCATCGCGTTACAGTTACATCTACTCAACGAGAATTGAAGCCTTCATCCGAAGAGCCGCCAGCAGCTATCGGTTCCTCAAGCTCCTTGCACAAACGCAAACGATCTTCTCCAGAGCCTAGCCAGAAGCCCAGGAAACGAAGATCCCGAAAAGATGGAGGCGACAAAGAATACGGAGTAACCCGTGGAATCGATTTTGTCGACGTCGCCTGTGTCCTAAATTTTGACCTGCCAGGCAGTTCACGATCATATACCCATCGCATAGGACGCACTGCGCGCGCTGGACGGACAGGCATGTCATTGTCATTTGTGGTTCCACAAGACCAGTGGGGAAAAAACAAAGTCGTGGGATGCCTGCCAAGTGCTAAACGGGATGTCACGATATTTGAAAGAATTGAGCAAGAGCAAGCGGCAAGAGGCAGCAAGATCAAAGACTACGTTTTTGACATGAAACAGGTTGAGGCGTTCAGGTATAGAATGGAAGATGCCCTACGCTCAGTCACAAGGACGGCAATTCGAGAAGCTAGAATGAAGGAGTTGAAGACAGAAATACTGAATTCGGATAAACTGAAAGTAAGTTTTGTCCTCTTTTGTCTCTTACACACTCACTGTCTCTATTGAAGGCCCACTTTGAAGACAATCCTCTTGACCTAGAATATCTACGACATGACAAAGTGTTACATCCAACTCGAATCCAGCCTCACATGAAGCATGTGCCAAAATATCTCCTTCCGCGGGTTGCCCCTGTGAATGGAACGGCGGAAGGAGAGACGACAGCGGACAAATCGGTTGGTTTCGTTGGCTTCAAGAAGAACAATCGAGATGGATCACGGCACCGAGGGCGTGGTCGGGGACGCGGTGGTGGCGGACGAGGGGGGAGAAAGAAGTCGGATCCTTTGAAGAAATTTGGTCGGTAGACATGGACGTTTTGATTGACTACATCTCCCATTTGTTTCCTTCTGATGATGGCTCATTGCGGTTGGTATGGACCTGTGTCGGTTTAGGGTGTAGGGGTCGCGTTCCAAAAATGGAATTCTACTGATCCCTCATGATCGTGGTCATAGTGACATCATCGCTCTCGCGTATATGAATAGTGTGTTTGCTGGCGATTTGATTGCCTCCTTACTTTGAACCACGACCACCTCATCGATTTCGAACATCCTTCCGTTGTGTAGCACGATGGCCAAGGGTCGCAAAGCCGCTCAAGGCAAGAACAAGCCTACCGTTTCCATTCCCAAGAGGAGCCAGGCTTCACCATCGGAAACCCCGTTGTCGAATAGCCCCGTCACTCCGATAACACCCAAGACGCCCGCCGACGAAGGCATAGAATTCTTCCAGGCTGATGCTGTCCCCGGAGAATCGCCTATACATGTTTACGAATTACGACTTGATGTGGATGGCGGGCCCTACAAGGACAGCTCGGTGAGCATGATGTCCTTGAATAATCGCGTTTCTATTCACTAACAGTGCTTTTATAGTACATTCGTCTCCCCTCTGCTTATTCCCCGTACATTTTACGCGTCTCCATGAATGCCGGAACCCCCGCAGCAAGGAACGGCGTATTCAAGACCAACTTTCCTCTAGACGGCGGCCAATTCAATCGCGACCATTTTTGCGAGCGGAAGTAAGCCTTTTCACGCGCATATATGCGCCTTTCTTCATGATGCAAATAGTAAAATCCACTTCTTAGGCTTCCTTCGGACTTTTCAAAACCTATCCAAGTCGATTTACCCATTTCTCACGCCGGAGCATTCGTCTTCTGGGTGGAGTATGATGGCGGAAATGCTGGAGAGCGTATCAAGGGCAGAGAAGGCTATTTCAACATCGATCCAGTTTTGCGCATCAAATCACGCTCGCCTATCCTTGCTTCTGACCTCACACCTTTGCCTGCCGGCTCGGGGGCCTCTGTCCAAAATGAAATGGTCAACTTGCCTTTAGACGGATTGTCCATCCTTACCGTCGTATCCAAATGGATGGGCCCCATGTCTGACTGGCCAAAGCATTTCCAAGAGGCTCAAGAGCGGGGGTACACGATGTTACATTACACACCTTTACAAGAACGAGGTGAAAGTGACAGTCCTTACTCAATTCGCGAGCAGCTCAAGTACGATCCTGCCATGTTTGGGGAAAAACGTGGTACCGACGGTGGAAAGGCACAAGTGGAAACTATTCTGAAGATGGCACGAGAGCAGTATGGTCTCCTGAGCTTGACGGATGTAGTGTTGAACCATACTGCTAACGACAGTCCTTGGCTGGCTGATCATCCCGAAGCAGGTACGCTGTTCCGACTCCTCGCGCGCCTCAGCTAATTTCTCCCATAGGTTTCAGCCCGGCAAACTCACCTCACTTGACGCCTGCTTTAGAACTTGACACTGCAATGATCGAATTTTCGGGCGCTCTGCAGTCGAAAGGTCTTCCTACTCAAGTCAAGTCTGCTCAAGATGTGGATACTCTTATGAGAGAGTTCGAAGATGTCGTCAGAAACCTGAATTTCTGGCAGTACTATGTCCTTGACCCGAAACGCGAACGGGATTCCGTCAAGTCAGCTTTTGACTCTAAGCAAATCATCCCATGGTCTGGAGCGAACGTTGGAGGGAAATCGGTTGTCGTGCTGGCGGAGATTCTTCGTTCTGAGGACAAGATCGTTGGTTTGGGAAAACTGGCTTCACGATTTGGTGTCCACGTCGAGCCCGGTGTTGCGGCCGGTTTCGTGAAGGCAGCTTTCAGTGACGTTCATGATATCAGCGCTCTTTCTGACGCTTGGGTTCGTATTGTGGACGTTATTAATGTGCCCTTGTACGAGGAATGGGAGGATGATACTCGGGTAGCTTTGTCCAGTGTCAAGAACAGACTAAAGTACACACGACTGGATGAGCATGGGCCTCGATTGGGCGAGATCTCCAAAACGTAAGGACAGAATCCTCGCGCTCTTTCAACTAACTTATACTTCGTTTAGGTCGCCGCTTGTTGAACCCTATTTTACTCGTCTTGCCAAGTCTGACACAGATCCTCGCGTGTACTCTTTGGCCAACAACGGTTGGATATGGGCTGCAGATCCTTTACAGAATTTTGCTCTTCTTCCCTCTAAGGCGTATCTCCGCCGGGAAGTCATCGTCTGGGGTGATTGTGTTAAACTGCGCTATGGTAACGGGCCAGACGATAATCCATGGCTTTGGTCCCATATGACTCAATATGTTACTTCTTTGGCGAAGACATTCGACGGTTTCCGCATTGATAACTGTCATTCTACTCCTCTTCACGTTGGTGTCTGGATGTTGGATGCGGCTCGTGTCGTTAATCCAAATCTCTACGTCTGCGCTGAGCTTTTTACCGGCAACGAAGAGATGGACCTCTTATTTGTGAAACGTTTGGGCGTCAACAGCTTGATCAGAGAAAGCGGAAATGGCTGGGATCCAAAGGAATATTCTAGATTGTTATATAGACATGGCGTCGGAAAGCCAGTCGGTAAGCGGTCACCTCTCTACGCGCTCTCCGTTCTAAGGTTTCTATTGCAGGTTCTATGGATGGCGCATGTCTGACGAGCTTGGAAGAGATTGCATCGCCCACCGGCAAAGGACCTGTTCGAAAGGCTGTTGTGAGACCGTTGAATGGTTCCATGCCACACGCTTTGCTGTACGACCTCACACACGATAACGAGTCGTACATGGACAAGCGCTCCGCAGAAGATGCTTTGTCGACTGGAGCTCTTTCCACGTTTAGCTATTCAGCAATAGGATCCGTCAAAGGGTTTGATGACCTGTATCCGAAGTTGTTGAATCTAGTCGGTGAGACGAGGAAATACGAGATCACAGGACTCGGAGAAGGCAGTGGTATCGCCAAAGTCAAACGGGTTCTCAATTCTCTTCATCTTGAAATGGTCTTGGGAGGTTACGAAGAAGGTCATGTACATCAGGAAGGAGACGTAAGCCTTCGTCTTCCCATATACCATGACATATTGAGAGCTTTTGTGCAGTACATTGTTCTTTCGCGTGTCCAACCTGGAACTCAAAAAGGATATCTCCTCGTCGCTCATACGGCCTTCCATAAAGGGTCAAAGGACCGAGGCCATAGTACGTTCTGCATTATTGTTAGGAGCTTCATTCGTACTGATGTTCAAATAGTATCACCTATCAAACTGCGAAGAACGAAAGTCAACTTTGTTTTAGGTGCCAGTGTTGACATTCAGTCGTATGAAATTCCCAGCGATCCTACGACCCTCAAAGGATTACCTGCTAAGATCGTCGAGATGCCTCCTGTGGATGTTTCCGAAGGCCATGACCACGAAGGTCCATATTCTGAGATCACCGTTCCTGAATACTTCCCGCCAGGTAGTGTCATGCTGTTTAGGACGTATCTGAAAGAACACGACGCATCTTTGGATGCATTCTGTGCCTCTGGTGCGCAGGAAGTGTTTGGCGCACTCGATCTCGTTGAATTGAACGTTGTCTTGCACCGTGCGGATGGAGAAGAACGCGATGCGACCGGCGGAGAGTTTGGTGCATACGAGGTACCAGGGCTGGGAAAGTTGGTATATTGTGGCCTTGAAGGCTGGATGCACCCCCTGAGGCATATTATGCGATACAACGATCTCGGTCATCCATTATGCGGCCATTTGAGAGATGGATCGTGGGCTTTAGATTATGTTCATGCTCGTTTGTTCAAGTATGTCTTTGATGTTCTTGCCGAACACCGCTGACCTTGTCCTGCACAGACAAGCTGACAAAATGCCTAAAATCAAAAAAGCAGCCGAATGGTTCCGTGAAAGGTCTGAACGTGTCAAGGCCACTGTCCCTCCTTTCTTACGCCCGAAATATTTCGCGCTCGTCGTTTCGGAGGCGTACAAAGCTTCACGGCGGTCTGTGGTTGAACAATGCTCCGAGTTCATTTCGAACGGACATGATTTCACCCAAGACCTGGCGTTGTGTGCAGTTCAAATGTACGGCATCGTACAATCTGCGTCTCTCGATCCTGGAGTTGTCACTCCGTCGTTAGCAGCAGGCCTTCCTCATTTCGCAGCAGGTTGGGCGAGATGCTGGGGTCGTGACGTTTTCATATCACTCCGAGGTTTGTTCCTGACGACCGGAAACTATGATGCCGCCAGAACGCATATTCTGGCGTTCGCTTCAACACTGAAACACGGTTTGATACCAAATCTCTTAGATTCGCTTCGCAGCCCTAGGTCAGTCATTGATGCATCGTAGAAATTATTTGGCTCATCTTCATCCAGATACAATTCCCGAGATTCGCCATGGTGGATGCTTCAAAACATTCAAGATTATGTTACCAGTGCTCCAGATGGACTGTCTCTTCTCTCTGAGAAGGTCAAACGTCGGTTCCCGAAGGACGACACCTGGGTACCTTGGGACGATGCGCGCGCATACGCCTACTCGACTACGATTGCCGAGACCATACAAGAAATTCTCCAGCGGCACGCGGATGGCATTCACTTCAGAGAGTACAACGCAGGTCCTAACCTCGACATGCAAATGAGAGACGAAGGATTCAATATTGACATTAAGGTCGATTGGAGTACGGGAATGATCTTTGGAGGAAATCGTTACAACTGTGGGACGTGGATGGATAAGATGGGGGAGTCCGTTAAGGCTGGAACCAAGGGTATCCCAGGGACTCCCAGAGACGGTGCGCCTGTCGAAATCACCGGGCTCCTAAAGAGCGCACTTCGTTGGTTGGATCAACTATACAAAACAGGGAAATTCCCTTTTGAAGGTGTTCGTGCAACTAGTCAGTGTCTTCTTTCATCGGATTCCGTTCCCCTCGAATACTGATATTTTTTCAGTCGACGGCAAGGAGCGTCTAGTCACATACAAGCAATGGTCAGATCTCATTCAATCATCATTCGAAAAATGCTATTACGTTCCTCTCGGTGAGATGCTTATATTCATCGTACTCCTCGAATCGTCGGCTAACCAATCCTCGGTAGATCCATGCGCTGATACCGAGTACAACGTCACATCTAAACTGGTAAACCGGCGAGGTATATATAAGGACGTGTATGGATCTGGAGCCGGCAGGGAGTGGTCCGACTATCAACTGAGGCCTAACTTTCCTATTGCTATGGTGGTTGCTCCTGAGTTATTCGATGCTCAGCATGCTCTAGACGCGCTAAAAATTGCCGAGGAAGTTCTTCGGGCACCGCTCGGTATGAAGACTTTGGATCCGAATGACTTTCAATACCGGCCAGTCTACGACAACTCGAACGATTCGAATGACGCGTCCATCGCAAAGGGACTGAATTATCACAATGTGAGCGCACTCTAATGCCACATTGACGGATTCTGATATTCTGTACAGGGACCTGAATGGGGATGGCCTCTTGGTTTCTTTTTGAGAGCGTATCTTGATTTCGACGGCCGTATCGGAGAGGGCAAAACGGTATGAATTGTCATCGTTCTCTGGCGTTGCCTACTAAGTTGCCTGACAGGATATTAAGCGTACTCTACATCATTTGCATCAAATTCTGTTGACGCCACGTCAACACATCCGCAGCGATCCTTGGGCGGGGATACCTGAGCTAACGAACAAGGACGGACAATACTGCCACGATTCTTGCAATACCCAAGCATGGAGCGCAAGCACTTTGTTAGACTTTTTAGAGGATGTGCATAACTTGGGGGCAAAGTAGACGCGACGACCTGAACTTTTCTTTTCCATTTGTAAACTTTTGATGAACTGTAACGTAGAGGACTTATTCGAACCAGTGTCCAGTAGAGTTAGTAACGGAACCGGATAATCGGACCGAATAACTAAGCATTACTAAGGCAGTTCGGGCTCATAAGTAAGCTGGGGTCCTTCCTTTCCTTTTCCCTAGTCGCACACGCAATCACGCGCAATCATGGCTACCTGTCGCGACACAGAGGGATGGTCCATCATTTCTCGTACTCGTCCTTTTGATCTCACTCTCTGTTTCGAGGAAGGCATCCTCTTCTCCACTCTCTACGCGCTACTGCTAGCTTTCGCGGCTGCAAAATCCCTATCTCTTTCTGCAAAAATCTCGAGAACAAGGTCGTCCAGGAGTCGATGGATACTGCGCTTCAAAATTGTGAGTTCCTTACTCTTTCACCACGTCCTGTTCCCTAATACTCACACAACTTAGCTCTTTCTTACCCTCGCATTCTCCGTCAGCATCGCCAATCTTATCTACACTGTACATGCAAGGATACCCGTGCCCGTGTTCCAGTCATACGTATTTGAATCTATTTCGCTCGCGGCTGCCGTTGTCCTCACATTTTTCAATCATACTCGAGCTAGGAACTCATCTTCCATTCTTCTCATATATTGGCCACTCCATTCTCTCGTATATGCTATCTGGACGCGAACTGTTTTGACAAGTGGTCTTAACCATGTTTTATTCACGTTCAAGTCAATCATAACAGGACTCGGCATCCTATCTTTCCTTCTGGAATGCGTTGGGCCGGAGTGGGGATCAGAAGAAAAGATTCCTGAGGGCATGCATACCGAAAACCCGGTCATCACAGCGAATATCTTCAGTCGATGGGTAAGTACTATCACCAATTCATCAGCTTATTATTCACTTGATCTTCGAACTTCGATAGTTCTTTTCTTGGATGACGCCCCTCATGAAGAAAGGTGCTTCCCAATATATCTCTGAGAACGACTTGCCGTCTCTACGACCTGAAGATGATTCTGAGCGACTCGGGAAGACCTTGCATGATGCACTGCAAAAACAGGTCCGTATCTTTCCGTCAAATGCAGTCCTAGTCCTTACATCCTTCCTTTAAGTTCCTTATGGAAGGCTCTTTTCATTTCATACGGTGGCCCTTACGCGTTAGCTGCTGGAATGAAGCTTGTTCAGGATTGTCTTTCATTTTTGCAACCACAGTTGCTACGCTGGCTTCTATCATACATATCAATCTACCAAACCGCGCGGTATGCTGACGGTTCTACCAAGCCCCACCCTCTAGAAGGCTTTTCGATAGCCGTGCTCATGTTCGTTGCATCGGTCGCTCAAACTGTCATCTTAAACCAGGTATGACAGACACCTCTTCATCTACAAAATACTTATGTCCCGTCAATTTGCGTAGTACTTCCAAATTGCATTCCAAACTGGGTAGGCATTTCCAACATTCATTGTAGTGATAAGGTATTTACCTCTCTGTTTCAGAATGAGAGTACGCTCGGGGCTCGTTTCCGTCATCTACGCAAAGGCCTTAGTTCTCTCCAACGACGAACGAGGACGGGCATCTGGTGACATAGTAAACTTGATGTCTGTTGATGCGACGAGACTCCAGGACTTCTGCCAGTTCGGATTGATTTCTATTTCCGGTCCTTTCCAGGTATGCAAAGTATAATTCACCACAAGTCAAGGCCCTAATAGTTTGTTCAAGATTACATTGGCATTTATCTCTCTGTATAACATGCTTGGATGGCCTGCCTTTGTTGGCGTTGCTATAATGATGTTTTCTGTCCCTCTAAACACTTGTAAGGATCCTCACGAATTGATGGACCGTACTCCTGACTTTCCTGACTTTAGTCATTGCTCGCATACTGAAACGCATGCAAGAAACCCAAATGAAGAACCGCGATATGCGAACACGGCTGATGAGCGAGTTATTGTCTAACATCAAGAGCATCAAACTTTACGCCTGGGAATACGCCTTTTTGCGAAAGATATTGACAGTTCGAAATGAAAAGGAGTTGAAGATGCTGAGGAAGATAGGCATCGCAACGGTCAGTTGCATCCTGTTTTGCCCGCCCTTATTCCTGACGAAGCTCTAGTCCCTTAATATGATGCTATGGACCGGTATTCCTCTGCTTGTGGCGTTCAGTTCCTTTGCTGTGGCCGCCATTGCCTCTTCTAAACCGCTAACATCTGACATCATTTTCCCCGCGATATCACTTTTCATGCTGCTCCAATTTCCGTTGGCGATGGCACGTAGCTTTTTTCTGAATACGACATTAGCCTTCCTCTGACCGCCGTATAGTTCAGCCAAGTCACCTCAAACCTCATCGAAGCAATTGTGTCGATCAGGCGACTTTCGGACTTTTTGGAAGCAGATGAGTTACAGGCGGACGCACGCAAACTAATAGAGAAACCCAATCTGCAACATGGTGACACCGTCAGTGAATTTGTCATGATTCGTTAGTATCGGCTTCTCAAGCTGCGACGCTGCAGGTATTGTCCATTAGAAACGCGGATTTTAGCTGGTCTACAGAAGCCGTTCAACCTGTTTTAGAAGACATCAACTTAACTGTTCGAAAAGGAGAGTTGTTTGGAGTCCTCGGCAAAGTGGGATGCGGAAAGGTAGCCTTCACTTCGCCGGTTACGTGTAGTAGCCCTAATTTTGTTTTAGACGAGCCTTCTGTCTGCCATCATTGGCGACATGATTAGGACGGAAGGGGATCTGACCGTCTATGGCACTGTTGCATATTGCCCGCAAAACCCTTGGTAACCCTTCTCCTTGGATTCTTAACATCTTCGAGCTTACTCCATCTCTAGGATTCTTTCAGCGACTGTTCGAGACAACATCCTCTTTTCCCATGAATACGACGAAGTGTTTTATAATCTAGTCATTGAAGGTGACTTAGTTCTAAGTATATTGTATCTTATCTTGATTGTGTTTATAGCTTGTGCTCTCGTACCTGATCTGGCATTGTTGCCTCAAGGTGATATGACAGAAGTTGGCGAGAAAGGAAAGTGATTTTTTCAGTTTGAATGGCCTCATCCTGATTGGACTTGTTTTCCAGGCATTACAGTGTGTCCTCTCCGAGTTACACTAGCGATAAGCATTCTCATGCATCTTCTCTAGCTTAGCGGTGGCCAGCGAGCTCGTCTCGCGTTAGCTCGCGCCGTCTACGCCCGGGCTGACCTGCAAGTTTCTTTTTTTTGTGTGTAGCTTTTCGCTAATAAGTTTTGGTTATAGTGTGCTGCTTGACGATTGCTTAGCCGCAGTAGATAGCCATGTTGCACGGCACATATTCAGTGAGTTGCCATCAGCTTTTCATTCAATCAGTTTCCCTCACGCGCTGCAGCAAACGTCATCGGTCCTCAAGGAATACTTGCGTCCAAGGCTCGCATTTTGGTCACTAACAGTATAGCGTTTATTAGAGAGTTCGATCAACTGGCGTATATACGCCGAGGTATCATACTCGAAATCGGAAGCTACGATTCTTTGATGTCCAACCCTGAGGGAGAAATAAACAGACTCGTGTATGTGAGGCTCCCTTCTTCCTTATTATTTCTGAAATCCTTTGGGCAGGCACGGTCATGGCAGGAGCTCAAATTCGTCCGGTACTTCTACACCATTTATCACCGGAGGCAGTGGTGCTATTACACCCAAAATCGTTGAGGAAGACCTCGAAGTGGCCAAATTTGATATCACCCTTTCTGAGAAACTCAGGGATCGGTCCAGTTTCTCCAAGGCGGTAATTGCCAAACCATCTCCGATTCGGTCGCCCGAGTCCACTGGCTTGAGCAAGGAACATATGGAACAAGGCCGTGTCAAGACCCATGTTTACGCGGAATACATCCGCGCTGCTTCCAAGACAGGATTTTCTCTATTTTTAGCTGCGATTGTCGCTCAGCAAGCGTCGTCCGTTCTTGGAAACCTTGTTCTTCGAAGCTGGGGAGAACATAACAGAGAAATAGGAAGCAACGCTGGAATGTTGAAGTATCTTATCATCTATGGCGCGGTGTCGTTGTCTTCCATCCTTTTGGGAGGGGCAGCTGCCATTTTGATGTGGGTGTTATGCTCTTTGCGCAGTGCGAAGCGACTCCATGATGCGGTTAGTCATTCCTACGAATATTGAAAGCGAACTCACGGGTTTTTTCTAGATGCTGGAGGCTCTCATACATGCACCACTTAGCTTCTTTGAGTTGACCCCTACCGGCCGGTGAGTGTTAATTAAATCATTACGATGATAAAGACTTAAAAAACAAAACCTTCAGTATTCTGAACCTTTTCTCACGTGATACCTATGTCGTTGACCAGATCTTGGCGCGCGCCATCCAAAATCTATGCAGAACTCTCGCTGTCTGCGTGTTTATCGTATTAGTCATTGGAGCCAGTTTCCCGCTCTTCCTTCTTTCTGTCATTCCTTTGGGCTATTTCTATTTGCAAGTAATGAAGTACGTGTGCACATTCATATTTCGTGAATGCGTTTCTCATATATTGTGCAGGTACTATCTTGCTACCTCTCGAGAACTTAAACGCCTAGATGCAGTGTCTCGTTCACCTATCTTTGCATGGTTCTCTGAGTCACTCGCCGGTCTTTCGACTATCCGCGCCTTCAATCAAGGATCTCTCTTCATTGCCGCGAACCAACGTCGTGTTGATCGCAATCAAATCTGCTACCTCTCAAGTATCACCGTCAATCGATGGTTGTCGGTACGACTTGAAGCAGTTGGCGCTACCATTATATTTTTGGTTGCCACCTTGGCCATGGTTGCGCTCATAACTACCGGCGTTGACGCTGGACTGGTTGGCCTTGTCGTGTCGTATGCTCTAAGCGCGACGTCCTCTTTGGTCTGTTGAACTTTCCTCCATGTGATGATGTTTTTGTTTCTTGACGATTTTATAGAATTGGGTAGTCAGATCGGCAAGTGAAGTAGAACAGAATATTGTCAGCGTCGAAAGGATATTGCATCAGAGCGAAGTAGTTCCGGAAGCTCCTCACGAGTTGCCTGATTCAAAACCAGACGGACCTTGGCCCTCAAAAGGCGGAGTCGAGTTCCGGTAAGAGGAATGATATTTATCGTTGGCATTTTATCTCATGTGATATTCTAGTCACTATTCTACTCGATATCGGCCTGAACTCGATCTAGTACTTAGAGATATTACGATGACCATAGTGAGTTCAATCTCTAAATTTGCAAGTGAACGCTTATGCTAATTTTCTGTAGAAACCGAGCGAGAAGATCGGTGTCTGCGGAAGGACTGGGGCTGGGAAGTCATCGGTAGGTCGCGGTCAGACTTTCGAATCATACAACTGATAGTTGTATTACAGCTTCTCTTGGCTCTGTTCCGGATCATCGAGCCCACCGAAGGAACCATATTAATCGACGGTGTCGATATCACAAAAATTGGGTTACATGATTGTGGGTTTCCGCTTCTAGATCAAGAATTTGGGGTCTTAACCGTCGGCTTTCATAGTACGCTCGTCCATATCGATCGTCCCTCAGTCACCAGATCTGTTCGAGGGGACGCTTAGAGAGAACATCGATCCTGTTGGTGAGCATACCGATGCAGACATATGGGTTGCACTTGGGCAGGTAGGATTGTCCATATTGCCTAGTTGATCTCCCACTGAATATAATTACAGGCTCATCTGAAAGCCTACGTTGAAAGCTTGCCCGAGGGGCTTGATGCACCTGTCCGAGAAGGAGGATCTTCTTTATCTTCGGGACAGAGACAATTACTGTGCTTTGCTAGGGCGCTTTTGCGCAAATCCAAGGTCCTTGTTTTGGATGAAGGTAGACATCTCTTGGTCCATCTTTTATCAATCAATGACAGTATTTTAGCGACATCGGCCGTGGATTTGGATACTGACAAGGCGATTCAAGATATCATTCGCGGGCCAGCCTTTACTGACGTTACCATTCTAACAATCGCACATCGTTTGAATACCATTATCGAATCTGACCGCGTTCTTGTCATGGAGGCGGGGAAGGTATGCTTTCTATGTTGTATAAACTTGCTTGATTCTGATGTCCTGGTAGATGGCCGAATTCGACACGCCCCAAGCTCTACTATCAAAGCCAGACTCGATATTTTATTCTTTGGCCAGTCAGGCTGGGCTTGTTTCCGAAAAGTAGTTACATTGGATGCTAGCTACATACGTACATACAATCTATTCCATAAAATAAATAGAGTCCGGTATACTTGTCTTCCGAAGTGTGTACAGCCAATAAAAATACAACATGAGAGGATATAATTATACCTTTCAAGCCTGTCTCACTGCCAAGCCCATTGATGCTGTCCGTGCCATTCCCAAACCTGTTACAGTTTCGCCCTTTGACAAAACATCCCTACCGCCCAGTGCTCCCGCCAAGAGCTCTCTACAGCATCTAGCTCGCTCCCGCCGCTGGACAAACCAGCTTCCTGCATCGCAAGGAACGGCAAGGGGCCGTGCAATGATCCCTTTTTCCCGTGCAACGCGTATCGAGTGAATCAACGTGTCGACCTCTGCCTCCGAGTCAAGATCATCCAGATTCTCCTCGATCTCTCCAGCCTTGTTATCCACAAGCTTCGTAGCCGCGGCCGCAGCAGCACCAGAAGACTTCTTCCCGCTCTTCTTGGACGAAGGATTGCTCGACTTTTTGGTGAGATCGATACCCATCGCAGCAGCAGCCTCCTCTGCAAGACGCTTCTTCTCGAGTTTCTCCTTTTCGCGTTTCTCCTTTTTCTCAGCCTTGCTCTCGCGTTTGACAGGCTCGACAAAGTTGGGATTATTAGCGCGCTGCCAGTCGAGAAGCAGCTCGTCGTATGGTCGTGAACGCCCTTGGACGGCGCGCTTAGCACCCATGGAGTGGGATTTACAGGTCAGAGAGCGAGAACATTCCAATCCCTTGTCGTTGATGACACCGCACTGGCGATCAAAGTCAACAGGACCTTTAACGCGACCTTTGGTGACCTTGGTAGTTGGCTTGCTCTTCTTCTTGGGAGGTTGTGTGGGATCCACAGGTTCGAGTGAGGCTTTCCGCTTCTTGGCGCTTTTCACTATAGAGAAAACTGGTGAGATTGTCGAATTGGACGCGTCTCCGAATGACTAACTCTCTGCGTCGGCCTTGGCTTTAGCCTCTTTCTTGCGAATGTTCGCGCAAGTGACTGATGGATGTTAATGGACGATACAGCCATTCAGAGCAATGTATCTCACCTGCATGCTCACTAAAACAGCTGCGAAGGATTGGTTTCTCGCAGTCCTTGCATCTAACGACACCAATGTCCGTCGTTGAGGTCAATGGCTGGGCGCCAAATATCTTCATGTCGTGGTAAGGAAGCCATGCTGTGGGTGGCACTGGTGCTGCCAAGTCTGCTGGTGGTGGATGAATAGGCGCATCCCAGGAAAAGGGAGGAGGTGAGTTGCTTGTCCTTGAGTTGTTATTTCTCTTTAGACGAAGGGACATGACAAGATAATGGTGTGACGTGACAGTCACGATGTGTTACTACTACCTCTCCTCCTTTCATTCTCTTGCTCCAATTCTTCTGCTATCACTTGTAATTTCTTTTCTTTTTCCACATCAATCCATGTTCCATCTTCAATACTCCATATTTCAGTCTTTCCATCTTCTGTCGTTCGTGTCTCCCCGTCTTTTCTGCTTAACCGCCAGCCTAGTTGTGCCTTGACCTTGCCGAGATATCCTACCTCTCCAATCCCCCCTCTTGACACTCTATCGTCTTCTCTCTGCTGAGGCGTCATACGGACTAGAACGTCCGCCGGTGGACCCTTCCTACTCCGTCGTAAAGTAGCCATGAGCACTTCGCCCTTCCGTTCACGCTCGCGTTCTCTGGTTTTGTTAGCAATTTTATTCCTACGCGCCTGAATTACGCGCTCAAAGAGTTCTTGCGGAATAGGACCATTTGCTCGAGCCAACATGCGATCAAAGTATATCCGGTTGTCATTCAAGGCAGCGCCAATTTCGTGAGCTAGACAAAACAGACGACGTGAGATTGATGCGATGTAGGCAAGAGTAGGCCGTATACGTACTCCACTCCCTCACCGATCCACCATACTCGGAATCGCTGACACCAAGTCCTTCCTCCAATGCAACTTCGCCTTTAGCATACCGAAGATGTTCTTTTAGCCGTAGCAACAGGACTTGCCTAGAACCAAGTCAGCCATCAGACAGAATAGACTCTGGTAGAACGCACCGGTTTTCGTAACTTCGTTTCCTTTTTGCAATCATTCTTGAAATCTTGATCGGTTGAGGTTTCATGCGGGGAAGCGCGGGGTGCCAGAGAGTGGGAAACATGAGACCGCCTGTAAGCATGGGTCGGTTACGGATTCGGTTCTCTTCATTCTGAGCATACACAATAAGTAAGAAAGGGGAAAGCCAACAACAAGAAAAGGAAACTTGGTACCAGTACTTCCAGCTCTTCCCTCTCCAATACGGCTTTCTTTCGCTTCATGGCCACAAGTCTGTCATACCGCTGTAGTACTTCTTGAGTCTTTATATCTCCAGACTGAGCTGATTTGAATGTTTTAAGCCACTAGAGACAGTATCAGCCTCAATTGTACAAATACGCAATAGAACGTACTTTATATCCAGTCCTTAGTGCCGCCGTCACCTTTTCCGTTCCAGTCTTGTGCTGATTCGAACGAAAGTGCAGACCAACAGAGAACCGTATCTACGCATGGTCAATACACCTTCTTTACAAGAAACAAACGCGTGCATACGTTCTCCGTTGGGGCGAACCGCAATAAGCGTCTGAAGAGACGAAGAGTTGGTATCCGATGGGCCGGAAGTTCCCAGAAAGGCCTGTTCGGACGAACACGTCGAAGAGAAGAGATTGAAGAGGCAAGATTAACTCGAAATAACGAGGACGCTGGCGATGGGTTGGTCATGTCATGGTAAGAAAGAATGAGCAGGTGGCTGTGCTCTTTGACCATAAAAATGACGGAATTTTGAACATAAGGAAATGTTCTACAGTAAACATTCTACGTTTACTTATCCCACCACTTCCTCTATCCCCGGCACCGAGCACAATGTCCGATTTTCACGTTCAACATTCAGAACCCATCACTGATTGCAAACATTTGTTTCCGTTATGGCGGGGCCGTCTCTTGGATATCAAGTTCTTGTCGGTTGTTTGCGGCGCAGGTCATCACTGATGCCAGGATCTTCAAGCCAGTTCGCCCCCAGACCCAGCCTGGATGGGCGCAACCTTGTCAACGCAGCATCATATGCAGCAACCCATCATTGATCACAGTCTACTTTAGCGGCTCTCATGATCTTCTCAATTCGTCGCTATATAGAAATCATCTCCCCTCCCTGACAGTCACTTACGAAACTCTCTACCCACTTTGGCGTAATTTGCTCACTGAAAGGATAAACAACAAAACCAAGTCTTGTTCTTGTTCTTGCTCGAGGGTTCGACTCGGATCAAATTACCCTGATGATGAATTTTGGAACTCGAGCTCAAAGGAGATGAACGCTCAGCTAGGGTGCCTAGATCCAGACGCCAATCCCCAGAAAGCGACGGAAACCGAAACCGAAGATATCTAACCTCACTGCTGTCCACGAATTATCTGGTCGGAAGCTCTCACGGAGAGTTCCTTGCCCGGCTACTCACCTAGGCTGGTACATCAACATTCAACCTGAGTTTGGCAAGTACTAGTACGTATCTCCAGCAGAGCTTCTCATTATTTGTTCGATCACTCCCTTCAGGCTTGCAGCTCGGAATCACCCAGTCTATATTGATATCGGCATTTATTAGTTCGGATGATGGTATGAACACATATGAAAAGGACATACATCTCCTTGCTTCTTTCTCCCTTTCGCCTTCTCTCTCTCGCTTACCAGCTAACCACTCGCTACCTCCCCTTTGTATCTCAAGCGTCTGAGGTCCTCCCGAGCCGTTCTTCGTCGTTTACGCGCTTCGCTGACCCTGTCCAGTATTTGTACGGAAATTCTCTCTCCAATACCACCAGGACACGTTATCCCTTCTACCATGTGTCGGGCGCCTTTGACCGCCAACATCGCCATCGTAGGTGGCAGTAAGTTTGACCTTTTCCGTTCATCTACCGTCCCAACCTGACACGTCTGTAGGTATCAGTGGACTCGCCTGCGCATACGCCCTGGGTCGCAGCGGCCACTCCGTACACGTCTTTGAGAAATGCCCCCAACGTCACTCTGTACGTCAATATCTCTCTCTCTCTCGTGATTTCTCACAAATTCCCACAGCGTTCTGCTGGTATCCGCGTCCCCCCAAATATGCAAAAGTTGTTCGTTGAATGGGGAATAGAGAAGGAGCTCGAGAAAGCATCCGTGGCGCGAAGAAGTGATATGTATGGAAGTGAGTGTCGTATTCGGAATCCTGCGTTCTCGGCAATGATTGATGAGCCCCTTCAAAGTGGCGGACGACGAATATCAGGGGTTTCTGCATTGGCAAGCGGACGTACTAAGAGAAGCGGGAGGCGAGTTCTCTACCATGCGTGTATGACATTTCCTCCATTCTTGTTCGTGACGATTCGATAACCGTGAACGGACAGTGGGACGAGCTTGTACGACTCATTGACCGCTCTCGCTCTATCCGTCGGGGCAAAGATCACGTACGGTGCTAACGTGGTTTCGGTCCATCCCTGATGCGAGCAAGAGACCGGTGTTAGAATTTGCGGACAGGACGACATACACATCAGATGTCGTCGTGGGCGCCGACGGAAGTAAGAGCAGGCTGAGAGAGATCGTTGATAGGCACATGCATGTGTCTGATGTCCCAAGGCACCACAATCGTGTGGACATCGCAGTATATTCGTGAGTGGCGCTTCTTTATTGGTGGAAGTTTTATTTGACTCTGCTGGAGAATTATTGTTCCTGTGGAAAAGCTGGAGCGTGATCCCGACTTTAGGAAGCGGATAGATGCGGTACGGGCAAGTAGCATTTTTCTCGTGACCTTAAGAATACTGATTCGAATGAATATGGGCAGGGACGATTCACAGTGTGGATGGGAGATAGAAAGTGGCTTATCGGTAAGCGATGATGCACGGTATGCGACAGAATTTACTGACTTTCGGGCACCGCTTAGGATATCCAGTGGTGCGTCTCTAGCCATGTTCCCTATGAGCGCCTCTGACCTTGAGACAGAAGAAGAGTACAGAGTACTCCATCCACGCCTATTTCTACGGAGAAGAAGTTGAAGATTTTGATGGCTGGAGCTGTACAGTGCCGACAAGCAACATTGATTTTACCGGGTGTCATGAGATGTGAGTTAACCCCGACCGAGTTTGTTACGAGATTGATAACAGGGCGTCAGGTTCCCGCGAATATTTTCAGAGTCTCCGACAGCGCTGAAATCCAAGTACATTGATACTCACGTTGAGGATTGGGTCGACGCGTCTGGGCGAATAGTACTAGTAGGGGAAGCAGCGCATCCAACCAAGGTGAAACCATTCAGTGAACTCGTAGTGAACGACACTCACACGATAGACTGCCGTAGCCATGCTGTATTCATAGCGCGAGTCTCGTCACCGAAGATGCTGTGGTCTTAGGCACACTATTCGAGCGGCTAGCACATCGGGAACAGATCCCTCAATTGCTCGAAGCATTCTGGGAGTTACGGCAAAACCGGTGTCACATCGTTCACACGTCTGAATTAGCTTCATCGACAATGCTGTCGCTACCGCCAGGAGAAGATCGGGAGGCCAGAGACGCCAACTTTCGGCTATCATCAATGGAGGAAACATGGGACGAGGACAAACTTTTGGAGCAGTGGGATGTAATAGCGGCAGTGTTCGGATACCACGCCCGAGAGTCAGCAGAAGATTGGTGGATCAAGTGGGGAAAGCTTGATCCGCGTGCACTAACGGTGCCGATGAACTTGCCAGTGACGCTGGAGATTAGGCAGGAATAGCGGAGTGTTATTTGCATTTCCGAAGTGAAGACATGACAATACTATAAACTCTGTTACAGAATAAGAAGAGCATGAGAATGGTGTTACATGTAAAAGTCCGGTTTCCGAGAGTTGATGCCATACTCTGCGAGTGCAGAGCTGAGATCTTCCATAGTCAACGTTGTACGCGTCCGATCCTAGAAGAAAAAGAGGGTTGTTGAGTATGTGTCATTGAATTCACAGCATTCAGAACCTTGACAGATCCAGGGACCAGTGAGCGGTTGGTTAGCTCGCGCGCGACCTCCTGACGCATTTGTACGTATCCGAGCGTGTTGGTAGGCGTCGGCGGCAATGTCAGAGACGAATTTTTGGGCAGCGAGAGAGAGAAGGCGCTTTCTGTGGCAAAAATGGAGCATGAAATCAGGCGCTTAAAGGGGAGTCACCTACAGCCGAACGTCTTCACATTCAAACCCGACCCGCTGCAGGTAGTAGTCTGTGACCTCATTGGGTATCTACGCGTATGTCAATAGCGAAGAAAGATAAAGCAACTGAACAAAGACCACCAGTGGCTCGTAATCGTCGAGCATCAAGAGGAACTCGGCCAATGTACGGTCCTTTCTTGCATCCTCGGCTGCCTGGACGGGACTGGGGTTGGGCTGACTGAGTCGAGCTGGACGATGACGACGGATCCTGGGGTGTCTGGGACGGACCCACTGGGTATGCAAAGTTCTGAGTTTGCGACATGACGGTAAGAAACTTGGAAAGGGTCCGCTGCTTGGCTGACTAAGCGCACAGCCGCTCACCGCTGTCGGCAAACTCCGGCGCTGCTTGGCAATGTTCTCCTTCCTTCGAGCACCACGGCGGTGTCAAGGCCTCGTCTTTAAGCGGACACTTGCTAATGTCCTTTCTGAAAATACAGCACTCCAAGTGTATGACCCTAATGCCGCTGCCTCTGCTGCCAAACCCACCAACGAACCTGCCCCGACGTCCTCCACACTACAAAAAGTAAAAACATCCAAAACACACGGCCTGTACGCCTTTTTCCGCCGTAAACAGGGCGAGGATCTTACTGGGGATGATCAGTATGATGTTCTCGGTGGACTGTACGAGCAAGATGTAGTGAACCGGAGTGGTACGCCTCATTCTCCCGATGTGGTCTCGATGCTCACCATAATCTGACAGGACGCGCGTGGAAAGCCTCAGAACTCCGCCTGAAGAGTTTCACAGACCTGCACACGCTGTGGTATGTCCTACTGCGCGAGCAGAACCTCCTTGCTACCCAGGCAGAAGAGGTCAGACGCGCAGGCATTGCTCCTCGCATGATTCAAATAGGTTTGGGGCCCAAGAAGCGGGAGGTATGTAATTATCTTTTTATTCCCTAGCCCAATTATTAACACTATGTTCAGTGTCGCCTAAGTATGGCTCGCATAAAGGCTGTGATGAACGAGCGTCGGCTGGCCTACCTCGGTGCTGTGCAACTCGCTGAAGAGGAGAAGGAGGCTGAGCTCGATAGGGCCGTATTGAAGCACCAAATCACGCAATTTAACCGTGGCCGCAAAGCTCTCCGGACACTCCAGGAGAAGCGCGTCGCTGCTGAAAGGAGAAAAGAACGTCAGGCTAAGCAAAAAGAGGAAAAGCTAAAATCCAAAATTGTATCTCAGTCTGCGTAGATAACGAAGTGAATTGACCATATTGTTTCATTTCAGCGCTAATTTCTGGCACATTCTAATGCCACTCTGATTTACGAAAGGTATTCCTGCCGTATCTCTGCTAATTTTGGACTGCCATCTTTTTGTCGTTGTTCACGCTAAATGATCTTCACTCAGGGTAACAGCGGCCGCTGCTGTCATTGTATTACTGAATTGTACCGGCGGTGATGGTACCCAAGGCCGCGACGGCGGTACACCGGGTATGCTCCATGCTGCTACCATGGCTGCGACCCATGTTTTTTTACATTCTTCTGTCAGAGGCTGTACAAATCCTCGGATTTTATGGTTGCTTGGGTGGTACGCTAAGTCCTCGGAGATTGGAAAGAAAAGGGATTGCCAGCTAAGCATCTGTCTGTTAAATACTGAGCGTTGGAAAGGAGTCAAAGGGTGTGGGTTTCAGAGACAACGAACAAGTAGGAACCTGTTCTGAATATAGACACCTTGATCGAGTAATGACGGATGTGATAACATTGATAAACCGAGAATGTATAACCTTTCTACCCCGGATAATTATCCCTTTCCTGCCGACCCTTCTTCTTTCTCAACCACCATGACCTCAGACCATACAAGGAGGCAAACAGATTCAGCTAATCCTTCAAGGAAATCTGCTTTATCCTGCGCTGAATGCCGGAGAAGTAAGCTACGATGCGACAGAGTATTTCCTTGCCAGTCATGTATCAGGTAAGTCGCTATCACAACCACCACCATAGTCTATCTCATTCGTTTCCAGGCGAGGATGTGCTGGGATATGTCCAGACGGTGCTGTATAGCTGTCTAAAGTCAATTTCCTACCATTGCTCATGGTCATTTTGCAGGCACACTGACTGCCACCAAGGGCAACAAGTACGGACGCGTTCTCGTCTTCATTGCACCTCTCTTATGCCACGTCTAGAGTCATCATGGCCCATGCAGAAAAGCTCGCTGAAGAAGTCAAAGTATTGACGGCACGCATACATGATCTCGAAGATGCACTCTCCTCTCGTGACGGTGCATCCCATCCATTACTACAAGGACGAGATCCCCAACGGGACGAAATAGACGCCCTCTACGAGAAGGGCCTTCAGGAAGTCTCAGATGCAATTGGCTCCCTTGCCATTGGCTCCGATGGGCAGGCAAAATACTATGGCGAAACTGCTGGCTCCGAGGTACGCCCTATCCTATCTCGGCATGTGTCTCGACGTTCATTCGGAGGATAGTATCTTGGAAGCCTTCTACCCGTCAGTTGACCATCTTCTGCTTACGCTATCGCCCACTAAACTCGTTATACAGGAAGAGGAGATAGTACAAGAAGAACGCCCCAAAGATCTCGACCTTCCTTTGGAAATCCTCGACCTAGTCAATGCGTTCCCGTTGGGAATGAAAGAGTGCAACTATTCAAAATTCATTTTTGCACCCTACCTGCCGACACAAGAGAGGGCAATGTATCTGGCAGAGCTGTACTACCAGAACACCGCTTGGATGTGCGTTCCATCACAACGCTTTTCGGCACATTTTTTGACATTGATTTCCAGGTACGATCCCATTGTTCAACAGGATTTTGTGATGAACATCTTGACACCATTATATTTCGCACCAGGGTTTACGACCCTAGAAACTATTCATGCCCACAAACTTGCGGTCTTTTTCATGGCCATGGGCGACGGTGTTCTCTACGATAGCAGCCCTGACTCGGCTTATTTGTCGGAACAATATCACGCTCTTGCGCAAGCGGCGATGTCTATCGAACCTTTACTCATGGAAGCGACTTCCGCCACCGTTCAGGCGTTGTTCATGATGTTCCGTTTTATATACAACTCGGACCGGAAAAGTAACGAGACCCGATGGATTTTAGCTGGCCTTTGCGGTCGTATAGCACAATCCGTGAGTTTTACTTCTATGAAAGCTTTCCGCCGACTGTACTAACCGATTTCGGCATTTAGATTGGCCTCCGTGAGTTCCTCTTGTGTGGAATTCAGGAGTTATACTAATCAGTGACAGATCGAGACAGCTCGGGATGGAACCTAAATCCTGAGGAGCTTCAACGACGTCGGAGATTGTTTTGGGAGCTGTATACACATGATGCATGGACAGTGAGTTTACGTTGCAGCCAAGTGCATGGTTCGGTAACTCATTCTTACGCAGTCTATCGTCAATGGACGGCCACCAGCTCTGATGATCCAACACACTGACTGCCGTTTCCCCGACGACCTAGATCCCGTAGTCAAACCGACAGGGGAGGTGGAACTCGGATGTACGTTTTTCCAGTTTATTGGCCTCGATCGATCTAACTAGCAACGATTCAGGGCATGCTTGGAAATTCAGATACTCAGCGAGCTGCCTTTCCATATCCATACAGCATATCTTTACGACCAGAGCACCCAATTACAAAGCCCTTCTCGACTTGGACAAGAAAATCAGAAAATTTCCCGTCGCACATCATCTGCTCTCTCCTATAGAGACGTCCGAACCTGGGCGCGCGTGGTCATCTAATCGCGTACATGCCTTGCAACAGTATTGCGTGGTTTGTGAGAGAGAATCAAGTAAGTACTAGCAACTTTTCAATGTATCCTTAAGTAACGTTATCGCAGATCTCCTGTATATCCACCGAAGCTATTTTGCACAGGCCATTCAGGGACAGTCGCGCAACCCACTACAGCACATGTACGCGCCGTCAGTGCTGGCAACGTACCGAAGTGCCTGCCGACTGATCTCAAGTCTTCGTGGCCTGAACGTTAGTCCACCCTGATATTGCTGCGGCGACTTGGTTCTTTTGGTCAGGAATCTTTTCATCCTGTGTACGTTAATGTATAGTCATCTCCATCAGATTACTCATTGATGGAATCTAGGTCGTACTGGGCGCTCTCGTCGTCGAAAGTCCTTCATGTAGCTTGTCTCAAGATGCGCTAATTTTGCTTAATCAAACCATCCCCTTCTACGATGAGGGCTCTCGACGCTGCCGCCCAGCGAACACTCTGGTACGTGCTCGTCCACTACACATTACGTCTGAGTATGACCTTGACCTTATACAGCCCATGCTTCACAAACTACGGGACCGTGCCAATCACAGCTTCTCAGCCTTTACAGCCACAGGACAGTCTACACCTAGATGACCGATCTTGCGCCGACCCCGACGCTCCCGACGAGCTGGCCGTCTTAGGCGGGCGCAAATCTGTAATAAACAAGAAAGCGTCATCACATTCTCCGAGCTCGAATGACTCGCACCAGATTTCGGGGTCCTATATATATGGGGATGGCAGCGACTCGGGTAGCAGCCCGCCTGCGAGCCATGACAGGTGGCAGCGGCAGCGGTGGTGATGCGCTGATGGACTATTATGACGACCTAGGCACGTCAGGGCTCAGTCCCACGTACCAAAAGCGTCCCTATTCCTGATGGACAGACACATACAGGATACGATCTCTCCCTAGGCGATATCAGCCCGTCAAGTGCACATCAGTACGTGCAGCCTCAGACTCAGACGTCGTCATATCCCATGCAGTCCCGAGCGCAGGTGCAGCAGATGTACACTTCGAATGTGCAATCAGTGCACCCGTCGTTCCAGGCAATATCTGTGGACCAGGCGTTGGCGCCGATGGGGTATGCGTTTAGTGCGACGCAGGATCAGACCCAAGATGATATTTGGAGAAATTTCGTGCGGGAGTTTGGGTTGGAGCATATATGACTCTGCTTGATGAAACATATAGCTAGCTAATATCTCGGCAGTATTTTATGAGGTGTATGTATGTAAAACTTATTATCTTGTATCCAATGTTCAAGGTGCAGCAAGAAGACTTGATCAATCGAAAACAATTCATATTGGAAAGAGTTTCTGCACGAGACAAGGTTCATGAGCGTGTTTTGATCGGTTTTCCCATTATTCCTTTTCACCTCCATATTCAAGTAGATATATTTTTCTCTCTGGTTCCATTTCATAAAATTCTCGCGGTCACATTCATCCTAATAGTAAGAATACAGCGTAAGTATTCACAGATAATATACTACACCTAGGATAATATCCTGTCGTGAAGTACCTTCGATCCGAGGTTTTTGGTCAAAGCGCTAGGCGCTACAATCATACACTTTGCATACTCATAGTCACATCCAATCCCTCTGACTGTAGCACATCAAGCCTAGAAAAGACCAGTAATTTTACTTCCTCTTCCCTGTAATTCACGTCCCAGGATCTGAAAAATCGACAAATAGTCACCGACTTGAGGTGGCGCGGACGACACATCCACCGAAATTCGACCATCTGTACATAGAGTTCCACTTGAAAGGAGAAGTAGCCACTGAGATGCAGCGTGTGCAGGTGTGGGACAAGCATTGGGACATGAGAGCCAGACCCTGTGTCAACTCTACGAGTGAGATCGTTGAGGACTTCGTCTGTTATCACTCCGTTCATATTTATTAGTCGTATATCCTGGAGGGAGGGTGTACTCGAAAGAATGTGAATAAGGTCATCCTTTAAGATTTTTCCATTGCCGAAGTAGAGAGACGTAAGGGGACTATGAGAACGTTCGATGAGCTGCCGGATAGAAGCAAAAACGACCCGGTCCCGCCAAGTGTTGTCGAGGTCGAGGAAGCAAGTTACTGAAAGATCCAACAGGGCAGGAAGTATGAGGGAGTTGAGTACAATGGGAATCACAGGTGGGACGGAGTCAACTTGGCTGTACACATTTGAAAGTGTGAGTGAATGTAGCTGGCTAAGAGTCATCTCCTCCACAACCTCAGTTGCCAAAGATTGCCGGTCAAGGGAAAGATGACAGATGGCTAGTCGGGACATCATTTTTAAGATATCCAGAACACGACGAACAGGTGGCTCACGTCCTGCCCGCGTGTGCACATTTGTAAAATGAGTGATTTGGTGCCAAGGGAGGGATAGCTTATCAATGTTACTGACGTCCGTGGCACGGAAGACCCGCAAACACGGAAGTGAACCAAAATAGAGATGCTGGGCAACCTCTGAAGTTTCGGACGATGAAAGAAGAACAAGTTCTTGTAGACTGGGGAAAGATAGATGGAGTTGCTGCATATAGGCGAAGCATCTGCCAGGGAGGCAAAGATGGAGGGTTCGTACCCTATGGCTGACAGAGGAGAGAGCCATTGAGATAGCGACAGGAAAGGCACCAAGCCTGGTAACCGAGGTGTTCTCACTGTGGCATATTGAGATGGATAAGGGGCACTGTCGAGAGCGAGACAACTGGTTTCCAATATAGCGGGTGTAGGTACTGAAAAGCATTCGGTCGATGAGGATATTGACATAAGACCACAGGTTGGGGAATGCGTCAAGGACGTCCTTCCAGTTACGAGAAACCAGTTCAAACGATAAGAGTGGATGTTTACTGGCAGAAAATGCCGACCAATCGCCATAGGACAACAGATTCCCCGTGGGCTCTACCCGCGGAAAAGGAAAGACAACGGCGTGAAGGAAGATGTGAGCAAGGGCTTCTTTGGGCATACGACGCAAAGCGCTGAGAAGAAGGCGTCGTTCTCGAACGCTATCGGAGAGGCGTCGCCGCTCTTTATCCAGCGCAGCCAGATTTTGGTCGACGCGTGTGATCGATTGTACGAGATCCTGTCTCAACGCCTTCAACTCCAGCACCTGAGCATCAAGGGCGTCAATACGTTTTCCAGAATCTGATAGCATCCCCTGAAGAGTTTTCTCTTCAGACGGGTTGGGTGCATCGTTGGAGCGTGTGAGTTTTCTAAGATCTGTATGATCAGCGATGGGACTATCTGCATCGGTAACGGAGAATTTGTAGGATGGGATGGCGTGGTTGTTGCAGATGCATCCTTTACAAGGGTGCCAATCGGACGGAAAGGTGGTTGGTAATGCCATGAGCTGTGGTATGCTAGGTAAGTCTTTGTAGATGAGACGAGATGTAGAACTTGCCAGTTGGTTGAGTCAGGATGGTGGTCGTCGTCCAAGTCGAACATGCGTCTGGAACGTGTTCAAATTTCCATTGCTTTAAATTTGTGGGCATGACATACTTACTTAGTCAAGGTTAAGGTCAAGCTCGCTCCCGGCGGCATTGATGTCACTTCATCATGGTCACGGTGTGATAATGTTTCTATCGTGACAGGATACCGTACCGTCGACGTCGACGATGAAACAACAAATCAGCTCCCATATAGCATGCAGCCCCGAGGACAAGTGCAGCAGACGTACACCTTGTTGGGTATTCAGCCTAGCCCGGTATACATTCTCTTTCTTGTCATCTTGCTTAGATTACTTATTGTATTCTCCTATTCCGTTCGATACATATATCTGCTGATACCCATCTCTAAAAGGTTCATTCGATCGTTTTCCCCATTCCTTTTTATCTCTATATTCAATTAGATTTATTTTTCTCTCTGGTTCCGTTTCATAAAAATTTCAGTCACATCCATCCTACCCACATAAGAGCAGTGTAAATATTCAGAGACAATATACTATACCTAGTATATCCTATCGTAGAGTACCTTCAGTCTGAGGCTTTCGGTCGAAGCGCTAGACGCTACAATCATATTATTTGGGCACTCATGGCCATATCCAATCCCTCTGAATGTAGCACATCGAGCCTTCTAAGTTCCTCCTCGCTTGCGCTCACGTCCCACAAATTCAAAAATCGGCAAAAATTCACCGACTTGAGGTGGCGCGGACGACACATCCATCGGAATTCGACCATCTGTACATAGAGTTTCACCTGAAAGGAGAAGTAGCCACTGAGATGCAGCGTATGCAAGTGTGGGACGAGCGCCGGGACTTGAGAGTCTGACTCTGTGTCGATACGAGCGAGATCGTTGAGGACTTCGTCTGTTATCACTCCGTTCAAATTCATTAGTCGTATATCCTGGAGGGTGGGTGTGCTCGAAAGAATGTGAATAAGATCATCCTTTAAGATTTCTCCATTGTCGAAATAGAGAGATGTAAGGAGACTATGAGAACGTTCATGAGCTGGCGGATAGAAGTAAATGTGATGCTCCGGTCCCGCAAGGTGGAGCCGACGAAGCAAGTTACCGAGAGGTCCAACAGGGCAGGAAGTATGAAGGAATCGAGCACAAAGGGGATCACAGGCGGGAACCCGAAGCCTTGTCGGTACACAGATGTAACTTTGAGTGAATGTAGCTGGCTGAGAGTCGTGTCCTCCGCAACCCCCAAAGCTTGGAGCCTGAGGTCAAGGGATAAATCACAGACGGACACACGAGGCATCCTTTTTAAGACATTCAGAGCACGATTGGCGGGTGGCCCGTGTCCTGCCCGCATGTGCACATTTGTAAAATGAGTGATTTGGTGCCAAGGGAGGGATAGTCTATCGATGTTACTGACGTCCGTGGCACGGAAGACCCGCAAATGCGGAAGTGAACCGAAATGGAGATGCTGGGCAACCTCTGAAGTTTCGGACGATGAAAGAAGAACAAGTTCTTGTAGACTGGGGAAAGATAAATGGAGTTGCTGCATAGAGGCAAGATATCTGCCAGGGAGGCAAAGATGGAGAGCTTGTACTCTATGGCTGACAGAGAAGAGGGCCATTGAGATAGCCACAGGAAAGGTATCCAGCCTGGTGACCGAGGTGTTCTCACTGTGGCATATCGAGATCGATAATGGGCACTGTCGAGAGCGGGACAACTGGTTTCCAATGTAGCGGGTGTAAGTATTGGAAACTATTCCATCGATGAGGATATTGACATAAGACCACAAGTTGGGGAATGTATCAAGGACGTCCTTCCAGTTACGAGACACCAGTTCAAACGATAAGAGTGGGTGTCTTCTGGAAGAAAACGTTGACCAGTCGCTAACGTAATACTCGGGCTCCACCCGCGGAAAAGGAAAGACAAGGGTGTGAAGGAAAATGTGAGCAAGGACTTCTTTGGGCATACGACGCAAAGCGCTGAGAAGAAGGCGTCGTTCTGGAACGCTATCGGAGAGGCGTCGCCGCTCTTTATCCAGCGCAGCCAGATCTTCGTCGACTCGTGCGATCGACTGTACGAGATCCTGTCTCAACGCCTTCAACTCCAGTATCTGGGAATCAAGGGCGTCGATACGTTTTCTAGAATCTGATACCATCCTCCGAAGAGTTTTCTCTTCAGACGGGTTGGGTGCATCATTGGAGTGTACGAGTTTCCCAAGATCTGGATGATCAACAAGGGGACAATCTGCGTCCGTGACAGAAAATTGGTAGGATGGGATGGTGTGGTTCATGCAGATACATCCTTTACAAGGGCGCCAGTTGGAGGGGAAAGCAGTGGGTAATGCCATGAGCTGTGGTATGCTAGGTAAGTCTTTGCAGATGAGACGAGATGTAGAACTTGCCAGTTCAAGTTGGTTGAGTCAGGATGGTGGTCGTCGTCCAAGTCGAACATGCGTCTGGAACGTGTTCATATTTCCATCGCTTTAAATTCATGGCGTACTTGGTCAAGGTTAAGGTCAAGCTCGCTCCCGGCGGCAATGATGCACTTGATCACGGTCACGTTGTGACAATGTCTCTATCCGATATCGTCGACAGTGTCAGCTTGACCGATTCCTTTGATAACCCCCCCTTGGCTCCCATGCAGCAGATGTACACCTCAAATGTGCAATCAGTGCACCCATAGTTCCAGGCGTTGGCGCAGATGGGGTATGCATTTAGTGCGACGCAGGATCAGACACAAGATGATATTTGGAGGAATTTCGTGCGGGAGTTTGGGTTGAAGCATATATGACTCTCTGCTTGATGAAACATATAGCTAGCTAATATCTTGGCAGTATTTTATGAGGTGTATGTATGTAAAATTATTATCTTGTATCAATGTTCAAGCTCAAGGTGAGACTTGATCAATCGAAAACAATTCATATTGGAAAGAGTTTCTGCACGAAGCAAGGTTTATGAGTGTATTTCGATCGGTTTTCCCATTATTCCTTTTCACCTCCATATTCAAGTAGATATATTTTTCTCTCTGGTTCCATTTCATAAAATTCTCGCGGTCACATCCACCCTAATAGTAAAAATACAGTGCGGTTATTCACAGACAATATAATACACCTGGAGTACCTCCAGTCTGAGAGTTTCGGTCGCAGGGCTAGGCTCTAGGCTAATATATACTCATCGCCACATCCAATCCCTCTGACCGTAGCACATCAAGTCCGGAAAGAGCCAGTATTTTGGCTTCCTCGTCCTCTCTATTCATGCCCCACAGACAAGATCGGCAAATATGCGCCGACTTGAGGTGGCGCGGATGGCACGTCCAGCGAGATTCGACCATCCCTACATAAACTTCCGCCTGAAAATTAAAGGAACCACGGAGGTGAAGCGTGTGCAAGTGTGGGACGAGCGCCGGGACCTGAGAGTCTGACTCTGTGTCGACTCTACGAGCGAGATCGTTGAGGACTTCATCTGTTATCCCTCCGCTCAAATTCATTAGTCGTAGATCCTGGAGGGTGGGCGTGTTGGAAAGGATATGAATAAGGTCATCCTTTATGATATCTCCATTGCTGAAATAGAGAGACGTAAGGGGACTATGAGAACGTTCAATGAGTTGGCGGATAGAAGTAAAGTTCGCGGCCAAGTCCCGCCAGGTGGATTCGGAGCCGACCAAGCCAGTTACCGAGAGATCCGACAGGGAGGGTAGGGTGAGGGAGTCAAGCACAAAGGGGATCACAGGTGGGAAACCGAAGCCTCGCCGGTATACAGATGTAAGTTTGAGTGAATGTAGCTGGCTGAGAGTCATGTCCTCCGCAACCCCCAAAGCTTGGAGGTCAAGAGATAAATCACAGACAGACACACGAGGCATCCTTTTTAAGACATTCAGAGCACGATTGGCGGGTGGCCCGCGTCCTGCCTGGGTATGCACGTTTGTAAAATGAGTGATCTGGTGCCAAGGGAGGGATAGCTTATCGATGTTACTGACGTCCGTGGCACGGAAGACCCGCAAATGCGGAAGTGAACCAAAATGGAGATGCTGGGCAATCTCTGAAGTTTCGGACGATGAGAGAAGAACAAGTTCTTGTAGATTGGGGAAAGATAGATGGAGTTGTTGCATAGAGACAAAGTATCTGCTAGGGAGGCAAAGATGGAGGGCTTGTACTCTATGGCTGACAGAGAAGAGGGCCATTGAGATAGCGACAGGAAAGGCACCAAGCCTGGTGACCGAGGTGTTCTCGCTGTGACATATCGAGATGGATAAGCCTGGGCACTGTCGAGAGCGAGACAGCTGGTTTCCAATGTAGCGGGTGTAAGTACTGAAAAGCATTCGGTCGATGAGGATATTGACATGAGACCACAAGTTGGGGAATGTGTCAAGGACGTCCTTCCAGTTACGACACACCAGTTCAAACGATAAGAGTGGATGTTTACTGGCAGAAAATGCCGACCAATCGCCATAGGACAACAGGTTCCCCGTGGGCTCTACCCGCGGAAAAGGAAAGACAACGGCGTGAAGGAAGATGTGAGCAAGGACTTCTTTGGGCATGCGACGCAAAGCGCTGAGAAGAAGGCATCGTTCTCGAACGCTATTAGAGAGGCGTTGCCGCTCTTTATCCAGCGCAGCCAGCTCTTTGTCGACGCGTGCGATCGACTGTACGAGATCTTGTCTCAGCGCCTTCAACCCCAGCACCTGTGAATCAAGGGCATCGATACGTTTTCCAGAATCTGATACCATCCTCTGAAGAGTTTCCTCTTCAGTCGAGTTGGGTTCATCGTTGGAGCGTGTGAGTTTCCCAAGATCTGGATGATCAGCGATGGGACTGTCTGCATCGGTAACGGAGAATTTGTAGGATGGGATGGCGTGGTTCACGCAGATGCATCCTTTACAAGGGTGCCAGTCGGACGGAGAGATGGTTGGTAATGCCATCAGCTGGGATCAGCTAGCTAGTAAGTATCTGTAGATGATACGAGACGTGGAACGTACTTTGAGGACGTATCAATTGGACGTACAAGTCAAACATGCGTCCGAAACGTGTTCAACAGTAGGTCCTCCGCCAAGTCACCGCCGACCGGCCCGATATCAAGATATCCCAGACTATAGAATACAATAGAATAAACACAGTGGCGTGCGAGAGATCTGGGCATCTCGAAGGTTAGATCAGTCACGTTTCTTCGCAAATAAAAATTTAAAGAAAGAAAGTGATGCAAGGACTTGAAAGCAAAATGGTTACAGAGCGTGTCATAGTTGTGAAACGATGCAGAGGTTGTACAGAGGTTATTCGAAAGTAACCGAGACTCATGTAGATAAGTCATTCAATGGCTGTAGATGACGCTGTTACTCGCTGGCTTGACAGGTTTTTTTTTCGACCTCCGTCCTGGGGCCTGAGTGTAAGTAAAGTGCAATGTTCTCAGTGATAACTTGGACTTCACAAGGTAGCCGGCCCGGGCGGCAATGATGTCGCTTCCAGGCGTCGGCGCCGATGGGGTATGCGTTTAGTGCGACGCAGGATCAGACGCAAGATGATATTTGGAGGAATTTCGTGCGGGAGTTTGGGTTGGAGCATATATGACTCTCTGCTTGATGAAACATATAGCTAGCTAATATCTTGGCAGTATTTCATGAGGTGTATGTATGTAAAACTTATTATCCTGTATCAACGAACGTTCAAGGCGCAGCAAGAAGACTTGATCAATCGACAATCCATATTGGAAGGAGTTTCTGCATGACGGAAGGTTCATTCGATCGTTTTCCCGTTATCCCTTTTCACCTCCATAGTCAATTAGATTTATTTTTCTCTCTGGTTCCATTTCAAAAATTTTCATAGTCACATCCATCCTACCCGCATAAGAGCACAGTGTAAGTATTTACAGACAATATACTACGCCTGGGATATCTTGTCGTAGAGTGCCTTCGGTATGAGGCTTTCGGTCAAAGCGCTAGACGCTACAATCATATTATTTGGGCACTCATGACTATATCCAATCCCTCTGAACGTAGCACATCGAGCCTTCTAAGCTCCTCCCCGTTTGTACTCACGTCCCACAAATTCAAAAATCGGCAAAAATTCACCGACTTGAGGTGGCGCGGACGACACATCCATCGGAATTCGACCATCTGTACATAGAGTTTCACCTGAAAGGAGAAGTAGCCACTAAGATGCAGCGTGTGCAAGTGAGGGACGAGCGCCGGGACCTGAGAGTCTGACTCTGTGTCGACTCTACGAGCGAGATCATTCAGGACTTCGTCTGTTATCACTCCATTCAAATTCATTAGTCGTATATCCTGGAGGGTGGGTGTGCTCGAAAGAATGTGAATAAGATCATCCTCTTTGATCTCTCCGTTGTCGAAATAGAGAGATGTAAGGGGACTATGAGAACGTAAGATGAGGTAGCGGATAGAAGTAAATGTGTAGCTCTGGTCCCGCAAGGTGGAGCCGACGAAGCAAGTTACCGAGAGGTCCAACAGGGCAGGAAGTATGAAAGAATCGAGCACAAAGGAGATCACAGGCGGCAACCCGAATTGTCGGTACACAGATGTAAGTTTGAGTGAATGTAGCTGGCTGAGAGTCATGCCCTCTGCAACCTCCAAAGCTTGGAGCCTGAGGTCAAGGGATAAATCACAGACGGACACACGAGGCATCCTTTTTAAGACATTCAGAGCACGAACGGCGGATGGCCCGTGTCCTGCCCGTATGTGCACATTTGTAAAATGAGTGATTTGGTGCCAAGGGAGGGATAGTCTATCAATGTTACTGACGTCCGTGGCACGGAAGACCCGCAAATGCGGAAGTGAACCGAAATGGAGATGCTGAGCAACCTCTGAAGTTTCGGACGATGAGAGAAGAACAAGTTCTTGTAGATTGGGGAAAGATAAATGGAGTTGCTGCATAGAGACAAGGTATCTGCCAGGGAGGCAAAGATGGAGGGCTTGTACTCTATGGCTGACAGAGGAGAGGGCCATTGAGATAGCGACAGGAAAGGTATCCAGCCTGGTGACCGAGGTGTTCTCACTGTGGCATATCGAGATGGATAATGGGCATTGTCGAGAGCGAGACAACTGGTTTCCAATGTAGCGGGTGTAAGTATTGGAAGCTATTCGATCAATAAGGATATTGACATAAGACCACAAGTTGGGGAATGTGTCAAGGACGTCCTTCCAGTTACGACACACCAGTTCAAACGATAAGAGTGGATGTCTTCTGGAAGAAAACGTTGACCAGTCGCTAACGTAATACTCGGGCTCCACCCGTGGAAAAGGAAACACAAGGATGTGAAGGAAAATGTGAGCAAGGACTTCTTTGGGCATACGACGCAAAGCGCTGAGAAGAAGGCGTCGTTCTGGAACGCTATCAGAGAGGCGTCGCCACTCTTTATCCAGCGCAGCCAGATTTTCGTCGACGCGTGCGATTGACTGCACGAGATCCTCTCTCAACGCCTTCAACTCCAGTATCTGGGAATCAAAGGCATCGATACGTTTTCTAGAATCTGATACCATCCTCCGAAGAGTTTTCTCTTCAGACGGGTTGGGTGCATCGTTGGAGTGTACGAGTTTCCCAAGATCTGGATGATCAACAAGGGGACAATCTGCGTCCGTGACAGAAAATTGGTAGGATGGGATGGCGTGGTTCATGCAGATGCATCCTTTACAAGGGTGCCAGTCGGAGGGGAATGCAGTGGGTAATGCCATGAGCTGTGGTGAGCTAGGTAAGTCTTTGTAGATGAGACGAGATGTAGAACTTGCCAGTTGGTTGAGTCGGGATGGTGGTCGTCGTCCAAGTCGAACATGCGTCTGGAACGTGTTCGTATTTCCATCGCTCTAAATAAATTTTTGGTCATGGCATACTTGGTCAAGGTTAAGGTCAAGCTCGCTCCCGGCGGCAATGATGTCACTTGATCACGGTCACAGTGTGACAATGTCTCTATCTTCGACGTCGACGATCAAACAACAAATCAGCTCCCAACTGGGTCCCAAAGCACCCGCCTACTTTGAACCCCTCGCCTCTTTCGTAATAGGTAAAATATCTCGCACTGAATTCGAAGACTCCCTCAAGGCCGTCCTCGATGCTCCCAACCTCAGTGAGCAACGACCTCGTCGACCTACAAAGGCTGTATCTAACAATTGCCTAGTTCAACTACACAATGCGCTTATAATATCCCTCTTTGATGCACGTAGCTTCAAGCGACCTCTAACACCTCCACCGGACCTGCCCAAACCGCCACCACGGAAGAGGAGGAGAACACTACCAGTACCAAGGTCCAGGCGACGATGGAAGTATACGCTCGGAGCGGCTCAAACGATGGACGGTCTCTGTCGGGAAACACGAACGCGACCGGATAGCTGGTCTCGACTCTTTGCCACCCCCAACAGGACCTCGACTCGATACGGATGAAGTCGCACTCGAGAGAGGCGTCGTGTTACTGCCAGAACGCGGTGGTGAGAATTTGTCTTGGTCTGGTTATATTCACTTGGTTCACGTCGAACAGAACCACCTGGAAGCAGGCTGGCAGTCCAGCTCGCAACGATAACTCGCTCGCCCAACGTCCAGCATATAGCAGACCGGATAAATCTCATCTGCGCACAGAACAACCTTGGCTCGCCCGTCTCGTTCTGTGTCATCACTCATGCATCTCGCCTGTGAAGTAGGCTTAATACCTCTTCTTCTATCTAATCTAATCTTTGTCAGGTCAAGCTAAAGCAACTCATCACCCACGCCCTCACTCTCACAGATAAATCTCTTGCTATCTCGTCAATATCCACCGCCTCTGCTACATCCTCTTCCAGTCCACCGCACCCAAAAGCAAAAAGTGCTCTCGACATCGGCGTTCGACACCCTCTTCGCTATGGCCCCAGCCGTGCTGCCAAACGGAAGTGCCGCCGCGATGCATCTCGCTGTCGGCGACAGAGAAGAGGACGAGGAGGATATTGCATTGTTGAAAAAGCCCGATGTTAAGGATCCTAGATGGCAGCTTGTAGCGCTATTAGGAGAGAGGAGCACAGTGAAAGAGATGTTGAGGAATGGAAGATGACCGGATTTAATTGCATATTGATATCTTATTTTTCTCTACCCTCGCAATTATAATAAATAATATCGGTACGTCGGAGATACAAGCTGTTGTAGATACAAATCCTATACAAGGCAGAGCGCCCTCACACTCATCAGTCTATGACACCAAGATGGTCCTCTTTGATCGTGCCAATGGCAAACTGGAGGAGATTAGAATACCACAAGTGAAAACTTGAGAAAACGCACGATTTCGGTGGCATCAACACGAGTACCGACAATTTTCAGCCGCACGCGGGTGTTTTTTTCGATAATCTGCTGGTGTTACAAACACTAACACGGGTCATAGCACAGGACAGCATACCTGATCCTCAGAGGCAAACGAAGGAGGATTCGAATTAGGGTCAAATCGCAAGCCGGGGTGTATAAGCTGCCAACAAAGTCAAGAGACGCCCGTCCAAGAAAAAAGATCGCAGTGTACCCACCTGGTGCGACACAAACACTGTCAATGGTCCACATTCAGCGAAAAATCCCATCTGGAGAGTCGTTGAGTTTAGCGTATACGCAGAAAAGGGAGGACACGCACCTTGTTCACATTCGTGACGACCCCATCGACGACCTCCCCCTTGAACGGCTTGAACACAATAGCCCGGTACCGCGTAATAAACTCCGCCTGCCCACTCCCACTCAGCACCATACCCTTCCCAATATCCAATATAGAAACCACAGCAATAATATACCCAAAAGACCCCAAACACGTCCCTTCAACGTCCGCGTATAATTTCGACTCGAGAAAATTGAGCATCCTCGGTCCAAAGTAGGATGGGTGCAGCAGGATCGTGTGTGTTAGCTCTTTCTTTGGGTTTGGATTTTCATTTCTGTGTGGGGAATAGGTAGGTAGGGAGAACTCACGATGAAGAACATGGTGGTTCGTGGGTAAGAGATGAAATTGAAATTATCAAGTGCCGGCCCGGAAGATATACAGCTACTACTCTATGTCGTATCCATCGTAATCAAGCTCTCCTCCCCATCGAGGACCGTCCGTGGCTCCCTCTCTGCCCTCTCCATTGCTTCTAGCAACCCATCTACATCCGGGGCGACCACAAATCTCTTATTCACCTCTCCCAGTACATTTAGCTTCTTTTCTTTCATGTCGAGTGAGACGGCGTGTTGAAGGAACGACGGCTGTGTCGCAGCCATAACCTATAGAAGATATCAGTGAGTGTCGAACGCAAAAGAGAAAGAAGAAACACATACATCAAGTAAAATCCCATTGGCAAGCCTCATCTTGACAGCACCGCTCCGATAAATTTCCAAACGACCAATCGTCCCGTCTACGACTGGTTTCTCCGTTCTCTTCAGCAGCGGGGGCTGGAACCTCTGCTTTGACCGGTAGGAGCAAAGGATACACGCTTTTTGTCTGCAGGCTGTGACGATGGCGGTGGAGCCTCTCCTTTAGGCGTAAACGTAGGGAAGGGATCGGGGAACTGGAAAAAGTAGAGCCTGTCTTGGCGCAGAGAATCGTCCGGATCCTCTGGAGCCCGCTGAGCAAAGTCCTCGATGATATCTTCGAGCTCTTCCTCTTCCTCGCTTTCGCTTAGGTTGAGAGCATTGGATGTATCGACTTCTGTGTACATACAAATGAATATAAATCAGGCAGAGAGAGAAAAAGAGAAACTGACCCTCTGTTTGCTGTTCCTCCTTCTTTGGTTTCTTTACGCCTCCCTTGACCTTCTTCAAGCTCTCCGGAGCCATCCAGTCCATGTTCTTAACATTTTCCATATCGACAATCTCGACGCCTTCGTCGGGGTCCGAGTAGTTCTCCTCGTCATCCTGTGGGACCTTGTCCTTGTCCTTGCCTTCGCTCTTGATTCTAGGCGCAGGGGTGCTAGACAGTGAGCTCGTACTTGGTCGTGTCGATGGGACAGCGATAGCCACCGGGCGGCGCCGCGTCGCGGTATTACCAGCCATAGTAGGACCCAGCGCGAACGGACCACTAGCAGTCATCTCGAGCTGCTGCCTCGGAGCGCCCCGTCCTCTACCTGCATCTCCTCCTCCTCTACCTCTACCCTCGTCCACGCGCAGGCGGTACAGCCTCTGCTGTCGGTTCCGGCTTGACCTCCCTACCAACAACGATAATGAGAAGCATATCCCGAGGTCACAACGCGCATACTCTTTTTTCCGCCTCGCCGGTAGAGTAGGCACGAATTTCAGCTTTTGTGTGCCCTGCCTGGTCACATCAGAGGGTCTTTTCGCGAGACTGGATATCGCCTTCGAGGGCCTGGACGGGCCAGCATTGTTGTCTGTAGAAAAGAGATGGGTTGAGGAAATGGTAGATGGAAGGAGAGAGCGTACCAGACATGACTCTGTGGCTGTGCGATGGCAATCAATCTTACCGTGTATCCACCGCGAAAATGAACCAAGTCAAGCATTGGCGGGTTACATACAACAATATTCACAATCTGATTCGCAAGAATACTCCAAAGGTTGCAGAAGAATTTAATCCAGACTTGCTTGTGGCGATTGGCACGTCCTTTACATATTTCTTTGGTTCACTCCCGCTAATCAGTATTGTAATAGGCGGTGGGTGGGTGTGAATTGGTTGTATATACATGTCAGCGTCTGATTTATTGCAGAGGCTTTTTCCCAGCGCGTGTTATGGTGAGTTTCTATGTTTTCTACAGCCATCCTTGATCATCGATTTCCGGCAGCGCACCTTCCTTCGCGAACAAACCGACAAAAAGGCACTGCAGATCCAGGCAATTGGCCTATCGCTGTACGAGCCCGTAGAAGGTGGTACGGCTGAACAGATCGGACAAGAGGTCATACGAACACAATGGCTTGGCCCCGACGCAGGCAAGCTCCTCGTCGGCAAGCGCACCCTCATCGTCGATGAGGTCGACGACACCCGTAAAACACTGCAGTACGCTCTGACTTGCCATCACCCTTCACCATAATTCAGACCATCTCCCAGCTACGCCCTATCCGAACTGCAAAAAGACGTGGACAAGGAACTCGCATCGTATCCCGAGTCAGAACGCGACGCTCTTCGAGCAGCGACCCAATTTGGCGTCTTTGTCGTGCACAACAAGCTCAAGCCCAAGCTCGCAGAGTTGCCTGCCAGTCTTCCGTATTATGCCGGTGAAGAAGTAGGCGATGTTTGGCTTGATTACCCTTGGGAAATGATGTGAGCCTCGTCCCTGCCCATGCGACCTTTTTTTTTATTCTCACCGCCTCACAGAGATATCGAAGAGCACGACCGGCTAGCCGGTACACAGATTTAATGTAAATTGTAGACAAGATAAACTTTTTTTCTGAATAAAATAGACTTTATGTGGGAAATTGAGATCTTACCTGAGGCAGCTTGTCACTTGGACGCGTACACCATCATCACCCACGATTAGATGGCAGAGGAGGTCGACTATGAGTCGCTCCCACCAAATGCTGGTCTCGCTGTACGTTCCCTTTTTCTTTTTTTTTCTTCGGTGAAACAGTTCCAATGTTTCTAGGTCAATATGCTCGCAGGCGCCCTAGTACGTTGCTCCTCATAGCCCAGCTTCCCAGCTCTCACCATCTTCCAGGCCGGAATATCCGAACATGCAGTCATGTACCCCATCGACAGCATCAAAGTGAGTAGCCCCCAACTCACCTGCCGTCTTGCTCACCATTGCAGACGCGAATGCAAGTTTTCGCGACCTCCCCCGTGGCAGTTTACACTGGAATCGGCAACGCCTTTACGCGGATATCCTCAACAGAAGGCATACGGGCACTATGGCGGGGCGTATGGTCCGTCGTGCTGGGTGCTGGACCGGCGCATGCGGTGCATTTCGGGACCCTCGAGGCGGTCAAGGAGCTCATGGGCGGGAACCAAGTCGGGAATCAGTGGCTGGCGACCTGTACGTACCTTGCCTCGCCGTGCTCGTTGGCTAACAGATGGTCGCAATCGCAGCCGTGGCAGGCGCCTCCGCCACGACCGCCGCCGACGCTCTCATGAATCCCTTTGACGGTGGGCACCCTCTCTGACTGCCATGACACATCCGTAACAGTTTACAGTGATCAAACAGCGTATGCAGGTCCACAAGTCCGAGTTCCGTTCCGTCTTTACCTGTGCCCGGGTCGTCTACCGCAATGAAGGCATCGCTGCCTTTTACGTTTCCTACCCTACTACCCTCGCTATATCTATCCCTTTCAACGCTATCCAGTTCACCGTATACGAACAAGTCAAGCGTATCCTCAACCCCCGTCATGAGTACTCCCCCACGACTCACATAACAGCTGGCGCAATCGCTGGTGCTGTCGCAGCTGCAGTCACCACCCCGCTCGATGTCGCCAAGACCATTTTGCAGACCCGAGGCACCTCTCACGACGCAGAGATCCGTGGTGTCAAGGGCATGGCGGATGCACTCAGGGTTATATGGACTAGAGACGGGATCAAGGGCTTCGGCAGGGGCCTTACACCAAGAGTATTGACAACTGTGCCAAGTACAGCACTCTGCTGGCTATCATACGAGTTTTTCAGTAAGTCTTTGAGTATCTCTTTCTATCTTTTTCTCATATCCTCTCGCAGAGGCCGCCATACGGTCAGATACATCTGGCTGCAACTAAAATATATCTATGCTCTCATTTACCCCCCCATTGTAGCCACTTTTTGAACTTATCGTACTTGACTTGAATGTAATATTATTCCCAGAGCGACCTGCTATTCGGTTACCACGACCTTGGCTGCCGGCTAAACTCCCGACGAGAACAGTCCAACTGAATGGTAAGATTTCTCACTTGGGCCGAAACCGGGAAGGCTCGCTAATACATCGAACAAGGACTTCCGGTAGAGCATTGCCATTTCTTTCCCGTTGACCTGCGCTTTTGTGTTCCCAGAGGTTTACTTCAGCCAGCCTGAGAACGGCGCAACCCCGCGGTACATCCTGCCATTAAGGTTGTAGCTCAGACCCACTTCCTTGGTATTTATGAAGCACATCGCGTGAACTTCGGAGTTGTGGACCAGCAGAACGTTAGGACCTTGTTTCGTCAAACACGAATGCGGGTGGCGGCGTTATACTTAGTAGCACCATACGGATACAGTATTCTCTAGGCAGGAGTCATACGTCGGTAAAGAATACGTCCAGGAGGGATCGTTAACGCTAAACAGAGAAGTCCCGAACCACAAGACAGTTGCGCGCCGGTAAACCTTGTACGGTTGAATCTTTCTTCAAAAAAAAAAAGGTTCTAATATGAATAATTTCGGCTGAAATCTCCTACACACAAACGTCAGACATACTCTAATAACAAGGCTAGAAATTCACTTGGAGAGCCTTTGGCGTCAGGCGGGTCGACAAACTCCTGATAATGGGTCCACCAGTGGGAGAGCTGCCGGTTTCGTGACTGTCCTGTATATGAACTTGCAAGTTGTACATACAAGGTACTTTCATGAGAGCTGCCAGGTCAATTTTTTTTTGGTTAATACGTCGTACCCAATATCGATACCCCGAGTCATTCGCATGCCCGATCGTGGTCACATGGGAATCGAACTAGAAAGCGTAATGTTAGTTCAGTTGCGTACTATCTGAAATGCATTTTTTAAAATATGTGCTGCAATACGATGGTGTACAGTCCGATTTACTGTTCGCATCATGGTGGCTGGAGGGAAGCCTATCGGAGAACTCGGACCGGTGTCCCGGGTTACTGAAACAGGTTCGTGACAGTTGTCGCAGGTTGAACTTGTACGACCATCACCATTTTAACTACCAGCTCATGGCATTACCCACCACCTTTCCCTCCAACTGGAATCCTTATAAAAGCTGCCCCTGTGTAAACCGCGCCATCCCATCCTACAAAATTTCTGTCACAGACGCAGATGGTCCTATCGCTGATCATCCCGATCTCGGGAAACTTGCACGCTCCAATGATACACCCAATCTGTCTGAAGAGAAGACCCTTTGGAGGATGGTATCAGATTCTGGAAAACGTATTGACGCCCTCGATGCTCAGGTGCTGAAGTTGAAGGTGCTGAAACAGGCTTTTGTCGCACGCATCGACGAAGAGCTGGCTGCGTTCGATAAAGAACGACAACGCCTCTCTGATAGCATACGAGAACGGCAGCCTCTTCTCGGTGCATTGCGTCGCATGCCAAAAGAAATCCTGGCTCACATTTTCTTTTACACCCTCGTCTTTCCTTCTCCACGGGTAACGCCCTCGGCGGATCTGTCAGTATACGGCTATTGGTCCGCGTTTTCTGCCAGTAAACACCCCCTTCTATCATTTGAACTGGTGTGTCGTAACTGGAAAGACGTTCTTGACATATTCCCTAACCTGTGGTCTTATGTTAATATCCTCATCGACCGAATGCATTCCAGTGCGTACATCCGCTACATTGAAAACCAGTTGGCTCGCTCTCGACAGTGCCCATTATCAATCTCGATACGCCACAGTGCGAGCAAGTCAGTCGTCAGGATGCGAACCTTTCCTGCTGCTATCTTAATAGGCCCTTTCCACAGTCAGCCATAGGGTAAAAACCCTCCATATTGGCCTCCCTGGCAGATATTTCGCCGATATGAGGCAACTTCATTTATCCTTCCCCGAATCTACAAGAACTTGTTCTCAGTTCGTCATCCGATACTTCGGAGGCTGCTCAGCACCTCGATTTCGGTCCATTGCCGCATTTGCGGGTCTTCAATGCTACGGATATCAGTGATGTCTACAAACTATCCCTCCCTTGGCACCAGATCACTCATTTCACAAACGTGCACTTGCGAGTAGGACGCGGATCACCCGCTCATCGTGCTCTGGAGATCTTAAAAATGATGTCCCGTCTATCTGTTTGTCGTTTCTCCCTTGACCTGCAATTTTTGACAACTGAGGTTATGGGAACGACGTATCTCTTAAAGCTACGCTCACTCACACTTTCATCTGTTTACCAACAAGGCTTCGGTTTCCCTGCCTGTGATCCCCTTTGTGCTCGACTCCCTCATCCTACCTGCCTTGTCGAATCTCTGGGTAAATTGCTTGTCCGGCTTCGCCTCGCGTGACCAGGACACGACGTTCACTTCTATCCGCCGACTCATCGAACGTTCTCATAGTCCACTTACATTTCTCTATTTCAACAACGGAGAGATTACAGAGGATGACCTCATTCGTATTTTTTCGAGCACGCCCACCCTCCAGGATTTACGACTAACGAATATGAGCGGAGGGATCACAGATCAAGTTCTTAATGATCTCGCTCGTATCGGCGTAGACTCTACGGTCCCGGTACTCGTCCCTCACCTACACACGCTGCACCTCAGTGGTTATCTTGCCTTTCAGATGGAAGTCTATGTACAGATGGTTGAATCTCGGTGGACATGTCATCCGCGCCACCTCGAGTCGGTGCATATTTGCCGATTTGTGAATCGGCAGAGCGAAAGGAAGGAGGAAGCCAAAATACTGGTTCTTTCTAGGCTTGACGTACTACGGTCAGAGGGATTAGATGTGGTCATGAGTACGCAAAGGGTATGATTGTAGTGCCAGACCTTGTAAGCGAAAGCCTCAGACTGAGGGTGGGACATCCCAGATATTCTTACATTGTACTTTACACTGATAGGACAGTGGATGTAGCTACGAGAATTCTACGAAATGATACCAGAGAGAAACGTATATGCTAGCTCAGTTGCACGCCATCTGAAATGCCTTTCGCTGTATCGTGGTGTTGGAGGGAAGGCTATTGGAGGATTCGGACCGATGTCCGGGTCATTGAAGGATTGAGGCTCGTGACCTGAGTTGAACTTGAACTTGTACGACCATCACCATCTTGATCCAATTGACTAGCACGCCCTACGTCCGAAAGCTCCCAGCTTATGACATTACCAACCTCCTTCAATCCCTCCGACTGGCATCCTTGTAAAGGCTGCGCCTGTGTAAACCATGTCATTCCATCCTACGGATTTTCTGTCACAGACGCAGATGGCCCCATAGCTGATCATCCAGATCTCGGGAAACTCGCACGCTCCAACGATACACCCAACTCGTCTGAAGAGGTGACTCTTCAACAGATGATGTCCGATACAAGAACACGTATTGCCGCCCTTGATGCCCAGGTGCTCGAGTTGAAGGCGCTGAGACAGGCTTTCGTCGCACGCGTTGACGAAGAGCTCGCTGCGTTCGATAAAGAACGGCAACGCCTCTCTGACAGCATACAAGAGCGGCAGTCTCTTCTCGGTGCATTGCGTCGTATGCCAAAAGAAATCCTGGCTCACATTTTCTTTCACACCCTTATCTTTCCTTTTCCACGGGTAGCTTCCTCGTCCGAACTATCGGTATATGGCTATTGGCTCGCATTTTATGCCAGTAAACATCCACTTTTATCATTTGAACTGGTGTGTCGCAACTGGAAGGACGTTCTTGACACATTCCCTAACCTGTGGTCTTATGTCAATATTCTCATCGACCGAATGACTTCCAATACGTACATCCGCTACATTGGATACCAGCTGTCTCGCTCTCGACAGTGCCCATTATCTCTCTCGATATGCCACAGTGCGAGCAAGTCAGTCGTCAGGATGGGAGCCTTTCCTGCTGCTATCTTAATGGCCCTTTTCACAGCCAACCATAGGGTAAAAACCCTCCATATTGGCCTCCCTGGCAGATATTTCGCCGATATGAAGCAACTTCATTTATCCTTCCCGAATCTACAAGAACTTGTTCTCAGTTCGTCATCCGATACTTCGGAGGTTGCTCAGCACCTCGATTTCGGTCCACTGCCGCATTTGCGGGTCTTCACTGCTACAGACATCAGTAATGTTTACAAACTGTCCCTCCCTTGGCACCAAATTACTCATTTCACAAACGCACACTCGCGAGTAGGACACAGACCACCCGCTCATCGTGCTCTGGAGATCTTAAAACTGATGTCCCAGCTATCCGTCTGTCGTTTCTCCCTTGACCTGCAGTCTTTGACAACTGAAGTTGTGGAGGAAGCGACTCTTGGGGAACTACATTCATTCACACTTACATCTACATACCAACAAGGCTTCGGTTTCCCACCTGTGATTCCCTTTGTGCTCAACTCCCTCATCCTACCTGCGTTGTTGCATCTCTCGATATATTGCTTATCCGGCTTCGCTTCGCGGGACCAGGACATGACCTTTACTTCTATCTGCCAGCTCATCGAACGTTCTCATAGTCCCCTTACATCTCTCTATTTCAACAATGGAGAGATCATAGAGGATGATCTTATTCGTATTCTTTCCAACACGCCCACCCTCCAGGATTTACGGCTAATGAAAGTGGGCGGAGGGATCACAGATCAAGTCCTTAATAATCTCGCTCGTAGAGCCGACACAGAGTCTGACTCTCAGGTCCCGGCGCTCGTCCCTCACTTGCACACGCTGCATCTCAGTGGCCACCTCTCCTTTCAAGTAGAAGTCTATGTACAGACGGTCGAATTTCGGTGGACGTGTCATCCGCGCCACCTCCGGGCGGTGGAGATTTGCCGATATGTGGATCGGCAGAGTGAAAGGGAGGAAGAAGCCAAAATACTGGCTCTTTCCAGGCTTGATGTGCTATGGGACGAGGGATTGGATGTAGCCATGAGTACGCAAAGAGTGTGATTGTGTCGCCTAGATCTGTAAGTGAAAGCCTCGGACTGAGGGTGGTATATGGAAGGACATCCCAGATATATTGTCTGTAAATACTTGTATCATGCTTTTATACTGATATAGTGGACGTAGCCACGAGAATTTTATGAAATGATACCAGATTAAAATATATATCTATTTGTTGAATACGGAGGACAAATGGAATAATCGAAAACAAGAGGACACTACGAGAATTCAAGCTCTCCTTCCCTCTCGTCTCAAGTTCCTCCTCTCATAGATTCGGTATGGGGTGTTACGGTATTTTAGGTCGAAAAGCTTAGTAGCCGCTGGGGTTCAGTGGGTCGGGCCGGCGAGCATCCCCAACGCATGTTCGACTTGTACGTCCATCACCTTCTTGATCTAATTGACTGGCAAGTTCTACGTCGCATCTCATCGACATAAATTTGCTGACTTCTCGTAGACAATGGAATTTATCACCTCTTTCCCCAACTGGCACCCTTGTAAAGGCTGCGCCTGTGCAAACCACGCCATCCCTTCCTACAGATTTCCCGTCACAGATGCAGATAGTCCCATCGCTGATCATCCAGATCTTGGGAAACTTACACGCTCCAACGAAATACCCAACCCGTCTGAAGAGAAGACTCTTCAGGAGATGATATCTGATTCTGGAAAACGCATCGATGAGGTGGATACCCAGGTGCTGGAGTTGAAGGCGCTTAGACAGGCTTTCGCACAATCGATCGCGCGCATCGACGAAGAGCTGGTTTCGCTGGATAAAGAACGGCAACGTCTCTCTATCAGCATACGAGAGCGGCAGCGTCTTCTTGGCGCCTTGCGTCGTATGCCTCAAGAAGTCCTCGCTCGCATCTTCCTTCACACCATTGTCTTTCCTTTCCCTCGGGTGCCGCCCTCAAGGAACTCGTTATTCTGTTTCGATTGGTCAGCGTTTTCTGTCAGCAAGAATCCTCTTTTATCACTTGAGCTAGTATCTCGCCGCTGGAAAAACATTCTTGATGCATTCCCTAACCTCTGGTCTTATGTTAATATCCTTCTCGACCGAATGCATTCGGGTAGTTACGTCCGGCACATAGGACACCAGCTCTCTCGCTCTTGCCAGTCCCCATTATCGATTTCAATATCACACGATCTGAGTGGCACACACAGCAAGATGGAAACCTTTCCTGTTGCTGTCCTAATGGCCCTCTTCCCATTCAGCCCTAGGGTACAAACCCTCCATCTTTCCCTCCCTGGCAGACATTTTGCCTCCATGCAGCAGCTTCATCTATTCTTCCCCTCCTTACAAAAAATTGTTCTTCTTTCATCGTCCAATACTTCCGAGGTTGCTCAGTACCTCGATTTCGGTCCACTGCCGCATTTGCGGGTCTTCGAGGCCACGGATGTTAGTAATATCGACGCGCTTTCCCTCCCTTGGCACCAAATCACTCATTTTACCAACGTGCACACGCAAGTAGGACACGGACTATCCGCTCATCGTGTTCTGGATGTCTTAAAAATGATGTCCCGACTATCCATCTGTCGTCTCTCCCTTGACCTGGAATCTTTGACAACTGAGGTTGTGGAGGAGACGACTCTCGGCCAGCTACAGTCACTCACAATTGATTCTGTGTACTGCGAAGGCTTCGGTTTCCCATCTGTGATCCCCTTTGTGCTCAACTCCCTCACACTTCCTGCCCTGTTGGACCTCTCAGTAACTTGCTTCGTCGGCTCCACCTTGCGGGACCAGAGCGCAACATTTACTTCTATCCGCCAACTCATTGAACGCTCCCATAGTCCACTTACATCTCTCTATTTCAGCAATGGAGAAATCATAAAGGATGATTTCATTCATATTCTTTCGAACACACCCACCCTTCAGGACCTGAGACTAATGAACATGGGCGGAGGGATCACAGACGAAGTTCTTAATGATCTCGCTCGTAGAGTCGACGCCGAGTCTGACTCTATGGTCCCGGTTCTCATCCCCCACCTGCACACGCTACACCTCAGTGGCTATCTTGCCTTTCAAATGGAAGTCTATGTGCAGATGGTTGAATCTCGGTGGACATGTCATCCGTGCCACCTCAAGTCGGTGAATATTTGCCGATTTGTGAATAGGCGGAACTTGAACCGTAGGGAGGAGGATGCAAAAATACTAGCTCTTTCCAGGCTTGATGCACTACGGCCAGAGGGATTGGAAGTGGCCATGAGTACGCAAAGGGTGTGCCTGTAGCAAAAATCTCGGAATATGAGACGATCTTAGGTATATTGTTTGTGAATATCTATATTGTGCTTTTATATTGGTAGGATGGATTTGGCTACGAGAATTTTATGAAATGGGATCAGAAAGAGATACACATCCAGCAGAACACGGAGGTGAAAAGGAATCGTGGAAAAAAGGGAATTGATGACGATGATGTCAGCATGCTTTTTTTTAACCCTCGAGGACTCTTTACGAAGCTAATATCCATACGCATTGTTGCAGCTGCTTTATATTGCCCACCTAACGAATTTACAACCAAGTACAGTACTGCACGATGGATTATTCATTATTGCGTTTATTCAGGTCCTGTTCTAACATAAGATATACTTGCCACGAACGTATACCCTAACAGCGGACTCTTCACGCAAAGTAAATCTGTTTTTCCAACTCGAGAACACATCTTGATCTAATCTTTCTGAATGCCTAGACCGTGCCTTTAGATCTCTTACGCGTCTTTTTGTCTTGGATATCTTCACCTCGGGCCGGTGACATTGGCGGAAGCAAAGATGCTGTCGAACACATGTTTGATTTGTACCCCCAATCGACACGTCGTCAAAGTAACTGCAAGTGCTGCATCTCGTCTCATGTACAAATACTGAGTTAGCTCATCACAGATCATGGCTTTACCCGCTGCTGTTCCCTCAGACTGGCACCCTTGTAAAGGCTGCGCCTGCGTAAACCACGCCATCCCATCCTACAGATTTCCCGTCACAGACGCAGATAGTCCCATCGCTGATCATCCAGATCTTGGGAAACTCACACGTTCCAATGATACACCCAGTCCGTCTGAAGAGAAGACTCTTCAGCAAATGATATCCGATTCTGAAAAGCGCATCGATAAGGCGCATATCCAGGCGTTGGAACTGCAGGAACTGAGGCAAGAGCTTTTACAGTCGATCACACGCGTCGACGAGGAGCTGGTGGCACTGAATATAGAGCAGCAACGTCTCTCTGACAGTATTCAAGAGCGAAAGCGCCTTCTTAGCGCTTTGCGTCTCATGCCCAAAGAAGTTCTCGCTCACATCTTCCTTCACGCCCTGGTCTTTCCCTTCCCACGGGTACAGCCATCCGGGCGTTCTGGTGATTGGTCGGTGTTTCCTCCTATTAGAAACCCCCTTTTATCAATCTCCTTGGTGTCTCATAAATGGAAGGATGTTCTTGCAGTTTTCCCCGAACTTTGGTCTTATGTCAACATTGTAGTCGACCGACTACCATCCAGTAGCTATGCACGGTCCATCGGCAAGCATATATCTCGCTCCGGTCAGTCCCCGTTATCAATCTCGATATCTCACGGGGGCAACACAGCTGGAGCTGTCGCCTTACCCGATGCCGTCTTAACAACGCTCTTTACGGCCTGTCATAGGATCAGATCCCTCCATATTCACCTCCCTGGAAGGTATTTCCCTTCCCTACAGCAACTCCCGCTATCCTTTCCCATTCTACAAGAACTTTACCTTCATTCTTCGTCGGATACTGCGGATGTTGGCCAAAATCTTGATTTTGATTCTCTACCGCATTTGCGGGTGCTAGAGGTCACGGACATCAGCGACATACATTCATCATCTCCTCCTTGGCATCAGATCACTCACTTTTCAAACACTCATGTACAGCCTGGACACAGCCCGCCTGTGCATCACACTCTGAATACTTTAACCATGATGCCTCAATTATCTGTCTGCCGTCTCTCCCTTGACTTGCAACCCTTGATACACGGCATCGCGGAGGAGACGACCCTAACTGAACTTACATCACTGTCGCTTTCTTCTGTATATCGGCAAGGTTTCGGTCTCCCTCCAGTCATACCCTTCCTACTCAACTACCTCACCTTACCTGCTCTTTCGGACCTCTCGATAACGTGTTTGGTTGGTGTTACCTCACGAGACCAAGACGTTACATTTAATTCTATCCGCCATCTCCTTGAACGCTGTAATAGTCCTCTAACGTCACTCTCCTTCAGTAACGGAGAAATTCAAAAGGATGATCTTGTATACATCCTCACCAGCACGCCTACGCTCCAAGACCTGCGATTAACAAACTTCGGTAAAGGGGCTTTGACTGAAGAAATACTCGATTATTTTAATCGTACCACACCCGCCACCACCACCACCGACGATGCTGATACCGAGTCCGAAATCTCAGCCTTCGTTCCATGTCTGCATACATTGCAGCTCATCGGCTATATTGAATTTTCAACGAATGCATTTATCGAGATGATCCAATCTCGTCGAACATGCAACTCGTGTCACCTCGAGTCAGTGAATATTTGCCGGTATGTTGATTGGCGGAGAGAAAAGGAAGAAGAGGCTCTAATTCTTAGGTATCAGCCCGACCTTGACGTATTGCGGTCGAGAGGGTTGGATATCACTGTAAGCTCACGAAGACCAATTTGAAAACAATACGTGTTGGATTTAACGGATTGCGTTGTGATGGGCGGATATTGGGATGTATCTTTACCTACGTCGATTATGATCTCATCTTGTCTATAGAAAATTTTACGAAAGAAGCATTAGGAAGATTCAGTTTTGAATAGTCTTTACGTGCAGATACTTTAATGGAACTTAAGTGCGTTAACTATTGAAACCGATAAGAATTTTGTTGAGATTCTGATGCACCTCTTCCCCGTCTGAACATTGAAATCTCCTGAAACGTGGTGGAGCTAAGAAACCAGTATCTCTAAATGAATTCTATGTTACGAACTTGAAGTCCCTCGGATTTGGCTGACTTCCGACAGGAATTCCCACCGTCGGGGAAGCTTCTTGCCATCTGTTCTCATGATTTCTCAACCTACCACAATGAAAATGGGGCACGATACATTTAAGTACTTGAACTTATTCGGAATAACGTTCACGATCCATGCAGGGTGGGACAAAGCACCTAAGCGATACCCCATGAAAGTCGCAGGGCTTTTGCCATTCTTTGAATGGCAGGAACCACATCCTCTTTCTATATATGCCGTCAGACACAGTCAGCTCGTCTCAAAATGACTAACTGAACCTTCAACTCACCGTAGTCATCGAAAATGCCAACCGGAAAAAGACCACATCAGGTTCTCTGCCTGAAGTCGCAATCGACTTCCTATCTTTTCCTTGCCACGGCCTTAAAAGTACAGCATCAGCATCAGCAAAGTCAAGAAAAGTGGAAAGCTAACGTATAGTAAGACCCCGGTGTAAGCAAAACCTATAGAAAATGTCAGTACTTCGACAACCAGTATTAAGAAGGTGACCATCCTTTTCCTCAAGCAGCTCTTTCCAAATCCTCGTCTCAAAAATGGCTTCCGAATCCTCCCCCTCTCTAATATTCTGCTTCGCTTCCAGATAATCTCTATGCTCTCCCAGATACATCTTGCACCACAAGAACATCCCTGCCCGTGCCGGGACGAAACTGAACAACTTTATTCCTTGAGAATAGGCGACGAGTCCTTCTCCGTCCGTCCCCTTCTCAACATCAAATGCATCGGCGATAGCGTCGCACATCCAGTCTCTACGAACCTCATACTGCTTGATCAAGCTCGACAGCCACCTGAGATATCCACTAATTCCAGGACCCCAAGACCGCAGGAGTTCTGCTATGATCGCCTGGCTCCATCCCGACGGCGCTTGAGTGGTCACCTCCGCTCCGCGTAGTAAACGTTCGGCGAAGAGGGGGTTGCAAGTGAACCACCCTAGACGGTTGCCAGGCGCTAGAGTTTTACTGAACGTGTCCAGACGAATAACTCGACCCTGCGTGTCAAAACTCAAGAACGTACGTTCGAGAGATCGTAGAAATGTCGGTTCGTCGTATTTAGGAGGAGTTGCGGATCGATTTCTGCCACGCCTGTATTCTTCAAACTGGAGGAAGTAGTACGGGTCGTCTTCCACGATGATGATGTCTAGTTGTTCAGCTATATGTGGTATTAATGATGATAGAGCCAAAACCACACACCGTATTTTACACAGATGGAATAGATATCTTGTTTACGACGAGCAGACATAGCGCAACCTGTGGGATTCTGGCCAGTAGGTACGGTGCTACGAATTATATCAGCTACCGTAAAAGACGCTAGCCATGCAGATACGTCAAAGCTCACTAAAGAACATGTGGTCGTTTTTCGCCGGGACGCTTGACGTCCCACTGTTGAAGGACATCTTCTAGTGCATCGGCGCGCATCCCCTCCTCGTCCATGTCAACTGCAGCGGTCATGATGAGTCAATACTTTACGAGGTGTACTTGTCACTAGCTTACTTGGGACTCCTTTGCATCCCATCGGTATCCACAATGCCTGCGCACTTGAGTATGTGTACTTCTCGATAATAATACAGTCACCAGACTCGCTGTATTCAGCACACACATTAGACAAAGAGTGGATCGACAAGAGTTGTTTCTTACCAGAGGAGACTCACGACTTTGTTCCATCCGTCCGTGTTACCCTCATTCAATAGTGTCTCGTAGTTTCCGTACCCAGGTTGGAACACTGTACGCATGAACTCGTGCGTGAACTGCAGTAGCCACGAGTTACCCATCACTTGGGCTAGTCATAGCATAAGACTTGTGTCAATGAGACCAACGGGGACGACGGAGGAATCACATACTATATTGTAGAATACCAGCCAGATCTACGACTTGACCTTGATTTTTATCGTCCCTGTGAACGGTCAAATGCACGAGCTCCCGGGTGTCGGAGTTGAGATCGACAGTGGGTGCATATACGTCGGCTTCAAGATTGACGAAGGGGAATAGAGATGGGTGGGGCAGACCTCCGGCCAAGCTGAGCATCCCATCGATAGTCATATAATTGATGATATCTGTTGCTTTTAGATAACAGAAACGTGGAGACAATGAAGGTATACGCACCCTTCAAAGGACTCGGACTACGAGAGAGTGAGAGCGTGTTCAAGTGATGTCGTAGATCAATGGCATCCATGGTAGGTATGGCACAAAAGTCCCTTCGCTCTAACGGTCTTTGTAGGTGGGATGAGGGATGAGTCAGAATTTATGTCGGAGTCATGACTCGGTGTGAAATTGTTTTATTAATGATACCAGTTTTTCTGGGGAACTTCCCTGTCTTCGACTTCGGATACTGAAAAAATAGTGTCGGAGTTCACCATCGTTGAACAAAAACTTGACTCACATGACATGGTCTTCCTGTCGAAGCTTGAGAGAAGGACGTAAATGAATAGAGAGAAATTTTTGAAAACCAACTGACGAAGAGCTCCGACCTTTTGAGCTACCGTGGCGCTACAACTCTTAGACACAAGTTCTAGCTATTACTGTATTTCAGGTCGATGAGCCGTAAAAAATAACCGGAGGCTTTTCGCCGATAGAAATTCCTCGTAGATTACGAGAATGAGTACCTTCGATAATCATTTACCCAAGTTTTGGTTCAGATGGGTCTTTGGAAGACGCCATCTCAAGGGACACACGGGCGACTTCACGGGCCTCCGACAGTTTTAGGAATCTATCCGGAATTGAGGTCGTAGACAGCTCACTTATGCACCTAGTTCCCTAGCCATGGAAGCATACTGAGTTGGGAGAGCCTGTTGGGGGTTGTAGGCTCGTACAGAACGGTGGTACATGCTGGAAGAGCATGTCCAAGGGAAAAGAAATTCATTGCACATCCATGACGCTTGTTAGAAGAAGTACAACCGCTTCCGAGATCGAAAGCATAGGCCGTCACAGGATAAATCTTTCTAAGCTGTTGATAAATTTACTGCCTGCCGCATTTCAATCAGTCCATGCCCGAGGGATAAGACAATACATACCTTGATGTATTATGAACCTGCCTCGGACACGCCAGTTATGTAGAATCAGTAATCACCGAGTCATAGTCATCATGACTCGGACAACTCGGACTCGCTCAAAAAATGATACGAAACGCCGAGCAAGTGCGTACGAATACGTCAATTGTTCATACAGTACACAGTGTTAGTTCTTTGCCCTGCTTCGCTCGCGGTGGATAGTAGTGGCCAACTGATGGTGGCCGACGAGTCGACGACTGACCGACTTTGTTTCTGTCATGCAGGGCCGGATTCTTCCTAGCTTCCGCTGGCAAGAGGAAGTCTATCAGATTAAACACCAGCCACAAAGCATGCTCAGTATCTGGTATGCTATACCATGACTTTAGAATCTGTCATGGCCTAGTCAAAACTTGGAGCCTGCCAATAGGTTGAGCTTCACGCCATGAAGACGATGGATAAGTGATGGATACGCACTTCTGTAAGGAATTTTCAACATATCTTTGATAAGAGCTTACTGGTTTGTGACGAAGATATGGCAGCAGCGATTACAGTACCGAAGAGAAGTGGCAGTTGGAGTTGAAGGCGGTCATGCCCAAATATGGTCGTAGCCCCTTTACTTGATCAAGATCATCGGGTTTGCCGGCGGTTACTCCTCTTCCCGCCGCCTTGTTGTCTGATGCACTTTACTGCGTTTCCAACTCAAGTCCCTATGTAGGCCAACAAATACGGAATTCCATGATATCAAGGATGCACCATGGATCCCGCGTAATCAGATGCAACATCATATTGTTCAACTGATAATAAGCACTTTGCTGTACCATCGACTACACTGCGGACAGATAAAACCTGGCTACCCTCTTTGGTTTTTGGAAGAACCCTTCAGAATATGTCTCCGCACAAAAGTGAGTGTCGCTAATGTTGCTAGCGACTTGAAGCTCATATCTAACTAGTAGGCGTAACCATTAGCCGCGATGTCAAACAGATCTACTTTTCATTCCCACATCTACTGACGTTCGGAGAGGACACTGTCAATCTCTGGAAGATCCACGTCAACTCTTCATCGTTGACGTATGTAGCCTCTTTATCCGAATGGATTGACTACCCTGTCGAAAGAGGCATCGTCATTGACGAATCTCGCAATCTTGTTGTCATTCCCCAATGTGACCGGCCTGTTGGTCTTTCGGTGTACAATCTCCATGACGGACGCCTCATCAAGAAGGTGGCCTTATTTGGCCGTATATCCGTTGCTCGTATTCAGTACGACAACGGGCGCGTCTTGGTCGCCGTCAATGACGAAGACGACACCTGGCTGTTGGTGTGCGATCTCACTGAGTCTGATCCCAATCGCCCAATGTTTCTCACCGAGATCACGGGCTCTTCACTCACGTCAGAGGGGGAAGAACGGCCTTCTGGTTTCGGCCCTGTATGGCTTTCCCATGCTGGCGAAGTTGTAGCTTGTGCGGGCGAGTCGTCCGGAATGTCTATGAGTCTCATGCTATGGCCACCAACCGACAAGCCCAACGATGCACTTCCACCGTCACGTTTCACCAAAATCCCTAGGACTATCTCCGTCGATGATGAAAAAGATGGGGCCATCAATATGCAAAGCGCCACGGCGATGGGCGATGACAGGTTCTTGATGTGCACTGTCGAGGCAGTGCTAGATGTCCTTGATGGTCCGGAGACTTACGGATGCGTCGTTCGCGTGCTCGCGAACCCGTCTTTAGAGACCTTCTGGGCGTCCAGTTTGATATCGGGGCACATCGATGTTCTTCGTCATGTCCCCAGTTTGAACGTGGTCGTTGTCATTGGATATATAAGCGAGCGGCAAAACCCTGCTAACGGCGACAGCCCAGACTACGCTCTCACTGTCACCGTATTGGACGCGAGCACTGGGGAGCAGCGACGGCACGAACGGGTCAATTTCCGCGAGCACGGGTCACCTGTCCGGGTCTGCGACGTTTCAACAAAAGCTGCAGGTGGCAAAGAAGTTGTTGTTGGCAGACCGGACCTCGTCGTCATCTTTTGCGATGGCGGTGTGATTGTCAGATCATTGGAGGCGTTTATCGCAGAAGGTTTTCCTCGTGTAGAGTCGAATTCTTCGCAGGTCGAGGTGTCCCGCCCGTTTGGGTACAACTTCGGTAAATCAACGCACGCCGCTGTTGGTGATCGACATGCCGTGGTAGTCGAGGACAATCAGAAAGTGTCGTTGGTTGCGTGGTGAAAGAATATCATGAACGGCATTCAAATTTCTCCGGTCTTGTGCAATGCATTTAAAATGTTCGAGTCAGGGCAATTCGGTGTGCAATACTTGAAAAGGTCCAGACTTTGGTGACGATGAATACTACTTAGCTGGGTATGTATACGATCTGCTGTATGTTCATACATGAATGCAAGAGTCATGACACGTACTCTTATGCGCGCTTTTCGCGCGTTTTCTGATTGAAATGAAATATAACAAATAGTCTTTCCACACATTCCAAGACCGAGTTCTGTAACCCTGGGGCGCTCATAACGGATGCGCAGACACTCGGCTGGACGTTCTGGAATTTACCGACTCGAAAACCTTTGAAAACTCGGCGTTGCAATTGTTATGCCGTACTGATTGAAATCGCGAAATGTATGGAAGAAGCTAAACGTGTGCCAGCTGTATGTACCTTGCAACCTGCTCACAATCAGTATTCAGGGATTTTTTGCAATTGGTACGGTACCGTAGGTGTAAGTTAAACGGTATTAAACTACCTTCCGTAGCAGGTACACCTGTCGGGAAGTTCTTCTTTCGCTTTTCAGTATTAAATCGCCTATATGACTATATACTCAAGCCCCGACCGCTTAGTGAAATAACAGACTGAACTGTGCCTATAACAGCATCGGTCTCCACATCGGTCGCAAGTCGGTTCAGCATTCGAATGCCATGGCAATGACGTACTTTTTCGCGTAAAGGAAGATAGAAGGGTTGTCACATCTGATCACGTCACACTCTAGGGTTTCCCTCATATCCGCCATGTCTGCTGAGGACCGGCCGCCTCCCCGTCCCTCCTTTGTTGCCAGAGAACGTCCCAGCCAAATGAGCATGGACAGCGGATCAGAGTCTGACGCTCCAGTCACCATGCATGGTCGTCGGTCACGCAATCGTCGCTCCTCTGACCGTCAGTTCGACTGGAATCCAGCCATTCTATACGCTGACCAGCCGTCGCCGTCGACGCCCAACTCAGCATTGCCGCTCAACAGACGGGCACCTCCTTCATCATTTATGTTTCCCTTTCAGCACCATGCAGGCAACCCAGACCCAGGCCTGCCGATACCTGGTATTTCACGGCGTAGCTCTCTCGATAGCTCCCAAAATCACTCTCAGCAAAATCATTCCCAGCAGCTGGTTTATGAAACGACGAGAGTCTCTCCAGGTCTCGATTCTCCAACGCTGAACAAGGGCATTCCACGAGTATCCTCGAATGCAACTTTTCGAGCACCCTTCCTTTCTCCCGCTTCTCGTCCTGGCTCGTCATTGTGGAGCCCTCCTTCATATCCGTACCTTAACCAAGGACCCGACTCTCCTGCAGCTTCTTCAACGGCACTGGCATCTGGTCTGGCAAAGTCAAAGCCTCCAGGTCCCAGTACCAAAATCGCGGCAAAGCTCACCGTCGACGATAAGCCGTGGCTCAAAGAAGGTGACCGCAGAGGACGTGCGAGCTGGTGGATTACGTTTGTTATCATAATGCTTGGTGTGGCTGGAGCAGGTCTACTTTGTTGGTCTGGCATAAATGGTATCGACATGCTCAAGGACAGCGATTTATGCATGGTCATGGATGAGGATTGGAGTAATGGTATCTCCGATGACAATTGGTCTAAGGACGTGATGCTTGGCGGTTTTGGGTGCGTTCTCTCGGACTTTTCTTGGCTCTCCATTAAACTTCTCGCAGAAATGGCGAATTTCAGGTCGCTACCGATTCTGACAAGAATGCCTACATTAATAATGGTCAACTTTACATCATGCCTACGCTTACGAGTGACGACATTGGCACAGACTCTATTTTCGATGGCTATACTTACGACGTGGATAACTGCAGTACCGACAACTCGACAGCCTGCTCTGTAACATCGGAAAATAGCACCAAAACTGTCGTAAATCCCGTTCTCAGCGCTCGGATCAATACCAAAGGAAAGAAGACCATCGCTTATGGCAAAGTTGAGGTTAAAGCGAAGCTGCCGAGGGGTGACTGGTTGTGGCCCGCAATATGGATGCTCCCAGAGGACAACACGTATGGTGCTTGGCCACTGAGCGGAGAAATCGACGTAAGTCTGCTGTTAGCGGACCAATTTAGTGGATTAATTAATTTGCCTTAGATTCTTGAGGCTCGCGGGAACCTTGCAGATTATGGAGGTCAAGGCGTCAACTATGTTCGCTCGTCCCTCAACTTTGGACCTATGGATAGCCTGTTGACCAAGATATACGGATGGTGGGAAACGAAGCGGGGTGGTTACCACGAAGGTCTGCGAGCTACTAATCTGCAATCTCCGTTCTACTGACACTTCTCACTGTCACATAGACTTCCACACATATACAATGGAGTGGGACAGTGACTTCATTCGAATGTCCGTTGATTCACGGCTTCAAGCCATGGTGGATATCACGATGAAGAAAGAGAAGCAGAGTTTCTGGAACAGGGGAGAGTAAGTAACGTCCCACCCTTCCAGTGATGCCCTCGCTTATCTCGGATCCAAGTTATCCTCAAACAGCCCAGAACGGCAGTGCAGAAGTCGTCGTTGAGAACCCTTGGGAAAATAGCGGGTGGTCTGCGCCTTTCGATCAACGTATGCAGCATGGTTCGTTTTTTTCGATGCCGTTAATTGACAGGTTACGGCTTTAGAATTCTACCTTATCATCAATGTCGCAGTCGGGGGCACTAGTGGGTGGTTCCCTGATGATGTGGGTGATAAGCCATGGCATGACGGCTCGTTGAGTGCGTCTTTCACAATTGCATTTGCCTGGGTTGCGTCACTGATAGTCGTTATAGCGGCGATGTATGATTTCGCCAAGGCGCAGGATACATGGAGTGCGACGTGGCCTTCCAGTGCCGACGATAGGGCATTTAGAATGTAAGTACCTTCGTTTCATTCTTCGTGCTGTTAGTGATACGTGGTTGTCAGCGATTATGTCAAGATGTGGAAGCTGGGAAGCTGTTAACTGTTAAATCCGACATTTTTTATGCGTGCGTCTGTCTGTGACAACACACATACCCCGCTAGATTGCCGCTGCGAACCCTCATTGATATCTGTTTCGTACTGATGATTTTCTTTTTCTTTGTTAATGGACGTCGCTGTTATTGGTCTCAGCTTCCACTGGTCGTTTTCGCTCACGTAGGTGTATTCTACATCATTGCATATGTCTTTAAAATATTTTTCACGACGATATAAGAACGTTATACTACTTTTATTGGTGCATGGAACAATAGTTGCAATTCCCTTTTGATATCATGATTTTATGCATGTATTTGCCTCTTCCTGAGCCTGGTAAGACGTATTATTGGTTTTCAACAATTAACTGATGACTGGTTATCAGACCCAACCCACCGGCAACACCGACGTCGTCTGGTACAGTCATTATGAAGGGCTTGCGCCGAGACGGATAAAGCTAGCCGTATCGATCTGCCGCAATATCGCCCTTGAGTCAAAGCCTCGACTATGTCTACAAGCCATCGATGATCCTGGCTACTGTGGGCAAACGAAGCTTCTGTCTAGTAGAGTCAACTGTCTAGCAAGCGCTAGGAGACATTTGCTTTTCGCCGTTTACATTCTCCGGTCCGTCACCTGTACAGATGCGCCCTGGTGGAATCATCTTCTGGGTTGCTAACCATTCTGCCTATCACGATCATATATTGTTTTATCCTTCGGGCTGGTTCCCGTTTGTCAGCTGCAGGATTACATGTGGCTCTTCGTCTGGACTTGGTACGATGTCAAGTGGAACCATATTCGAGTTTGAGTGGTACGGAGGCGCATAGCTTTGCTTGATCTCGTCGTTCTTCCTTACCGAACCTTACATACGAAGGCGCACTTTCGGCTCCGTCTCACTGTTAGCCAAACATCTGTGAAACGCCGGGCAGGGATGGAAATGATGTACCTGCGGGAATTTATTTAAGATGTCTCCTTTATGCCTGGCCATCAATTTTGGTTTATGTTTCAGTCAGTAGATAATTAGGCTCCAAATCAACATTAGGCTTGGAACTAGATAGTTGAAAGTTGGTCTATATCGTTGCGTTTATTACCCACATATAATATCGACCCATGATGGTCATTATTGAGGTATTATCAGCTATATCCATGAAAAATCTGTACATGTAGAGGGTATCTATGTATACAAGATGAAGATGACGAAGAAAAATGTGCAGGCGGTGTAAAATGATAGACCTTCACATAATAACACAGCAGGAGTTTTGCTAAGAGGGGGAGGTTAGCTTATGTACAACAGGACGCTATAAGGAGTATAAGCAGACCTTCTTGGCCGTCTTGTAAAACATTTTGCTCTGGGCAGAAAGCGCATTGGATCTATCCACGAGGTTGTCTAGTTTCTCACCGCGCTGTAAGACAGACTCGATCGTCTTGTGCTGTATATTGATTAAGACTACCGTGTAACTGAGCACAAAGGGTACATACAAGTACGATCTTGGTCTCATCTAGCTCCTGTTGGACTCTCATGATAGTGTCGGCCTGCCTGGGATCCTGATACTTCTGAAGGTAGGTGTTGATGTCGGGGAAGGAAATGGATGAAGGATCGCTAAACGATGACTGTGGGACTTTGGCGGTGAAGTCGTCCAGCAACTTTGAGAGCAGAGAAAAGGCGGGGCGGACAGGATATTCCTGATCAGTTATAATAACGCCTGATGATGGTGAGATCGAGGAAGGCAGCCCAAAGACGAGTTAGACGTACCTGCCAATTGCTCGGCGCCACCTCTATTGTATACATAGGCAGTATAATTGTTCTCCTGAATGCTCTGCCGTTGGCCCTGTGCAGTACGCTCTGCAACAGTTCTGGAGAAGAAGGTCATGAATTCGCCGACTGAGCCTTTCTGGTAGAAAGAGTAGGACGACAGGTCACTGGCAGTGCTCAGTACGGTACACTGTCCGCTTGGAGGCGCCAAAATGACAGAGATAGAGAAAACTTTCATCGTAACGAGTTCGTCAGTGGTGGTTGAGGTGGAATGCCGGGTTATTGACGTGTGCTTGGCTGTGCCTCCTGGCGATCATCATCGGTTCCTAATTTGGACGTGTGTTGAACAGGTGCTGTCACCGACGAACTTGTTGCGAACGTCAACGCATCTAACACGCTTTACTTGACTTTTTGCCTTTCCGGCTCTTCCACTCCCTTTCATCACGTTCAACTTGTACTCTCTCTACTGCAACGATTTTCACGACATTTCTTTCTAACGCCGCCTTACTCTTTCGTTGGCTCTGGGCGGCCACTGCTGGACGATCGATTGCTTAGAACACTGACCCTTGGCAATGCCTATGCCACGGTTATCTCAGAGCGCAGAAACTGCGCGTGCTGCAGCGCTACAAGCTGAATTCAATGAGAAGAAATGGGTGTGGGTCCCTGACGACAAAGAGGGGTATTTGGCCGGCTGGGTCAACAAGGAGGAGGGAGATATTGGCGAGATTATCATGGCTGCTGGTGGGGACGTATGTGCACTCTATATGCCACGCGAAATCATTGTATTGAAAACCGACAGTTTCGACGGGTCCCGCTTTATGCCCTATCCAAGATGAACCCGCCAAAATTTGACCGCGTTGAGGACATTGCGGATCTCACATTTTTGAATGAGGCCAGTGTGGTACACAACCTTCGCTTGAGGTACGGTTCTGGAGCAATATATGTGAGTCGCTATGTCGAGGGCACGATGGTTGTGGACTTACGTGTTACAGACTTATTCAGGCTTATTCTTAGTTGCTATCAATCCCTATCAGTCTCTCCCACTCTATTCCGATGCTATAATACAACAGTATCGTAACAAGCGAAGGGATGAGAATCCACCTCACATATTTGCCGTTGCGGAGCGGGCGTGGGTTAACATGGGTGAAGAGAGGGAGAACCAAAGCATACTAATCACGTACGCGATTGCTCCTTCTCTGGTCTAATATTCGCCTCACGTACATGACAGGGGAGAATCAGGTGCGGGTAAAACCGAGAGCACGAAGAAAGTCATCCAATATCTTGCTGCCATTGCTACCGATGTTCATACTTCGCCGCCCTCCCACTCTCGTACGCCAACGCTAACATCGTCGAGTTCCTTTGCTTCATCTATGCCAACAAGCGGACTCCCTCGTAACAGTTCCTTTCGTAGGACTCACAACGCGTCTCCATCTGTCTCCAGCTCAGGTTTGACGGCAAAGGGACGGCTAGGTTTGCTTGAGCGCCAAATTCTACAAGCCAACCCCATTCTTGAAGCGTTCGGAAACGCCCAGACTCAAAGGAATAACAATTCAAGTCGATTTGGTAAATTCGTCCGAATAACATTTGCTCCCGATGGCAGCATCGCAGGGGCAAATATAGATTGGTATTTGCTAGAGAAGAGTCGAGTTGTCGTGCGCAGCGAAGCCGAGCGAAGTTTCCATGTCTTCTATCAGCTGATGGCTGGCGGAGGTGCTTTGAAGGAATCATTACTTCTGGGAGGAGCCATCGAAGATTATGAATATCTAAATAAGAGCAGAAGAGAGGTGGATGGTGTTGACGATCTCCATGAATGGTCTGCACTAAAGGTCAGCCTTTAATCACTTGCTTTCAGGCTGACCACTCATCAGAAATATCTGCAGTCCGCTCTCGACATCGTTGGCTTCACTCCTGCTGAACAATTCGATCTATTTCGAATAGTGGCTGCAATTCTTCATATAGGCAACATTGCCATCACCTCGACGAGGGCTGATGATGCTATAATGCCTGATCCTTCACAAGCCGAGCGTGTGTGTCATCTCCTTGGAATACCCGTTGCCGAATTTACACGTGCCGTGCTACGCCCTCGTGTTTTAGCCGGTCGAGAGTGGGTTTCTCAGGCACGAACGCGCCAGCAAGCCTTGGATGAATTGTCCGCGCTTTGCAAGACTTTGTATGAGAAATCGTTTGGACGCCTAGTGGACAGGATTAATGAAGCCCTCGATCGACCCTCTTCAAAGTCCACTTTTATCGGCGTCCTCGATATTGCTGGTTTCGAAATATTCGAGATCAATACCTACGAGCAGCTTCTGATCAATTATACCAACGAGAAGCTGCAGCAATTCTTTAATCACCACATGTTCGTTCTGGAGCAGGAGGAGTACGCAAGGGAAGGTATCCATTGGGATTATGTCAACTTTGGACTGGACCTTCAGCCAACTATCGACCTAATCGAGGCAACCGGAAATGCTATCGGCATTTTGAGCTGCTTGGACGAGGAGTGTATCATGCCCAAAGCTACAGATCTCACTTTCACCAACAAGCTTACCAGTCTTTGGGCAGGTGCTTCTGGTGAAGATGATGAACATCCAGGGAAGCAAAAATACGAACCTGCTCGATTCGCGCAGGGTTTCCTGATCCAGCACTATGCTGCGAAGGTTGAGTATCGAACGGATGGGTGGTTGGAAAAGAACAAGGATCCGTTGAATGATAATGTCACCCGTGTTTTGGCTGCGTCTTCTGAGCGATACGTCGCCTCCCTCTTTGCAGAGTATTCTGATCTACCAGTGGCCAATGGGCCAGGAGGACCTGGTAACATGTTCACCGTGGCGAAGAAACGTGGTCTCAAGAAAGGAGCATTCCGGACGGTTGGGCAGAGACATAAGGAGCAGCTAGCGAGTTTGATGTCGCAGCTGCAAGCTACGCAGCCTCATTTCGTTAGGTGTATCGTGCCCAACGCCCACAAGAAGCCTGGACGTGTGGACGTTCCCCTTGTTCTCGATCAGCTACGCTGTAATGGTGTCTTGGAAGGCATTCGAATCGCTCGGTTGGGCTATCCTAATCGCCTACCTTTCGTCGAGTTCCGACAGCGATACGAGGTTCTCACACCTGGAATCATACCACCAGGGTATATGGACGGACGCGAGGCTTGTCGACGCATGGTCAAAACTTTGGACCTCGACGACTCGATATATAAGATTGGGACGTCGAAAATCTTTTTCAAAGCCGGTGTGCTCGCCGAGCTTGAAGAACGTCGCGACTTGCTTTTGTTTGATATCTTCTCTCGATTACAAGCTGTAGCGCGCATGTGGACAGCTCGCAGGCAAATCAAGAAGATTCTTAATCGTGCTATCGCTATTAGGACAATACAACGGAATGCAAGAGTGTATGGAGAATTACGAGATTGGCCTTGGTGGCAACTCTACACAAAGGTCAGCATTCATCTCATTTTTGCGGCTCGGGTGAATGCTCATTAACCGTACAGGTTCGTCCTCTTCTCGCGGCAACCCGGAATGATGACGAACTGCGCCGGAAAGAGGCAGAGCTTGTCTTGATCAAGGAGCGAGCCGAGCGGGACAAACAAGAGCGTGAAGCCTTGGAAAGTCTCAAGATGGCGCTTGAGGCCGAGAAGCGAAAGGTGGACGAGGAGCTCGAAGCTGAGCGTGCGCTCGGGCTCGATAAAGAAGCCTTGCTAGAAAGGAGCAAGAAGCGCGAGGCCGAGCTTGAGGAGGAGGTCGCCGATTTGCAAGCTGATGCGGAGTTGCTAGATTCCCAGCTGGAACGTGCCATGAATCTGCAGAAAGAACACGAGGAGAAGTATACCAGCCTTTTACAGGCATTTGATCAAGCGACAAGCCACGCTGTGCGTTTGGAGGGCGACCAGAAGCTCTTGTCAGCAAGAGAGACGGACCTGACCGCCCAGCTGGCTGCTGCTGAGGAAGAAATCGATATTCTCAAGAGCCAGATCCATGAACTCGAGAATGCCGTGGAAGACTTGAAAACGCTGAGGGAACAGGATCTTTCTAGGGCTCATGATCGTAACGATGTGATTGTGAAGGAACTGCAAGGAAAGCTGGATGTTGAGATTAAGACCAAGTAAGTGCATTCGAGTCTGCTGCGATAGTATACTAATTCCGGGCGCCAGAGATCTACTCCAGAACCAAATAGAGGCCGTAGAAGAGGACGCTCGTCAAGCCAAAGATAAGCTTGCCGAGCTGACTAGAACAGCTACCGAATATTCCAACATGATACAGAAGAAGGAGGAGCGAATCGCGACCTTGCTTGAGCAGACCGACGCCGCGAAACAGGAGCGCGAGGCAGGATCAAAAGAGATCATTGAGCTTCAGAGTGATATTGATACTCTTTCTGCTGAATTGCAGGCGGAGAAAGAAGCTGGTCTGCGTGGCAGTGCTGCTCGAATAAAGCTTCAGGAAGAGTTAGATGAGCTGAGGACTCTGATGGAGGCAAAGACGAGTGAGGCTACGAGACGTGCAGAGGTGGAAAAGAGCAAGGAGGAGGAACTTACCGATCTACGATCTCAAACGTCTCAACTACAACAGGAGCTAACGGAGTCTCGTCGTCTTGCGCTGGAGAGCCAGAGCAAGCTCAAATTAGAACTGGACTATGCTTCGAGGGAACTATCGTCTTTGAGAGGTTCACGCGACTCTTTGACAAAGCGGGAGGTGGAAGCGCAGGCACATCTGGCTCAACTTCAGTCTAGCGTCTCCGAACTGGAAAAGAGTAAGCGGAGCATGGAATCGGAGCTACAGTTGCTTAAGGCGCGTATCTACGAAACGGAAGGCCACCTTGCCGAAGCACGGAAAGCAAAAGAGGTATGTTCAGTGCTCTCATCGCCAGCTAGGAAGATTGACGGCCGTACAGAGTTTCGAACGTCAATTAGTCACCGCTCAGACCAAGTATCACGACATTGAGGACCTCATGCTCGAATCAGAACGTGAGAAGACGACCAAGCTTGAAAGTAGCAAGAAGCAGCTCGAAGCTGAAGTTGCTCATCGCGCCAAATTGGAACAAACGGTTTCTACTCAGAAATCCGAACTTTCCATCGTAAAGGATCGTAACATCAAACTGGAAAGGGATTACAGCAAGGCGATGAAGGATCTAAAGGAACGCGAATGGGAAGTCAAGCAGCTGGAAAGCAAGCAAGACAAGACCATCGTCGAGCATGTTCACGTCTTGGAGGAAGCCAAGAGGGTAACAGATCGACAGCTGGTAGATGCTCAGCTCGAGTTGCAGAGCCAGCGATTGTATATTTCTTCGCTTGAAAAGTCTAAGGCGCGCTTAACCGGGGAGGCGGAGGATCTGGTCCGACAGACAGAGCTTGGAATGCGTGGCAAGGACAAAGCACTCAAAGCCGAGGAGGAACGTACAGCGAAAGCGCGTGCAGAGGTCGAAAAGGAGAGGCATGGTAAAGACGTTGCTGAAGCTGAGGCTCGACGCCTCCAAAGGGAGCTTCAAAATGCTGAGCGTCGGGCTTCCGAATTCGAACAGGAACTCATTCTGGTCCAGCGATCGAAGGATAACCTCGAAACCGAATTGGAGCGCTTGGCCAACGAAACACAAGCCCCGACTTCCATGGCCAAAGTACAACGGCAATACGAATCTCACATCGCCCAGCTCGAGGATCAGCTGAACGAGGCCGAGTCTTCCAAGGCCCTAGCTGCAAAAATCAGAGATCGTGTCGAGCGTCATCACCAGGAGCTTCGTCAGCTTGTGATGAATAGTGGGCCGGTCGATTCATCTTTCCAATCTCGTCTACTTCAAGAGCTCAAAGCTGTGGATGACGATCTTGATCGAGAGATGTCGCTTCGCTCGCAGCACGTATCCTCCAACTCAAGCAACTCTGTTCATGGCATGGCCAATGTAACGCCTCGCAAGGGTGTAACGCGTCCCCGAAAAGAATCTCACACTGATGGTGCACATTCTTCCACAGACCGGCAGGTCAATGCCCTCAAGCAGCAAGTGCAAATTCTAGAGATTCAAATGGTAGCTTCAGAGCGAGTCAGGCAACATCTGGAGGCATCGATCCGCGATATGACCGCTGATCTGGAGAACAGTGATGGTTCTAAGCAGTCTCTTCAAACCTACCGCGCTCGTCTTGCGAAGGAGAACATCCGATTGGGAGAACTTCTTCGAGAGGAAGCAGAAGCGCGTCGTGCGGCTGAGTCTGCCCAGGTTGATGGTATCCAAACAATGTGGACCAAGTTCCAGAATACCATATCGGAAGAACGGCAAAACTACTCTCGTCTAGAGGAGTCAAGGAAGGCTTTGGTAAGTTTCTTCTGGCCAGGATGTACAAATATTGACTATCGTTCAAAGCTCATTCAACAACGTACAGCGCAAGCAGAGTTAGAAGCTCAACGTGCTCAGCTGAGGGAGTTGACAGAGTCCAGGAAGCGGATGGAGGCTGAAGCTGACGATCTTCGGTCCCAGGTCAGTGAAGCCAAGGCCGAAACCTCCAGTCAGTTCCATTTCATATTGTCTTTAATACGTATCTAATAAAGTCCCAGGTGTCAGACGTCAGCTGCAGAAACGCCTTCAAGAGGAGGATCTTTCCTCTTCCACCTCTGATGCAGCTCAATCAGGTTAGCAGATATTTAACTGGCTTTGAAGTTACCTTACCTGTTTCACAGAAATGCTTGCATTGATCGAGTCTTACAATGCTAAAGAGCAAACATACCAGGAACGCTTTGAAGCTGCCGAGATAGAGAGAGCCAAGGCTGCTCGAGCAGAGGCCTTTGGTATGGCCAATCAATGTTTTCTACCGTAATGAGTGCTCATAATCCTCCATAGTCCGTCGCTCCCTCAGCGAGCTGCAAAAGGCGAACGCCGACACTCTTGCACAGCACCAAACGTTGCAAGAGCGTTTGAAGGCGTCGGAACTCCGGGTTCAAGAGCTACAGGCCAAACTTGATGATGAGAATCACGGATCCTCTGATCTGGTTGTTATCAATCAGCGACTAGTGGAAGAGCTCGAAGACGAGAAAGCACGTCACCAAAAAGATCTCGAGGAAAGCGACTTTACCAGCGATCAAACGCGAAAGAAGTATCAAGGTACGTCGACACTTTTTATATTGACTCCCGCTCATATTAATCTCTCACAGCTGAACTTGCACAATTGAGCGAAGGTAATCTCTTTTTGCTTTCATGTTCGTATTGGATTTCTCACTCTTGAATTTCAGAGCTTCAATCACAGCGCGACAGTATGAGTCGACTCCGCGAAGAGAATCGGAACATTCGGTCGGACTATGATGAACTTCAACTCACCTTTGACGAGGAAGTGTATAACAGCGGCGGCTGGAAGAAGGAGAAGGAGCGGATGGAAACCAAGATCGGCGACATCACCAAGGCATACGAAGCTTCCACGGCCGCCCAGGCAGAACAACAGTCGCAGATCGTGACGCTTCATGGGCAGGTCCGAAAACTCCGAAGCATGTTGGATGATGTTGAGGCTGACCGCGCTCTTTTGCAAAAAGCTCGTCGGGCTCTACAGGCTGAGCTTGAGGGAATCAAGATTGACCATGTCGACACCAATCGGATGTCCACTGACAGAGAGTATCAGAAGCTGCAGCTTAAGAAGCAGGACCTGGAGCGGGCACTGGAAGAACAAGGTGATCGGGTGACCAACGCATTCGAGAGGATGAAGAAGGCGGAGGCATTGGCAAATGAGTTCCAGGTTAAGCTCAGCAAGAGTCGAGTGGATTATTCCGAACTTGAGCGATTGAACGTATGTCTATTTTTCACGGATATAAGTATCATCTTCTTATTGATGTCATGTAGGCGAATCTTGAGAAGCAAGTGAAGGAACTCAATGTGCGGATCGTGGATCTAGAAACCAGGGCGTTCGCAACATCATCACGGCCATCGACTGTTTCAAGACGGGGAGCTGCCGACACGCGGATTGAGGAACTGACCAGCCAACTCCATCTGGCATCCAACAAGAACGAGGCTTCGCGACTTTTGCGTGATGCCAAGTTCCAGCAGGCTGAAAGCGAGAGGCTTCGGGTTAAATTCGAAGAGGAGCGCAGAGGTTATGAGGGTCAGATTCAGCAGCTGCGGCAGGCGATGGACACGATGGTAAGCAACGTTCCAATTTGTCGATGGTGGGCAGAATGTTGAAGTGGCTATAGCAAACGCAAGAGAATGACCTACAATCTGCGAAACGGCGTGCTGAGAGAGAAGCTGGAGATTTCAAACAGAAGGCGTTGACGTGAGTGTCGTCTATCGTCGTACTCGTGGAATCTACTTACCTTTCTTTAGGCTACAACATGAACTGGAGCGCTTGCGCAATAAATTAGACAGGCCGACATCAGCACTAGGTTCACCGCTAAGTTCACCTCGTAAATAACCATGATAACTTTTATTCCCCTTTTGTTACATACCACACGTCTTGTATTTTACGCACTTGAGCATCTTATCTATGTACAGGAAAATGTATTGTATAATGACGCGCTCGGATACCATCATCCTAACGACTACTGCGTAGACAGCTTTGTCTCTCACGAGTAATGACATGTTGACTGCTTGCAAAACTGAAAGATCACAACTAAGGGATGGCCGGAATCGCATATCAATATTGTTTCATAAAGCATGACATGGATGATAGTAGAAGTATAAAGCCTGCCCTCCGGCACGTAGGGACCTCCTTTTACTTCAACGGGATGCTGGAGGAGGACGTGAGTGATAAGAAATGTACGCAACCAAAGAATGACTGACAATCGGGAAGAGTGGGTAGCACCAATACCGGGACGACCGTGCTTGACGGGACGGTACGAGCAGGAGAACTCGCCAAGGTAGTGGCCGGTCATCTCTGGCTTTATCTCGACAGAGTTGAAGACCTGACTATATGTCAATTCCATATCTTGCTAACTTGAAATCAAGACGCACCTTGCCGTTGTATATTCCGACAACAGATCCAATCATCTCGGGCACCACAATCATGTCTCGCAAGTGCGTCTTGACGACGGCAGGCTTCTCATTGGGAGGTGCCTCCTTCTTGGCCTTGCGCAATTTTTTGATAAGGCCGAGTGGTCGGCGCTTGAGACCGCGCTTGAAGCGTCTGCGGGCACGGGCGTGGACAAGGTCGACGAGCTACACACAGATACGATGAGTCTTGACCGCCGAATCGCCCAGCTACCGACGAACCTCTTCGTTGTTGAGGTCGAGAAGCTTGTCGAGTTCTACTCCACGGTAGGAAAATGTCCTAAAGGTCCTTCTCTTCTTGAGCTCGGCGGCGACGGCGGGGTCGGTGACACTTGAATCGGCCTGTACATCGTCAGGATCATTGCCAACGCAGCTAAGTGAGCACGTACCATCTTGATTTTGAGGTTTCTTGCGCGATGCGTTGAACTGGAAAGGGATGCGGAGTACGAATCCGGAAAGTGTGGCTGAAACCTTATTGTCACGTGCTACTATACAGCACCAGCTTCGCATCCGCAAAATTTGTGCAGGACCAAGTCACGAACGGATAGCAACCACAAGTCCTCCTGTAGTGGATTAAATGTGAGTCAACTTCGTTTCCTTTTTACTACCAACTGACTCCCACTCTCAGTGATTTGTGGAACCGTATACACTCAAAACATCTGAAAAGTGCACTCAATTTTACCGTTCGTTTGGACTGGCAATTTACTGTTACTTAGATGCGTTACATCGCTGCTTACCTGCTCCTTCAAATCGGAGGCAACGCCTCTCCCTCCGCCGCCGACATTAAAAAGGTCCTCTCTGCTGTTGGAATCGAGTCCGATGAGGACCGCCTCTCCAGCTTGATCTCTGAGCTCTCCGGCAAGAGCGTCGACGAATTGATTGCTGAGGGCTCTTCCAAGCTCGCCTCTGTAGGTCGTATTACCATACTTTCACATTCGGCTGCTCACCACCACTGCGTAGGTTCCCTCTGGTGGTGCAGGAGGTGCTGCTGCCCCTGCCGCCGCCGCCGGTGGTGCCGCTCCTGCTGCTGCTGAAGAGAAGAAGGAGGAGAAGGAGGAAGAGAAGGTTGGTCTTTCTGTCTGTACTCTTTCTTGCTACTCGTTAACACGATCTGTAGGAGGAGTCCGACGACGACATGGGCTTCGGTCTATTCGATTAAACTGCTGTATCTCTACTAGCTTTTTATTACGATTTGATTGTATTGCATTGTCTGTCGTTCGAACTGTTTGCTTTCTGGCACTGTTACATTACGAGGCGACTCGTTGACTTCAAGCTGCACCTTATTTGTGAATTTATGGATTTGTCGACTTGCAAGCAATCGGAGGTGTCGGTACTCCAATGAATTCCTATGAATTGCAAAGCGAACTATTCACGGTTATGGCAGGAAGCGAAATTTCAGCGCGGATTTCAAAGAAAGTCCAGACACTTTTTATTAAAATCTACTCGACGGTATTGATATTCAATTACTGTTCGCAGTCTCTTGCATCTGTGCTAAACTTCCATTTGCATGAGCAGGGACATCCATCGTGAATGCACCATACACCTGACTAGCATCTTCTTCAGCAGATCCAGGAACTCCGTATCCACCACCGCCAGGAGTTTCTAAGTCGACGTTAAGAACATACAGCGTAACCCAGCATTCTCACTCACCTATCCGAATCCTGTCCCCTGCCTTCATTGGACACTCATTTTTACCACCGAGGGCGATGGTAGTAACACTGCCGTCAGCTTCTTTCCTAAGCCAGAAATTCCGTCCTCGTTCTCCCGGCGATCCCCCGCGCATCCCATAAGGAGGTATGGCACGTCGTTCAGAGAGAATTGCTACATCCAGGTCTCGTGTGAATTCAATCTCTCGAACGCAACCGTCACCACCAGGATGTCGACCAGCACCTCCAGACCCAGTACGTATGCTAAATTCACGAACGATGACAGGGTATTTGCGTTCTATCTGTTCTGCGTCTCCGATACATGTGTCTGTAACAATGGTTATTAGTGCCCACAGAGGCGACGCCATAAAGACTCACTTGTCATATGGACGTGAATTCTGTGGCAAACAAACCTATCTCAGAAAAGATACAATAGTCGGTGAAGAGATACATACCCGCTTTGACCATCCCAATTCGAACCACCTCCAGAACCACCAGCAATGGTCTACAAAGGAAGGCTATCAACTGCCTAATCATGACTGGGCAAGAGTGACCCACCTCGTAATAACCAAAACCTTTGGTCACAGAAGAACCGCTGTTTCCTCCGTAGCCGAAGGTAAGGCTGAAGGAGGCAATTAATTAGGACCCACCTGACAGACATGGTAATAGGATCTTACTTGTTACAAGTGCCCTGGGACGCTCCACAGGCTTCGAATGCCTTTAGCACGACATCGGTAATTCTATGGGAGCCATAAGATAACCAACTAAGTTGTCGAAAGAACCAGCTTACCGCTGAGACGTCTCGACGTTACCAGCCACAGTCGCTGCACCGGGACCAGGGGAAAGAATAGTACGAGGAGGAATAATAACTTTGATAGGTGCAAGACAACCATGGTTGAGCGGAATAGCCGTCGGTATCAGTGAACGAAGAACATAGATAATTGCACTGTAGCCAATGGCAGTTGGCGCGTTGAGATTCGAGTAGCTGGTGCCGGTATTAACAATGACCTCCGGGCAAGTACGAAGGATGACTTACGACTGTGGGCTTGTACCGGTGAAGTCAAATATCGCTTCGCCACGCTTTGGATCGATATTGATCTTGAGCCGGAGCTCTTCTCCGTCGTCCATATAGTCAACAGCCTCAAGAGGCTTTCCACCAAACTTCTTGTCGACGAAACGCAGTAATTCTCGCACGGCGGCCTCCGCGGTGTTTTGGATGGCAGTCATATAGAACTAAGAAGTTGTTAATGCGTGCAGGAAGTCACTCCGTAGGACGTAGTTACCTGAACGACTTCCAATGAGAACTCCTCGATAAGGGCACGGATTAACGTGGCACCTCGGTAGTTAGCAGAGACTTGTGCTTTGAGGTCGGAAATGTTCTAAATTCACCAGTCAGCGCGACATTAGAAAGACACCAAAAATATAATCTGACGTCACTCAGAGTTCGTGTACCAGAGCATCCAGGATACTTTGAAGGCTGGTTGTACATGAGATCGACGACACCCTCTTCGTCAAACCTTCCCTGCTTGACCAATTTGAAACTGAGAATTTGTGCTCCCTCTTGTTCGATCGTTTTTGAGAATGGTGGCATTGAACCAGCGCGGATACCGCCTATAATCAAGACAGTTACTCAAAGAACCAATGGTGGCAAGGTTCAACTTACCAATGTCAGCATGATGAGCTCGAGAAGCTGTCCAGAAGACAACGTTCCCATTATGGAATGCGGGAGTAATAACCGTGATATCGGGCAGATGGGACCCTCCAGCATCTGTGGTCGTATGGTTTTAATGATAGCACGAACGGGACAGAACATTCCCTTACCAGGATGGTTCGAAACAAGTACATCGCCTTCTTGTAGTTGACCTTTATGAAGCTCTGCTTGGAAGCGTACAGCCGAACTCATAGCACCGAGATGACCTTGAAAGATGGCAAGTTAAATATATACGCTCAGAAAAAAAAGGAAATTAGGCTTACATGGGATGTGGGGTGCATTGGCAACAAGAAGCCCTTCTGGCGAGAAGAGGGCGCATGAACTTTGAAGGGGGATATAAACTCACGGGTGACAAAGGTGACCATTAGAACTTACTAGTCAAGACGTTCTTTGATGTTAGTCGAGATGGAAGTTTGCCGGAGGATAGTACCCATCTATAGTAGTAGGTTAGAGGTCTGGGGTGCATCATCCGTAATGGGAAGTGAACCTGTTCTGCGATACCCATGAAGCGATGGCCAAATACAGACAGTTGAATGGGGTCGACGTGATTATAGTCAAGTACAGGCTTAGCCAGCGACGGTCCGATCTTGTCAATTATAATATGTTTCGAGGTCGCCGTAGCGATGTAACCAGGTTCGATCAAAATAGTTTGAGTGTTGTCAAAGATGATTGCGGGTGCCTGCAATAATGTGAGCGCGCCGGAAGCACGACGAATGCTGTACACTTACTGGAATCTGATCTCCAGGCGATAAATCTTCAAGTGGAACCACAGCCGTATCTGTCCACCCTAGTCCATCAAAGTAAACCTTCTTTCTCTTGCAGTTGCCGAGCACTACCGTCGCTTCTTTCAACGTACAGTGCTCCAATTCCTCGTAAGGACTCTGCTGCTCTGTACCAGTGCTCTTCGCTACAGCCCTTACCCTTACATCATCGACATAGATAACCCTATCCTGAAGGGTGAATCCAAACAATTGATCATGTTGCTTGACGAAGTTTCCAACAAAGTCCCCATCCTCAGGTTCTCGGACCATCAAAGCAGTACTTGTACCTTGGAATCGACAATTGTACGAGACTTCCGTGGTGACTTGGCTTTGTGCGAATCCTTGGGAGGCGAGCGAGTCTCGAGCACGCTGAATAAGTGTTTCAGCACGCGTACGAAGCGAAGCATAGACAGCTGTGTTGTCGGCTCCAGACCTGGAGTCAAGAATAGAAGACGAAGGCTCTTGTTCCTCGACGACGACATCTGCAAGGGCCATCCCGTAGGCGGACAAGATAGAAGAGAACCGAGCGACGAGAATACGAGAGATTCCAAGGAGAGTAGCGATGGCGGTACCATGTTGCCCACCGGCACCGCCAAAGATTACGAGGTTATGATTAGCGCTCTCGTAACCACGAGCTTCAGTTAGACTATGATTGAGATAAGACGGGTGGACAAAGGTGAGGAAAATATTTAACCCACGTCCGAATTGGCCGACTCATAGCCTCATTAGCGACGCGAAGGAATCCCGAGGCGACTTCCTCGAAAGTCATCTTGATGTTCTTATCCGCGCTCATTCTCTCGGTGAGCTCCTCAAATAGTTTGCGAGTGGCGTTCATGTCTAGAGGTTCGTCTTCATTCGGCCCAAAGATTTTTGGGCTAGATATTGAGAGAGTCAGAGTGTACCAAAAATGGCACATATATCTACTCACAAATGTTCCGGCAAAAGTCTACCGAGAAGGAGATTGGCGTCGGTCACCGCAAGAGGACCACCCTTTCTATAGCAGGCTGGACCAGGATGCGCTCCGGCACTCTAGCATTCTGATTTAGTATCAAAATAACGTTGAAGATAGCAAAAACCAACCTCGGGGCCTACAACAAACATCCCGTTCTCCCAGAATAAGCGGGAGCCCCCACCAGCTGCGACAGTGTTGATGTCAAGTTGGGGGGCTTGAATGATAACCTGTGCTGTAGTGGTCTCAAAAACATGCTCGAGATGGCCACTGTAACGCGAGACATCCGTACTACATTGGGTATGAGCGTGTAAAAGAGGATGAGAGGAGACTAAGACGTACGAAGTACCACCCATATCAACAGATACCAGCGGAGTACCGTCATTGGTATCATAACAAGTTTTAGAATATCCAATGACCCCACCCGCAGGACCTGACAAAACCGCTCGAAGACCAGAAAAGTTCTTCCAATTGCATAGACCGCCATCGCTTTGCATGAACAGTAACTTGTTACCCAGTGCATCAAGACCTCCATCAAATCCACCAGCAAAGGTTTCGATATATGCTCGAGTCACCGGGGACAGATACGCATCAGCAATGGCAGAGTTGGCGCGAGACACAATTTTGATCATGGGTTGAAGCTCTGAGGAAACCGACACCGAAAATCCAAATTCTCTAGCCATGTCTGCAACCATCGTCTCGTGCGCTGGGTAGGTATACGAGTGAACAAAGGCAATCGCAATAGACTGGAAACCTTCGTCGTGTAGGGACTGGAGCTGAGCTCGGACGGACTGCGGGTCAGGCTTTTTCAGGACGCTACGCGTAGATCAGCCAAAGAAACAAGAATGAACTACAACAGATACACACCGAATAAAGTCGCCCGTAAGTCCGCGAACAATTGATGCATCAGACGTTCCTTCAAAGTCTAAGGCTGAAGATTCTGGATCCTCGGTGGAGGTCGCAATGGTAACTCGCTCTCCAATTTCAACTACTTTCTCATACAAGGACGATAGCTTCCTAATCGAGAGGTCGAATATATTGGGCCGAGCTGCGAGGAGGTCAGCAGGGAAACGAATAGCGAGTGATGAAGATTAACCTTGTTGTCCAATGCGCAACACATCGCGGTAACCTTCAGTGGTTACTAGCGCGCAACGCGCGCCTTTGCGTTCGAGGAGCGCGTTTGTAGCCACAGTGGTACCCATACGGATGCTTTCAACCTGTGAATCGTTTAGATTGGTCCTTAATGTTCAGCACTCAACATACCTGATCCAGCTTCAGCTTAGTACCCTTTGGGATACTCTGTCCAGACGACAACTCGAGAACTCTCCGGATACCTTCCGTAGGGGCATCAGGATAGTTGCTGGGGTCGACGGAGAGAAGCTAAGCGGCAGCGTTCAGCCTGAATCTATCCCGCATCGGAATACAACATACCTTCAACACAATATCGGGCTTCCCGGCCTGCGAACAGTGCACATCGGTAAAGGTTCCACCACGATCTGCAGTGGGTGAGCCAAAACATCGATAAACAAGAACTTGACGCACCAATGGCAATGCGGACTTGACTGGACGACATGGCGAGGACTTAGGAGGATGAGATATTCTGGACAATGGATCTGGGACGTATAAAAGGGTTTCCAGCATGTCTTAACGTCGTCTGTTAGGAAATCGTTCGGAATTGGAGCAGACATGATCACTGTTCCACAGTGTTTCCGCAAATGAAAGCAGATCCTGGCAAATTCCGCGGGCAATTCGATCACATAATGCCCGACTTCCGAGAGGGTCCAGCGGAGGCGGAAATTTCCTGGCGATGATATCTTAGGGTAAGGAGGAAGCAGCTGCCGTTGTTATAGCTTGATCGGCTCTGAGTCAACTAGTTGACTTGGGATTTGCGTGAATAAAAGGTGCATAATATACTATGCTGGATTCAACTGAACTCGCTATCCAACTATGAGTCTATGATATATGAAGCCTTCACTTACGTGTATCTGTTCAGAGCATAAGCACTAAACACCCAGATCCCTCTATTTTCCGCTTCGTCTATCGTCCCATGCAGTAGCCTCCTTTACTTTATCACAAATAATGCAAAGCTGTTGTTCTGCGACGTTCCTCTTTTGCTTGCATGGCTCTCAAGTGACAGGTCTACAAACATCATCTTGAATCAAAGAGCAAGTAGTGAATCCCGAGTCACAACCGTAAAAACAAGCCCTATCTTTCACGGGAGCTGGGTTGATAGTCACAGTGGAGAATTCGAGACTTACATGAAAACTAGGGAATCAGAACCGGCCTTGTACTCTGAGAGTTCGCCGGGTAATGGGTGTTCATACCAGATCAGGTTCCTTTAAAATCTTTAGTAACTGTGGGAGTGAAATCGCAGGAGAGATTATGTACATGCAAAGTGCAACCCGGCTAAGTCCCATCCACCCGGAGCGGCTAGTCTTCACTAGCGACGTGCTCTATCTTTTCCCCGGCCTCGTCTCCCTCGTCTCCGTTTTGACGGCTCCTCGGCTTTCTTGGTTCGCTTTGTGTCCTCTGAAAAGTATCTTTAATACAAATTCCTGTCTGCAAATAGTCAAGGACATACTGGTATCATCCTCATCCTGATTTGACGCCGCTCTCTTGTTACGCTTCTTTGGGGTGTTTGCTGGAGGGCTATGCACTATGACCATTAACGAATAAATATCCGAACTCGCTTATGAACGATCATTAAAGAGCTCACCTTGGCCAATAGAAGCCCCAAACGGCGTGGTTGTATCCCGAGTCTCGTAATGCTTCAACTCAGGCAGGGCACGTAACTTTTCTATATTGAGTTCAACATCTTCCTTCATATCGTGAATCTGATTGAGCAGCAACCTCTGGAAAGCCTCATGTAGGTGGTCCTCTGCAGGAGGAGGATCGAGAAAACCGTACTCAGGCTCCATCTGTGCGCCAAGCTTCAGAAGGAAATCGCCCAAAAATTTCAGTCTAGGGTGAAGAGCACGTTCCCACTGCTGCTGGGGCCAAGTTAACAAACCCAATCGTACTGGCCCAGATAGAATTTCCCATGCATTGTGGAGTTCTTTTAGCGAATCTTCGACACCTTCAAGTTCCTTCGGTTGGGCGCGTAGGAAGAAGGCAATAATGCACCATCCTACCGACTCAACGTCATGCCGTGGCTGGTGATGGAACCAGGCTTTACGCTGGTTCTCGTCATTGCGACCCATCCATTTCGACATATTCACACGACTTCCGTGACATGATTCTCCTTCATCACGGAAGGTGCGCATAGCCTCTCCTTGATGACTGTTTGAATACCGCTCGGCGACTGTAACATCACTGATCTGTGGCATTTGAGAGAAGTTGATATTAGCTTGCAACTGCCCCGCCTCCACCGCACGTGCGATAAACATTGGCGTCCCCTTCGTCGTTTGTCAGCAAAGAACTAGCAGTTATTATGCAATCTCTTACTGTGCGGCTTTTAAGTTGCTCTTTTATTTCCTCAGAACTCTCCGCCCCTCTGTATACGCAACCGTTGTCTAAATCGCATATCAACGCTGTTGGCTGGGCTCCTTTGTTCTGGGAATTCAAGATAGCGTTGACAAATATAGGCCCTTCCGGATTTGTATCAGGGATGCCGAACGGGTTCATGAGGATGTTCCGATGGCTCATATCTCGGTGCATCACTTGTTTCTTCATGACGGCGTACCGGTGGGCTGGGGGTGATATCTTTCAGAAGGGATGCCAACACTGATTCTGCTATCACGTACCTTCCAAAATATCATACATGGACATCAAGAACGTTTTGACACTCTTCACTTTGTTCAAAGCGTCTCCACCTGAACTCATTATCAGCCTCTTCTTCTCTCTAGCGGATTCCCCACTCCCCACGACCACGCCAACGTCACCCGACTCAATGACAGTCACCCATCCTGCCGTCCCGTCCAGTTTTTCATACAGGTCTGGCTCTTTGAACCTGCGTCTTTTGTGGGGATATTGGTCCTTGATTATCCGGACACACCCGTCAGCCTCATGCCTGAATATCATCGTCTGCCGACTGTGCGCCTCTCCGACAAAAGAAATACTGCATTCCTTGTATAACTTTCCCTTGAAGTTAATATTCCATAGAGGAGTGAGAGAGGTGGTCGGGTCAACCAGTGTAATAGTCGAGTCCGCAACGGCGCATGATGCAGGCGGAATGTAAAGAGAATAAACGAAGCTGAGGAGAAATTCGCCTTTCTTGTCATCCCATCCAATTGTCTCTGATATATGCCCACCGGAAGGGTCGCTCCAAGCGATCTGATAACCGCGTGGAGACACACTAACAACAAGACACCCAGGTCTGTCGGGGCGAGCCAGGTTGTGTGATGCAGCATAGGACATGATTTGGCGACCTTTCTTCGAGTCATTCGTAGAGGGTTTTACTTCGCCAACAGAACGGGTCTTGTGCCATGGCACGCGATGATAGTTTCCAGCGTCAGTCTTCTCTAACGATGTGACATGGTGAGACTCGACGGCACATATATCTGGTTTGTCCTTATATCCTTTTGGGTGACGAATTAAATGAGCAGCATGAGTATCAATGAATTGAAGCCGAAGGGCTGCCGGATGGGTATCGAGAATTTCCGCTGTTGCCCAGGTCAGGATAGTGCCATGAAACAGAGCCACGTAGACTCACTGTAGACTGCAACACTGACATGGTTCAGCATGTCAACAATACACTTATATTGCTGCAATTCATTGAGCCGGCCTCCAGACATTTTTCTCCTTTCCTCGTTGAACAAAGCCATCAAGTCCCGGTGACGACCTCGGAAGCCCTTCGGTAAAGCAGTGAGGTAGTCTTCGGCAAAAGCGGCGGCACCCAGCACGTTAAAATCCACGTTCCGTTCCCGGATGAGTCGACTGGTCGACAAATGTCCTTTCCTTATTTTGGCAGGACTCTGACTGGATTGAACAGTGGCATTGGACGGTCCAGCTTCACTCGAGAGCGGCATGGTATAAATGCGAGGGCTATACAGCAGGAAAGAGGAGATGAGGAGTTAGATATCAGTGAACACTGAGAATAGGTGAGAGATATTTACCAAGTCGGGGTCAACGCGACGCGACGAGTCCAAACATCCAAACAATGTCTGTGTTTGGTGTGTTTGGCTGGACCATAGTCACCAACTTCTTCATGGATTCCCTCCAAATGAATGAAAGACACTAGCACTACGAATGCTCTAGTCCTACATGTCAGTTTGACATGGATATGATAGTACTTAGGAGCTCAGTGCGAAGCAATCATGGCTATACATTAACATGATCTAACCTGTGCTTTACTAACACTACTATGAGCGTGTACTTGGGGCTCGACATTCATACAATAGTATTAGTATGTCAAACTTTTCGGCCGATCTGTTCCCAAGAGTGAGATCCATCAAAGGAAGGATCTACTTTGATGTCTCTATCGACAGAATGGAGGTCAGGTTTCCGCAAGGAGACATCCTCCATCTCGTGGTGCTCAACAGTAACAAAGACTTCAGGATGTGTGGCGGTATCCAAGCGCACGCCCTGGAAAAAATCGATAAGACATGAAAATCTGAGGACACGGTTGATCGAACCTGTTTTGACCTGGGGGCACCTCCAGATACAATGCCGCCGGTAGTATGGGAATGCGACTCTGCACTAGAATCGTACGACCAGCCGCCTCTGGAGTTGAGGCTGCTCAGAAGGGTGTTGGTATACAGCTTTGGGAGTGGGAAGTTGAACACTAGATGGAGTCCTGTGGGCTATTATACATCCTCTGAGATTCCTATGTTCTCGGGGCGATGATAGCAGACTTACGTCCAGAAGGTAAGTGAGTAAATCAATTAGGGCGCAACATGTCGTGATTAAGCCCGTTTGTACAGTTGCTAGGATATGCATCGTCAGCTGTTTGCACCAACTGAGAGAAAATTCAACTTACACCGAATGATTTTATCGACTAATTCATCGGAACCCCGGAATCCTGTCTTGTGACTCTTCTGCACATAGATGGTCAAAAAGGAATATTCGTCCTCCCATCAATGACGCACATACCCTGAACTGAGGGTGAGCGACAATGATGCATTAGAACCAGGTTAACGTACAGATGCCAAACAAGAATGACAGTTATTAAAATGTCTGCGGCGCACGTGGCCACGAGCCAGAGAATAACCCAAGCCTGTGAATGTCGTGAATTTTGCAGCCAAATTGATAAAACACGAGCTGTCGTACCTTAATATCTTGAAATCGAAGGAAGGTGCCAATCTTCATGGCTTCAATCGTGCTACCAATGGATCCAGCTCCCAATACAGGCCTTAGAAAATGGCGTTGCCTTGGAAAGAGTCACTCACTGGTACCAGCCAATGCAGTCGCGCAAACCATGGCTACCAACCATATGTTCGAGGTCAAGATCTTCACTCTCCAGGCAAAGAACAGCTGTACAGAACCGGATATCACACCCTATGATAGAATGAGCATTTGAAAAGAAAATAACTGACATACGCTTACTGTCAAAGCCCCAGCTTTTGCATCGGAAATGCAAGTTAAAATTGGTAGGGTATGTCATCTGATGACAGAACGCACAAATGGCAAAGACTAATAATAAATCAAATTGTCTTCAGTAATCCCGCTGCAAATTCATTAGAGGACCTTACCCGCCGTGACTTTGGCCAAATATGCTGGATCCACTGGACAAAGGAGCATGTTAAGATACGGATACGGCTATCGTTGAGTGACATACTGAAGTGGACGATAAGTGCAGTGTAGATGTAGATGAATTGCTATTGAAGGAGTTAGCCTAGACAATCACTTGATCAAAGGTAGAATGTTCACCGTAACCGTATTCAATAAATTGACTATCAGCAGAAAAAAAACCTGTTGACAGAGGTGCTTTAGACTGGGACAATGCGTTGTCTATTTGGCGGGACCTACAAACGCCTTTAACCAAAGTTTGTCACGTCTAGTTATTGTCAGCAGAGAATGGACGCAGGGAAGAGGGCGCGCACTTTTGATATGTCATCATGTATATGTACACCTGAACCAGCACGACGCCCATGAGGAGGATGTTTAACATGTGTCCCACCAGCATAGGACCTTGACTGAGGCCATGGTTATTAAGATATGCACTGATAAAGGGCAAAAGAAAAACACTCACGAAGCTGAAGCGACAGACATTGCGATAACGTTCTGTAGATGCGTTTCTGCTAGAAATGGGATATCTGAGTCCCGGCTCTTATATACCAAACCAGAATCGTGGAATGATCGGTAACGATCTTGGGAAACTGTTTATCCAAGGCCCATTCAGGGCAACGAAATCGCCGTCACCCTCATCCTGTCTGGTTCTAATTTCAATTCCCTAGTTACGCCGTTGGGGGTGGCGCCGCGGTGCTGTCTTCACGGGGTGTTCTTTGTACTTTCGAGGATTGTACTCAGAATGAGCCTGACAACGAATCTTGGACTGTATGAGGACTCAACATTCCCCTCGATAGGGGCAAGTGACCGATCGCGCAAGGTACGCGGACAGGCTATCCCGGCGTCTGTGGCTGTCTGTGGTCGTGTATAGGGAGGCATAGGGACGTTAACGTTCCGTCTGACAGCACTGAGAGGCACTACTGAGCGGGTTTGAAATTGGGTGGATAATATACAGAAGAGTTTTAGGTTCCCGTCGAAAGCCGACCAATAGTAGGCCTGTGTGAAAAGGGGGACTCTGAGGGATGTCGGCATCGATAACAATTGAAGTACTAACCTAAGCTTGAAAGTAAAATCCAAGCTGCTCATGTCGCAACTTGCCTCGCTTGAGAGGAAGGCGATCAAACCAACAAACAATGTTCAAGGGCCGGGTTACAACTTCGCACATATAGAGCTGGGAATTGGCCCATCTCCCGCGAACTGGTGGAGTTAGAAGTTGCTGGTCCGAGCGCAAGTTTCGATCGCCCGGGCCGGAAGTTACCGCCTTGCTGAATTCGTGGCTGTGGCTGTGTCAACCGCTTTCTTTCAAAACCGCCACCTTGCAGCCATGGTTGACGACCACGGTGAGTATCATTTCCATTCTTCTCGTCACTCGTGACATTCCCGAGCAGCCATGAAAAACGAATGGTGCTGAGGCAGTTTCCCTCCAGCCGTCTTTTTCTAGCTTGTTTTTTCTCGACTTGTCAAAGACGATCCACTCATGGTGCAATTTTCTCTTCCCGTGCACCATGTTTTTATAGCTAGCTAGCCTCTCGATATCGCCGCCCGACCTGCCGGCTTCCTCGCACCAGCCCAGTTACTTACGCGCTACGGCTTTTCTTCCTTTTTTACAGAACGTGGAGCGTACCGTGAGGAGCGCCATCGCTCATCCAGGCACGACGACAGGGAACACCGCGACCGGGACAGAGAACACAGAGGTGACCGTGACAGAGACAGGGATCGCTACGGCGGTAGGAGGGACGACAGAAGGGACCGAGATCGCTACAGAGACTATGATGACCACCCACGTCGTCCCCCTCGATATGACGATGATCGGCGTGGGCACAGAGGTGGACGTGATGAAGACAAGGATGGTCCTGTAAAGGTCGAACGAGAAGACCGAGGTGACCGAGGTGACCGTCGAGGTCGAGGAAGGGGCGGAGGAGAGGGCGGAGGCAGAGGCAAGGGCAGAGACGGTTTGGGCACTCCCGAAAGAAGGTCACCAACCCCGGAAGGTGCCGTCCCTTTGTCGCAGCGAAGGCGAAAGGCCTCTGGCTGGGACATTCATGCTCCCGGATACGAGCAATACAGCGCAATGCAGGCTAAGCAAACTGGTGTGTATCAGCTCGCTTTTTTGGAATCGCTGACTAACGTCTAATTAGGTCTCTTTAATCTTCCCGGCGCCAATCGTACTCAAATTCCTGCCATCCTCGGTATCCCCGGTCTTCCTACGCCTATGCCTGTGCAAAGCTTTGGTATGGGTATTGGTGGAAATCCCAACCTGTCTCGTCAATCTCGACGACTGTACATCGGAAGCATCACACCTGATGTCAATGAGCAAAATCTGGCTGACTTTTTCAACGCTAAAATGGCTGAGATGAACCTTGGTACGGGCACTACAGGAAACCCTGTACTTGCTGTGCAGTGTAATTACGAAAAGAATTATGCCTTTGTAGAGGTATGTATATGCCTCCTATCTGCTTACCGTTACTTACATTCAGGCCAGTTCCGCAGCGCCGAAGATGCTACCTCTGCAATGGCATTTGATGGAATCATCTTCATCAATGGACCACTCAAAATCCGCAGACCGAAAGACTACGGGGGCATGGATATGTCGGTGGGCACCGGTCCCGGCTTCCATGTGCCTGGCGTCATTTCCACGAACGTGCCCGATTCTATCAACAAGGTGTTTGTTGGCGGTCTGCCGGCTAGTCTCAACGAGGAGCAGGTACAAGAACTCCTCAAGACCTTCGGTGAATTGAAAGCATTCAATCTTGTCCGGGAGAATGGTAATGGGGCCTCCAAGGTAGGATTCCCTCTCTTCATCCAGTTTCTGCTTGCTCATTGCTCTCAAGGGTTTTGCTTTCTTCGAATACGTGGATCCCGATGTCACAGATACTGCCATTCAGAGTCTCAATGGTATGGAACTCGGAGAGCGTTACTTGGTCGTCCAACGTGCCTCGGTTGGTGCTAAAGCGGATGCCCCCGGAATCCCCAACCTTCCCTACGACCAATTCCCCGAAATTCCTCGTCCAATCATGCCAGCCGGAGAAAGCAGCTCCTCGAATCGCATCCTACTCATGCTTAACATGGTAACGCCTGACGATCTCATTGATGATCAAGAATACGGCGACCTGTACGAGGATGTCAAAGACGAATGCTCCAACTTTGGCACGGTGGAGGATCTGAGGATTCCTCGGCCAGTGAAGAAGGACAAGTCGAAGTGGGCGTCTGGAGACACTGGGCAGATTGCTGCCCAGGATGCAGCTCGCATCGATGAGGCTTCGGGTGTGGGTCGTGTATATGTCAAGTACAGTGATGCGGACAGTGCCAATCGGGCTATGAAGAGCTTGGCTGGAAGATCGTTTGCTGGGCGCTCGATTATTGCGACGACGTTGAGTGAGGACAGTCAAACGACGCCTCCGCTCAACATCATATTCGCCCCTCAGCCCGAAGCGCCACCCCCGTTGCCTTCGTCATAAAGTGCTATTTGTCGCAATATTATTAGTGTTACTTTGCTCAAATATGTTGTTGGCTGTGAGAGTAATGATTTCGAAGGTCTTTCGCGCTCTTTCGGTCCTTTAATAATGGTCTAATAGGACAATGTTACTGCTTGCTGAAAGCTGATGTAATTATTTGTGAGGAGTCCTTGTTTATATAAATACTGATTATCGATGAAATAAGTGGGTGTAATGACTCGCTACTGGTCCTGAATTCAACAATGTTCGTCTTTGAAATGTCATGTCGGCTGGACCGATCTTCTGGTTCTTCACGACTTCTTCCTCATACCCCGTTCAATTCAGTTCAATTTCCAAGACCCCGCTGTCCCTCAACTTCGGGATATCCAATCCTTTCTCTAGCGTGGTGCTCCAGACACCTTCAAAACTAACGGACACCCTTTTTAGTGTGCCATGCCAACTCTCCCTCGTCGCCGCTTCATCGAATTTATCCCATGCACATCCAAAAGACTTTGTCGCGTCGCTGACACAACCCTCTTCAGATTCCCCGAACAGGAGGATATTCTCGAGGGGGGCGGACGAAGGGATGGTCTCGAGCACCATCGCTACCCAGTGGATAAAGTCCAACCGGGGGCTTTCTCGACCTATGAAGCCGGTGTTCATGCTAAACTCGACGGAGCAAAGGCGGGCGTTATGCGTAAGATGGATGATGTGTGGATCTGAGATGTATATCATCATGAATCACTGATCTATCACAGACAGGACATATTCTCACCTTGGTCAAGTGGGGTGAAGGATAACTGCTCGAGGTTTGGAGATGTTCTCAGCAGCTCATCAACTTCGCGGTGGAACGATGGGTTAGGAAATGTCTGCTCTGGGACTGGGAGGAAGGGCGCTAGACTAAGCTGAGTTAAGCGGGAGGTGTTGATGGGAGAACGTGGGCTCGTTATCCAGCGGAGGTGGTCTTGTAGGTACGGCAGGAACATCCGCAGGGATAGCTCATTGACCGAAGCGCGAACTGTCGACACACATGTCTGGTCAAACTTTGGGCGGGAATGGTACACATTTAGGGATTTGAGTGACGGCGTAGCAGAAAACAGAGAGATGGGATACCCCTCAAACCCAATGAACGTGATAGTATGGAGCCTGGGTAGCTCTATCACGTGTGTAAATGCGCATTTCAGCTCCGCAGACATCCTATCCCATTTGAGAAGATCGTCCTCGTAGAGATCGTGACTTTCAATGAGGATGCTCCGTAAATTGGTGAGGCTCAGGAGAATCTGAGGTAACTGAGGCTCATCGTACATCCACCCATAGCCGCGCTCTGTCGTCCTGTTAAAAGCTGGTCCGCTCCGTAAGACGATTTCGCCTACATATTTCGCGATACCGGATGAAATTGCGGCAAAGCGGCGGAATTTTCTGGCGACGGCGGTACTGGAGCAACGCTCTATGCCGTTATGTGGGCGGTCTATGGTAATATTCTTGAATATGTGAGTGTATGCGGCGTCTTTGAGTGTCCTATGGGTTTGGGAAAGAGCGATGCAAGAGGAAAGGTCGTCATGAAGATGATCGACAATGATGCCGAGGATCTCTTGAGGAAGGAAAGAGGCACTCATACATGGAGAGGATCAGCAGCCGTGTCTTTTATAGCGAGAATGAACTTCCGGGAAAAAGCGGTATTTTGGCCTAACTCGCATCTTGACATATGTCAATCTCAGTGATTGTGGTGTGATCGTGGATAGAACTCCGTCTGTGAATGATTTGAGAGATCGATATTCACCGGAATGATACGCGTAGCCGGTCATAGCGGATAGGAGAAAGAGAAAGAGCGAGAGAGACCGGCACGATGTGGGTTTTCCACCAGGCAAACACTCCGAGTTGACCCTGCCAACCTTCAGATTCATGCTGTTCTTGATGGCCTGATAAAACAAGTCAATGATATTCTGATATCGTGTGTTGGCAGAGATACAGTACCCGGCAATGATTTGTGTCGCCTTTACCCTACCTGGATAGTTCCTGCAACTCAGCTGGGATCCCAAACCAAGGGGGGTTTAAACTTACTCCGTATTGATTCCGCTAGGATCTTATCAGCTCTTCGGTTGGTAACCCGGAAAACAAGCCCATTCATCACTTGGATACCGAAGCTTTCCAGTTTCTTGGTCCGTAACCATCGTTTCCCGTGAATGAGATCTCGGTGAGAAGCAAGTAGAGTATTTCCGAAAAGCCGCAGACAGTGTCTTCTATACATCCACTAGACATGTACTGATGCTGCATCAGAAAGACATTGGCAGCTGAAACATGATCAATTCTGCAAGGACCTAGTCGAATCTCTCAAAGATGAGCTCGGTTGCAGTGAACATCACGCAAGATCCGAAAGACCACTCTCGTTCCTCACAAATATGATTTGGAACACTGGCTGACCAGTGAATTTTGCGACATCCGATATGAGCCAAGTGAGATAATTGATGATCGTATAATGCTACTATGATGTAGGTCGTCCTGCTTTCCTATCATCCCTTCTTTGTTGAAGCTATTTCCCGTTGAGCGTAGAGTGAAAGTTCAAAAAGCAATGGCTCGTACCCAAGCGGCCTTGCAATCCCTATATGCTTGAAAATAGGCCTGACATGCATCTCGGTCATAGTCATTGCGACTAAGGCAGCTTAGAGAGGCTTTCGAGGCAGCTTCACACGGACTAATCACCTATATTAGACACAAATGTTATATGTGCAAGGCATGGGTACGCGCTCAATGAATTTTGAAGGTGCATGCCGTCCCTAGCAGAGTTAGAGGAAGCAGAGATTGGGCAAGTCGACAGAACCTACCTGGAACTGCTCCCTGTAGTTCAAAGGCTTTGCATTATCCCGCGGTGCAGATATTTCTTCTTTTGCCATGCTACGAGAATGAAAGCATGTAATGGTTCAAGACAAGAAGGTCCGGCTTTTGCCGGCATGGCTTCGAATACATTATCAAGCTAAATAATCCTGTTCAACAATTCTCCAGCATTGCTTCCTCATCACCTCCAAGAAAATAGCAAGTTCCAATGCTGCTAAAGAACAGTCAAAGACAATCCAAAGACAAGTGCTGCTGCGTACCATCTAATCCACAGTCACACCCTTCGTTCTGAGCTCGTTTTTGGCTTGCGATATCTCAGCCATGAGCTCCGTATACGCTTCTGGGCAGTCTCTAAACGTCCACAGCCCCCATCCCAACGACCACAGAGAATACGACCCAAACGACACCAACAACCACCACGGAACCACAGGAATGATCTCCTGCACTACTGCGTCGTCGACAAAGGGAACTGAGAAGAATTGGAACATGACGAGAAGATAGAGCGCGATGGAAATAAGAGCAAGAACGGCGACACGGTGTGCTCGCGCCATGGCAAAGACAGAATTATTACAGAGGCTTGCTCTCAATTGGGCGTCGTGGCGGATCGAGAGAGCTTTCTTAGGACTCAGCTGCACAGCCACGCCTTACATCTCATCCGGTACACACCATGTCCACAGATCTGCCATACGCGGCCGACGCTGAAGTCTCTCTATCCTACGATGAGCTCGAGGTCTGTCTGCCTTAAAATCACCCGGAACACTTTCGACTTAACTGCCGTACAGGTCCTCAAGCTACAATACGAGAAGGAACTAACACAAGCCCATGTTACCGTACAGACGAAATTCAACTATGCTTGGGGACTGGTGAAGAGCCCAATGCGAGAACACCAGGTGGAAGGCGTCCGACTGCTGCAAGGTGCGTTGCCGTGTCCAGCTTACCCTCAATGTCATTGCTGAAGCTGGTCAGACCTGTACCGCGCGGAACCTACACGGCGCAGGGAATGCCTATACTACCTCGCCCTTGGCCACTACAAGATGGGAAACTTTGATGAAGCTCGCAGGTTCAACGGTACGCTCAATCCTGGAACAGCCATGCAGCCGTCTCACCCTAGCATGTAGGTCTGCTATTAGAGAAAGAGCCTACAAATATGCAGGCTCTCAGCCTTTCCCAGCTCATCGAGAAGGGCGTCGCTCGCGGTACGCCTTTTGTCCTTTTGTCCGATTTCTTCCGGTCCCCTCATTATCGGCGCAGAGGGCTACATCGGAATGGCGCTCGTTGGTGGCGCTGCAGCTGTCGGAACAATTCTCCTGGCAGGTCTCATACGGCGAGCAGCACGCAAATAACTGCTCCGTATTCTGGTTGCTAACGCACTCCGCCCTCTTTCCCTACATGCTACACCGTTTTATAATGTTCCTGCCACGATCAACGTCATTCGAAACAATGAATTAATCCTCCCATCTCACTCCTTCAATGGCGCCTAACGTTAATATTATGTGATTTTTCTGGAGACAGTCACGGCTAGTCGTCGATTTTGCGCAATCCCTTGTATTCTAGCATCCATATACGAATATAGCCAACATGGCCGATTTAAACTGCAAAGCAAAACTGTTGATCGAGTTCCAAAATAATTTAGTGTGCGACAAGATGGCGGTGTACACATGATAGTTAACGTGCAAGAGTCAGTCAAGTCCCCTTGTATATGCTGTGATATCCATCCTAGATCATTCAATATACGTTACTTGCTGTGACAAAATATGAGAGTAAAGAAAATGCGGCATAGCATGGCTATGTAGGAAGAAATTTTGCTGTAAGGCACTTATCAGCTATGTAAAAATGAAAAAGAACTCATGCTCACCAGCTTCGTCATACATCTGGGTTGACGTACGCTAACAAGGCGTTAATGACACTGCGGTGTACCTCTCAGAATGAAAAGGTCACACCTTGAACACTAGTATCCCCAACACAGCAACTCCGGCAAGGACTAGCGCTTCAAAAAGTATCCAGAACGTCGCCCATACTATCGTACACGTAAAGCGAGGACAAAAATAAATCCAGATAACGTACTATGGGGCTGTATACGTGGAAATAGAATAGAGAACTGGGTCGCATCCGAGTCATTTGTCTTGTGGAAGAAGCGGTCATCCGCAACATCCCCTGTAGTTGGATCAATGAAACACACCGCAAGCGAGAGGCGACTGGACGTACACACGGCGTAAAAAATGCTAGTGGTTGAACATTAGAAGGGCCAACAGAATCTAAAGGCACGTACTTCATAATACCAACAAATAGGCAATACCAACGTAGAGCCGACGCATGGTCAATAAACCAAAATCCGATGAGTAATGCTTCGTAGAGTATCGTCAATAATATCGTACTGGAGGGCGCTAAGCATCGGCACTGTGAACATGAACAACACGCACAATTTATCCCGAACAAGTTTCAGCGGCATGATCATACCGATGCCCAGGACAAAACTCATGATTTTGGCCACGAGAATGTCCCAACCAGCCAGCACGAACAGGCCACCAAACAGCGTCGAGCCAATATACCCAGCAGCAAGTATAAACGCCGGGCGTCCTCCTTCCACGATCGTTGCACCTCCGACATGTGGATCAATCGTAACCCTTAATATTCGCCCCCCAGTTAATACGGCCTGGTATGATGAGCACACGAACACGAGGTCTAAACGCAACCTGACGCACGATTATAATATGACACAACTCATGCCATCCAATCGTGAACAGCTTCAGGGGATTTATACAGTTTCGTATCCCTGGGACGTTCCAGAATCCGAAAATAACGACTGCCATCGAGATCATCTGTGATTTGGTGAGGATTCTTTGGTTATTCGAAGAGAATAAGGGAATATGGTTCACGCACTACGTATAGTACAACAATCTGGGGTGAGAAGACAGCAGGGCCATGAGTGGATAATCAGAGCCAGCAGCATGCCACGCACCTGGTCACTCGACGGTGTGACTGCCGACGTCGCAGCCGCTGAAGCACTGGCTGTCGGAGCCGCCAACGGTCGAGTCGCCACTGTTATCGATGTCGTGGCCATAGTAGAGTCCTCTCGTCGTCCTCGTCGTTGGAGGAAGAAACGGTACAGCAAATGTTCACGACAGTATGAAAACCCACCCAGACGCGTGGTACTTATATAAACAGTCCTGTGATGTTTGAGTGATACCTCCGGATCAGGGCAGCGAGTCCACGAAAGTACAGCTCTGCAGTCCAACCGCCTCGTGTCGTCCGTGCGTTCTTCCGTTCAGAATCAAAATAATGCGATCGATGTGACCGTTCGTGACCGTCACGCTGCCGTCACTCGACGCGTCGATCACGTGTGAATGGAAAGCTATTTAAATGAACAAGTTCACATACCCCGTCTTGCCTTCCAACTTTCATATCTGGGGCTTGAAAACTGCACAAACAGAAAACCTTTCAAGAAATGGTAAGCACAGCTTGAAATCCAACCGCTCCGTATCCTAATTGTCACGTTTTAGTCGGGTAAAGGCAACAAGTGCGCTCACTTGCGAGCCGCTTCAGCAATTGTTAACCCAACATTTTTCTAGCGAAAAACCGAGAGGAAAAATAGGAAAAATATTTATTCCCCCAACGAACAAGAGATTGACGCGATCTCATCGTGCTGGACTCCAATTCCCAGTTTCCAGGTTCTCCCGCAAATTGCGGGATAACAATGCTGGGAAGCAGATTGCTGCTGCCGCTCCTGGTGCGTTTAATTTATTCTACCATATGTCTGCTCAAATCCATCCTTCTTCAGTATACCTTGCCGCTGTGATTGAGTATCTCGTAGCGGAAATCGTTGAGCTCGCCGGCAATGCAGCCAAGGACAACAAGAAGCGCCGTATTCTCCCTCGACACCTTCAACTCGCCATTAGAAATGACGACGAGTGCGCACTTGGTTTTTATTTTTTTTGTAGCCCAGGTTCGTTGATCTTCCCATCGATTTCAGATTGCACCGACTCCTCGGCGATGTTATCATTGCCGAAGGAGGAGTCATACCGCACATTCTCCCACAACTTCTTCCTCAGACGAAGAAACCGAAAATACCCAAGTCGCAGGAAGTTTGACCTGGTTTGATTTGTTATTCGATTGCTTTTGATATTTGCTATGATATAACTGGTCGTCTAATGTACTAAACTAAATCTGATACCCAAAATTTTTTTGTAGCCATACGTTTCTATGTTCTATACTTTATTTCTATACGATATTGTACGTAACCATTTCCTAACGTACCTTACATTTGAGCTTCTTCACTTTCCCTAAAGACGCTAGACTTCCTTCTGACGACTTCTTAATCAACGGGAAACGAAGTCGCTTCGAATGGAACGGTTGATGATTGCCACAGAATCATGTTTCTGTGCGCGTCTAAACATTTTCTGAGATCACCGAAGTTCGTTAAGAATCAGATTTCCTGGTACTTGGACAAGGCTTTGCTTTCTACTCGGAAGCTGCCTTCAGTTATGAAATCTTAGGTGCTAACACTGGAGGCAAATCACTTGCGAATATATGGCAGAACGACCGTACAGTAAAAAGGATACTGTATCCCCCCTGTATACAAAGTCCGAATCCTTAGTTTATCCACTGATGCGCACAAAGATACATGATACATAATACATTTGTTCGTTTACATCACCACACACCCTTCTCCCATCTGCGGCAAACCATCAGGGCCGAATCCAAGTCCTGGAGGAAGCGGACCCATGATGCTCTCTGGCGGAGCGCCATATGATTGCATCTAATAAGACAATTTTCAGCAAAAAAACAATAAAGACGCCAGAAGAGTCTAACCTCGCTCATGAGATCCACAACCTTCTTCATATCAGCTGCATTCTTATCATCATACCCAGGAGCTTCGAACACCGCTACGATTTTCTGCACGCAAGCCATCTGGGTCTGGTATCGCTGCTTGTCTTCGGAAGTTAGATCTGCAGGGGGGTTCGCAAGGAAACCGGGGAACTTGAGAGGTGTGAGTCACGGATGTGAATAAGAAGAGACGAGTTATTAACTACCTTATCGCTCAGCTCCTTTAAAGGCTCGTAAAGGACCTCTTTGCTCATCAGCTGGCCCATCATCTTCTCGAAGAACCCGTCAATAGTCTCCTCACTCGCGTCAAGCCCACCGTTCTCTCCCATTCCCAGATCCTTCAGTAGAGCCTCTATGCCGGCCAGGTCTGGATCTGAAGCCGATGTAGAACCCTCAGCCTGAGAGAATTAGAGCCGAGAATAAACAAGTCGACCGGTAAACACACCTTCAAATCCGACTCGCTTTGTTTGAGCTTGTTCATGGTCTGCTTTATCTTGGACTGGAAGTCGCCACCACTGCCTGCGTCCTTGGGTTTATAGTCCGGACCCATCATCTGCTGGATGTCTTCGCCTCCCTCGCCATTCATGCCCTCGACCAGCATAGCTTCCCATGCAGCCTTCATCAATCGGGTCCGCTCTTCTTCCGTGCCACCCTCAGACTCAGGATGGCCTGCTTCCTCCTGGAGCTCCTTCATTAGGTTCTCCATCCCCTTTGCGAGTTCGCGTGTAAATTCCGCAGTGAGCTCGTTCTCGTCGACGTCTTCCGCCATCGAACTGAGTGCTGTCTTTGTTGACCCTGGGATAGACTTTGGTGGGAGATCCACGAGCGTGTTCGTACGTGGTCGTCCGTAGAATGTTGTCGTTGCTGTAGGCGGTGGAGGCGGGGGGGATGTTAGTGGTGAGACGGAAGGCGATGTTTTGTTCGCTGTGTTGAATTGGGATAGTACATCTACAGAACAGGTTTAAATGAAGTCCACAGGAACGATATGATAGATTCCGTACCATCAAACTCGTCGAAATCGTCTTCAGCATCCTCGACAGTTGCTCTTTTTGCCTCAGACATTGTGGCGCTGGACAAGAAGTGGTTTGGCGACAAAGCTCATCAGAACAGATCGAGATGCAGAATCACAATATGATAGATGATACTCACTGTCAGTGAACTTGGAAGACTGCTAAGGGTTACCGGTCCCCTACAATTGTGAGCAAGTGCCATGAAATGTATAAAGCTGAGTTTGAATTTATAGCCGACCCGGGTCCCAAAGCGAGCGATCTCCACCGAAGTTCCTCAGCCTTAGTTGCAGACATCGCTAGAGAGTTTGGATTTTCAGTGTCGGTCTATCGTGCGAAATCCACCATTGTCGATAACTTGAGCATATGTCAAAACATTTACACATGCATTTGATGCACTGGGTAACCAGCTACTTTTAATGCAAAGCGACGGCGGATCACTGGATATCCCAAAACTTGCTGTGATGGTACTCGCACTGAGACAACATTCGCTTTTCTTTCCACGTCGTCGTGTCATGCACATGGTCATCTATGGAATCGCAGACTCGGATCTACCCACATATCAAGACATCGTCAACATCTCTACTCAGTCGTATTCATCGTCGCCGTCGTGCATCCCCGTACTATCACCAAGGCAATCTCGTAATACCAAAGGGCGTTCCGATCCATTTGATCAATAACCGCTAGTAATCACCCCGTCTTCCCGAGGATAGGCCTGAACACTTGAGAGCAAGATTCTTTGAGAAGTGAAAACAAAAAACAAATCAACTTGTCCACTAACCTCTGCGCCAACAATTCGAGTCCAGCTGTTACCTCCAAGTCAGAGCCTGGACGAAGTTTCTCCACAGCTTGGTTGAACCGCCGAATGGACAATGCGACCTTTTCTGCCCTTTCCGCAGACTCCGTCGATATCGGTATTGTAATTCGGAAAGTCGCCTGAGTGCAAGCCAAGTCAAACGGTGAAGAGCGAACTCAGACTGTGGCATCACTTACCTTGACAGAACCCCAAAAAGGACAGAACAAATATCGAACCAAATCATTCGTAAATTCCCTGTACATTCCCTCTGCTCCACCCTGAATACTAGCTGCAAATCCAATGGAACCAACATCATTTTCGAAATGCGGGAAACGATCAAAGTATCGAGAAAATGAGAACCTCCAAAAGCTCTAAGATCAAAATCAGTTCTCATGAAGCACAAGTGTGGAGTGAACTGACAATGCGCACAGGGTTGGAGAATGGAGTTTCACCACTCGGTACATAATCCATCCGGATATAACAATTGAGCGCATTCAGTGGTTGATCGGAGACTACGTAGGGCGATGCCTCCAAGGCACATCGCAGTGTATTGAGGCCTGGTATAGTATACCATAAGGTCCCCCCCACAACATTCTCTCCATCGCCATCCTGTAGCACGAGCCTGGTGGGCTTCGAGTCGGACGTCAAGTCAAAATTGAGGTGGGAGAGATAGGTGTGCATGACAGCGATCAGCCGTTGCCGAGGCGTCAACGCCACGATAGTGTTGTCACTGGGCAATGAAACCTTAGTCCTCATATATGTTTCGTATGCATGGGCATCCCATTCTGCTAGGTGTAGAGTTTCAAGGTACAACTTGAGCAGAGGGGTGTAAGTATTTATGGTAATTACAATCCGATAAGTTGCTTACCGAGATAACACTCGGAGGGAGCTGATACTTTGCCAAAGTCTCTTCCAAATAATCGTGATACCCTTCCAATAGTAGAGCCAGCGTGAAACGCGTCACTACAGGCGATGACGTCAACTTAAGATCATCCAAATGTCAATAAGGTGACACTCACCGAGCGCCATCTTCTGCATAAAGGCAACACTTTCACGTACCGGCAGACCTTCTGGAGTTTTGTTACATCCACCAATTTCAACGTGTCCCCTCACGTGAAATTTTCCGCTTCGGGCTGAAAGGGTCATATATATCAGAGAAATTAAAATACCAAGCTTGACCAGACGACGCACGGTTATAGGTATACCAAATTGTTTCTTTAAGGTCAGTAACCATGCCGTGCACATTGAAAGTGTATCCTTGCTGTCTATTCAAGGCCGCGGCAGCTTTTCAGGAGCAACGGTTCAGACGACGTTTTGTGTTGAAAAGACGATATACTTACCAACCAGCTTCGCGAGGAGGTGGGCCAGTATCTGTTTCCGATTCTGCGGGAGCACTCTGAATTCATACTCAACAACTAGAAGTGTCAAGCCATTGTAGAGACGCAGTGGCACTTCAATGGTCCCTCCGGACGATGTATCTCTAGGAGGAACAATTCTTTCCGCAGAGCTTAATATAAGGGACCCAAATAGAGCCAGGATTCCTCTTATCATCTGTGTAACAGTAGCAGTGAGACCGGAGAAATGACCATTTCAAGTGAACCTACATAAGAAGTGAGATGTAAATGTTCCGCCGTTTCAGTATGCCATTCAGGCAGCTTATATATTTCAAGGGCCACACAGTGGTCCTCTTTCATACGCAGAATAAGGTCCATCGATAAGCGAACGTCAAAACGAACTGGAGCGTGTTTAACCTGTTCCCGACCTTTGGCTGGGTCTAGATTAGCAATAGAAGCGACGTCTTCCCATATTACTTGGGATAGGGATGGGAAAGTCTCCCTCAGATGGTCCAACTGGTCTTGTTCGAAACCGATGGTGTTGCAGATAGCAAGGAACACCCGAAGATGATTGCTCTTGTCGGCTATTGGAACATCCTGCTGGAAAGTAGTCTTGTAGAGCTGGTGGAGTTTTCTGACTCCCTCTGCCGATGAGCTACGCGTAATAAGAGGAGACCGCAGGGACATGAGACGAAGACGGGTATGTGCAGACGTAAAGGAGTTCTTAACCAGATTCTCTGTCTTGGATGACAAACCCGCCAGAGTAGAGGCCGAACAAGACTTAGACGAAGGTGAGACGATCCTGAGGCGATGTGAACCAAGATATTAATGTTAGGATCTACAGAAAATGGAACATCATGCAGGACATTTCAAAAGAAAAAAGTAGAACCCAAATCTCGTTATAACCTTCTTAAAAGGCTGGTCCAACCATCGTGAAAGACTTTGTATGAATTACAAGTTTCTGTTAGAACAGCAAGTGAGTCTAGATGTTACCTCGATCATATGCACCCTGGGACTACGGTTCAGTCAAAATTTTCCACTTTCTGGAGCTAGCGATGGAAGGCAACGCGGCGTGTTACATTGGTTCCGAAAATGAGGGTGAAAGCATCAAGAAAGATACAGGCATGTACAGATAGATCGCTCAGCAATTGCACTGTGATGCCTCTGGAACTTCGCCTGAAGACGGTGTCGTGACGTCGATTTCTGCATGTATATCAGCAAGCGTCCCGGATCCTCAATTGCTTCTCGGAGCATACGCACTTGTATTCCCATCCGTCTGACCTTCCTTCTCCATCCCAGGCAGCGACATAGCAATCTTCTTGAACAAGCTCTTGACGTTGTGTCCTGCCTTTGCAGACGTCTCCATGAACAATATATCGAGCTGTGTAGCTTTGGCTGTTGCTTCTTCTAACGTTACTTGCCTGCTCATGAGTGAGAGATCAACAAGAACATAAACTACGGAAAGTACATACCGTTTATCTGACAAGTCAGCCTTGTTTCCGACCAGCACTATTATGACATCGCTGCCTCTCTCCGAACGAACATCATCTATCCACTTCGTTGTCGATAAGAATGACTGTCGATCTACCAGCGAAGGCATGAGTACACATGGATCCTGTTATTAGTAGCGCTGGGCACTGACTTGTGATATCGAATACGACAATGGCGACTGAGGAATCACGAATGTAGGATGGTATTAGAGACCGAAATCGTTCCTGTCAGTAGAGGTAAAGTTGAAGAAGGGCGACAAGGAGCTGTCATGATGCACACCTGTCCTGCAGTATCCCAGAGCTGTAACCTGACTGTTCGGTCTTCAAGATACATCGTCTTGCTGAGAAAGTCTATACCGATGGTTGCTTGGTATGTATTGTCGAAGGTGTCATACATGAACCTACAGTGGATATTAGGCATCATTGGTGAAATATCGCAAGGTCGTCACCGTGTAATCAAGCTGGTCTTGCCGACGCTCTGGTCACCAAGCAGTACGATCTTGGTACGCTTGGGAGGCGTAGAAGAAAAGTCGGCAGTCGGAGGTGTCGAGGGTGAGTCCATTGCTAGCGTCGACGTCGGCGCGAGTGGCGGACAATTGTCAAGCTGGTATATACCGTTGACGTGCCTCGTTTACGTCATGAACTAATGTAACGGTCACGATTCATATTTCGCCCAACAAGTCCGTTAAATAGGTCTACTTTGTCTACCTCTACGCTCAGCGCAATACATGATAGGAAAATTAGAGACGATGTGAATGTGTATATGTACAGTGCGATGAATACAGTATATGTCCAAACAGAAAGATATAAGCTTGGAACCCCTGTAAAACAAAATAAGTCGTTGTCAAGAGAGAGAAAGCAAAAAAAAAAAAAACATACCAAAGTAGATGATAGCCCACACCGTAGAAGCCCAAGTAAATAAAGTCCTCCGCGCGACTGGCTCTCTATGCAGCCGCGTGCACCGTCGCTGCCCTAAAGTTCTTCACAAACTCGAACTGGGCTCCAGTTTCCGGACTGTGTGGAAACCTGGTGCATTTTTCGACGGTGCACCACTCCCTGGCGATGATCTGCAGCGCCTCGTCGCCATCCCTAGCCAGTCCGCTCTGAACAAGCCAGCACCCAATCACCATACCGGTCCTTCCTATGCCACCACGACAATGAACCGCACTAATTCGGCCACGGTCCTCATTATCCCTAATGACATCCAGCACACGGTACATGTAGTCCACGCTCTCCGGAAGGGACCTGTCTCGTATGGGGAAACGATGGTATTCAATAGTCGCGGTATCAATACCCAATATAGTCGCCCGTCCACACAGCACATTCGCATACGGAGACAACTCGCCATTCTCCGTGAGGTCGATGAAGGTCCGCACGCCAGCCTTTAGCAAGGAGTCGAGCTTGGGCCTGTAGGGGTTCTTTGGTGTCCAAGGGTACTCGCAAGCTAAGAGCAAGGGGGTGGCCCAGTATGAATTGGGTATCGGCCGTGGACAGACGGCTGTGAGCGGACTTGGACGATCCGGTGGTGGTAGAGCATGGATGAGACGCTGGTCGATTTGGAGATCAGCCTGGTCAGAAGAGTGACAGGTAGAGCTGAACGTTAACGACGACATGGTAGAAAGACAATCAGAAAACGAGCAGGGTTGAACGGTTGTTAGGGTGAAGAGATGGTAGTGGTCTTTATGCAACCCGATATACAGCTTCCCTAACAGGAACTTCAATGAAGACCTCCAAGGCATCGGCCACGTGATCGGAATCCGCTTGTCTCCGCCACCAATCGGAATCTCTCCCTTACTTATACTTGCTGCCATCTCCTTCTATCCCAAAACATACACAAAACTTCACAGGAATCCTCTTCCTTTCTCGCCCTTCTCCTGGGCCAGGACGACCTCGACTAGGTCAGTAAAGATAGTATTCCGTCTTGCGGGGCCCCGCTCTCCTTTCTAAAAAGGAGTCGAAACACGTGGAGTCCCTGGGTGCGTCATAATTTTCAGCCATTCGAATTTTGTGGAGCACCACAGCCTTGGCATCGAACCAGAGTAACAGCCTCGAAAACTCAACAATGAGGACCTCTACGCTATTATTGTCAACAACGGCCGTACATCTACATCTCGTCAACGGAGCTTATACTGCTCAACATAGCATTTCTATATGGCCGTAATAGTACGGCCGTTAAGCTACGGCGCCCCGTTTCTGTGTACTAACTCCCTACGTTCTTGCCCCCAATTTCTGGTTGTATAATGCCGATATCTTTGAACCAGCTTCGCTCCCATCTGACCGACCTGCAATACAGTGCTCACAATGTCTATGGTGTTCTGGCCCCGCTCCATAAAGATCGCATCAAAGATTTTCTTCGTGGGCAAGTGAAAAGGGTAGCATCTGGAAACGGGATCTTTAAGGGTGTCCAGATTTAGATCAAAGTCCAGCTTAGCTTGCTCCGTGGACTGCAGTCGAGACTCGAGACTTTTTAAGTACCAGACCTGGATGCAGCCTCAGACTCGCCTCAATTTCGACGTCACCTATGTATATACCAAACGACCTCGGTGATCGCATCAACGATTTTCTCAATGGCCGACTCAATTTTTGCCTTGTCGTCCGGTTGCATTAATGCATCTGAAGGATGGGACAACCGCCTTGATTGCCGCTCTCAATAAAGACTGCCAACGGTATTGCAATTGCCGGCATCATCCCGAAAATGCCGCAAAATTACATTATATGCCGCATGTATCCTACACTAAAGACTCTTTCTAGATGTAAAGCAGCTCAGTTCTAGCTTCAACGTTCTCATGTTCCGTCTGACTTGGGCAGAATTGGGTACGTACACCTCGAAGATGAAGGGCGTCCAACAGGGTATCTACAAGCGGTACTAGGACATGAGCATGTGCAGCAGATCAGTTGCCAGTTGGACTCGGTTCCACACCTTTCGTGACGCCCCGCATCTTAGCTGTAACTGCGGATAACCAGCCATGTGCTTTATTTCTTGAGGTCAGAAGACTCGCAAGAATACACGAGGTTATACGAATGTCCATGCGAAGGGAAGCGCCACTCGGAAAATGAAATTCAGAGGACCAAAATTATATCCGCTATCAGGGCGGGATCGCGTACTTTGACTTTAAATAGGTATCCCGCTCCTGGTACGGGCGCAAAAATGACTAATAGCTGCTTATCTTTCCTTCGGCCTGGGTACGGCCCAGATGCTCTTTCTTTTTCCTTGCCTGTGAAAAGCGCCGATGAAGTCGCCACCTATATTTGTCAGGGAAAGGTCGCAAACCGTCAAGACTACCGTCCCGCTCTCTGTCCGATCTCTAGCGTTTTTGCAAATGGGGTACCATTTCAAAGAAACGTGTTCACGTATTTCATCTACTGTGTAATGATACATTTACCAATTAGCCCTTGAGCGTAGTAGTCTATACTTCTAAGAGGATAGAGATTAAGAATATATTAATACCACCACGTACACTGTATGACCTGGAGTTCGATCACACGTTGCTACCATCTTTTTTCGTCTCAATTTCCCATGGCTCCCTGCTGGTCGTAGAAACATTGTCAGATACCTTCATATCGTCAGATTCCATCCGCTGGATGTCGCCCATCTCGTGCTGCTCAACGGACACGAAGACTTCTGGGCGGGTGTTGGCGCCAAAGCGGAGGACAGCAGCATCGCTCTGGTGGTCCCGTTAGCCCTCGGATAAAATCAGATTGAAGCAGATGACTACGAACTTTCTTTGTCCGAGACGCGGTACCTCCTGACGTAGACACGATACCACCCGTAGTGTGTGAATGCGAATTATTGTTGGCGCTGCTATCGTAGGCCCATCCGCCTCGCGAATTGAGACTACTCATAAGCGTGTTTGTGTATAACTTCGAAAGGGGGAAGTTGAACAGCAGATGAAGCCCGGTTGGCTGTAAAGGGAGATGTCATTGTCAGTTGTCAACTTTGGACTATGACATGGGGTCAACTTACATCCAAGAGATATACCATCAAATCTACGATGGCGCATACTGAGGTTATCAAGCCGGTTTGTACAGTAGCTAAAATGCAACAAGTGAGCAATAGAAGTTGCAGCATAGCGTCAAATGGTGTACATCGAATGATCCTGTCAACCAATTCATCAGAGGTTTGGAATCCTGTCTTATGTCTTCTCTAGAAGATACAGCGTCAGCCTGGAGGCCCTGTTTCCAAAAGGACAGCGCGTACTAGATGCCAGACCAGAATACCGGTAATGAGTATGTCGGCGACACAGGCACCCACAAGCCAAAGGATGACCCAAGACTAAAAGGTCGTGTCAATCAGATTGAAATGGAGCCAAATTGGACGGTATGAAGTACCTTAATTTCTTGAAACTTGACAAACGTTCCAGCTTTCATTGCCTCGGCGGTACTACCTATGGCTCCCACTGGAAACAACCTTCGGTCAACGAGGACAGGTTTTCGGGACATTGCGATGGCCTACCGGTACCCGCTAGTGCAGTTGCGACAACCACTGACACCATCCAAATATTTGACGTTAAAATCTTTACTCTCCATGCGAAAAATAGTTGTACAGCGCCAGACACAATGCCCTGAGAGTTACCATGAGAGCTGAACACCGCAAGGCAAATGGATCAAGATTTTACCGTCAATGCGGCAGCTTTAAAGACGTCAAAACGATTTCAATTTGTCATGAAGAAACGAGACGTACACACGGCGAAGACTAGAAAACAAAATGAGCCATTGCAATCAGAGCATCATGGGAGAAGGACTTACGTATTGTTACATTGAGGAGATACGCTGCGTCGCCTTGATGGGAAACGCAGTCAGTAAAGTGATGGATTCATTTGTGGGCTTACTCACTGAAATGTATAACAAGGGATGTATACAGGTAGGCGAATTGCTATAGGCAAAATCAGAAAAACGTGCAGGTTGATACAGAGGAAACTCAACTAGAGCCGTATTTATGACGTTGATGAGAAGGAGGAAGACCACCTTCGCAAGAAGATATCACGTAGTGAGCGTCGGTAGAAGGTGGCAGCCGACCCCGATACTCACTAAAAGCTTCATCCAAAGTTTGTCACGTCTGTGCGAAGAAAAATATTAGCAGCTTATGGCTGAAGAGGAAAGAGTACGCACTTCTGGTATGTGACCAAGTATATGTATGACTGAGCCATAACGACACCCATGAGAAGAATATTGAAGAAGTGTCCGATAAGCATAGGACCATGGCTGGAATTGTGGTGTCAGTACTCGATTACAAAAGAGGACGGTATTCTGCTCACGAAGGTTCAGCGACAGACATGGTGACGGTAAGGAAAGCTGCGGGATACCAAAGAATATCGCCACGGATAATCCGAGCACATATGTTTATATACCCGGCTTGAGGCCGACAGAACGCGATCCGTCGCAAGGCTGAGCGCTGCCCCTGAGACGATTGGATAGGCACGCTTGCCCGGAAGGTACGGACCAGTACAGACCTCGGTCTCAAGACTTATCATCAATCTTGAGATACGTCGTGCCTCATATCAGAGGTCCATTTTGCAGAGTTTCACAGCTGATGGGCCCAGAGTTGACGCCACAGAAGACTTCAAGAACTGGTATATTTGCCATGGATACCTGCGTGTTCTTTCTCTGATTGAAAAAGGCAGCGAAATTGTAGGACATAGCTCGAGATTGAAATCCTGGGAAGGAAGTTTTATTAGCCGACACCAGGGACCCGTCGACAGTTAACTTACCCGACGCCAAGGCTCAAGGGACGTGAGAATGAATCGCCGACGCTTTGTTGCTTTACCGGTCCTCGCACCCCTAGCAGATCATAGGAGCAGGGCACGGAAGTACTGTCTAGCCAACCGCTGTCAATCAGTCCGATAGGTGGGGAAGGGCAACTGCTTAGTGAGAACAAGTTTCCGTCGCTTCAAGCAACTTTGTTTAGAATGAAATACTGGTCAGAAGGCCTTTACGATATGACGGAGGGGGATGATAATCGAATTTGTAGGATTTTCGCCATCGCAAGAGGTAATTTAGTAAGGCCTAACACGTCTTCACATCCGAGCCCACTCGGGATATGTAGAATAGGCAGGTATAGACAGGAATAGACCCTTGACGACAGACCTTCGTAAGTACCGTAACAGCATACTAATATTGATTTTTCATCACCGGCACGCTTACTAAACTGCCCAAGAGCTGCGCTTTCGGAAAGGTGGCATGCCCAAGCGACAGGCCACTTCATGGCAAGAATTCCCTGAAAGGCGGAGGTTGAACACATATCAGATTGACAATGTGGAAAGACACGCCAACCTGACAGCTTACCGTAACTCCCGATACTGTCAGCCTTGATCCTCCTCGCTATCGAGACAGAAACGAGACGACTTTCAAGGATGAATAGGCAGATGAGGATTTTGGTAGGCGGCCCTATTTCTGCGGAAATTTCGAGTCGTTTACACACACTAAGATACAAAGCCGTTAACTGTTATACACAATCTCCAACAGATTATCAACCTCTCAAGCATGCTATCCCAATCATTCAAGAGTGACTCTCAGACTCACGGTCTCCAAAGTCTGGATGCCTCATGAAAACATCGTCAAAATTTGAGGTCCAGTTCCACGTATATCCTGGTCCTAGCAAAGGCCACATGCTAGGACTGGAATGCATCGTCTCCTGGCCTGAGCTCGCAGTACTGAACATCTGAGATAAGGAATCAGGACCAATATCTTGAGAACCTGACACTGCCGTATTCAGGTGTAGATGGTCAACGAAGCTCGGAGTATTCTGCAGCAATGTCGACGTAGATAGCTGAAATGCATCGATGAGGGACCGTTTTATCAATAAAAAGCAACGACAATACTTCGGAAAGATTCATGGGTGTCAAGGGGAAGGAGACACTTGTAGCAGGAGCGGTCGGGCCCGCCATCGTGGGCGGCGTCCATCCCAGACTTACCAACGCTTTCGCAATGTCAGAAGAAGGATCGTTAGCCCATTCTAAGTCGCTTGTCGAGATTTGCTGTCTCCCACGTTCTTCGGTTCGATTAAAGGTATCTTCTGAATCGGGAGGGTCACTTTTAGATTCTGGACACCAGTCCACTAGCAGCCGGCTAAGAATTTCGCCGCTCTGTGTCGCACATTGCCACGAATGGCCCATTTCTTGTAGAGCACGCAAGCAAGTTTTCGCACCTTCTAGAGATGCGGCTGTTTGTTTCTCGGTGCGGCCATTCCCTTGCGTCACAGCACCGAGGAGATGCGACGTTCCTGCTGTAAATGTTATTTGAGTGAGAGTTATAGGTGCATAGCGAAGCCCTGGACATTCGCGATACAACTGGCACGAGACATAAGTAAGCCAAAGGAAAAGAAGAGAGGTATGCTCCATACATCTAGAAGCTGAACGATTCGTGATCTGGGAAGCGACGTGAGAACAGCTTAGCAGATATAACAAGAGACCACTTACGATGCTTTACTACAACGAGAAACAGCGAATTCGTTTCCATGAGAACTGCCTCGGAGATAAAACGGCCGGTGTAAAAGTATTACGACGAAGTAATACATAGCATGGAGCATAATGACATGTGGCGGGCTGGGGTTCTTACTGGAAAGAACAAGACCTTCGGGTAGATCGGCGTACCATTTCTCCAGTTGGATACTACAAGATGTCAGCAAAAGAGTGAGGGATGCCATGAAAATTGTGGCATACTCTAGATCAGAGACAAGATTTTGAGTTCTGGCAGAAGATATCTTAGCACGCAGATGATATCTATGTTCAAAAGGGTGAGTTGGAAGAATAGATAGATGAAAGGAGCTACGAACACTACATCGGCCACGCGTTCCGCAATATATGCGAGTTTACAAGTCCAAAGAAAATTGGTGCTCGCCCAACTGGGTATACGGATATCTTGAAGCTCCATGGTGTCTGGGTCCTCTTCTGAATCCTCTTCTGAAATCAGATACGACTGTGATGTCAGTTGTACGGGCATCCAGAGAGCAGCATCCCTTTCCTTGTTGACACTAGGAAAGGGAGTCTCTATTTCCGACATTTTCAACGTAGGGCTCCGGCCAACATAGAAACCCCACAGTCTATCTCCTTATCAGTAAGTGGTGCCGAAGATACAGAAGAAGCGCACTTGTCCTGTATATAGCACATATAATACGTATGATCACGGTCATCTTTGAAGGACTCTGTAATGAGACGTTTCTGAATCCATTTCGAACAATCAATTCCAAGACCGACTGGCAAGATGGTACCATCAGCTATGAAAATCGAATTTTTTGAATACATGAAACTGACGAGTCTGGCTCATTCGTAAACCCATACCTATTACAAGATTCAGTGACACTTGTTAAAATCACAGAGATCCAAGCCTACCGGCATACATATACCCCAGACCATGACGTGCTGTCCCGGAATGATAACTGCCAAGTAACATCAGACCCACGACGGTGCTTAGCATCGGGCTTTCAGCCTCAGAATCGATGGCTCGCTTTGCTTCAGAGGCAAACACAGCACCTTTGTCGCATGAGCCAAGGCATGTACGATCTGAATAATTTGCGGCTAAGGAAAGAATAGCATTATGCAGAAGGCCGCTATACTGGGATGTCCGTGCCAGAGGAGGTGCCGCTGAAAAGGACAAGCATATTGCCACGTCTCTTTTGAAAAGAGTAGGTTCGACCCAATAGCACCAGCTGTTTAAGATTAAGTGTGAGGTCTATTATCTAGTGGATGAGCTCAAGGTAATGGCAACCTACCTATTGAAGTAAGCGAAAAACATATCGATAAGTTCATCGTGAATATCCCGATGGAAACCGTCAACGACTGGCAGATTTCGCGACCAATCGAAGTCTGTACCTCCAGAATATTCTGGAGACGATGTACTATAAGGCGAAGAAGCACCAAGCGGAGTAGCATTCAGTGGCATCGATGCAGAAGATGATGAAACTGATGGTTCAGGCAAGTGCATAAACGCTGAAGTTGGACCATATTGTCTCAACTCCCCGGTGTCGTCGTCAATCTAGGGGAGGAAATCACAAACTTAGAAGACATGGGTTGTAGAAGAAGTAACCTTGAGCCTGTTGATCCCAAAGTCATTAACAGAGAATGAATCAGAGTCTTCGTCCTCTGGCTCTGCATTCAGATCTCCAGATGACCCACCGGCTGCTCTATCTTCGTGCGCAAGACCAAGAGAGAGTGGCTGGGATTCCGTGAGAGAGGCAAGTTCGTCTATGCCCCGCTCTCTTAATAAAGTCTCAAGAACTTTGATACGTTGCTTCAGAGCATCCACATAAGGTTTCGTGACCGGCTTCCGACCGTCCTGCTCTGTGGTGTAATGGCACTCGTCGTTATACAGTGAGCATGTACCTGGCATAGATAAGTCGCGTATCTGAATGCCATACGAGCAAGACATACTGCACTTGGGCTTCATCGCGTCGCATTTTGACTTCCTGTTCATACAGCATTAGTTTCGAAAGCGGGAGGAGGCTCTTCTAGGTACCTCCTTCGACATGCATTACACGCTCGACTGACGTGACTCTTGCGCTTTGGAACCTTTGCAGGACGCGTTGAAGGAGAGGGAGAAGACGTGCGTTTGTTAGAAGTCGTAGCAGCTGCCGCTGTACCTTCTGCCATGGTCGTGGTCATGGATCAGGCAGCAAGTATTACGTCATAACTTTTTGAGCAGTTAGTACGGTGCCAACATCACAGCGTAAAGCATTATGAATTCAAACAGCAATAATGCCGTGCATCGCACCCCGTAAATGGTATATATAAATTACGAAAGTTCAATGATATTAATCTCTCTCTAGATTTGCAATGTTCTTGGCAAGTTTTAGATCTCGCATGGAATAAGTAGAGGATTTCGCAGCTTGGTAGAGGAAAAGTAGGCAAACCCGAGGGCAAAAACCGGGAAAAAGAGGTATGCTTACCGAGCTCAAAGGGAAAGAAACAGCAAAAGCAGCCGCGTTCAATGCAATGGAAAAGAGAATACATGGCGATGTTGAATACCTTGGGCAACGATAAACCAGACCGAGATAGCGTAAGGGACTTTTCGAATCTGCCCTACCCTGCCCCTTGCCTGTCCGTTCGAATTCCGAGGAAGCGCATGGGCTGGCGGTACTAATCGGTCCTGCTCAAGGTAGATTATCTGTTCCGTTCATTTTCCGCTCAACATTCCTGGAATCGGGTTCAATATGTTAGTCAGTCTAAGGACGGTAAAAGCACTTGTCTTTCCAAGGCCTTGTCAACTATCGCTTATTCAACTATGTCTACTACGGCCACGGCGTCAACTCTAACTCCCAGTGATATCAGGTCCCTTTGTCGTGCAGATGCCTTCAAGGAAGCGTCGACTGCTGGCGTCTGCGCCGGGCACGTTCAAGCAAATGTAATCATCCTTCCACAAAAGTATGCGGAAGATTTTCGATGGCTTTGTCTAAGGAATCCAGTCTCGTATGCGTTTTCCCATTCCACACAATATAATGCTATAACAATCTATTATCGTCTTCAAGGTGCCCTCTCCTCGGGGAGACAAAGCCAGGAGACCCCCGCGTACCCGAACATCTTGCGTCTAACAGCGATATTTGCACTGACTGTCCCTTGTATAACATATACCGAGACGGGGTATTTGTTGAAAGCAAGACAAGTCTCGAAGATTATTGGCAGCCGGATAATATCGCGTTTTTCATCGGTTGTTCATACTCTTTTGAGGCTGCTCTCACAGAAAATGGACTTACTCCACGACATATTGAATTGGGGAGAAACGTGTCCATGTACAGGACCAACGTACCACTGATGGCTGCTGGAGGTTCGTATATCCTCTAGCCACGGTTTCCTTCCTAATATACATAATTTCCAGTCTTTAGCGGAAATATGGTCGTTTCCATGCGACCGTACCCCATCTCTCAAGTCCCGAAGGTGCGCGATATCACTCGCCCTTACTTTCTCGCACACGGCGAACCCGTCGCGTACGGCATAGATGGTGCCAAGGCGCTTGGATTGACGGATTTCGACGGTTCGAACCCAGACTTTGGGGACCCATCGGAAATACGTGAAGGGGAGATTGCTGTATACTGGGGCTGTGGGGTAACTCCCCAGGTAGCGGTGATGGACAGTAGGATCGAAGGCATTGTTATGGGACATGCGCCAGGACAGATGCTAGTGCTGGACATGGTGAACAATGCTGTATGCAAGGGGAAACTATAGGCTCACGTCAAATTTGGATCGCTCACAAGATATACTATCACTACTTGCTGTCGAAAGTTGCCCTTATTTTATGTACATTCTACAGGCACATCTATTTATTCATTGAAGTTGGATGAGCATTCATTTGCCATAAAGGTACTGGGCACGCACTGCTGGCCAGGCGAGTATGCGTATTTATGTATTCGGCGGAATATGATCCAGCATGGAGAAAGTTTGCACTGTACGTTGTCAGGATATTCACAATTTACTGAAGTCGAGATCCTTCTATCGTCGATACTCGAAACGCATGTTAATGTTGAAGCTAAAAAGTGATTTGGGCCCATCCTCCTCATTGTTCTCTAGCTTTCGCGTCGTTTCACCAGTATCATATACGTGGTAGCCGTTTGTTAAGAACTCGAACAAGAGAAGTTGCCATTACGAAATCCGAAAAATAAGAATGTTAGATGGATACGATAAATGAAAGAATTGGATTGTTCTCTTCGACCATAAGATAGTACCGGCCGACATCTCGACCAGGTTTTCGAATCTCCCTCATAGTAAGTCCTGGCGTCATAAACTACTGCTTTTTAGCATCCCGCTCCATTTTTCTCAATGCGCGTTTTCGAATATCTTTGTGCAGACCATGGGTGTAGCCAATGAACAAGCTGGGAATTCCAATGACTGTTCGAGCATAATCCATAATGGCATGAGTCCAGTAAGGCGTCGATGTATTAGGTCGTCCGCTTCCAATGGCTCCACAAGCGAGGCCTATTTTTGAGAGGACTGTCTTCACATACGAAGATGGCAAGGGTATAAATGCCGAGGGTTTGCGAATCTTGGAAAGCTTGCTGACCTGCAAGAACGTGTCAGAGAAAGGAGTTATGCAATGTTCTGTCCATAAACATACCACGAAGTACGTATTGACGTGCTCAACAACAATATTGTGGGCCTTGACTTCTTCGGCAAGAGCGCTTGTAAAAGTCGTGAGGAACGCCTTCGTGCCAGAGTATGTGGCAAGCATCGGAGAAGGAATTGCTCCAGCAAAAGAACCGATGTTCAGGATAAGGCCACGCTTGCTAGATTGAGGGATGAGTCTACAACGATTTGGCGCTGTTGAGGGGGCCACGCACCGCTGAATCATTCCTGGAAGAACCGAATAGGTAACGCGCAAAGTTCCATTGATGTTGATTGTCACAATGTCGTCCATCTCGTCTTTGGGCGTGTCCACGAAATACACAGGCATGGAGTGTGATTTCCCAACGTTGTTCACTGGAAGCATTGTGAGTGGAAGGTCGAAGATGAAAAGCAGTTATGTGTACCGAGTACGCCGACATCTAAACCCTCGACGGTTTTGGTAAAATTGTCGTATGAGCTCGAGTCATTCTTGGAGAAATCGATAGTGAAAACTTGAGTCTTGACAGCAAACATGGTGCCTGTACAACGATGAATGACGAGACAGAGCCAGAAGAATGAAGATACGTACTTATTTCCGAAGCCGTTGCATCGAGCAGACTCTTATTTCTTGCTACCAACAACACGTTATAACCAGCCTTGGCTAACTGGAACGCGAACTCTTTCCCAATGCCGTCTGATGCTCCCGTGACCACCGCCCATGCACCCTCCTTCGCTCCGAACCGCTTGATCTACACAAAAAAAGTCACTGGCCACTCGTTGATACAAAACAAAGGCTTACATTCTGCCCGGGCAAGACGAATGTTTGCAGAAACACGAACAAGGTCCGCAAAACAAACTTCAACAGGGTCAGGGAGCCGATACCAAGTAGCGCCGACGCAAGAATGGGGTGAGATTGTGCTGTAATAGAAATAAGTCATTCGGATGATATACGGAGCGAACTTTCATGACATACCGAGGTCGGCGCACGACAATGCGGCTTTCTGTATGGAGCTCATGATGGTTGGGGGAAGACCTGTTCGGACCGGTTTCCGGTTTGGGTACGAGACGCGTCAGAAAGATCTGCCACAAATCTGTCGCTTACCACCTTACAAAATGTAGCTAAAAATGTTGAAATTTGCGTTCAATGGCCATATTTGACATCAAATAGTATATCTGCCTTTACAAGCCAACAATTTACTTCAGCAGTAGCCAGGAATTATAACTGTCGCGCTGAGAAGTGCTACTACACGAAATTTACGGTATCTTGCGATCCTTGCTACACTATTTAAACTTACATTTCATGCTGCGATAAATTGATCTTCAAAATCGTCAAGTACTTGCATTGCCAGAGTTCACAATGAACTTACACCGACATGATCCGTGGACAAAGGATGAACACAACGTACATACATCGCGATTCAGTTGCTCTCAGTACAGCTGGATGCAAGCATTGGTACCGACAAGTATCATCGCATGTTTTCCCACTGCGAAGATAGAAAGAGCACTTCTGAGCTTGCGGCGTTCGGCTTCTAGCTGAACGAGCGTCAAGCTTGAGTACTTGAGTACTGAATGGGCGCTTCGAGATTGTTCTGTTGTCGAAGTCAAGAAATTAAACTTGAACAAATCTGGCGTCATCCCCGGGCCCATGCTGTTGAATGCAACACCATTAAAAATTAATTCTCTTTTATATGGATGTACCTTCATTTGACTAGTAAGGGGAAAACATCACAGCCTAGAAGATATGTGGCTAGCGCCAGAGGAACAAGAAACCCTGAGAACCCTGAGGTGTTTCCCCAATAGCTAGCGCTGTTGATGGCGCCTGGCAGGTCCGGATCCTGAATAAAGTTGTGATAGCCTGAGGTCCATTCCCGATAAATGTATATTAGAAGATCGAAAACATGCTGATAGCCATATCAGCAACTTTCGGTACATGTGACGGAGCCAAGACTTTTGATCCTGTGCGCCCTAGTACCTACAAAGCTACAAACGCAGCACTAGAGCTTGTGAAAATACTCCCGGACCAGCACAAATCAGACTTATCAATTCAAACTCCGATACGATCGATAAAGAAAAGAGATAAATAGCCCCTGAAGGTAGCTCCCGCGCTCGAGTCCGCCCCTCGCAACCACACCCAACTTCTCTCTCTTTGTGGGAAGTGGTAAATTGCTAAAGAGAGAATTATGGCATCTCCCGTCGTTGACATGGATAAGAAAGATCCTACGTCAGACTCTTCCCAGCTTCCAGAGCTCAGCAACTTAAACGAACGTCCACCCAGACCCCCGATGTCGTATTCCTCTCCTTCTGCCTTCCTGCACTCGTTCGCTGCACGGAACAAGGCAGTCTGGACAAGACGATTTATTCTGTCTTTATTGGCAGGGCAAATCGTTTCGCTCTGTATCACCTGTACGAATGTTACCACGACGGAACTGCAGAATAATCGCAACTGGGCTTTACCCACAACTCAGACCGTTTTTCTGTATTTTTCGTTGTTCATGGTGTATACTCCGTATACAATGTACAGGTACGGCATCAAGGGCTGGGCGGAGATGGTATTTCGCGACGGCTGGAAGTGTATGTCATCTTTTCTGTGTCTAGTTTTTTACCTGAAGAAATTTTAGATTTAATTCTGGCTGCCTGTGACGTTGAAGGAAACTTCATGGTGGTTAAGGCATACCAGTACACCGATCTTCTCTCATGCATGCTCCTCGACGCCTGGGCCATCCCCGTGTGCCTCTTCTTTTCTTGGTTGTACATGCGTACCCGCTACCACTGGACCCAAATTCTTGGCGTTCTCATTTGCATTGGTGGTCTAGGCCTGCTGGTAGCCTCGGACGAGATCACCAAGAAAGATTGGGAAGCCAGTGCTCGCGGGAAGGGAGATGCATTTATGATTGCAGGGGCGACATTGTATGGGTTTACCAACGCTACTGAAGAGTTCCTTGTTCGCAAGAGGCCTTTATATGAAGTCGTAGGTCAGCTCGGTATGTTTGGATTCGTCATCTGTTCGATTCAAGCCGCTGGACTCGAGCATGCGGACATGCATACCGCGTCATGGAATGGGGCCGTCGTTGGATTGATTCTCGCATATACTGCTGCGATGTTTATCCTGTACTCACTGGCCCCCGTCCTTTATCGCATGGCCTCTTCGGCGTATTACAATCTATCGCTGCTCTCGAGCGACTTTTGGGGACTGCTTTTTGGGTTGGGCCTTTATCACTACCATCCGTATTGGTTATACTTTGTTGCGTTCGCTGTTGTTCTCCTGGGGCTGATTACATATTTCTGGCACACAGCTCGTAAGTACACTGAACTTTCACTCCGTTGGAGAGCGTTACTGATCATGCCTTACAGCGGAGGATCAGGCCGAGCTCGACCCTCAGGTACCAGCGTACGTCAAGAAAAGGCAGGGACGCGAAGAGGGGGAAGAGACAACAACGGTGTAGATTATATGATCTAACGATTTAAGGGTATTTTATTATTATGAAGGATTCACGGGTTTTAAACGCGCTTGGTTTTACTAAAAAGGGGATAACGAAAAGAAAACCTCGAATGACGAGATCCATACGCGACAGTGATTGCACATTAGTCTGTGAACTATGGCTCCCGGGTAGAGCACGGCCGATGACACGCGTCCTGTGCAGAATACGACGAGTTGTGTACGAGTAACGGCAACCTATGACACCGGCTAATTACACGCCGATTCCCGATGCCCCGACGCAAGTACGCGCCGACTGCCGATCCGTAGCCAATAGGAATCGAGGAGTTACCGTATAGTTCCAGATGTACGTCCAGATGTGAGGTCTCTACTTGGCTACCGCGGACCTCGAGCTTAATTTCTCCAGGCCTCATCGGCCGAAGTACGTGGACCTTCTGGCACCCGAAAAACTTGGAAATGTCTTCTGGAGCACAACAGAGAAAAGATGCCGCATGAGTTCGCACTAATGCAGGTGACGTCAGCATGACATGCCGAGTCGGAAGCCGGGTATCCCCTGAGTAAACATGCTCGCCGACATAATACGCATATACTCTTCCTGACGCATATAACTGCCTCTCGGTCCAGATGGCCCGTTACTAACCAAACATGTACCCTTATCCTTCCTACCACTACTTCTATCGTTGGCACCGCCGTCCGTCGCGTCTCCTCTGGTTCGTACTCGGAGCGGGTGCAGCTACTCTCTTCATGAAGCACCGGGAGGCCGCTCGCGTGAACGGAAAGTTCTACTGGGGCCATTGCCAGCGACATTCAGTAAATTATGGTCCTGTTCCGCCACAAAGCCGGATCGCCCAGTGGAGAGAAGAAACGGAGAACTGGAAGCCAACTCCACCACCGGCTGTCCCTGTGGGTAACTCAGTATACGAGGGAAACTATTCGAGTGGATGGCGCGAACAGGAGTGGGATGCAGAGAAGGAAAAGATGAAGGCTTTTGGCAAACAGGCCCAGGATGCCGTACGTTGTCTTTTTATCATCCGAATGCTGCCTGACACGGGGTTAGATGACAGACATGTCGGAAGCTACGCTGGATTCCCTGCTTGCCACGGTGACTGCTCTCAAACAGGTGCGTATAAGTCGTTCCATGCGTACAGATCCTTACCGTGTCCAGAAACTCGCTCAACATCGTGCCCAACGAGAGCAACAAGAGAAATTGCTTGAAGAAGAGATCGAGCAACACAAGAAACATCCTCCGCGTTTTGTTTAGAACGTTGCCAACCACAGCGACACCTATTTGCAATCATCTATAACTTTCCAGCAGTCTTCAGCACTCTGTATTACCACCCAATCCATTAATGTATAGTCGACAATTATTCCAGACCTCGGTCCCACATTCATGCATGACTTTTCATTTCTACGGATGCATCCTGTAACTCTGGTGATTAACTATACAGTTTCCACTCACAATATCATTATATTCTTCGCGCAGTCGAGCTTAAAGAACCTTTTCCCTTACTGTTTAGGTGGATGATCCTCTTTATTCTTGGCTTGGATAGATATGTCTTGCACTGGCTTACCAACTCCGCCTCGCATCGATATCTATCTGACGCAGACTCGGTATTATATTGCAGTCCCTGAAATGATCGGTGACGGAGGATAATCTCCGTCTCATTGGAAGAACAGACCACTAGACTGGGCATGAATGATCTACGGGCGCCAATTTTCTTCACGTAAGGGACGGGTTGCAGCGTACCTGACTTCAAACCTGCGTAGATTGCTATATATTCTCGACAATTCCCGTTGACGTGTATATTGGTTGATTCAAATAATCATCACGTATCCCTTGATCTTGACTTGGGACAGCCCTCACCTTAGTGGACAATGATTATATGATTCTACGCCAGACTAGATGTATCCACAGGGCTTACGAAATGATCAATACTTGTGATCCGTGGAATGCTTCCTGACCTAAATAGATGCTAGAATGAAGTCCTTGAGAAGGGCCATTCCCAGACGCAGCATCAGCGAGCAAATAATCTGCATTGACGGTGTTCCATGCTGAACTTGTGCATTGAAAAATCCACGTATTTACTATCCAGTATGATAATGATGATGATGAACAAGATCCAATTAGCTTCACGAGACAGAAGCAACTCACAACATACTACATGAGATCCGAATGCCCGTAAACCCTCTAATGATACAACATGTCCATTTAGAGATACATACAAAATGTTACATTTATGCATCTCCCAAAATATCCTTGATGCCTAGAAAGACATTACTGACAGCAACAGCAAGAATTACGTGGGGAACGTACGGTCTATGATATCCAGGTATGCCGTTGTGGCAGGACTATCTGGGTATTCATCAATGAAGCTTACCCCATAATCTGCGCTCTTTCCTATCCGCGGATCTAGTGGAATGGAACCCAAAAGCTCCAACCCTGTTTCCTCAGCCAGCTTCTTCGCACCACCCGTAGTTGGTTTAAAGATTTGTGACTCTCCATTACACTTCGGACACACAAATCCTGCCATGTTCTCCACGATACCCAGCATCCTAACTCCGACTTTGCGGCAAAAATCGATTTCCCTTCGGACGTCTTGCAAAGCAACCTCTTGCGGTGTTGTTACTAGCACAGCGCCGTCTATACCACTTTCTTTTAGGTACTGAACGACACTGAGGTGCTCGTCAGAAGTCCCTGGTGGCGTGTCCACGACGAGGTAATCAAGGTCTCCCCAGTCGACGTCTTTGAGAAATTGGGATATTAGTCCGTTCTTTTTCGGCCCTCGCCACATTACGGCGTCTTTGGATGATGGGAGCATGAACCCAACAGACATGACGCCCAAATTGTCTTGGACGTATACCGGAGACCAGCCGGATGAAGAAGCGTGCACTTGCTCTGAAGCTATGCCGAGAATAGTAGGGATGGAAGGACCACAGATGTCTACGTCCATGATGCCCGTCTTTCAGAGTTATCATAGGTGGGGGCTTACTTCGTTACGAAGGAGATTGACGTACCTGCGTATCATCATCCGATGCAAATGCCCATGCAAGCTGGGCAGTGAAAGTAGATTTTCCTACCCCTCCTTTGCCAGATAAAACGAGGATTTTCCGCTTGACATTCGTCATTCGCTGCTTTATCACCGGCAAAGCAGGATCTGGTCCCTTGGGTTTACTTGATGCGCATATCTCTTGATTGGCGCAGCCTGCACAGGCATCTACTTTCCCCGCGAGTTCGGAGTCGGTTCCCTGCGTAATTAGATGATTTCGACATAGGAAATTGAGGAATCTGATGATCAGCGCTTACTGGGCAATGCTCCGGAGCATTTGAGGGTATTGAGGTAGGATTGGGAACTGCTGTTGCAGTTTGGACCGCAATCATGTTCCTGCCAAGGAGTAGGACAAGAAAGAAAGTAGGATGCAGCGAAGGCAAGTTGCTGACTACATCATATTTCCGCTTTGAGATGCAAATCTTCACGTGAATGTGACTCACTTCCCTTTTTTGAATGTTTTACAATTTGATAGATTTATAATAGATTGAAAAGAAAAAACTTCCAATTTACGTACGACATGCAATGTGCCAATTCCCAAAAATGTTTTCATCAGTAGCGTCTGCATTTATCTCCCAGGAGACTCCAGAGTCAGATTGCGTGGAGAACTCAGATGCCCGTCAGGGATCGTCGAAACGCACGATAAAAAAACCCCTCGGAGCGTCAATGCTATTCAGAGCCAAATTAGCTGCCTGACATTCTAAGGGGTAGCGGCTCCAGAAAGCAAAGCCGTAGGGGCCAGAATGAGTGTGACTCTCCACCAGAATCAGCTGGGTAAATAAGCTCCTGTATTCTGTGTAATGTTGAGGTCGGCGTGATCCATGATGCCAGTTTTCAGGGCCGAACCAACGGTGGAGGCTCGAACGAGTAAACGGTGCGTAAAAGGAGGTAAAGGAATAACGGTGCTCCCGTCAGGTTGTCCGCGAGGACTGAAACGAATAACCGGCAAGGAAGTGAGGGCATCAGATATCATCGTTGTCGAGTAAGGAATCGCGTTGAATCTGTTTATCGACAGCAGTACAGCCAGCTACCTTTGCGGAAAAGCTGTATGCACCACCGCTTTTACGTGTAGCTCTAACCGCATGTCACTCTTTCAGTCTCGTGGTAGCACTAAGTAACGTACCTTTCGTCGACCTAGGCAAGTCCGAGGCTTGCATGAAATCAACGAATTGATGTCACACCATACCGGCGAGCAACGAGGCCAGACGACAAGAAAAATGTTAAGAAAATTAGAGTACGGCTTGAGATCTCAAAAGACCGTTCCGGTAGTCAAGATCTTCAACGACGGGGCATAAACAAGTGTACGATGGGCAAGGGAGCCCAGTGACGGGGAGTGACGAAGCTGTGTCACGATCTGTGACAAAGACTCCTCTCAAGTGCTTATTGCTCTCCAGCGAGCTCATCGTCGTCCACGTTCTCCTCGCGCCTCCCATCGGCGTCCACTACGCTGGCTAACCACAAGTCTTCTCTGTACCACCATGAACAGAGACCAAGAAAGCGGGAGGTCGCCGTCTCCATGGTCTAACGGCCAGTCTCGTGGACAGCCTCTGGGCCTTTCCGTCGATGCTCGCAATGGCAAAGGCCCGTCCCAGTCAACGAGCTCGAGCTCAAGCCCGTACTCTGCGCCTCCAACGAGCGCTACTCGCCTCCCTGACCGACCCCAAATCCCTACGAGATCATCCACAGTTGGCTCGAGTGAGCCTGATCGCAATACCGCACCAAAGGAGGGTAGACCGACAGCTCGTAGCGAAGATCTCAACCATTCAAGTAGCCCACGACCTGTCCCAGGGTTCTTGAGAACAAGTCGTTCTTCCACCCCTGCCGGATCAAGCTCGACCAGGCCGTATCCGCCATCGTCTTCAGGGCATTCCGACGATTCTACCCATTACACCAATGAAAAGCGTAGGAGCGTCGCGTCGTTTTCTTCAGCTCATTCGGGCTCGTCGACCTCCGAAAGAGCTCCTCCTCCTTCGTCCAGTGGTTCCTCCACCACAAATACCTCCTCGACCATGGTCACAGTTTCTGCGTGCGTACACATTCCTTAGCATTCTCGCTGCAGCACATTCCTTACATATTTTGCAGTACATGCTCGTCGTGTGGTAAAGTGATGCAGGGGCCGTTTGTCCGTGCACTGGGAACCGTTTTCCACTTGAACTGTTTCAAGTGCATGGTGTGTCTATCCGTTCTTGCCTCCGTACGACACGACTCATTTCTTGCTCTAGGACTGCGGTGATGTTGTCGCCTCCAAATTCTTCCCTATCGAGGGTCCAGAAGGGAAGCAGCAACCTCTGTGCGAGCGAGATTACTTCCGGCGGCTTAATCTCATATGCGCACAATGCGGGATGGCATTGAGGGGCAGCTACATCACCGCTTGCAACAAGAAATACCATGTCGAGCATTTTACATGCTCGTTATGTCCTACTTTATTTGGACCGCAGGATTCATACTACGAGCATGACGGCGATGTCTACTGCCACTTCCACTACTCAACCCGCTTCGCGACCAAGTGCGCCGGATGTAACAGCGCGATCTTGAAGCAGTTTGTAGAGATCAACAGAAATATGCGCGATGAATGTTGGCATCCAGAGTGTTACATGATCAACAAGGTACGGACCGCACGTCTTTGTCATTTTCCCGACGACAGGTTGATGTCGTGATTTAGTTCTGGAACGTTAAAGTAACATCGAGACGACCAAATAGCACGGCGTCGTTGGATGGAGATGAAGCATACATAGAGGAAGAGCAGCGAGAGACACCTACATCACTCAAGGATAAACAGGTTAGAATGGAGCAGCAGGTGTATAGGATATGGACGTGCGTTTCTCCCTCTCTCTCCTTCGGCTGTGATCCTCATGAGGCCCACGAAACAGGGTTCTCTCTGCATTTGAAGAGAGTAGTGCAGCCTGTATCTCGGATATGCTTCGGCAAGTCAGCAATGGGCAGTACCTCGAGGCAATACGGATGGCTGAGAAATTCATACTGCACGTTGAAGTCCTCTTTGCAACTATTGACGACTTGGAACATCAATTTGCACGGTTAAATATGAAAGGTGTGCTTGGCGCTTACTTTACCTCCGGACCTACCGATTCAAGCCAATATATTTCACTAGGCATGTCCCATGTTCGCGAAGCTCGGATGCTTTGTCGAAAAACGGTGGAGCTTTTTACGCTTCTGTCACACACACAAGAGACTGGTACTCGACGGATGGGCATGACGCAGGAGCTACTAGCTCTTGTGACGGGTCTCGCCCATTACTTGAAGATTCTAATACGCATAGCACTGACTGGCGCATTAAAACTGGAGCGTGAGGGCAGCGTGCGGGAAGCTATGTCGTCGTTCTTAGACAAGTTGCACCTGCTGGCTGTGCAGGGAGGTAATCCAAGTGCGAGGAGGGTTATAAAGGGTCATAATGGGGAGGCGCTAGCTGTCGTTAATGGCGGAGGAAATGCGGGCACACAAGGTGTGACATATGGCTTTAGGAGTCTCGCGCCCGAGAATGCAGGCGAATCACCATTCTCTAGCTCTGGTTCCGGAGGGAGTGGTATGGGACCAGGGCCACTAAACTCGAACCATCCTCCATCGGATCTTTGCGTCAAATGTAATCAGACGGTCGAGGAGGACTGCGTAAGGCTTGGGACCTACCAGAGGTGGCATTCACAGTGTGTGCAGTGTGCCAAGTGTGGAAGAGTGGCGGCTGTCCCAGTACTGAAGGAGCGGTCAAATACTGTGGACGAGAAGCAACTAGAGTCCGGGAAGGAAGGGCAGCCGAAATTGTCGACTGCACGGAGACCGCCGGCTAATGTTGCCCTCTTCGTATATGAAGTCGACTCCAAGAAGGACACAGCGTCATTTGGGGAAGTACCAACGGTTATACTGTGTACAGATCATGCCCATGCAGGATGTCGAGGAGGATTCCAAGCGGTACAGAGACTAGAGCAGTATGCGTTCCTTTTAAATGTAGCGCTGCGGAGATTGTATCTGCTACTCAAGAGACAGGGCGTCGTTCCGCTATCTCCTGGTGAGTCTTATATGCCTTTAGTCTTATTCAAAGGCCTTAACGGCCGGCAACCAGAAACCGCTACGAATTCCAGTTCTGGCAAATCAGGGGAAATTGATCCCTATCGAAACTCTGCTGACATTATGCGGATGAAATCTGTCCACCTTGACCGGAAGCTCTCAGCAACGGCTCGTCTGCCCAAAAGATCGACCATTGTGGAAAGTCCTGCCGGTCGGAGTGTACATCCGTCCGATGTACTCAGCTCCCAAAAATCCCAGGATGTGCATGCTCATTCGCATCCACATCACCCACATACCCATACCCATACGCAGGGCCCACAGCATGGTCAAGTGAGTTCGCCGGCGCAAGGCCGATCACCACCGCAGACATATCAAGCACCATCATCACTGCCCGCCAACAACAACCGGCTGCATGTTGGGCATTCACCCACCGACGCCCAAGGGCAAATCCTGCGGCCTGCTTTTGCTAGGAATAACACTGAGGTGATGATAGTGGATGAAAGCGCTCCGAATTCTCCAGCACTGGGTGACGAGGCGGGCAATATGCAGGATCATATTCCAACACGGGATGACGGTATAACACTTGCTGATATTCCACAGTTGATGGAAGCTGCGCAAGCAAGGGAGCAACAACGGTCACTGCCGAGACAGAGTTCGATACCGTACATCGCGGAGTTGAGTGCTCTGGAGTTAGCGATTGTCAAGCATAGCGCAGTACTTGCTCTTATACGATCTCCGCTGAAGGATCAAATTGACCTGGATGAGTTATTGGAGATGGTGGAAACCAAGAAGAGTGGGTTTTGGAATAAACTGTTTAAGGGTGATAAGAAAAATGTTAAGAAGAAAGGTACGTGCAGTGTAGATCTCCGAGGCTTGGACCTAACCGTGGATCAATGCGCAGGCGTATTTGGCGTTCCTTTGGAGCTGCTCGTTCAGGGAGAGGGCTCGGACTCCTTATTGGGAGCATCAAGAGCTACTCTGAGGGTGCCGAGTTTTATTGACGATGTTATATCTGCCATGAGACAAATGGGTACATCTTGAGCACCTCTTTATGTATCAAACTAAACTAACAGTTAACGTACAGATATGTCGGTCGAGGGAATCTTCCGAAAGAATGGCAACATTCGGCGTTTAAAGGAGTTAACAGAAGCCATCGACAAGGATCCCTCTTCCGTCGATCTCACAACGGACAATCCTGTCCAGCTCGCAGCCTTGCTCAAGAAATTCTTGCGAGATCTTCCCGACCCCCTAATGACTTACAAGCTACACAAACTTTTGGTGGCTTCACAGTGTGAGTTGTTTGTCCTGGAGAACATTTGTTAGCTCATCCCGTAAACATTTAGCACTTCCGAACGAGGCAGACCGGAAGCGGCTTCTTCATATGCTTTCCGTTATCATGCCGAAGAGTCATCGGGATACAATGGAAGTCCTCTTCGTGTTCCTGAAATGGGTAGCGTCATTTGCTCATATGGACGCTGAGACGGGGAGCAAGATGGATCTAAGCAATCTGGCAACGGTGATCTGCCCAAGTATATTGTACTCTCGGGGTCGGGATGCCGTACGCGATGAGAGTTTCGGCGCCATCCGAGTGGTCACAGCTCTTTTGGAGAACCAAGACGAGTTCTTTACCGTTCCTCAGGAATTCCTACCCATCTTGCACGATCAGGAGTACTTCGCCAACTCGATGGAGCTTCCCGGCAAGGATTTCATGAAGAAGTGTGATACGTATCAAAGAGTCAAAGCGGTTAATGGACGGACACCGGCAGTCATGTACAACGTCCCTAACGGGAGTACTCCACGCTTCCCTCAGCCGACCTCCCCAACAATACAGGAGCGACCGAATCTAGGCTTGTCGATGCCACAAAATGGCGCACGGCCTCATCCTGGTGGGATGCCTATGTCCAACTCTGCGTATCCGTCAAACTTACCCTCGTTACCGCCATCCCAGGGCCAGGGCGCGATGCAGAACCCACGAAGGAACCAGGAGCAGGTAGATGACTGGCCAAGTACTCCCCGACCGATTAACGCACCACCAAGGCCGGGATCAAGACCTTCGTCATTTACGCAGGCCCGGCCGAGCGCGGATCAACCTTCATTTGTACCTACTGGATATCCGTCAGCGGTCCGGCAGCGTACATGATACGTGTTGGGTCGTCCTTGTTCGTCACATGTTCTCGCATTGATTGGATTAAACCACTCTCCTCATTTACACACCACGAAGCTGGTGTTCATTGCATTCTTTCCGTATTATTCCTCTTGTTTGATTTCCATTATCTGTAGTTTACCATTGTCGCTTCTGTTTCTAACTTTTTCACGATCGCTTACTTTTCATCTATTGATATGACAAGGACGACTTATCTCGCAGTACTTACGATACCCACAGGCATAGGAGATATCGCGTTCAAGTCCACAGGGACCTGGCGTTGTAGCATGCAGATTCTAAGACTAAAATGTACCTATTTTTCAGCGGTAAACTAAGCACCTGCAAGCGGGGCTCAACCAAGGAAGATGTCTCTTGAGTTTTGTTAATGGCGGCAATTGTCGTTGCAGAAGTGCATTAATATTAAGACGGCTGGATTTCTGGATTTTGGATATAATGAATTGAATGTACATGGATAGAGACTATACATGTGTATGAAAAAGTGTAGCGTCTCTGGTAAGGAACATATCTCCACGTCAACGACAGCCAAAATGGCTAGCGAACGCTCCAGCTGAGACGCACAAATTGGTCTAGAACACGCGGTAGACTCCTGCAAGAAAAGGTATAGAAATCGCAGGGGGACAATGTGCGAGTCCATGAAATGAGTTGAAGAAAAAATTGGTTTCCCACGAGGACTTTATAGGACTTTGTGTATGCGCCTGTTTGGTGATACCCGTGACCGGTTCTTTTTTTGGGACGAGCCGTATGGTCGACCGGGTACTTATCAGTAAGGTTCGGGAGCAGCCTAAGCAAAGTTAGTGGTGTTTCAGAGAGATGTTACAGAATCCTGACGCGAACAAATGAAGCAGTCAGTCAATGAATTGCAAGTTGGATGGGGCAAGAAAATAGATAGATCTCCACCATAAGTAGTATAGCATGTGCATAAAGTCCATAAAACATAAAGTACTGAGTAAAGAAAGCAAAGTACATAACCAGCATGATCAGTGTCCACAGAGCAAAAACCAAAATGAGACCAGTCTATCAAAACCTTATTTCTTATCCACTACATCGTCCTCCGCATCGCTAGCCATGGTTCTCCTGGAAAAGGCCGCGCTCCGTCCAAGAACGCTTGAGGGTCGCCTACTCGGACTTCCCGACAACCGCTTATACGACGGACTCGCGGACCTATTCGATGATGCTACGCTGTTCCTGTTCAAATTCGACACCATGCTCGAAACTGTACCACCTGCGGGTCTCGGCCCTCGTGCTCCCCTAGGTCCTTTTACTCCACCCGAAACCGACCTCGTTATCTTTGCTGGATCCTCTTTGGGTGGTGTTGGACTGCGGGAACCCACTTTGCTTTGGTTTGACCTAATAGAAATCGAAGAACTCGGACGCTTCACGTCTGAGGGGACAGGAGAGATGGGTGCAGCAGGAGGACTTTGGGCTGGCGCCACGATATCCCCAGCTGGGGCCTCAGGCTCCTCTGGAGGTGGATCAACGAACTTGGGCATGGGGGGTGTGGCATCATCCTCTGGTTCCGGCGGGGGCTCCTTAAACGTCGGTCGAGGGGGAAGGTCGTCGTCTTCAGGAGGCGGTTCCTTGAATGTAGGACGAGGGGGCAAATCTGGGTCCACAGCGGCCGGTGGTGGAGGCGGAGGGGGCAGCGGTGGTGCCTCTACAACTGGTTCCGGTTTCTCTTCAAGAGGTGGTGGTGGTGATGGGCTGGCCAATACAGGTGGAGGAGGAGGGGGAGGTAACGGCTCCGAAGATTTCTCAGGCGACTTCACGGACTTGAGATTTTGTTGCGCAAAAAATTGATTGACACCCCCAACAGAAATTCTGTTTCCTCTACTTTGCCTCATATCAATCGGCGCTGTACGCTTCCGAAGTGGTATTTTGCGTTCAGACTCGCGCTTCTTGCGTGCAATAGTGGAAGGCAGGATAGCATCATAGTTCTTAACCAGGTCGATGAAAAATACTAGACGAAAAGTTCAAATCAAAAGCGGGGAAACACACGAATGATCTTACATGTTGGATGCCGATCTTGAATTGATATTTCAGACTCGTATCTGGGCCGGAGGATAGCTTAACATAAATTAGTCCGGGATCCTGACAGGAAAATGAATGACCTACTGCGACTGATAGACAATGCAAGTTTCGTGATGTACACTTCGTTAGCTTCTTCGACGGTCGTAGAGTCAATAAGCCTAATAAATTTTATTCAGTCGGTTACTAAGTTATCATAACCATTTAACTCACGTCTTCAAGTGCTTGATGACAGCACCCAGAACGTATAGGTGCACCCTCGGAAGCTTCTGAAGAGCGGTACTAAGTTCGGTTATGTGCTGCTCTTCCGTATTCTCGCCTTCAGCTTTCACAGCCGAGCCGACAGTCGGGTATAGTTTCCGGAATTCCTCCCATCCCTCGTACAAAGCAATCGGAGGACTCAACTCCAGTAGCCAGAGCTTGATGGTGCTAGCAATGACTGGTGCATCATATTTGGTAAATATTTCTGCGGGTATAGGTTCTTGTGGGGGAACGGCATTCAACGTCTCTCTGAGATGGTGGACTGCCGGTAACGGCACTTCGTATATCCAAGTTTTTCTTTTCTCTGATCGCGAAATATCAGTCACAACTCAGCAGAAGATATCAATGGAACTTACCATTATCACTCGGCAACCTGGTATACGCTTCTGTGAGACCTTGGAGTAGAGCGGTCAACACAGGAGGAACGAGATCCTTTTTTTCCTCCTCAGAAGTGATGCTGCTCCAGCCGCCTTCGGCCCATTTGCGTAAATCAATACCAAACACAACGTCAGATTCATCATGCGCGACCGACTCATAAATCTGCGCGTCCGGTCGGAAAGGTCCAGTGCGATATCGCTCAATCAACGCCGTCAGGTCGGACTCGGGCTGGAATGCAGTAATGAGTGTCTTTGATCTCTTGTTTGAAGGTTCAAGAGATTTAGGAAGATTCGACACTGTCCCTTGGTATTGAAGTAATACTGGAAAACGAAAATAAAATAAGAATTAGATAGGAACGTGTCACTCTATAAACTTTCATACCAGTTTTCACAGCACGAAGTCGCTCCAACTCCCAGCGCTGAAGAGTTTTCAACGTGTCTTCCAATCTTTCCTCGAGAGCTAATCGCTGGCGATCAAGCTTCCGTACTGCTAAGCGGTACGCTTTGTCGGCCTCTTCAGCCTCATGCCGTGCCCTGACATACATCGGCTCCCCATTTGCTTGGGCGTTCAGGGCCTTGCTAACAAGATTAACAAAGTTATTTGTGCGTCTGAAAAGAGTCTCAGGCTGCAATTGAGCTGCCGGAGAGGAGAGACTATCGGGATTTTTGCCTTCGATATCAAATGCCTGCCAAAACAACAGCATGAGTGGCGATGAAATTATCCAATGAGACGCATGCATACCTTGGGACGAAATTGGTAAAATGCGTCATCGGAATGTTCGAACTGATTCCCGAATTCGCCTATTCTCCTCAAGAGGCCGTCCCGCTCTGTCAAGTCTTTAGCCGCCTCTTCGGCTCTGTCCAAGCTACCCCCGAACCCATGGACGTTCTCGTTCAGCCAAGCGACAAATTCTTCTCCAGTAAAACAATCTTGATACTCTCCGAGTAAGGGAACTCTAACAGGGCGGAGGTTAAGCTCAATTGCAGCTCTGCTGAGCAATTGAGACACCGCAGCCGGCGGAAGAGAAAGTCCGGCGAGGAGCATGGGCGGCTCAGGGAAGGGGGGCATGGGTGATGGAGGTTTTTCAAATGTGCTCGGAGGAAGCATAGGTGACATAGGAGGAGGCGAAGCGGCGAGCGGGGGAGGAGACATAGACCTGTCAACTTCCTTGCCCTTTCCTTTGTCGAGCTTGGGTATTTCTGGTCTCTGCTCAGGCTCAGCGACAATTTCAGGTTTGCTCAGTGGAGAAGCAACCCCTGATGCAGCAGATAGAGTGCTAGCACTCTTCTTCTGAATCTCTTTCAACCTTTGAGCAATACGTTCGGAAACGCTGGCTGTGCGCTGAGGTGGCGAGCGATGAGTATCCGTGGGCCGTATTCTAGGTGACGTGGTATAATTATCCGTGATTCCGTTAGAATTCGGTGCAAATTTCGCACTGTATACAACTTTAGACAGCACGAAGAGCGACGACCGTGAAGAACTCACTCATCCTCAGCCTCGTCAGCTTTCCTAGTCTTCGACAGGTACTGGTGCTTCAGTTTAGCAACTTCTCCATGAGATTGTTCGTATGCCTTCATCCAGTTATCGATAACATTATGCCTGCTCTGCCTGAGCCTTTCCTAAAAAACCAGATATAGGGAGACAGAAACTATGACCAAGTAATGCAATACCTTGAAGCTTTGAGCCCAATCGTCAAAGGGGTCCACAACCAGGGTTTCAAGTTCCTTTGCAATTGACTTGTGGGCTTGCCCTTGCGCAGCAGACTCGCTCTGCATGCCACGGAACGTCATAAGAAGGGATGCCCCATCGTCAGCGTCAAAGCCTGTGCCTAAAGTCCCCTGTTGGATACGGAATGAATGACAGTATTGCACGTACCTTGTGCGCCTGTGAGCATGGGATTCATGAGAGCAATGGCCAGCTGGCTCTCTGCAATGATTCTGGACTGTTACGACAAGTGAGCTCCTCAACCAGTCACCAAGGGCACTATACAAACCCTAATGAACGCGATAATTTCTTCATTTTCTGCGACACCCTAGAAGCAGATAGTGAGAACGTTGGCGCTGCATAAGCGGCGTAAGAAGGACCGACCTGGTCCAGCTTTTGGAAGAGGACTTCAAGACCTTTGCGATAGTCCTGGGACCAGAACGAATTGTTAAAGCTCAATGGCAGCGAAAGTACTGCCATTTCGTGGAAGGTCCTATATCAATATCCCTGTCAGTGGCAGTCGAGTTGCCAAATATTGTGATGGATGTAGTAGTAGGCGTGCAAGGCTTGGTATGCGGCGTGTAGGCAGGAAGGCGGACCGTGGGAACGTTTCCTAAACGGGTGAACTCGGATATCTCCGGCCAAAAAACTTGTTCATCGACCTTCGCGACGAGCTCAACGCGTGGGACGACGACGAGAGCATCGCCGACGACGTGCAATGGGTCATGCTTCAAAACGACTGGTGACAAATGCCTCAAGGCTAGCCTCCGTCTCCACCTCCCACCTCCCAAAATTCCCGCCAAAGGAGGCCCTCTTCCTCCGTGACCAGGAAATTCCCCAGCCTGAATTTGAACCCGAAGTTTGGGCTTCCCTACAGCCACCACCGCCCTCAGCGCTCTCAGCTTTTGCGAGCAGAATAGGTCTCTCTTCTGTACTATCGACGACAGAGTTGATACAGCAAGCATGCACCCATTCCTCCTTTGTCGCCTTCCACCAACACTATTATCCTTCCGAACCGGCACCCATATCCAATGCCCAGCTTGCAACAATAGGAAACTCATTAATGGGTCTATTTGCAACAGAACACATAAATGCAACTTATCCGTATCTTCCTACGCGTGTTTTGAAGGCTGCCATAACTGCTCATGTCGGTAATATGACTTGTGCTAGCGTCGCCAATGAAATGGGTGCTGCACCTCTTCTGCGATGGCGCAGAACGGTACGCTGTCTGCTTTTCCCACAACTTTCACCACTCAAACTCTCATTAGCCAAACACACCTAACCGACCCGGCGTCCTACACCCCGACGCTCTATCATCGATACCGAGAGCGATAACTGCCTTGATATATCAAAAACGATCACTTCTATCCGCCCGGAAATTCGTTCAATCATATTTTCTCACTCGCGAAATAGATCTCCGTGGCATGATTAAATTCCGGGATCCAAAGGCAGCTTTGCTGGAAATGGTAGCAAAATTTGGAGCGGAACGACCAAAATCAAGGCTAGCAATAATCATCTCCATGCTTTTGTGCCTTCAAGCTCAATGACCCTATTTATGCAGACTACTTCGTGAAACCGGTCGTTTTTCTAGAGCCCCCGTTTTCGTCGTAGGCGTATTTTCTGGAGAAGATCAGCTGGGAGAAGGATTTGGTAGCTCCCTCAAGATGGCCGAGTACCGAGTACGTATCCTCTTCCTGCAAAATTGATACCACCTGACCCTTTTGGCAGGCTGCTGAAGATGCTCTACTTCGAGTATACCTTACACGGACTCCGTCACATCTAGTGCAGCTACCGACATCCACATTTTCTCAGAGTCTGGGAGACGTGTTCCAGGCGGCACCAGAGGGTGAGTATATACCGCCAGATCTGGTTGAGTCTGAGATCATGTACGCGAGTTCGGGGAAGAGCGGAGCTGCGCCAGGCATAACACAGCAAAGTTGAATATATCTTATCTTTTTCGGATTTCGTCAGGGAATTGAGGTCAAGCATCCTGGAACTTCACGCAAGTAATTGCAAGGTATTCGTATCCAATCGTTCACATTACTTGAGTCGTCACCAAATCAAACGTCCATCAGTCTATGATAAACCTACCCTCCTTCTTTTGCTTCTCTCCACCTCCATCCTCGCACTCCTCTTCGATCCCAAACTCCTTCGGCATCTCCGAAGGTGGCGCGTCGGTTGTTGGCTTCTCTACTATGTACTTTCCCATTGGCGCATGTTCCCCTGCAGCCGCCAAACTCTCGTGTATCGACACAGTAGATAGCGTGCGCAACAGTCTCCGTGTCATTTCCCCGCCTACTGTCGAACCCGTCCGTGAACGCGCCGGAACCACATAGCCTTGTGTAGGGAAGACGATACTGCCTTGCGGCAGGGGTCCCGGTTCAGAAGTAATCATACCATCAGTATACGAAGAAGTAAGATTCTGTGTAGATGGAAGAGGTGAATTATATGTTGAGCCCTGGCGAGATGGCTGTGATAGGATAGTCGACCGCCGAGCGTATGATATCAATGGATCAGACGGCGTTGCAGGCCTGTGGTTTGGAGGTGGAGGTACAAGAGCATCGTCGTGCTCTTCTTTCGCTCCTTCGCTGATTGTTCCTTCTCCAGGTGATTCGATTATAACGTCTGGTTCGTTGCCTTCCCTCGTCAATGAATGCTGCTTGGCCCTAGGTCCCGATCCGCTACTGATGCTCACTCTCCGTATGGGCGCGCCGGAAAGGTCACTGACACCACGAACTTCGTGGCGATATTCCTCGATTTCCTTCCAGATAGCTGCTCTATATTCTTCCATAGTTTCCAGCTCCTCTATCTGCCGCCACTTTTCGAACGTTTTCGCGCATTCTGGTTCATCGGCAACGTCATGGTACGAGGATAACCACGGATGTTCGAGCGCCTCTACAACCGAAATCCGGTCGTCAGGATCAAATGATAGCATTTTCGTAAGCAGATCGAGAGCTAAGCTGAGGTAAATAATCTTCTGTGAGCATAAAGGGGTGTGATCACCTTGTGGATCTGCAGAAGGTAGGATTTTCGTAAATGCTACCGTCTTTTTCACGGGCAAAGATCGAACGTATGCTTGAGCCTGAACATAGAAGTCAGAGAGCACAAATATGAATACCAGTTCTTGCTTCACCTTATCGCTTCCTATCTTCTTGATGACGGACTCGCTGGGTGACCCTGCCACAAGTCAGCCAAAGAGGACGATGGATGGTCCGACCATACCAAGAACATCCAGAATCTTGTTTAGTTGATCAACTGACAAGGTGTTACGTTAGGTTGAAAGTTGGTCATCTTGCGGAATCCTGCTAACCGTAGCTAAGTAAGAGTCAGGATACCATATTATCCAAAAAATCAGATGCTTACTCTTTGCCCTTAAATAAGGGTTTTCCCAATAAAAGTTCTGCTAAGATGCACCCTATTGACCAAACATCAACTAAAAGGAGCCCGATTGAGATACCAAATCTTCAGAAGATATCTTAACCAACGCACTTGCGGTATTATATCGCCTACAAGCATACGGTTAGTGCATAGAATGGTACTTCGATGCGAATACACAAACTTGAATGCTAGCATGATCTCGGGGGCCCTGTACCATCTAGTTGCTACATATTCAGTCAAATGAGTCGGATTTTCGTCAGGTCTTGACTCAAAGCCTCTGCTTAAACCAAAATCACATATTTTCAGTTCACAGTCAGCGTTCACGAGTAAGTTTCCAGGCTTCAGGTCGCGGTGAATAACCGATGCAGAATGTATGAATTTCATTCCTGAGGTTGCATATTAACGTTAATCAGGAGTGAAAGACGATGGCATGCCTCGTAGAATTTGATAGAGAAAATATTGGACATGTTCATTGGTAAGAGACTGTCCTGATTTTATGATTTGGTGTAGGTCGGCTGTGAAGCAATGAATGATCGCCAGAATGATATGTCATAGAGTCATACCTTCCATAGGCTGCGAAGATTAAACACATGAATATGAATACTATTGTTTCCCTCGAGTCGGGACTGTCATACCTCCATGAATAAGTAGCTATCGCGAAAGTCAAACGAGGACAAATTCACAGTATGACAGAGACGTACATCTCATTAAAATCGGGTGATATTGCGTCTACATCGATGAGACCGGTGATATTCTCGTGCCCAGCGAAATGCCGGAGGAGAGTGATTTCTCGGAGGGCCCGTTTCGCTAGTTGTATCTTCTCAAAAACTCGAGTGACCAACTTGATAGCTACCGTTTCTCCAGAGATATCATCCGCCGCCGAACTGGTGCAGTTATAAGTTACAGTATCGAGGATGAGGAACGCAACGACAGACATGACGACACCATAGGCACCAGAGCCCATCTCCCTCACGAGTTTCCAGCGTTTTTCGACATGGAAGACCTTGCCGAACGATGAGAGCAACGAGTGATAGCCGCTAGATACAACGCGTCGGCTCCGATAACGGATACAATAATTTGGGTGCGACTCACCGTCTGCGCAGACTATCCTCAGAGAATGGATTAGAAGGGCGACGAACCCGCGATCTGCCTCTATCGACATGCCACGAGCCCGGCGACGGCAATGGTGAGGAGGAGTCGTTGCCGCCTTTCGATGAATCCGCTCGTATAGCCCGACGGCTTACAGCGCTACCCGACGGTGACCTTCGTTCAGCTTTGTGGTCCGTCATCCTCAACAGCGCACTTCCCGTCTCCTGAATGAGTTTGACAAAGACGGACGACACGATCTACAAGAGCGTGGCCGCCGCAAGGAGTCACTGGACCACGTCCTTGTCGTGGTGGCACGCCCTTGCTCACTGTGGTGCGTAAAAGGATGCCTAGAGAGTTGTCTGTACTGCCGTACCGTGTGTAAAGGGAATGCGTGGAGCAGGGAGCAAGAAAACCAAGGTTGAAGTAGAAAAAAGTGAGAGTCAGAGGGAAACGGTCTTGCTGTACAGATTCTAATTTAGGTGCCGGCTGATTGGCGCGTCATATATAAACGGATCTCGGCGTCAACAAAATCTGCAGCTTCCATAATTCAATAATTAAGATACAATAAGTTCAATCCAGTCCTACAAATATAACTATAGCTATGGGCATACATGGCTAGCAATAAATTTACATCAGGCAGTCTGGAACTACCAACAGAATCCGGTCACGAAAGCTTCGGAGAATTGGTGTTCTCCTCCGTTTCTCCAAAAATATCCAGAAAACCTGATACTCGCGTTTTGTTCGTCGCCTTCTTCATCACATAATCACGAAGACCAGACTTCAACGTTGGTTGCTTGTCGACGAGCTCCCGTAGCTGATCTTTCGGCAATTGCAACAGTGCACCGAAACTCGCCGGTGCTATGGCTTTCGCGCACCGAATGAACCCTTCCCACAGCGGAGGATTCGTCCATATTTTCTTGGTGATTAGTCGGGACAGAAGTGTTGTCGAGACAAAGCCCACGAGTGATTTGTATGTAGTAACGGCCTGGATCACCTGTTATAAATTGTGCCTTTAAGCCCGGTTCTCTTGGTAACATGACGGGCAGGAATATCTCACTGTTCGAAGGAAAAGCACTGGCAGCACAGGTTCATCCATGATCTGCTGCATCACCACGGCAAGAATTTCCGACCGGAACACGTCGGTCATCGAGAAACAGATACCGATAGCTGGTGGAACCATTAACCAAGCGACTATAACATATATGTCGGCCTCACCTTCGATCGCGCTCTTCAGTCCTATCTCCTTTTCTGCATCATGCAGCAAGACCATGAGCTCCGCAGGCGTAAGCAATTCACTCTGTCTGACTCTAGGAAGATTTGATGTGACACTCCCAAATGTTTGCGGTGGCGTCGTTACGACAGAGCTGAAAACAGAGCGGACCAGGTTCTTGGGTTCCGCCTCTCCATTCAGTATTGAAACAATTCGTGGTAGATGTCGGATGATATCAGGCTAGGGTTGGAATAAGCGATCAGCGACAGACGGGAATAGCATAAGAGGAAAACTTTACCTTATCCATCTCTGCGATGATGGGAATAAGGAACCTGGCATCGAGATCCCGTTCATTGATCAGGGCTTTAACTAGCGCCACCAATTGCGCGCCAGGACGGCCGTTTTCAGTGAAAATAGTAAGGACGCGAAGCGCAAGGGTTTCAGCCCCTGGTGGACAGTTCCGCATCAGAGTGAGGAGTTTACCGTGATTCGATCCCAGTGAACGAATCAGGGCGGTAATAAGTTCTTGAACTGCTTCTTGCACTGTCACATCCATCTGTCCATACGCGGCAAAGATCCTTCATGTGCATCAGTATTGGGGTTAGGAACTGAATGAATAGAACTTACTCTTCCAAAAATTCAGGAACCTTGACGGACAACGCGAACAATAATTCCACGTGCTGCAGAACATGGCTCTTCTGTGCGGGTAACTCGATGCGCTCCGGAAGATACGGAGTTTGAACCAAATCCTCGGGAGGCAGCTGTCCGTCTTCCATGTTCTCATCATCCTCGTGTCCTTTTGTCTCTGCCCTTGTGCTCCCATCGACCTGCATCTCTGAAGAGTCGCCATCCGCAGGTATCTTCTTTGGCTCTTTTGAAACTTCTCTGGGGGAAATCTGAAGCTTTCGAAGCATTTGCAGCGCAAAATCCCGAACCATGGCATCCATCGGCTGACTGTTGGGTACCCATAGCTTGACCGTATTGATGGCAGCTCCTCGAATCTTCTTTTCCGGATGAGTTGTCAAGTCGAGGAGAACGTTGAGAGCATCCGAACGCATGGCAGGTCGCTGGATAACAAATCCTCGCAAAGTTGTAAAACCTACCTGCATCCTGTCTGGACTATTGAATGGTCAGCAATGTACGCCTTCCCCGAACATTTCCTCCACGAACCTGTCAGGGTCAACACATAGATCCCGAAGTAAAACAAGAACATCGGGGGGTATAGAAGGGAGATCTAAAAGAAAGCGTGAAAACGTCCGATCTTTTCCGTCCAAGACGGTTTGATAAGATGCTACTATCTGGTTTAACCAGGTCTCGTAGTTTAATCGCTGAAGATATTTCTTAGTTCAGGCGCTGTCTTCGCAAGTAAAGGTACTTACCCAGGTGGGGTCATGCTCAGACCTTATTCGATCATTGTACCACTCTTCATTCATCCACGTTGTAGCAAGCCGGATCCTAAGTGAGAAATATCAGCCTACGAAACAATGCGCCAGTCAAGGAACGTACCGAGATGGGAAGTCGGACATAATATAATCGCAGAGAGCTTGCCTCATCTGGTCCTGTCGTTCATAATAGGCATTAATGGAATCCTCGCTCTCGGACTCGGGCTCGTTCTCCATTTTCTCGTCGCCATCTTCATCCACTTCCACGGGTGGTTTTGCGACTCTTGTAATCATTCTCACCAGTAACAGCATGGTCATATCCGTCGCACCCCTTGCACTAACGATCTGCGAATCAGGGGAGACACCCGCATCCACGAAGCTTGCGCGTATTTCTTCCGCCCCTGTCCATATGCGTTGTATTGAATCGGTGACTATTGAAGTACGTTCTGAGTCACTGAATTCTCGAGGAGGAGGAAGCTTGAAATCGAGGAGTGTGAGATTTGATGTTATGGAGGCGGGAAGATTGGCGGAAGTATCAGCGATGAGAGGACCCGATAGCTGAAGTACAACGTCAGAAATGTCGCTAGCAATGAAGGGAGAACATATACCTCTTCGTTGAGTCTATCAGGCTCATATTCAATCTCATCTTGGTCAATGTCCATCTGCAGTGGATCTACGGGCTCTTCGTCTTTCACTCTGATGACAGGCGGAGGTTTCTGTAATTCGGGTAGAGGCTGGGAAGCTGGGCTGCGGCACCCTTCCTCTGGTCTATTGCTTTGTGACATATTAGATGGGGTGCGTGAGGCGGGAGGTTCGGTTGCTTGGGGTCCTGGTAAACCCCTCCGTTGACGGTACGCATCCACAAGACCAATTAAAGTTGGCTCGGTAAAGGCTTCGATGTTAGCAACAATGAGGTCGGTGATAAGGGTGGCGGGAAGGGTAGTGAAATCGAAGGAGGAGAGGACATTTGTCGACGAGGAAGAAGGGCCGGGTTCAGAATCAAGTTTGACGCGCTTAGGGTCTGTAGGACCTTCACCGTCGGGCAGCGGTCTTTTTTTGGCGTCAGTACCAGATGCTTGAGCAACTTTCCGCTTCTTCTCCTCAATAGCAGCTCTTTCCATTCGAACGGCTTGCTGGGAGATGATCTCGTTGATTTGAGCTCCATATTGCGCATTGCTCGGGTTGCGGGATATATGGATGAGAAGGATACGAACTGCCTTCTCAACACTTTTGACGCTAGAAGCAGAGAGACCTCCAAGGGCGGCCGGTGTCCATTGCTTGAGTGTACCGATAACTACAGGTGTCATGGCTGGCCGCAGTTTGGTTAGAGATGCCCAGCTGTTCAGTACCGCTGAGAGCATATCGACGTTCTGGCTTGAGAATAGAATGGTGATAACATTCTCCAAGAGTTTCTGGCCCTCGCTTTCCAGTTTGGTAACAGAGATGAACGGGTGGTCGGGTGGACAGAAAGAGATGTTTGGATCATTCTTGTTTTGTAGCTGAAGAGGGTACCTATCATCAGAGTTGAATACACAGATATAATCATCATACGCACACGAGGATCAGAAATACCGCGCGTCTGCACCAGAATAACCTTCTGCATGAATTTGACTGCTGACACCTTTACACCGTTGTTAGCTTGAGGGTTCCACACGAACTCCAGAATGCGTGTTTTGCATGTTGACAATGTATCCCATGCCGCAGGATTTGACCGGTTTGAACATCTATGGATAAAAGATAAACCGCAAGTGGAATTCTGGGGCAAGACGCGTACAGGAAACGGAATAACAGCGGGTACACCGTCGTCAAACACTGAATGACAACCTTGACGATTGCGGGTGTTCGGTCGTTGAGTAGTTGAGACAATGTATCCAATGCCTGCGATGCCACTAAGGAAATGGATATTAAAAACAAAATTTTATTCAATGCGACCTCACTAACGCTGTGTTTTTTGGTCAAGAGGTAATGTAGACCGACAAATGGCAAACTGTAGAAGGTCGAGAACCCATCTCTTCAACAGAGAATCACTGGTATTTGCGACGATTCCGATGAGGGTTCCTACAAGGATTCGAATGGGGGCTGGATGGGCTTCCAAGGATTCACGGAGGGCAGCCAAGAGGTCTGCCTGTTCCTTTGAGTTTGCAGGTACGGTCAATGCCGCCTGAAGGGTCTGCAGGGGGTCCACTGGGGTGCCCGACATCGTTCACGACGTCCTCCACGGCCGCGATGGTGATGAATTCACTTCAAGGCCTCGGCGTGACTGTGACACCTGTAACTCCTCACTTGACCACCACGAAATGGTAATTGCCAGCATTATTCTGCTCCATCCCTTGCTCAGTACTTCAATCTAGGCAGCACAACAATCTCAGGGAATCCAGACCCTTCTTGAGGCAGAGAAAGAGGCCGCCAAAATTGTACAACAAGCCCGTCAATGTGCGCCGTCACTCCTGCCGGTTCTCGTCCACACTTACGTCCCGTAGACCGTGTGCAGAAACTCAAGGATGCTCGCTCTGAAGCATCAAAGGAAATAGAGGCGTACAAGAAAGCTAAAGAAGAAGAGTTCAAGGCATTTGAAGCATCGGTCCGCGCTCCATCTCCGAGTTCCAGATCACTCCTGACACTGTTATACAGCATGCAGGGACAACGTCCAGCGTCCAAGCTTCGATAGACAGAGAAACAGACATAAAGCTGCAAGCTATCACCAATTCATTCAACTCGAACAAGGAACAGGTCGTGAAAAAGCTGCTAGACAGAGTAGTCCTCGTCAAACCCGAATTGCACCGCAATTTGAAGAAGATATAGGCGACACTATACCCCACCTGGCATTTTCATTGTACGCGCATACCACGGACTTACTTGCTCGAAAGCTATAATATTATTGATGATGAAATCTGCAATGGTATCCTTGAAAGAACACACTAGATTTCGAGAAACATCTTTATTCCACTGTATAAGAACTACTATAAGTGTACTAGAATAATATTTCCCAGTCGATTCCGCAGAGTCCTCTATTAGCAAACAGTAGACCTCGCGCTATCTGTAGATGGGATACCGTGATTACGGTGACATTCCTTGCTTGGTACTCTACAATGACCGCAGTCGCCTTCTTTGCCTCTTCCCCCCATGTCTGGTCGTCCGCGTAAGCAGCGTGGTACTCGTCGAAAGGGAGTCTTCGACCCGTCAGACAGCAAAAATGTAACATATACACGTATTGGTGTATGGGATCTCTACGAAGAGAAACCTGAAGTGCTCGCTCGCATACCATGGTCGTCGCGCTTGGAGCCCTATGTCGAGATGCTGGGCAGCATGCCATATTTCTGGCGGATGTTGAGGGATATTGGGAGCATTCGGTCGTGCTGGATTCTCCTTGGACTCAATCTCCTTATCCATATCTTGGGTGCTTTGATACCTGCAGTATCTCTCTGGTGCGTTTCAATTTTTGTGAGGACACGTAGGTATTCTGATGCGACCCTCGCAGGTATTCTGGGCAGTTGTTGAATATTGTAAGTTTGTTCGTACTATGTTCATCACTCGTGACAAGTTTTGTTCTTCCCTAGGTCCAAATCGCCATCGATGAACGAACCGTAGACAAAACGCTCCTCTTTCACGTTGCAGCTGGGAGGGTTGCGTGCTCTCTATTCTCTCGGTTGATTTCACATGCTAAACAGTACATTCATCCAACCTTGAACTCGCGAATCAAGCAATACTACTCCATTCATATGTTCCATGCAGTCGCCCGGCTTGATCTTCCAACATTTGATGATCCAGCCGTGCAGAAGCAGCTCGAACAGACTTCCGCAGTCGATTCAGGCTCTACAGTCGCTTGGGGCACCGTCAACGCCATTGTCAACATCTTCAGTACTGCGGTACAGCTTGTATCCCAGCTCGTAGTTCTAATTCGAGTCGTGCATGACCAACCAGATGGTCCTCTCATTGCCATCCTTAGTTTCGGACAAGCGCTGTTTCAAAACGAAGAACGACACGTACGACATATAAATACTAGTGGTGTGTCTTTTCATTGGCAGTGCTTCGTACTCAATACTGACAGGATGATTCTCAGTCTGGGCTGCGACAACCAAAGATGAAGATTACATTAGATCAGAGGGGCTTAAGCGTCTGATTATCAACCCGACTCATCGTAAAGAGATTGTTGCCGGTGGGATGTGGGAATATCTTCTTCAGGGTAAGATCTTCTTTATTTGAAGATTATTTCGTCCTTTCATCTGCATCCAGAATATACTACCAGCATATGGCGAGTAGGAGATGGCGGAGGCGACTTTTGGCCCCTCTACTCGTCCCAGAAAGTGCGGGGCAGCTATCTGTCGTTTCTTCAAGATCCTTTGCGTGAATTGCCTCAAGTATGGATACCATTAGTGTCATATCCCTCCGGTGCACTCAATATTCATGTTCTAGATTGCATTCACCCTCCGTGCCGTGCAAAAGCCTGCCTCTATACCACTGTCTCTCGCCTCTTTGAATCTGATCACCTCGTCGGCGTCATCTTTTACATTTACACTGTATAGTCTGTTCCGTGGGTCTTCCTCGGTAGCAGAGCGCATAGCGAGTATCCGCCAACTATACGAGGTTGGTAAGATGGAGAATCGTGTTGTGGATGGAGTGATACCATATCCTGAGAATCTCCAGACACTCAGCTCCGGAATGTCTATCGAGTTCAGGTATCTATTGTTTACTCCACGCTAATCCAACTTGGTATATCTTATGCATTCACAGAGACGTGTCTTTCAAATATCCAGGCGCAGAAACTTACGCACTCCATAAGGTATCCTTCACAATTCGGCAAGGACAGCTTTGCGTAGGTGTTGTACTTGTTTACGTTCTAACCACAGTGCTGACACCGATGAAAGGTCATTGTAGGCAAAAATGGCTCTGGCAAGAGCACGATCTTGAAATTGATTGCTCGTTTATACGACCCTCTGGAAGGCGTCATTCTCATAGACGGTCTTGATATCAGAACATTAAAATTGGCTGATCTAAGACGCGCTACCTCCGTCCTTTTCCAGGATTATACACATTTTCCACTATCGGTATTAACGTTCCTTTTTATATCGTTTCCAATCTGATTTATTTTCAGATCAAAGATAACATAGGATTTGGTGACCCTGAAGACCACACTAATGAAGACAAGATACGAAGAGCTGCAGAGCTCGGTGGCTCGGAGGAGTTCATAAACAAACTTCCAGAGGGTTTTGATACTTATTTGGAGCGGCCTGTACGTGACATGTATTCTGGCTTGCCCGAAGGTACAGACACGCTCTTTGGGAGACCGGTGAATTTTGGCAAACTTAGACGCATGGCTGGGATGAGTACCACAAATTCAACATCCCTATCAGGTGGTCAAATGCAGAGAATAGCATTGTGAGTGGTTTTGTTTTTCTTTCGATTTTGTCTAACATTTTATACACAGGTCTCGTACGTTTATGCGATCGCTCGTATCCGAACAAAGCGTGGGTCTGCTACTTTTCGACGAGCCATCCGCGAGTTTAGATCCTACGGCCGAACATTGCATGTTTCCTTTACCTTTTCGATGAGAGGTTGACAGAGGTTTGTGCTAACAGATCTGTTTGAACGATTACGCCAATTGCGGGGAAACAAGACCATGGTCTTCTCTTCTCACAGGTTCGGAAACCTGACGCGACACGCTGATCTGATATTGTAGGTGGTATTCATATCCAATACCCGCTATCTCTGATACCTTCGGTCCCTATAGATATATGGATGATTCTGCCATCATAGAGGAAGGAACTCATGCTGATCTTATTCGTAGGGACTGTGAATATGCTCGGATATGGAAACTACAGGCGGAAGCATTCCTATCTTGATTTTTACCTATTATCTGCCAGGAGACTAACTACACCCATACAATCTACATGTCTGTACCGTTCTAGTATCTATCTTTCCCTGGCTACTTAAGTTGAAATTGGGCCCCACGGCTGCCGCCCAAGTGCCGGTTATAATGCCGCCTCAGCTTGTCGCTATCTATCGGCATTTGCGATGATAGGAGCCTATAAGTTTCGGCAGTCGCTTCCTCCCCATTGACTATCATCATGCCGTCCAAAGAGCAGGGCGATGTTCTTCCCGCCCCTGTGAACACTGGAACGGGTCGCTCGAGCCAGTCGCGCCGCTATGTGCTGCTTGTACTAGTTCCTTTTCTTCTCATTTGGGGACATCTCTCATTCTCCAACAATGTCATGGAGCACGTTCAGAATTGGAAGTCGTGTGGTATCAGCCATTATCATGATGGGGTTGGTGCGAAAGACGCGTCCGCATCTTCGTGTCAGCAAGTGGAGGCTCTATACCCGTCGAAGCATTCCTCGTTCTGGAGTGAATTGGGGGATATCATTGGGACTGATGAGTTCAAGACAAAGGCGATCAGCTGGTTGTCTGGAGCAGTGCAAATCCCGTATGCTTTTCCTTCTTGTGCGAGATAGTATCGATGTGCTCACACGGTACAGCACGGAGTCATATGATAGCATGGATGATATCGGTGTTGACCCTCGATGGGAAGCGTTTGGTCCTTTCCACGATTACCTCTTGAACTCATATCCTTTGATGTGAGTATGCTTCAAGTTCCCGACTATTTTTTTGTGATACGCTTGTAGTCATGCTTCGCTTTCTCTCAAGAAAGTCAACACATGGGGCTTGCTGTACGAATGGACTGGATCTGATTCTACTTTGAAGCCCATAGTGTTGGCTGCGCATCAAGGTGTGCGCATGTCCTCCATGAGTATCCTAATATCTAATATTTATGTATCATCTAGATGTGGTTCCCGTGGATCCCAATACGGTGGACCAATGGATTCACCCTCCCTACTCAGGATACTTTGATGGCAAGTCGTAAATGCAGCGCCCGTCACATCGATATTTGAATGTATTTCTCATCAGGTGAATTGATTTGGGGAAGAGGATCGTCTGACGACAAGAGCGGTCTTATTGGCATCATGCAAGTCTTTCCATCAGCCAATGTATCCGCAAAATTAGACTGACACCAATTCGTTCAGGTCCACAATTGAAACGTTATTGGAGAAGGGCTTCAAGCCTAGTCGTACTGTCATCCTTGCCTTCGGATTTGACGAAGAAGCAAGCGGAGTATATGTAAGTGACGCTTCTTATGTGAAATCTTTGGGTACTGATTACATGATAGGGTGCCGCAGCGCTCGGGAAAGCTATGCTTGAAATATACGGGGAAAATGCCTTTGCTTTCCTCATAGACGAAGGCGGTAAGTCGGCCGGCTCGTTGGCTAAAAGCCATCCCAACTTGTGATTTTGCTTTAGGCGGATTTACAGACCAGTATGGAACAATATTCGCTACTCCGGGTATAGCAGAAAAGGGATACATCGATGTAAAGGTTGATGTAGCTTCTCCTGGTGGCCACTCCTCTATTCCACCATCCCATACGGTAATGTTCTCACTTGTCAGCCTTCTATTGATACTGATTCCCGTCTCAAGAGCATTGGCATACTTTCAGCACTTTTAGTCGAGTTTGAAGAACATCCCTATGTCTCGAAATTGGTAAGCTCTTTTCGTATCTTACATTTCTTCTGTAATCCATCTGTCTCTGTAGTCGAGAGAGGATGTCCTATACAGTACTCTTCAATGTTACACGGCACACGGCACAAAGGTACCTAAACGCCTGCGCCGCGCGATGGAACACTCGGCACATTCAGACTGGGCCTTGCGAGCACTTGAGAAGATTCTTTTCAAGGAGGCATTTTTTAAGAGCCTTGTCGAGACTACTCAAGCCATCGACTTAATAAACGGAGGCGTGAAGTCCAACGCCTTGCCTGAGCAGGCATACGCCGTTGTGAACCACCGTATCTCTACACTCAGGTACGGAACAAAGGCCTTCCTCTCTATTGATATTCACATCACTTTTCAGCTCTGTTGCTGCAACGCAAGCTCATGACACCGCAACTATCAGGAAGTTGGCCCATAAATTCAATCTGACTTTCACTGCCTTTGGTGAGAGCATCTCCGAAGCTGGTGCTCCTTCAAAAGGTAGTTTAACCCTGAGCGATGCCTTCGGTACCGCCTTGGAACCTGCACCTCGAACGCCTCTCTACGGAGACGAAGCAGTTCCTTGGAGAGTCCTGTCTGGTACAATCAAGTCCACGTACAACGCACACAGATCAATAACAGGCAACGACAATATTGCCGTTAGCCCTGGTATGTCAACCGGCAATACAGGTACTGTCTTTCTGCTGCTGTAAAGGATCTTTGGCCGTCCTGAAGGTCGTACAGATACAAAATTCTACTGGAAACTTACGCCCCATATCTTCCGTTACAACCACAAAAATTCGGGATATGGTCCAAATCGGTTAAGCGGAGTCCATACCGTCAATGAGAGTGAGTGATATTTATTACACAGAGTTGATACAGTTCTCCTGATCGCATATGCTTAGACATGAACGTCGATGCACTCCTCGAGATGATCCGTTTCTTCACCACCTTAATCTTGAATGCGGACGAGTATGATTTGTGAACATGAAGGTCGCGTAGTGTGTATGTAGCTACTTGAGTATGCCTGTAAATCCTAAACAACGACAAGGTCCGCTTTTATCTGACCATACACCTGGTGCCCACTAGCTAATGACGACTAACGCACGGCTCTCTGATCCTTCCTGCTCTTTGGGTTCTTGTTCTTTTTCTTTGGATTCGCGATGCGTTAATACCGCCTTGTATTGCTCACATGTCAAGCCTTCGTGAAATGTAACACGGCATGATGGGCAAATCCAGGCAGAACAAGTCGGGCATCGAAGCATGGCTCCCGGGATCGGGTTTTGTGCTGGGTACACTGAAGCGCAATGAGGCGTTGGGCAGTAAAAAAATTTGTCGGGACGCTCGTGAAGGTAGGCCAAGAAGGATGACTCCAGGAGGTTGTCCTGTTCCTCTTTCGGGAGAATTTGCATGAATTTCTGGTGAGGGATGAAAGCTGAACATTCAGATACATCCGAATCATCATCATCGGAGTGCACCTTGGCGACACACTTCAAGCCCGAAAATTTGGGACTTATGACAGAACGTATGAGGGTGTGCATGCAGGAGCGACAGTACAAGTGACCGCAAGGGAGGGTCACTGGATTGACAGGCGGGGCACAGCAAAGGCCGCATTGAGAATGGTCATTTCCTTCCGGAGATGATATGAGAGTTTGGAGGATCTCTTCTGCTTTTTGCTTGTTTTCCTTTGAACCACGAACAAGGAGTGTTCTATCGATCAGGTCCATATCGACTTTCGTCGCCCCGATCGCATCATATAACTGCTCCAAGCCGCCGTTCAACAAGCCATGCAAGGAACGCTGAGGAAGGGGTACACAGAACTGTTGGGAATGAACGAGCTCCAACAAATTAAGGATGTTCTGCTTAGCCTCCAGTCGCCGTTCTTTGGGACCACATACACGGACGATACGATTTAAGAAATCGAGTCCGATGTGCACGCCATGTTTCTTGTTGAGACGAGAGAGTTGTTTCTGGCAGCTGGCCAGATCAAAATAAGGATCCCATAATGCCTTCCCTTCGACAAGCAGCGGCTCGCCCAACACCATCATATCCAAACATTTTCTGGCTTGCGTGTATTCTTCTTGGTTAGGCGAAAACAGACGGAGGACGACTGTACCATCATCCCCGTCCTGGGCGAGAATTTGACAGGTTTTGTACTCATCACGTAAAGATTCAACCTCGGTTTGAATAGGCGTGAATACGCACTGATCAACATTGTGACGAATGAGGAAGGTGTGTTTGACCCCTAGGCAGCCCAGGCCACTCAGGGAAGCATTCACTTTCCCGTTGAGCGCTCCCACTGCTTTGGCTGCAGCACAAGCCGTTACAAAATGAGCAAATCCCGTCGTCATCGAGTCCGGACCATCATAAGCGACGACCTCGACGTTATCCACCTCCCCGAAGCATGTAAGCTCCTCCTGAAGGCGCTGTACGGGGTCTCCGGCGAAGGACGGTGGACCTATATGGATGGACAATTCTGGGTGTACTTCCAAGGAGTGTTTGAGCGTAACAGAGTCAACCTCAGTCGGAAGACCATGTATTTGAACAGAAAAAGAGTTCTTCTGGTTCTTTTTCGGGCGGTTGAACTCTGCCTTGATTGCTTTACCCTGGAACGACAATTTGTTCAACCTGTCCACCTCGCTCTTTGCCTCCGTAATCGAGTCATAGAAAAACCATGCGGTGCAATGGGGTGTGGTCCACGTCAATTTGACTGTCCTGCTTACTCTGGCAAATTCATAGAGTCGAACATTGGTTTCGTCGACTGTAGCCGTCAATGTAATGGATTGGTATTCGGTGCCGTTGAGACTTTGAGCGGCCAGCGCAGCTGCCCAGCACTCCTCGAATTTGATCCGTGCAGTGCTGTCTGCGGGTTCGAGTCCAATTTCGACAGGAGTACCATAGGACTGGACCATCTCAGCGATGGAGTCATCGTATACATCCGGAGGAAGGTTGGAAAGCAGGAGTGTGGAAGTATTAAAGGGCGTGGTGACAGAGTCCGGGATGGCACCAGGCCCGTACTTGACCACGCAGTTGAAAAGATTGACTACGGGGGGTTCCTAGTAGGGAAAGCGTGGTGAAATGGCTAGAGTTAATGGGAAGACAAGGACCCTACCAGATCATAGTGCTCATCCACGCCCGCAGAAGTAGTGTCCTATACACCGATTACAGTCATTCGCCTACAAGAGTAATGGAAAACCTACCTGATCGCCTTCTTGGACCCCATCTACACTCAAAGCTTCATCTTCGGGTTGTTTATGGTGATCATCTTGGGCTACTGCATCTACAGGATCATCCCATGACGCTCCTCCTGGATTATCCCAAGACGCTCCTCCTGGATCATCCCAGCTCGACGCTTTCCAAGCATCATCTTCCTGCTCCTCTCCCCATCCGTGCGGCACCTCGGGTGCTTCAGCACCTTCAGCTTCAGAGGGGTCGCTATCGTGACTGTAGAAACATTTATCGCCATAAGAACAGCTTTTGCCATATCGGCATGGTTTAGATGATCGAGTTTGGTCGCTAGATGTGTTTCCCCGGTCCTCTGCATTGCCTATGAATTTATGCTTAGGACAGACAGGATATTGCCTGCTAAAACTTACCGGTCTGATAGCTCTGTGAAGAGTGTTCATTACCCCACCCATCGCCAGCAAACTCTGACGAATGGCTACGGCCTGCCGACGCGGAGGTCGAGGCGTCTTCATGAGAAAACGTGCAACTGTTTCCATTCTTGCACCCTGCAGGGGACAAGTAGTATTTGCAGACGTTATTTCGAGTTCTAAACCCTGTATCATGCTCACTATCGCGAGGAGGACCTTCGTGTCGATAGGGACATTGCCGGCCATTCCGACACTTGCCCTCCGAATAGAAGGAGCATACTGGGGCCGCAGGTCCGGGTGCTGGTATCGCGTCAGAGTCTGGAGGACCTTGCATCTCTTGTTGCAGGAGGTGGCATTCCTCTAGTAACAAGGCATGTCGAAGTACACACGATGAATCTGGACAAGACCCTCTAATCGCAAAGCGATTGCATAGCGGTGTCGGACGGTTTGGATTAGCTAGAAGAAGATGATACTGATGATCTGTGAGGAAGTGAGGAAGACGACAGGTCAGAATTGTGCATGATCTTTGCATAGCATACATCAAGCAAGGTAGGCTCTCATGCTGCTTTGAGGGGGAATGAACTGCGGGACCATCAAGAGTCGCATCAGATGATAAGAGTATCGGAGAGTGGTTGAAAGGGGAGGGAAGAGAAGACAGTGTATTAGGTGCTTGGATCTCTTCAGGTGTTTTATCGCCATGCTCCTTGCTAGGTGGCGAGGCAGAAACGAGAGTTTCCAAAGAGGAAGATTCAGAAGGGTACTGGTCTCTGGGCGGCAGATCAGAGCTTTCTACTCCAGCGTCGACTTCAGGCGGCAGGGGTGGGGAATTTCTCGATGATCCAGCATCTGCAGCCTCAGCCTCAGCCGGAGGAAACTCTATTTCAGCATCTGCTTCTACAGATACTGAAGCACCTATCTGCATGCTTAACAATCTGGATCACTCCGAAGGACGTTTCTTCACATACCTCGTATCGATGGCGACTCTTGTGGGTGTTCAGTACGGTACGCCGGAGACCCCTTGGTATGGAGATTGATACACTTGTCACCGTATCGACATTTTCCTGAAATGAAGTGAGGACATGTTACCGGTGGTGCGGCCTTCGCAGCAGAGAGATTATGTGAGAACAAGCAACTCGACCCTTTCGTACACGCCCCGCGTTGAAAGTACTTGCAGAGGGTTAGTGACATCTCGACCGGGCATTACAGATTAACAAGAGCTTGGACAATCGGTGAATCCGACACGCAATTTCATGCACTTTCACGCGTGAGATTGGGGGTAGGAAGCAAAGATTGCATCAAAAGAGCCCAGGAAGGCAAAAGAAAGCCTCATTGTAAGTGACAAGGTAACGTGTGACGTAAGCAGAAGAGGTTGTCACAGAAATCACACGTCGCTTGTACAGGCACATATTGAGAACAGCGCCGCGCAGGGTTATAATGGTCTACCACAATCTCAAAGGTACGATTGTCCTCAGATTCTGCATTTCTTGTCTGACTTTGATACCAGCCCTCATCAAGGGTATTCGGTCGTGCAAGGTACGCAACATTAATGCAATCGACCCGAGCTATAACAAGCGACATCGTTTCGTTAGACCGTGGCCGACGAGAGGGCTCTGATTCAGCAAGAGTCTGCAGCGATTCGCGCGTCCTTTCGTGATGAGGACTCGTATGCTCGACACAACAATATCGCCAAACTCCTCTACATCCATATGCTAGGCTCGCCGGCACATTTTGGACAAATAGAATGCCTCAAGCTTGTAGCAAGCCCTCGTTTTGCGGATAAACGTCTTGGATATCTTGGGATCATGCTGCTACTGGATGAGAAGCAGGAGGTATTAACGTTGGTGACGAATTCTCTCAAGAAGTGCGCAGTGCTTTTTCCTCATGGTCAATTTCAGACACTAATGTCTTTACAGTGATATGGCCCATTCCAATATGTATGCTGTCGGGCTGGCACTGTGCACTTTTGCCAATATTGCTTCCGAAGAGATGTCGCGCGATCTGGCCAATGAGATAGAAAAACTTTTGGGTTCCAGTAACACGTACATACGCAAGAAGGCGAGTGCAAATACAAGCTCTCTATTCCACCAACTAACATGTAGGAAAGGCGGCACTTTGTGCTTTGAGAGTCATCAAGAAGGTCCCTGACCTAACCGATCATTTCGTCTCCAAAGCTAAGAACCTCCTGACCGACCGAAATCATGGTGTCCTGCTTTCATCAATAACTCTGATAACTGAAATGTGTCAAACTGATCCCTCGGTTCTCAACGAATTCCGAAATGTTCGTATACATACATCGTGACTTGGAGTATCTAACAGCCTCCCGTAGGCTGTCCCAATTCTGGTTCGAACCCTCAAGTCACTAGTCACAACAGGCTACAGTCCCGAGCATGATGTGTCTGGAATCGCGGACCCTTTTCTTCAAGTTAAAATACTGCGTTTATTGCGTCTCCTAGGCAAAGGTGACGAGCATGCAAGTGATACAATGAACGATATACTGGCGCAGGTAAATGCATATGCATCCTTATTGATGCTTTCCCTCACCCCAACTATAGGTCGCCACAAACACAGATTCCACGAAGAACGTCGGAAATTCTATACTCTACGAAACTGTCCTAACAGTCTTGGAGATTGAGGCTGATACGGGATTGCGCGTTATGGCCATTAATATTCTAGGGAAGTTCTTGAGTAATCGAGATAACAACATTCGGTGCGTGTCCTTGTCCTGCATCAATAATCAGAGACTTGACTGGTTAGAATATAGTTACGTTGCTCTCAACACATTGAATAAGGTAGTGTCAATGGATACCAACGCTGTTCAACGACATCGAAACATTATCCTTGACTGCCTACGTGACGCTGATATCTCTATTCGTCGTCGCGCATTAGAACTATCATATGCTCTCATTAACGAACAAAATGTTCGAGTACTAGTCAGAGAGCTGTCGGCGTTTTTAGAAATTGCGGATGACGAGTTCAAGATCGGGATGACAACACAGATATGCCTAGCTGCAGAGAGATTTGCTCCGAGTAAAAGATGGCATATTGATACCGTTTTGCGTGTGCTCAAGCTCGTCAGTGACTCTTTCTTTGTATCATTCACATGCACATTCTTACATATGTGCAGGCTGGCAACTTCATACGCGAGGAAGTCTTGTCGGCATTTATCAGATTGGTGGCGCACACACCAGAACTTCAAGCCTACACGGCATCGCGATTGTACAGGGCTCTGAGAGACGATATATCTCAGGAATCACTGACACTTGCTGCTACTTGGATCATTGGAGAGTACAGTGAGATTATAATAGAAGGCGGTCTTGTTGACGATGATGTGACGAAGCAGGTTTGTCTGCTGTCACTCTTCATTTACAGATCCTGTCCTCATCATATCTCATACAGGTCACAGACAAAGAACTTGTGGATTTGTTGTTGTCTATTCTTGACTCACCATATGCTAACTATCTGACACGACAATACGTCCTTTCCGCCATAACCAAAATGGCGGCGCGACCTACGACCTCTGCCGTGCAGCAAGAACGTATATCTGAAGTTCTAACACAATATACGACAAGCCCAGAGCTTGAGCTGCAGCAGCGTGCAGTAGAGTTTGCCAGCTTGTTCAATCTTGGCGAGCTGAGAGAAGGTGTGCTAGAAAGAATGCCTCCTCCAGAGCTCAAGGCTACCGTCATGGGAGTCGGTTAGTGCCAAATTTTCGCGGTGTGTCATCCGGTGATGTAACCATATTTTAGTGAGCGAAAACAAGCCCGTTGGGTCGACGGAGTCGCGGAACCTTCTAGGAGATGAGCCAGTATCCCCCGTCAACGGATCATCCGCGTCGTCTGCGCCTAATGATCAGCAGCTCATTGCTGAGATCTTTGGTTCATCGGGCGGAAGTTCCATGCCTTCAACAAGCTCGTCAGTTAAGCCTTCTTCACAGCGAACGACTATAGATGATATTCTTGGACTATTCGGTCCGAGCAACGGCACGACGACCTCAACGCCTACTATACCATCCGTTTCGCCTTCTCTAGGCCTTGTCTCCACTCCCTCCCTGTTTGATAGCCCTGCATCGCCACCACCTCAGGCCCCGGCCCCTCATCCACAACCCGCTACGTCTCATCTCACCTCGTACACTGCGTACGATAGGAACGAGCTCAAAATTACACTAACGCCCCAAACATCTCCGACGAGACCTGGAGTGGTCCTCATACTTGCGCGATTCCAGGTAACGAGTGGCAATGCAGTGACCGGTCTCACATTCCAGGCTGCCGTTCCGAAAGTAAGTCTCTTAAGTCAGGGTCATCACCGCCGCATGGCTCACATTTTTCGTCGTCCATCAGTCACAACAGCTGCAAATGCAACCGATGTCCAGTCCAAACGTGAATCCCGGTTCAACAGAAACCCAGCAAATGCGCGTGATATCCCCACCTGGTGTACGTCAAATTCCATTAGCGTGAATTCATACATCGATGTTGATCAATTTCCAAAGGCCAATGTACGGCTACGCCTGCGTATCTCATACACTCTTGCTGGCCGCCCCGTGCAAGACCAGGTTGACTTTTCTGGGTTCCCGCCGGGTTTGACAGGTGGATCATAGTATACTATCCGCATATTTTATACGACCGCCAGTTTTTCGCCCGGGCCTTATTCAATGGAGACGGACATTTGTTTTTACAGTAGTGCTTAGGAATGGCTTTAACGACTCACTAGACTAAGTTTCACTGTCTTCCGGACTGATAGGTCTGAAATCAATGGCTGGTATGGATTTATTTGATCAGGATTTATTACTATTTTCCTCCAAAGTCCTAAACCCTCGTCCTATTCGCTATGGGGAAATAAGGATGGGTATGTATATTCGTTGATGGATAAAACAGCAGATAGATATAACGAGCGAAGGAAATTTAGAAGATTGAAACGTTCATATATCAGCAGGTTCTGGCATACCCATACCTCTTCTTTAAGGACAGAAGGTGAGCACTAATCGCGTGAAAAGCTGCTGTTAGTTGCTACCATCCGATAATTTGGTTTAAACACGAACCGTAGTTGGCCGCAAGGGTACTTCCACACGTCCACAATGCGGTGCCGCTGCTCTCGTCGTAGGCATAGACATAGGAATCGGGGCAGCCATCCTCTGTTCATAGGAACAGCATTTAATTCTTGCTTTCTAGGAGTAAGAGACGAAGCTTACTGAAGTAACTGTAGTATTCAACACCACTGCTCGGGCAAGTGGCTGCAGTGCTATGGCTGCCGCTGCAACAGTTGCCGGAATCAGCTGGGGAGTGCATCAGTACCCGTCCCTTTACTTGCAGACGCGTTCCTTACCTTGGTTGCCATCAAGATTGGCAAAACATGCGCTCTTGCAACCGACTGTGGTCCCAGACGACGTTAAGGCGAGTTCAGATGGGCCTGGATCAGCGAGTGGTTATTTTTTTAGAACGGGGAGAAGAAGCAGGTAACGTACAGTTGGTATTGAGGTTGGTGGGGCAGCTCGCGGTGGAGCACCCAGCATTGTTAGTGATAGCCATTGGAATATTGAACCCGTCGACAAGAGACACTGAAATACTCGTAAACTGGAAGTCGTGCATTGGAATGAGAGAAGACGACTCACCATCGTACCAGTCTTCGCTGTTAGATCCTCCAAGAGTCCACTCAGCAACGGAAGCGGGAGGAACACCCTAATTTCTTCGTGAGCTCAAACATTTCAATATTTTCAAAGAGCTTACGGTTCCGGTAGCCGAGTCACATTCCAGTCCACCGTTACATCCACCAGTGGCACAGGAAGTAGGTCCAGGGTTGGTAGAGAAGTCACAATCCGTACGGCCCTAGGTAACGTTAGGGAGATTCAAATGAGGAAAGAAGTGCTGTACCCAAATCCGACCGGCTGTCCAATTATCCGGGACGGAGAATGACACTGAACTTCCAGCTGCTGCTTCCCAACTTCAAACCCCACAATCAGACCATGGCGCATCAGATATAAAGGGAACAAACCCGGTGACCTGGTCGGGTACAGAAGTACCAACATTGAGGTCGGTGTAAATCTACCACGAGTTTAGTGCGAACAGATGTAGGGATACATAGCGGTGGCCTTACCGCTGGCCTGGAGAACCCGTGTTAGGTTATTTCGAGGACATCGAGCGTGGTGCACGTACCAGATAGTGTAGGCGCAGTTGTTGGTGACAGTGAAAGTACGCGTTGCGTAGGTGGAAGAGGCAACAGCGAGAGTGACAAATACAGCGAGTCCCTTCATGGCGTAAACTTTGGAATCTGTCGAAGTCTAGTGAAACGAGTGCAGTTACGACTATCTGATATCGAAGAGACGTTGGAGATATAGGAAAGCAGGGAACGAGAGTCTTTTTATACCCTGAATATATAATTGCAAGTATTTCGAGCATATGGTTGCAACAGATTGTTATGAGAGGGGCCCCTTGATTTCAAGTTTGTACGGCCTCGGTGCTGTCCACTTGTTAAGTTCGTCTCCCGCAGTATGATTGTGGTGGATCAGGCGAGCTTGTATTCGCGTTTCAGTGAATAGACGCGAGGTTCCCTAAACACGTGTGTGCTCTGTTGCACATGAAGGAGGAGCGACCCATACTGTCGGAGGATATGCTAACATCTTGACAAGGAGTGTTTATGAGTTCGGTATCCAACTAGCAACTAGAAACACAGTTTAGTTAAGATTACGCGGAACGCGATGTTTTCTCTAGCAGCTTGAGTCGTTAAATTGCCACATAGAACACCAAGAAAAGAGACACCTTGTAGATGTTACAGACGCTGCATCTTAACAGCTACGTTTTATTGCACAGGTCAACGGTCAGTATGCTTTATGAAACCGCGGGAGCGTTGAATAGCAACGACTCACCGTGTTGATCGCTGGGTGATCGCAGCAGGTAACAGCATGGCTAAAACAGGCTAACTTGTCCGAACCTGGCAATTGAAAGCAAATCGATTCAGGCTGTCATTGCACATCACAGTTCAAATTCCAGCTCAAATCAAGTAGGTGCTTATTGACAAAATACCTGACCGTGTCCGTGGTTATAATGCATGTGTTGTATGATATGATGCCAACTTTGACCATCGTATCTCTTTCGAGCTCTTTCGATTACCGTGTTTCCAGCGTCGTTGATATGTACTCAGAAGCAAGGCATATTATGGGTTGTATTTCGGAGAAATATGCTGCGGTATTATGACCCTGTTCTCTCATGGTTGCTCATTCTTACTTCGTAGCTGTTGAAAACACATGAATTCACTGGTGATTGCCATAGACTAGGCGGGTGAATCGAAATCCTACAAAATAAATATTGTCTTGGATATCATATGCATGGCGACGACCTTCCTATGCGAAAGGGTACTCGAGCAAATTTGAGCAAGTCTATATATCCAGGGCTGTACGTCTATAGTCTACGGGGTATATGTCTAGGATGCTATTAGTGTATTATGCAATGTCATAAATGTATAAAATGTCTTGGTATGAAGCTCGAAGCTTGAAGTCTAGCAAGTCTATGGTAGATAATTCTAAAACCCAAAATGAAAAGAAGTGCATTATCCATATAGTTAACCCAAGATGAAGCAAAATCTACCATATCATAAGGAATGATAATTAGGATATTACCACCATTTGGGGCGCATGCTGGAGGAGCGCATCCATCTGGTAATCAATCACCTTCACTCCCTTGACGACAAGTTGGCGAGGGCGGCAAGTGGAACGCGCCACCAAGCCAATAACGGGATCCAGATCAACGACTTGTTGATCCGAGCCGAGGTCCGCGGGGCGGAAGACTAGGATATCCAACCTGGGAAGGATAAGCGCGTCAAGAAGCGGCCGAACACTAAAATCTCCTGTCAATACGACTTCTAGGGTTCTCATATCGGAAGCAACTGGGGAATAGGTTGGCGAGGGCCCAGTAACAACCGTAAGTCGGTCAACGTTTTCTGCTGTCGCAATCAAACGTGCCACCGATACGCTGTCCTGAATGCCTTCACCAAGGGTGATAGCCTCAAGCTGCGAGAAGGGTAACGGGTGCTGGTGGACCTTGACTATCTGTGTGCCCGACCCCGATATGTGTACTTCCCGGAGCTTCGACGCTCCCATGAATGTGTTGCATCTGAACTCGCGACTGTAGCTGTTTGCGGGGTAATCTATGGCCAAAAGTTCGAGACTGGGAAGAGATACGCCGGGTCGGTTAAGAATCTCGTAGAATTTAGCAACGCCCGCAGTTGAGAGGCGGACGCGTACATCCCTCCAGCGGTGAGCGTGGTGAGCAAGCTGAACGATGAATGGGTAATGGGCATGGGGAATGTAGTTTTCGGAAGAGATACGGATCGTCAGCAGCTCATTTCCCGCCAGTTCGAGGTGCCTTCGAATTAGCGCCTCAGAGACGATGAGATCGTGCTGTGTATGTCTGCCAAGAGAGATGGATATAAAAGACCACAGCCGTGGCATGGAAGTCGCGATATCGCACCATCGAGAACAGACGAGGCTGATGCGGTGCACGGAGAGTGCTTCGCGGAAAGATGGCGTGGTACAGGCCACATCCAGATCTACAGCACACTCGAAAATGATCTCCAAGATCTCGGTGGGCATACTTCGAATGGGCGAAAGGAATGACTCTTTCTGCTGAATGAAGGTTTCCATAGCGGCTCTCTCTGCGTCCAGCTTGGACATGATCTGCGCCAACCTCATCAGTTCATTTTCATACCGCAAAACCTCGACTCTGGCATTTGAAATCTCGCGGCGATACTCGATTTCCTCTGGAGCAGCTAGGACGTTGCTTGTCCATCGGTACTGCTGCGAAAATGCATTACACGGAATCGGCATCCACGCAGTGCTGCAGAACTCCGTTCCACAGTTGTGGCACAGCTTAGTAGCTTGACGGATCGCTGCCATGCTATAAAGGATGGCCAGATCAGAGAACGTTCCATCGTCACAAAGCAAACAACTCACTTGTCAGGTTTAAGATAGTGAAAACACTCCGAAGGATGCGCTAAATATGCACATCGGTCGTCTTTATACAACTCGGACCCCGCAGTATTCGAGAGCGAAGCGAAAAGATGCCCTCCAAACGCCATCGGTGGAAGATTTGTAGAGGTCATGATAACTATTGGTTAAGCCATGCGGGTGAAATCGGACCGAGGCGGATACTAGATGATCCCTCAATGTCGCGACGTTGCGATTTGTCGTCAGCCGTAAAACAAAGGGGTACAAAAAGCTTGAAACAATCTTCCGCCCGGAGTTTACCCTCATCAACCATGATTGTCTGGACAATTAAGGCGAAGATGAGATGCGAAGACTCTGCGGTGAGACCTAGACGTGACTAACGATACTCGTGGCCGCCAACGTGCAATGCTTCGACGCGACATGTGTATGTTCTTCGGGGTCGGATACATGAATGGGGGGCGTTCATCGCAAAATATTTAACCTGTAGTCTAGAACTTAATGTTGCAGGCGCCCTCGCGTTGCCAACCACTTGGTGGAGGTAAAGATATGGATGACAGGCCTCCGGAAGTTATGTCATCGGAAGTAAACTTTCATCTATAATATAAACAATCCATTAGAACAAGTGAGAATGAGAGGTAAACTTTCTGAGCCTTGTCATAACAGAAACTGCAAATGTTAACGAGTTTGTGAGACAGCACGACAATTTCGATTTCGAAGACTTGGTTGATTCAGTTGAAGTCTAGTCGTAGAAAACTCTGATAAGCTGATCCGGCGGCGCATCTTCGCGTGGTTGGTTGCGGCAAAGATCGGGCCGGATCCATCCTTTCCAATCACAACGAACTGGACCTTCAAACCGTGGGCAGGTTGTTGTATCGCGACAAATGCCTATTATTCGAGATAATGGAGGTAAGCGCCTATCAGACGAGCTAACAGTGACGTTGCGGTCTAGAGCATCTCAGCCGAGCCAACTTTGTAAACCCGAAAGAAAGAACTTGACGGTCCAAGGACTGTTCAGGAATCAAAAAACTGTACAACGAAGGAAATATTATCATCCACAAGCACAGATTCATTGCACTATTTTTCATTCGAAGTTTCCCAGTGGGACCACTAGGGTTAATCACAAGCTCTGACTTGCAGCCTTTGTCGTCCGGTGTCACAGTATATAAGTTGGTCGAACGCATTATTTAAAAAGTGTATATTTAGTGTACATGGGATTACGTTTTCTTCCAACACCGCTGAACGGTCACCGCAATCCGCAGTAACTTCAGCCTGCAGCCATGTTACATTTGAAATTTGAAGCTGAAAAACAGACGCGAGCACCGGGTGTCTCGCACTCCTCATCAGAACCTACACGTAGTAGTCCACCTTCCGCCCTAGAACTTGCTCTTGTACTCTCCCTTCGCCGGGCTTCTTGTGTTCGGTGTATTTTTCATGACCGGTCCGTTTAATTCGTTCGGCCAGCCACTCGGCTTGAGTGGGCGCTCGCTCCCCCGCGTCGATACGGTCTTGGAAAGCATGCACCCCATCACGCTTGACAATCGGCGACTCGTAAAGAGGATCAAGCACAAGATCTCCACGTGCCCGGGCAAAATGAATAAGGATTAGGCGAGTAATGTCGGACTGATCAGCGGGGGGTCGGATGACACGGTGTCGTGTTGCTTTCAAGACACCGCCTGTCAAAACTAGAACAAAGTCAGGAAGTGTGATGTGGACAACCGAAAGTAACACTTACAGTCCAGTGCATCCGCAACGTTTACCACGACAGCGCTGTCGCGATGTTGAACCCATTTCCATTCGTTATTAGGTGTCAGAATGTGAAGAGCGGCTATAGGTTGAGAGAATAGCAATGAGATGGTGTTGTAATCCGTGTGGCCCTTGCTCCATATGTTTTTGGTCTTCTCCTCGTCTTCTTGGCTTCTGGGATGGTAGCCCATGTATCGCTGGCCTATAGATCGTTATAAACACGGCTGACACTCATTTCCATGGGAATTGAACTGACATGAATCACCAATGACACCGTCTTGACTGTGAAGCTTCCAAAGGGCATCTGGAGGAAGCTCTAGGACAAGCGAAATGATCTCTAGTATCTTGCGGACTATGTGGTTGTACGTATAGTCGGCAGATGCTTGAATCTCTGGGAGAAAGGGCCGTAAAGAGGGTGGATGTTGATCGATATTGCCATCGAATGACGGACTTTCGAAGTTGTAGTGCTAGGCAATGTGAATAATGTTTGCTTGTCGTTCGATAAACATAATCGGGCAAGGTGTTTACTTACTTCAATATTGTCCACGACGCCTTCGCGTGACCAAATTCCCTTCGGCTTGTGGCCGCGATATGAGCCTTCGGACAGCTTGGCGGTATACCCGACCTTCTCTTCATCAGCAATGCCTTTGATTATGTGTTGGGTTATGGCAAGTTGACGTTCAATGGTTTCTTGCGTGACGCCGGTACCGACGACGTAGAGAAATCCATCGACAGAGAGGGCATGTTTAGATCTAGATATAAGGCTTTCACGAACAGACGGATCGTTGGAATCGAGGTCATTTAAGTCGATAGTTTCCAGTGAAACCCAATCCACTACAAGCAGCCTTCAGTAGCGCATTATAATACGATTGAAAAGCTTACAAGGCTCTTTGGTTGTCGCTGGCACTTTCCATGCGGGTAAAGCTTGGCTGCCTTGAATTTCTGGAGCAAACGCATCATGTGCAGGTGACAAAACAACAGCAGTGGCCATGATGTACGATGATAGCTAGGTATCAAAGTAAACGCCCTTATGTGTTAGTATCGCAATTCTTAAGATAGAACGAGAAGACGGCCTGCTAACTTATCTATGGCGTTCCATGCCATCATCGTTGCGCAACATGAATGTCGGTCCTATCGCCTTACTCGGTGACACAGTAGCATTTACATGGAGAGATGTATGAGCAGGTTTAGTACCAATTAAAGACGAAAAATCATAAAATGTGTTGAATCCTGGTCGCGATAGGTTGAGGTTCGAAATGAAACGTTTTCTGTAGTTCGATCGGCATAGATCGGCAGCTGAAGTACTCCGGCCCGGGCCTCCGCAGGACTGAGTGACCTCTCGAAGTTCGTGATTTGCTCTCAGACTCCATCTTCATCGCGTCATATTCTTATCGCATGACCTGAGATACTCAGGAATGATCTGAACAATGTTTCTGGAAAGAGTCCTCATGTGAAGCTATAAAGTGGGTAGCGTCAGGAATTCTACTCTTCTTTCTTCACGCTTTTCAAAATGGCAGCGCTTCAAAGCAAAGGTTCAAGTTCGGTTTCGTTCAATAATGTAGTGACCGCGCCAGAACTGTCTTACCGGTCAAATGATACAGGAAATATCCCTTGGTATAGCTATGGTAAACTTTTCTTCGCATGTCTCTGCTGACCTTTTTGATAAAATTTCGTTGATGTGTAGCTTGGGATTCGTTTGGAAAGCAGGTCTGTACATTTCAAAGTCGAACCCCGTTTTAAACTTGCTGTAGACCGCAAGAAGAACGGAACTTCGTCGTCAAGCTTGACTTGAGTCTGCTTGTATTCTCTGTTCTTGGACTGCTCATGCGATATATCGACCAAAAAAATGTCGATAGTGCTTACGTTTCGGGAATGCGAGAGTGAGTACAGCTAGAGCTGCATCAGTTTGACCCGTTTATTCGACTGATCCATTATGAAATAGAGAGCTTAACCTGTTTGCCTTCTTGATGATAATCTGGAAAATAACCTTACCGTGTTTTCAGCTATGGCAATGAGCTCAATTACGCGCAAACTTGCTGGACTGTAGGATACGTCATAGGTGAATGTCATTCAAGGTTATAAAATATGTTTATACTGACCACTACAGGCCAAGTCCCGGTGAACATGTTGCTGAATCGCATATCCCCGCATTAGTACGCGCGCTTGTCCCATTTCTGTCGTTGTCTTAGTTTCCGTATATCAGCATCATATTCGCACTGGAAATGGGGTGGACACTCTTGACATTATGTACGACTTGGGCGCACCACGCTACCCACCTTGTGAGTTTCTTTCCATTCAAGATTCAAGTCTATGTGACAACTATCCACTTTCATTTCTTAGTATGTTATCCGGTTTTTCGTCGGCTTGTTTGAGAGCGGCTACTATCCCGTGCGTTTTCTAGCGTCATTGATCTCTTGGTCTTCAGTGACGTTCATCTCGTCATATCAGGGACTTCTCTTTCTAATTGGCTCGTGGTACACGAAGGATGGCGCGTTTAGATAAATCTGTACTTTATGGTGGTTTTGACTGTTTATTACAGAGCTTGCCAAACGGTCAAATATCTTCCAAGCCGCTACTGCTGGTGGGACCCTACTCTGCGGATTGATCCAAGGCGGTATCTATAGCTCTTTGAATGGCAAGGGCGGCTATTCAGGGTATGTCGGAACGAGTCCCTTTCGCGTCTGTCTTGCTGATGCCTCTTCAGATGGCGATGGGTAAGCTCGACCTATGATGCATGCCGCTGACTTCTGAAGTCCTCTAGTGTTTTGCTATTGATGCTCTCATATCATTCCCCATTGCAGTTGGCGCCTTCTTCATGATACCCGACCTCCCTACTGTTATCAAGCCTAATTGGTTGTTCTCCGAGCGTGATATCGAGATAGGGAAAGCAAGGATGATCGCTGCTGGTCGTGAAGGCCCGAAACCAGGATCGTTCAACTTCAAGTTCTTCGTGAATCTATTAAGTGAATGGCACATATGGCTCTTCACGGCAGGATATTCTTTGTATATCTATTCACAGAACCCACAGCAGTCCATGTCATTTTGGCTCAAGTACTCGAAAAACCCAACTTACACTGTGCCACAAATCAATTATTATCCATCTGGTATTTGGGCCACACAGATCGTTTCTGCTCTTGGATTTTTGTGGTTGAGTGATACCATCCTCAAAGGGTGGAGGTGGCCTCCACTGATTTTTGTTACTGTCTGTCGCAATGTTGTGCATCGTGAACACAGATCTGACTGGTTTTGTGACTAGGTACGGCACTTGATCGACGTCGCTGTGCTCGCGGGGACGCCGGTGTACGCAGAGAATCGTGTTCCTAGATGGGTCAGTACCTCTGAACCGGAAACGAAACTTACGATGCTCAACCTTACTAGGTCTTTTACTACCTATCAGGTCTAGTTAACTGCACACCCGGCCTTTTCTATGCGTGTTAGTGTCGCTTGTTTTGTCCTTGCAACGTCTATCTGGCTAATTTGAAGTATACAGGGTGTAGCGAGATCGTCGGTGCTAGCTCAGAGAAGCGCGGTGTCATCATGGGGACATTTAACAGCGTAGCGTACAGCTTCAATGCTTGGCTTCCATGTGCGGTGCCGTATCTTTCTAAACTGTACACTTCCGCTAACTTCTGACACAGTACTATTGTTCAAAACGACCGAACAACCCCGAGTCCTTAAAGGAAACATTTCAGTTGTGGTCGCTCAAGCGTTGCTCATTGGCGTCCTGCTGGCTATCCTTCACCTATCAATGCGTGACCAGAAAAGAGAGGCGAAGAAAGCACAGGACGACTAAAGCTCACATACTCAGAACCCTGTTACTTCTCACGAGTGAAGAATTGTCATGGGACTTGCAGCAAGCTTATCATAGACAACGTGATATATTCTGCAGAACTAGCTACAGATGTCATGCGCATTGAAATACTACTAGAAAGTTGGAAGCGTGAGCAAAGCAAGTCGAAGATATCGAGGAGCAGAAAAGAATGAATCAGCTGGCTGTTCTTAGTATTTTTTTCGTTGGTCTCCCCATCACCGGCGTGCCGATTGCGGTATTGGGTGTACGTTTTCACATCGTGAAGAGGGCAGGAAAGAGGACGATCAACTCACCAGTAATGTCAACAATGAAGCGTTGAGGATGCTCCAGTTACTGCATCTACGACTGAATCTGTGAACAAAATATGAGCAAGAAGTTACGACGACGATGAAGAGAAAGTCAGTGGTGCACTAATGAGTTTGGCTGTGCTCTGCCGATCGTCAACGCCAATGGCTACGACTGGGGCGGCAAGAAATCATCACAAAGATGAAGAAGGAAACGAGACTCACCATGATGATCGTTGTTTGGAGGGAGGAAAAAAAATTGTACGCCCTTTTATGGGTACCAAAGGCGTGGGAATTCACACGGTTCCTTAGTCATGCAGTATCCTTCGTAACTTGGCTTTTGACTCCCACTACTCTCCTACCTCATTCTATCGGAAGTCTAGGTATAATGTCTCCTCCGGGATCGCCCAGATTGATAGACTCGTACACAGTGCCGAAGGACGTGCTCAAAGAGTTTGAGGAGCTTGCTGAGGAGGAAAATGTCGACCCATTTGCCGAAACCGCGTCGAAGCGGCAAATAGCTTCTCGCCAATCCGACTACCACAATCGTCGTTTCGACCGTGTAGCACTTGAGAGCGCTGATGTGTTCAAGCAAGGCGGAGATGGTAAAGAAGTTGAAGGGGGCTACAAGGATGCCATGCGATTGGCTAGACTGGAGCAGGAAGAGCTCCGGGTGAAAAAGGCCATTGAGGAGAAGGAGAGGCAGGATAGAGAGGAGGGAAAGATGAAGATGGACCTTGATAAAACGCCTCCTGCTTCCGAGATTAAGGATGTCGCCGTGGAGCTGGCTTCTGCGAAGGAGCTTGCAGCGACCAAGGAGGCTTCGGCTGGCACGAAACGCAAACGACGCTGGGACGTTCCAGAACCCTCTGATGAGAATGTTGATCCCAATAAAGTTGACTCGGGGGAGTGGTCCAAGGAGGCACTCGAAGCCTCTGCGCCTAAGAAGCGTCGGTCTCGCTGGGACGCTACGCCTGCTGAAGTCGCGGAAACGCCAACAACTGCAAAGCGATCTCGTTGGGATCAGACTCCAGTCCAGGTTGATGTTCCGATGACGCCTATCATCATGAACGCGCCCGGCTTCATGCAGGAAGATAAGCACAACCGTTATCTCACCGACGAGGAGCTCGATGCTGTTCTGCCTCCTACCGGTTACACCATTGTCACTCCGCCTCCTGGATATGCCCCTAGCGTTGCCCCACGAAAGCTCATGGCGACGCCTTTGAGCACCGAGGTTGGCGGTTTTCAGATCCAAGAGAGCTCCGATGCTGCTTCCCTAGCTGCTGCCGCTGGCTTGGCGCCAGAGCTGCCCACGGAAATTCCGGGAGTTGGGAATCTCGCCTTCTTCAAGGCTGAGGATGCGCAATACTTTGCCAAGATCCTGAAAGAGGAGGATGAAACAGAGCTGTCGGTTGACGAGATGAAGGAACGCAAAATTATGCGACTTTTGCTCAAAATAAAAAACGGGACTCCACCTGTGCGAAAAACTGCTCTCCGCCAAATCACTGACAAGGCCCGTGAATTCGGTGCAGGACCATTGTTTGACAAAATTCTCCCTCTTCTCATGGAACGCACGTTGGAAGACCAGGAGCGGCATCTTCTCGTCAAGGTCATTGATCGCGTTCTCTACAAACTCGATGACCTCGTTCGTCCCTATGTCCACAAGATCCTTGTTGTCATTGAACCTCTTCTCATCGACGAAGACTACTACGCCCGCGTGGAAGGTCGCGAAATCATTTCCAACCTCTCTAAAGCTGCGGGTCTTGCTCACATGATTTCTACCATGAGACCCGATATCGACCACGCCGACGAGTATGTGCGCAATACCACAGCCCGTGCATTCTCTGTCGTAGCTTCAGCCCTAGGTATCCCGTCCCTTCTTCCTTTCCTCAAAGCTGTTTGTCGGTCCAAGAAGTCATGGCAGGCCCGACATACGGGCATTCGTATCGTTCAACAGATTGCTATTATGATGGGATGTGCTGTCCTTCCTCATTTACGCAATCTTGTGGACTGTATCGCGCATGGCTTGTCTGACGAACAACAGAAGGTTCGGACAATGACGGCTTTAGGTTTAGCCGCTCTGGCTGAGGCCGCCGCACCATATGGTATTGAGTCGTTCGACAACGTCTTAAAGCCATTGTGGTTGGGTATTCGTCTTCACCGCGGCAAAGGTCTCGCCGCTTTCTTGAAAGCCATCGGTTTTATCATTCCTTTGATGGACCCGGAATATGCCTCCTATTACACCAAGGAAGTCACGGTCATCCTGATTCGAGAATTCCAGACATCAGACGAGGAGATGAAGAAGATTGTACTCAAGGTCGTCAAGCAATGCGCGGCAACAGAGGGAGTGACACCCCAATACATAAAGCAGGACATTCTTCCCGACTTCTTCAAGTCATTCTGGGTTCGTCGTATGGCTCTGGACCGGAGGAATTACAGGCAGGTTGTTGAGACGACCGTGGAGTTGGCGCAGAAGTCTGGTGTATCGGAAATTGTTGGCAGGATTGTGAACGAACTCAAAGACGAAGCCGAGCCTTACAGGAAGATGGTTATGGAGACTATCACCAAAGTAGTTGCTACTCTTGGAGCCTCGGATATCGACGAAAGGTTGGAGATGAGGCTGGTCGATGGCATCATCTTCTCGTTCCAAGAGCAGACGACCGAAGATCAGGTTATGTTGGACGGTTTTGGGACCGTTGTTAACGCCCTTGGCATCCGGGTCAAGCCATACCTTACACAAATCGTCTCCACCATTCTCTGGCGTCTCAATAACAAAAGTGCCAAAGTGCGACAGCAAGCCGCCGATTTGACCTCACGGTTGGCGGTAGTCATCAAGCAGTGTGGAGAGGATCAGCTTCTTAGCAAGTTGGGTCTTGTCCTCTTCGAACAGCTTGGTGAGGAATATCCAGACACTTTGGGAAGCATCATCGCGGCCGAGGGGGCCATTGCAAACGTCGTTGGTATGACTCAAATGAATCCTCCGGTGAAAGATCTGCGTGAGTTTTTCCCAGCCTTGGCAATAATTACTTTAAACTAAACTTTGTTTTCTAGTACCTCGTATGACTCCCATTCTACGGAATAGGCACGAGAAAGTGCAGGAAGCGTCCATCAACTTGATTGGGCGTATTGCTGACCGTGGCGCGGAGTTCGTTCCGGCTCGCGAGTGGATGCGCATATGTTTCGAATTGTTGGATCTTCTAAAAGCACACAAAAAGGGTATTCGACGTGCTGCTGTCAATTCTTTCGGTTATATCGCCAAGAGTCTGGGTCCGCAGGACGTGTTGTCGGTACTTTTGACCAACCTGCGTGTGCAAGAACGTCAAAGTCGTGTCTGTAGCACTGTGGCCATCGCCATCGTTGCTGAAACTTGTGGACGTGAGTGGCATACTAATTTTGCCAAATGCTTTGCTGATAACATTGTTTCTCCTTGCATAGCTTTCACATGTATACCTGCCATTCTTAACGAATACCGAACCGCGGAGTTGAATGTTCGGACCGGTTGTTTGAAAGCGTTGTCCTTCGTATTCGAATATGTCGGTCCCCAGTCTGCATATTACTGCGACTCGGTTGTGACGATGCTCGAGGATGCGCTCACTGACCGTGACCTCGTCCATCGCCAAACAGCCAGCACCATCGTCAAGCATCTCGCTTTGGGTGTCGCGGGATTGGGTTGTGAGGATTCTATGCTCCACTTAATGAACCTCGTGTGGCCCAATTGCTTTGAAACGTCTCCACACGTCATCGGCGCTGTGATGGATGCAATTGAAGCTATGCGTGTGACGTTGGGTCCTGGCATTCTATTAAGTTACGTGTTGCAGGGGTTGTTCCATCCGGCTAGGAAGGTCCGAGAAGTGTATTGGCGCATTTACAACGCGCTTTACTTGGGCGCTGAGGATTCGCTGGTGCCGTTCTATCCCGATCTCGGGGAGTTGAGTGAGGGACAGAACGTATATGACCGTCATCCTTTGCAAGTGTTCATATAATATGCTGTATTAGTACGTACTAGGCTTCACTGTGTAACAGTATTGATATATTATGCGTTCCGCGTTTCCTGTCCTCTCCTTACTTACAGCGGTTTTCATAATTATGTGGAATTCCCGTTTTGAAAATCTATGCGGTCCTATTTGCACCGCATGTCGGCCCGGTACGCGCAGCGCTCCGCCTTTTGACACGATTTCACTGGTTTACATTCAAAAAGCACATTTATGTACCTTATACTGCACTTATATTTTGTTGGATTAGGATGTATCAATGAAAGACCTTTTCCCATGTAGTAAGGTCAAAGTACGCTGCTAATACCAAAGGATTGCCAGCACAGGACAGACGTCGAGTCTGACAAAGTCAAGAGACCGAAGCTTACTGATACCACCTGGATATGGAGATGCTAGGTCCAACAATATTAATTGATGAGTATAGCAGCATGTAGTGCTTGAGGATGCCACTTTCGTATATGGAGTAAGCACAGAATGACAAAGGCTGGATTCTTGAAGGTTTTGCCTCACTCGGAGTCCTGCTTGAAGAGTGCAACGTCGCTATATGCCATGTCATAGGAGCAGGCTGCAGAATGCAGTTGATAAACATCTTGAGGTCTTCAGAAATACAATATAGGCATCGTAAAATAGACAATACTGTCGTGCCGTCGTCGCACGGCGCGACAGTGGTGGGAAGAGAAAGGGCCGGGGCCTTGCGATCCAAATACGACCACATAATTTTTCAAAATCGGAATTCCACATAATTATGAAAACCGCTGTAAACTTGAATCCATCTTTTCTAAGTGCCTTTGCTTGTTCTGTTATACATCTACAATTACATATCAGAATACATATCTAGTATGCGGTATATACCATTCGCCCTCTTTACAGTTTGCTGGCCACTAATACCCCAGACAAACTAGATCCTCCCGAGCTAATTCGCCGTTGCTCTACTAGGACACTCTCGGCCCAATCTATCATTCCATTCACAAGTCTGTCGATGTCCTCTCGCGAGTTACCCGCGTGAAGACACACTCTAACTCGATCTTTACCCTTTGGTACTGTCGGCCAAGTTATTGGACGAGCATTCATCCCTCGCGCGTATAGGAAAGCAGACAACGGTCGTGGCTGCGAAGTCATGATGGGGATAATGGGGGATGCTTCCAAGTTTGGAGGCAGAGAAAGGAGGTCGGGAGGTATTGCCGCGAGACGTTGACTGAGCGATCGCGTGAAATACCAGGATATGTCCATCAGATTTTCCGATAGTATCCGCGCTGTTCCGTCCACTAGCATGTCAAAAGACGCGTCAGCCGCGATGATATTTGAGAAACTGAGGGACGTCGTATAGATCAGTGAACGCGCGTAGTTGAGCATATAATCTCGTATTAGAGGCGTCGTCAAAAGGACAGCTATGCAAAAGCAAAATCAGCCCCATTAAAAGACATATCCCGGAAGGGCCCACCTCCAGTTGCAGCTAGAGCCTTGCCAAAGGTATGCAGGCGTGCAAACACTCTGCTCTCCAATCCCATCATGGCTACCCGTCCTCGGCCTTGGGGACCATAAATCCCTGTGGAATGTGCTTCATCCACCACCAGGTATCCGTTGCCCTGCGGAAATACCTCCTCGAGGATGTCCACAAATTCTTGCAAGGGTGCAAAGGTCCCATCCATGCTGTACAAGCTTTCCACAGCGACGAACACACTGTTCTCACCCACCGCCAAGGACGGACGCTCACCCCGAAGCCCCACCAACAAGTTCCGAAACGCTTGCACCGAATTATGTGGGAAAGAGTATTGCGAGTCGCGGGCCCGGGAAGCACGGATGCCATCGTGTACTGAAGCATGTATGTACTCGTCATACACCAACACGTCTCCGAGCTGAGGTATACACGAGAAAAACCCGACGTTGGCGTCAAATCCCGAGTTGAAGAGTAGTGCGGCAGGAGAGTCGAAAAACTCTGCTAATCTGGCTTCCAATGCGCTGTGGGCTGACCCGTTCACGAGGAGCCTAGAGCCTCCGGATCCCAGTACATCTGGTGCGTCTTGTATTTTTTCAAGGAAACGGTGCCGCAGAACGGGTGAATTGGCTAAGGAAAGGTAGTCGTTGGTGTTGAAGTCGATGAGCGTCGATGTGGCCGACGACGATGGATCCGGCAGTCGTCGTCGTATAAGACGTTCATCTCGAGACTTAAGCGCTGCCAGAAGTTGCTTGTCGAGGGCAGACCTGGTCGTCATGATGGTAAAAGGCCAAGAAGATGATCCAGCACGCCAGTCAGTGCCCCAAAAAATTACATCGGACATGTAGCGGCTGATAACGGAAGTCCGATAAATGACGTCACGCGTCAAGCACCGACTAAAGCCGACAGCGCGAAGCACGCTTGATGGATGGTAAGTACTATATAGATGCAGATTGATAGCTAAATGTACAACAAATATGACATGGTAGTAACGACGATAGAGAGGTAGAACAGAGAAGAAGAGAAAATATCAGCAGGCAACAGAAAATCAAATATCATATATATATCGACGATCGTCCATACCAACATGGCATGTCCGCAGGCATACACATTAAAATATAAAAACAGTCAAGTTCGAATTTACCACCATCTCTGCCACTTATCTGGGCTGCCACCCATGACATTCCCTGGGCTATCATAAAGCAAAGACGCCCGCGACTTGCCAAACAACCCTGCCGGGCTATCTCCATGACCAGCAGCACCCATCCGATGCAGCTCATCGTCCAACAGCGACGTCGGGTCGTGTGGATCGTAAATGCTGCGAAACGATGACTTTCCAACCGGGGTCCGGAACGGAGAGTCACCCAAAGAAAACAACCTCCTAGGAGTCACGGGTAACGCAGATGAAGTAGCAGCAGAACGTGTCTTTGACGGAGTACGCATAAGATCGTTGTCGCCGTCTTCGTCAGCCTCTTCGTTATCCCCCGTTTTCTCTGCATATGACACAAACGGTGGAGGGTCAAGATTTGACTTGTAATGTGCGAGGCTCGCCGAAGGACTCATGTGCAGTCCCCTGTGTGAAAGCGGAGTGTGGATGGGTGACAAGAACGACGGACCGAAAGTAGACTTTCTCGTCGGTGTGGAGGGACCTTCGGTGATGGGTGGTGGAGAGACCAATCTAGATTTATTTTTTGCAGCTTTTGTTGCTTTCAACGGGTTGGACCGTAGGCCAAGAGTAGGAGAAGCTGGGATGTCCTGAAAATAAGAATCAGCCCCTGAAAGACGTTCCTGGACACATAAATATTGACCTTTATTCTCTTTTGCTTCTTAACCTTTGTTGCTTTCACAGCAGGCTCGTCATCCTCGTCATCTGTCGCCAACACAGGATCCGGCACATTATACTTCAACTGTATTCCTGGTTGAAGAGTACCACCCTGCTTGTCAGAATCCCAGAATCGTACTGGCTTCAGCTGCATCGTGAAAACATCTTGTTCAACGTCTCCGTCATCCTCGTCTGTATCCACGCCAGAAATAGAAACGGGTGCAGCACTCAGATTGGCTTCCGCGTCGACATCCATGTCGCTCGAAGAAACTGGAGGACTCGACGAGCTATCGTTTGGAGTAAGTTCAGGCAAGGAACTCGGAACAGAAGAAACAGAAGCAGAAGACGACGTTGGGTGAGGTGGTGTAAGTTTGTCTTCCCCAGAAGGGGAAGAATCCAATTCGCCATTGTCGCCACTAGTTTGCGAAGGCTCACTACTAGAAGCCACGGCTGATGAGGTTTGTGCTGCTGCTGCTTTGCTGTCGGCAAGTTGTCGGTAACCAGAGGTTGACGGTAAAGGCGGGAATATGATTTCCGAGGGTAGGGTCTTCGGGATGCAGCTCTCGTAATATGGCTGATGATGCGGGGTTGGACGAGACGGAGGGAAAAGCGGGAGCAATGGCGCGGAGAGAACAGGCGGTGGTGCAATCTTTTCTTTTTCTTTTTCCTTTTCTTTTTTCGCCTTCTTGTTCTTTGGAGCGCCATCTCCTTCGGAAGCTTTTCTGGACCGCTTAGTCCCGCCGTTTGCATTGGGCTTGTCTTTGGCCTTGATATCACTGCATAGCTGTTTTCTGAATCCTCCACCCTTGAAACACTCGAGGTCCTCATCCCAGATGGCCCACAGGGTCCTACCAAGAGAACGGTCCCTGGTGACTTTACGGAAACACACAGTGGTGCTAAGAACATGTCTAATGCTGTTCATCCATGTCGTTTCCCCACGCTTAAAGTAGGGGTATACTATGGTTATCCAGTCATATATTTCCTGGAGAGTTAGCCTATGCTCGGGCGACGAAAGGATTGCCTGGCCGAGAAGAGCCGCATAAGAGCAATCTGGTTTGTTGGGAGAATAAGGGCCAGCAGGCAGACTGTAGGGTAGCCCGTCGTATTCATCCTCTACGGGCAGTGGTCCCATAGGCCCGGGAGACGAGACGAGGTTGACTATTGGTTTACTTGGAGATGACACGGGAGACGATGGTGGAGGAGAAGATGGTGGTAAGGGCGAAGGTTTTGACGGAGGTGCTTTAATGATACGTGTTGGAGTAGGTGTAGCAAGTTCAGCAGCAGCAGATGCCTCGCCCTCAGCAGGCGCTGAAGTATACAGGACTGGTAGGGGATACGGAGCATAATAGTAGTGAAGACCCGACTGAGACACGGGTACCGATTGTGGGCGGGTAGGCGTGGGTGATTCCTGTTTTGGATTGACCTTAACCTGTGGTACACTGAGCGACTGCACTGAGAAAAATAATTGGAAAAGGTGCAGACCAGACTACTGTATGACTGCGAGGCCGTATGAGCTCGATAGTACTTGCTCTGTTGTGGCGTCAAGGGCGGCGGCGACGGTCTCCCCTACAAACGCCACCTTAGATATGGATTAGTCGGAACAGACGGTCAACGCACCTCCTCACGGCCCTCTGCTACAGATGAACTGGACCGAACGCTGCCATCAACGCGCTCGTCGCGCGAACTAATCGATGTCCCAAGACCAGCGCTCGACTGCGACGCGCTGGGCGATGGCGACCGGGGGGTCTTAAATTCCCTCTCCTTGCCCCGCCGTCCTTTCTTATCCCTGCGCTCTTTCCTGGCTAGGCGTTGTCGTTCAATGACCTCTTCCATGGTGTCATGATGACGCTGAGGCAAAGGACCATCAACTGGCTCGGATTTAATGGGCGTCGAAGGGGGCGGCGACGCGTCCATCATGGAACTGGAGCTTGCTCGGGAGAAAGAACGCGCCGAGGTCGACGCCGACATCGTCGAGAGCGATGTTGAGCGCAACAGGGAGGCCGAACTTGACTTGGACGACGAATCACGGTCAGAAACGCGTGAAGAGTAGGTACTGTCGGCGGTGAGAAATTGGCGCATCTGGTCGCTACGTTTGTGCAGCTCCTCACGCGTGATGCCGAGAGTGTTGAGGAGCTGAGAAATGGGAGATCCCTCGCGGTCGGCCATGCTGCTAGACAAGGGCCAATGGCAGCAGGGAGACGACAAATCCTCGTTCTGGCGTTTTAACTGCGCAGAAGAAAAAAATGATGTCAACCACAGATATTCAGGTTGTCGTCGTCGTCGTTGCCTACAGCGTTGACGGCGGGAATAGCGATCACCGCAATGCTGGCGGAGTAAAGGGTTAAGAAAAACAATGGCCACGAGCCTTGACGGTAATATGGTCTCAAGTCGGCTACGAATCTCAACTCCGACCCACCACGCCGGGAGCCGGCCGGCTTCAATTTCAGTCTTCTTTCAATTTGCTCAAATACAAGGCTTAACCACAGGGCCTTCGGACTCGATCTTGTCAGCTTAGAGAGGAAAATCCGTTGAGAGGGTACCGGATGTACTTCTTGTGAATGTCCAACAACAGCGACGATCAGTTCTTCTGTCAGGTCGTCTGACGAGCAATTTGCAAACACAACGCTGTCATAGCGGCTTAACATTAAAATTTTTCACAAGGGCCGAGGTGTTTGTTGACAGTATATTCCCATTGCACCGGCATATATACCATTCTCAATGTAGATCGAGAACAATTCATGGTGCAAACTCTAAGGCCACCTTTAGAACAAGGTTCAATCCTGCGTATCAAGAATGCTCACCTTCTTCCGGAAGAAGCGTTGCTTCGTCCAAACAGCTTTGTATGAAGTTCGAAAGGATCAAATACTTCCGTTTCGGCCTGCGGTCGATGCCATAAAGTAATTGTAAGACAAAACACAAAAGGTAGCGACGTACTTCGCTGTCCTCCTCATGAGTTCCAAACGCCGACTATCGTCCCGTTTATCGATAACAACGTGCGTTAGTTTCGGTTCATCAAGATCTACAACTCGCCCCCCGTTGGAGGTAATCAACTTATCCACCTCCTCGAAACTGGCAACTAAACGTTCAGGATGCTACTGAGGTAAGAAAGAAACAGAACCAGCCTAGCGTCAATTACATGTTCATACTTCGACTTGGCAGTCATTCCGTTTCGTCGGGCATTACTTGAAGTATCCAAGTAGAAGCACCTTTTGCAGATATTAGCGCAAGCTAAACACAAGGCGAATGACACTTACAAGTGCTTGAAAATGAGTTCCTGGTCATACTCCATAGCTGACTCGTCCTCTCCCATTCGAGGTTTCTCTTCGTCAGGTTCCTTGACATCATCTGTAGGGTCGTTCACATCCTTGTTCGACGCCTCCGACTTGAGATCGACTTCCGCATCCTCCTCTTCCACCTTGAGCCAATCATCCATATCGTCCTGTCCAGGTACATCCGCATTGACAGAATCATTATCGTCATCGTCGTCTTCCGTCTCTGAATCATCGTCAGCTGGTGTTCTCGGTGCATCGATGGTCAGCCATTCCGCTAAGGCCGGATCGATTGTCTCATGCTTGATCTCTTCCGCTAGGTCCTCCACCTTGATACTCGGACTTGCTTCATTTATCTCATCCGCCGTTTCCGCCACTTCATCTTCTTTCTTCACGTCATCCTCCATGCTGTATTCTGCTGTTGCCTTTCTCGATTCAGTAGCGTGGAAAAAGTATCTTTTCGAAAGTGGCACTTGGCGCCCCAGAGCAATGGAATCCGTAATCCATTCCGGCTTGATCACGTCGTGAATACCCTTGTTAAGTGAAAGCTTCAAATCATACGCTTAAAACAATGCTTCAGTGGTATCAAGGCTTTCAAAAAGGAGATACGCACGGGTGACAGTACCACCATATACGATGAAAAGGTTGGGTTGTTTTGAAGCTAGCTGCAGACAGCGCCCTCCATTGGCTATAGTCCTGGAGATTTAAGTTAGGCGCTATATTTATACGTCTTGCGTGACCTTAAAGGACGCACAGCTTCATCAACTCTTTCTTCTGCTGTTCGCCCGTTCTTGATTTAGGATCAGGCATGACGACTAAGAACAGTATGTTTCAGTGCACACAATGACAGCATACATCACGCACCAAACGTTAAACCATTGAAGATATCAGACTCAACCGGGACATCCTTGGCCTTTATCCCCTGATAATCGGCGAGCATCATTGGCTACAGACAGTGAGCGAAGAACATAGAGCTTCGTTGAACACGACACGCTTACCTTTGCCTTCGTCTTGCCTGTCTTTTTCGTCTTCTTCGTTCTGTAGAGCATATCAGCACTATACAAACACAGGCAGCATAACATACGTAATATCGCTCTCCATCTTTCTCTTCTTCGTCGTACGAGCACTCTCCAGAACGGCGGAGGCCGTCATGCAGTCCGCAATCGTCAAATCCTGTCGAATGGCCAGAGCCCGGGGGAATCGCATGGTGTATCCGAGATGGTATTGATCTACATAATGAGACTCTAGTATGGGTGTATTCTTGAAGCACTCACCCGATGGTGTGATTTCAGCTGCTTTCACTTTAAGTATGAAGGAGCTAAAATGCATATGTAAGTCTCATGCTATAAAAGTGGCAAATCAAACAGAAGCCTACTCCTCAGGCTCGAGGTAAACATCTCCCTTGTCTTCAGTTGTCTTTTTGGCGGTTTGATAGAATTCCGGCGGCTCCTTGGGATTCCAAGGCTTCCAAGGCAAAGCACGCACCCACACATAGTCGGCATACGTCAAGCCAGAACCAATACGCACAAAGGAGCTATACCTATACAAACACATAAGGACGGAAAATGACTGTATGACAACACTGACTTGGGCTCATCATCCAGACTATCAGGATGTCGATCGTCAATTACTGCGCAGATGAGAGTAGAGACTCCTCCACCACGGGACCCTGTGCCATAATTGGCGGCTGCAAATTTCGTGAAGACCTATAGTGAAACGATTCTGAAGAAGCTTACCAACGACAAGAACATCAACCGTCTCACCCATATTATCCTAAGTGATAAAATTGATGTCTACTAAGTAGAAAAGTATAATGATATACGTACCATGTACTCAGGTTTGACCTGCCGTCCACGAAATCAGCACTAGTCACAATTACAGCAAAATGCACTTACTTTAATCCAGTCTCTATTTCTCCCGTTCAATACGTACATAGATTTAGGATGCTTGATGACGAGCCCCTCGCCCCTCGCCCCCATCACTTCGTCCATTCGTTGTCTAACATGCTGTGCATCTCGACCCGTAAACTCAGCGACAAATTCAATACGTCCTTTCACCTCTTTCAAACAAGCTCTCATGTTCCGCTTCCGGAACTTTGTCGTCTTGTCAATAAGTGATTGACCGTTGAGGTAAAGAAGGTCAAAAACTTTGACTAAACTTATTGGTTAAGCGGGTGTCGTAAAATGGAAAAAGTACGGCCTACAGCACGGACGAGGCATGTGAGCCTTTTTGGATTTGTCTGAAAAAGCGTTAATAGCACTGTTGGGCGAAGTTGTAGACATGCCTCACCTCCAGCAGCTGTTTTGAGGGTCCCAAATGGCAGGTTGCGCTGTGAAACCGGATCCCAGACCAGCATCTCGCCATCAAGAATAATTCTGGGAAGATTATTAGCAAGAACCCGCTTAAGATATCAGTAAACTTACTCGTCGACGCGCTCATCGAACGCAGCGTCGATGTAAGGCGTCAGACTCCCCATCCCAACGTGCTTCCCGTACAGATAAGTGAAGTTCTTTCCTTTCCTACAAAGAACACATAAGAATCGCGAAAGTTGACACGTAAAATAAAGGAACCTTGAGCAATAGAAATATTCATTACCCTTCTTATGAAGCTGTATTCTTTCCCCGTCGAGCTTTTCCTCGATGATAAACTCACTTCCGTCCATTTCTTTGACGGTCTCTTCTATCCTCTTGGTTGGACGCCGGCACAGCATAGGCGCGAAAGAATGGAAGAGTGCGACAGTTTTATCCTGTATGGACATCAAACACAGTATAAATTCGTTCGTAAGACGAACGTACATTGGCATTTAACCGGAATGAAGGGTCCCAGAGAGTCCACGCGACCTTCTTGAGGTCTGAGCATGTATTATAAAGATCTTGAGCGTCAGGATGGAAAACTGCAAAAACTGTAGTTTCCTTTACAGATATCACCAAGTCTGGACTCATCTGTCAGCTATAGTTGTTTGATGATCAGGAAAGAAGAGGCACCTTTCAATATAATGCGCGCAATCCATTTCTGCTCTTCTGGTGTTGCACGATTATAAATGCGTCTCAATATTTTCGATTGGACTTCCCTATATTTCTGGTCATTAAAACGGAGACAATGAGAATATAGCAACGCACATAGAATCCTGTTTCTGCGATAGCTCATCTAAAATTTCATTCAAGTCATCAATAGACAGGGAACCTTCCGTGACCGATGATCTTTTGCCTATTACTTCGTAGAGAACTGTAGGAAAGTCACCAGAGGCCTTCTGTAAAGAACAAAGGTAAGATTGAAACAAACGAGGATCTGTATCGCGTACATTCTGTTCCACTGGTTTCTTCCAATTCGTGAGACGGATAGCGTCTGGGTCTCTTGGACCTAAAGGGATGAGCTTGATGTACGTCTTGGCTATTTTCTGCTCCTTCAAACCATAAGTAGACCGCTCACGATCTTTCTGAATTCGATGTAGGTTAATAAGCAGCCCCGAATTACCAGATTGCCTACCTGAGGAAGCAAAAGACGTAGAACAGGATAAAGATCTTTGCCCTTCTCATCTCTCCAATGCTAAAAGGAAATTATTCGGGACGTGGCGCACTTTGATACGGAGAAGAATCATACGTTGAACCATGAAGATAATAGCTTTTCTCGTTTATCTCTTCTTCTCTCACTTTGTAGCCTCTCAAATAGTCCCACTAAGATCCCAAAAGGAGCACTCCCAGTGTTGTGTGGCGGCTCAGGCATTGAGGCGACCAGCGATTCCTCAGGCGCTGGCTCGGGAGACCCGGGCGCCGAGGTTGGTGCTGGTGTTGGCTGCATCATCTTGAAAGATTGAAGAGAGGTAGGTAGTTCGCAGACAATGTCACTTGGATGCACTTGTATTGATGATGGTGGTAAGAGTCAAAAAGGGTCTCGTGACTCTGTGCCTCCACGGTTCCGCATCGGTCGACGCGTTATTTGGTCTTGCTTGACACTCCGGACCGGACGGACTCGACCTTCCGGCAGTTGAATTTTGAGTTCCTTCCACATAACTCCATCCTCTATCTCAGCGCTATCTAACTGCTATTATCACTCTATCCTATTTGCCTAATGTCTAGCCTTGATTCTCCTATATTCTCGAGGGTGGCTGACGATCCGAAGATGATTGGGTGCTGGAAGCTTGGAAGGACCATTGGAAAGGGAAGCTCCGGTATGTTGTTCGACTCCTTGGAAAAAGGACACCCTGACAGAATTTTCTGTAGGGCGAGTCAAACTTGCTCGCCATTCTAAAACAGGACAAATGGCGGCGGTCAAGATAATCCGAAAATCGTTCCTTTTCTCGCGTAGGGAGTCTCTCGACAACGCAGAAGAAGAAGCCGCGCGTATAGAGCAAGCTCTCCAACGCGAGATCGTCATCATGAAACTCGTGGACCATCCTAACATTATGAAACTATACGATGTCTGGGACACCGCAAACAATCTCTATCTCATTCTCGAGCACGTTCAAGGCGGCGAATTATTCGACTATCTCTGCGAAAAAGGACGACTCTCTCCCTCAGAGGGTTTGAGATACTTCCAGCAAATCATATCTGCGGTCGACTATTGCCATCGGTTTAATATCGTTCATAGGGACCTCAAACCGGAGAACATCCTTCTTGATTCCCAGTCCAATGTCAAACTCGCCGACTTTGGCATGGCTGCCTGGCGACCAGATCGTATGCTTCAGACTTCTTGTGGTAGTCCACATTATGCTGCTCCTGAAATCGTTAACGGCGAGGTATATGATGGTGCGGCATCAGATATCTGGTCCTGTGGTATCGTCCTCCACGCTATGCTTGCGGGAAGGCTACCATTTGATGATGACGATTGTCTGAAGCTCTTGGAGAAAGTCCGCATCGGGAAGTTTGAAATGCCCGATGACATCGATCCGCTTGCTCAGGATCTCATTGCGAAAATGCTAGTAAAGGACGTCAAGAAAAGGCTTACAATGTCCGGTGTCCGGAGCCATCCTTTCTTCACCTCTCACACTTTCGACCTCGCCAATGTTCCTGCAAGAAATCTCGATAATATCGCATGTCCTCTACTCTCACGCGATGATATCGACGCAGAACTCCTTCGTCATCTTCGCACGCTCTGGCCTGATAGCTCTGATGATGACCTCGTTGACAATCTGCTAAGCGACGAGAAGAATTGGCACAAAGGGATCTATCACCTTCTTGGAGAGTACAGAAGAAAGAACTTGGAGGGTTACGAAGAAGCGGAAAATTTTGCAAGAAACGAACGACTGCAGCGCCAGAAGGTGTATGGAACCTCACGTACACCTCAGAGCCAATTCTCGCCAGATCTTACTCCTCATGTGACTCCTTCTCCCTCGTCTATTCCTCCTCGCGATGGTCCCCCTACTCCTCGAAGAGCGCGGGGAAATAGAATATCAGCAGCGTCATCGGAAGGCTCCCTGACTTATTGCAGAGGGCAGGTTTCTCCAGGGACCGATCTTCATCCTCTCTCTTTGTCTTCAGGATGCTCCACGAGTGGCGTCGGAACCTCGGCACTCATCGTCCCCGAACATCACGACATCAATATGCAAACTTTCTTCAAGCAGGTTGCCGATCACATCACTGTGCTTTATTCTCGGACTGAAGGATCCCAGTCTCCGGCAACTATCACATCCCCTAATCTTGCTCTTATGCATGATATCATAGGAGATCGAACGATGCATACGGATCTCCTCATAGCATCTCGGTTGTCCCCTTCACACCAGCCAAATGCCTCTCTATCACCGGCAGCTGCCATCACTCGGCCGTTATCTGTTACTCGAAAGCAGCGTCCTGCACGCCCTACAGTCACGATTGTCGACAAAGAGAACATCAACGAGGTGGCCACTTCTGGTCATGCAAGCCTCGTTCCTAAGTCATCCGAGGAATGCCGTGTGGGAGCCAACGACAAGCGGGTCAAAATTTTGGGTCTTCGCGACGGCAAGGAACGAACCAAACTGCGAAAAAGAAAAGTTGCCCCAGCATCCCCTGCCGTATCTGTTGGCACGCCAGACTCGCCTGTCTCCTCGTCGCCCCGTACAAAATGGCTCGCAAATGTTTTCAAGTTCAGACACTCGGCCTTCACGCTGCAATCGACGCATGATATAAAGACAACGCTGAATGAGTGCCGGAGGCTGCTGATGGCTATGGATGTTCGTGTCGTTCTTGTGGATTCTGAGCATCTGGGCGTACTGAAGTGTCGGCTGGACGAGATTAAGGATCCTAGCGGAGTTATAGGAGGGCTTAAGCCGGTTAAGTTTAGGGTTGAGGTCGATTCGGAGGTTCAAGCGACTTTGGCACTGGTTATGGTGCAGGAAAGGGGCTCAGCGGAGAGCTTCAAGGAGATCTTCAGACGGCTGAGAAGAGACTGGGTGTTTGATGTTGTTGGAAGTCGAACGCCGGAGCAAGTTGCTTGGAACCCAACAGGCGAGAGGTTTGTGCCAACTATCACTATATAACGAACTTTTGTATGTATACTATCCCTGTGTATTATCATTCATCTGGACATACCATAAACTATTAAACTATATATATCTCACATCCAAAGTCGCACTATCCACTGATGGACATATCACGGAGGAGAGGGCCCATGTACATCTGATTTCGCGCCCTTCGATTTTAGAAGGTTAAATGATACACTGACATCGTCGATCTACTATACTTCCCAAGGCACCGGCAGCAGAAGGGGACACTGAGCCAAATTTTTCGTGTCGGGTGTGGTGGAAACAGGCTGTAAGCGTGCTCAGTGCCGCTGGATTGCTCAACTGTGACGATGCATTCGCTCTCGAGACTGAGATCATCGTGTATGCCAAGGCGAATAACGGGAATGCGATGAAGGGAGGGCGATATATGGTTCAAACATCAAGCACCTCAGTGAAGCTTTGCTTTCGTATCTACAAATGCCGCTACAATGTTTGTGATTTTGGTTTTTCTTCGTGATGATATGACTCACTCAGCTTCCTCCTTCCAGATGCTGCACAGAACTAGCCTAAGCAACTACGATACAAAAATACGTACAGTTTAGCATATAATCCTGTGGAGCAAGTGCAGCTCCATACATAAACCGAGGTCGCAGTCAACGAAATTCTGTGATGGTCTCTTGTCCTTTGTCGTAACGAACGAAGACGTGTCTCTTCTAGCGTCACACTGAGGCATAAGTCAGCAGAAATACTAATCATAACAGGTAGGACTGACCCTGTAAAGGACATGATTATTATCCAGATAACGCCGACTGAGCGTTAAGTTCTCGAACTCATTCTGCGCGTTGAGCCTAAGACCTAGACGGGAAGATAGTGACTGATCATGACTGGCGTACCCATCCGGCCAATGGTTTCCATATAATGCTCGTTTCAACGACATAGGTCGTCCGTCGAGTTGGACTGATAAGGTAGGTAGGTAGGTAGTATTACACGGCACGGTCCACTGGGGGACGCCGGGCGTAGATAATACATCGGTGATACACTAACATGCTAGCATAACAAAGATGTACTTAATTATCTACTGATAATAAGGCATACTTGTCTATTGTTGCGATCAACGGTCGATGAAAATAAGCACTGATGGCAGTCCCGTATGTGAGTGTGGCCTAACATTGTGCACATTAGCTTCTAGGTTCAGACAATATGACAAAAGATAACACTGACCGCCGAAAACCATAGCGGGTGCCGTTGGATGGAAGTATAGCTTTCTTCACATCAGTCTCTTAACGTCATTCCTATAAAAATAGCACGAGGTGGATAAAGATGACTGCACGCGGTTAAATTGCCAATGGTAGAACAGACTGGCAAGACACCTGGGCCTGAACCCTAGAGGTGAAGGCGTCAGACAAATCAGATGGAAGTAGATGGAAGTGTCTTTAATCACGAACTGTGCTGTCCCTTAGAAGCCATCCACAAGCGCTGATTGATATTCCTTGGATCCCACGATCCGAGCCGCCTCTCATATATGTACGTGAATTGACGGAAGTGTCGGATCCCACCGACTACGAACACCTCGTGCGGCTCCGGCCATATTTTAGTGTCGAATAATTCAACAGGGAACCCGATTGTACGCAAGCCGGCAAACACATGAGCCCAGGATGTTGTCGGGAGTTGCCACCAGGGGCTCAGGTGTATCATGAGAAGTATATATGCATTCTTGACTTCCTAGCGCAGGGTCTGGTGTGAAGCGGGGGGACATTAGACAGGAACCGGTCGTAACGCGCGCTGATGGTGAGACCAGGGAGCGACGGTAAAAAGCAATTTACACCCTCGTCAATACTCATCCAAGCGAGCTGGAAGGATATATAACGGACATTTTTGAACAGAGCTTGGAAACCAAGTGTGTTGGGTAGCGCAACGAGATAACGGTACACTGCTTTTGCCGCTTTTTCCTTTGCGTTTTTTTGGAGGTCGACAAAACAGGTAATGGTATGTGTAAGCCGGGGGATAAAGTCATGATAGATGACAGATTTTTTGCGAAGTGCTATATAGCATAGATAGTCCAGAAAAGCGAGGTTGGTGATGTACATATCCTGAGAAGCGATAGGGGCATATACAGCTTTCCAGGTTCGGTCAATACTGGGGCAAGTAGTCATGAACTTTTTCCGGATGTAGGACGGCATTTCAGAGTACCAGACTTCATGTACAATTATTTCTACGAGCTCTGGAGGAAGCGTAGTCATGGTGAAAGAGTACGACGTTGTCTCACAAAGTGCTGGTTCAAGAAACATCGGATAATCGGACCGAGTGCCGTATTTTTCTTCCGCCCATCCCAGTCGAATGGAGACGATAACGAAGCGGCTGCACATTTCTGGTCTGACTCCATCCTTGTCTCCAGCTGACCTGTCAAAGAGACTATCGACATTTGGAACTGTAAAGGCTCTCGACGGCTTCGACATCTTAGATGGAGTTGGTCAACCAAGAAAATTTGGCTACGCGACATTGGAAGCTACTCCGGCGCAATTAGCAAAATGCGAGTTGGACTTGTATGTCAGAAATCATGCCCTGCTGATGTATCAGAGTTTAGGCCTCAATGTTCTCAGTGGATCCACTTGGAAGGGTGCTAAGCTTAGGATTGGCGATGCCAAACCTGATTTTGCTCAAAGGTGAGCCTCTTTTGCCTTCGTTTTTCATTCACTTTAAGGACGTATTTAGGATAGAAAAGGAACGAGCCGAAGCCCAGGATGCGCCGCCACCCAAGAAGAAACGGAGATGCTCCAAATACACCGCTGTCGAAGCAGAGGATATGTCGTTGGTAACGCCGCAAAATGCCCACTTGCGTGCTGGATGGACGGTGACACCCCTCGGAAGAATCATGCGACCTATGCGTATGAGGCCTGAAAGACCTCTAATGCCACTTCCCAAATCGTCTGCTGGGGGAAAGGTATCTAAGAGACGAAAAATTCCACTTGTTCGTGCTCGAAGAACAACCATCGACATGAGACGATGGGAGGGAGCGCATCTGACGGGAGCCTTTTTGGAAGGTGGGGTTCCTTTGGAGGAAGTGGACATTGCTGAGGATGAAGATCTGGAGGAACAGCAGAATGCCGCTCGCGACACATCTAGCGAAGAGGATTCCAGGAACGTTTCAGCTAGCTCAATGGACATGCCTCCCTCTTCAGCCGTACAGAAAATGAGAGCAACAGCGCCATCAGGATCGGAATCTTCACCTGACGCGCACTTTGATTTGACTGCAGAGAAGCAGGAAACTCTTGGTCTACTGCAATCACTCTTCGGTGATAGCAATAATGTGAAGGAATGGGGCGGTGCGGAGAGCATCGCTTCTGATATCGATTTAGATGAACAGCGTGTGTTGGAGGGCGACGGTGAGGCTGACTACGAGGTGGTCCCGTTAGACACCTCATTGGAGAAACCAAGGGACTCTTCTCCAGTAGGCGAGCCTATGAATGAAGTTGAGGCGACCACGACTACCACGAAGGCGAAACTAAAAGATTTGTTTGCGCCTCGTGCAGATGAAGGTTATTTACTTCCATTTCTCCTACCTACAGAGCTGACAACTTGCGACAGGCGGTTTCTCGCTCATGGGCCATCTTGATCTTGACTTTGAAATGGACGAAGAACTTACATTCCCGACAACAGCGACAGAAATACCGGTACAAGAGACGCTCCCGACTGTCGAAGTAGTTCCTGCTCCCATACCAGCATCATTGCATCTGGCCCTAGACCCCAAAAAACCACTCTTCTTTCCATTACCGTCTTCATTCCCTACTGCGGAGCCTTCTGCTTCTAGACCGAGGGTGAAAGATTTATTCGATGTCGCTCGAGAAAAACATTGGACAACGTCTTTGTCTTCTACTGGTGGGTTCCATAGAACTGCTACTGAAGAGGATATCAGGAAAAGATGGGAAGAGAGTAAAGGGGAATTGACTCGGGGATGGAAGAAAAGAGTCAAGGATGCTGGGAAGATGAAGAGAAGAAGAGGGGCAGCTGCAGACGACGGTGTTTAGTTAGCTAGTTGAATTAGTCGTCGGCGCATTTGGCATTACCACGTCCTGGTTATGTTCTCGTAGTCTGGAAAGAAACAGTAATGTCTGTCGCTTTTCCTCTTGTTACTGGAACAAGTTCTCCTCTGTAGCAATTGCCTATTTCGGTATCTCGGCAAATGCCGCCCACAGCTACCGGAACAGACTGCGTACTGTACTTCGTACTCCATTCATCGCCTAACGAATACCCTGCGCTACACGTACTGCCCTTCGTATAGGTCTGTAATCAACAAATATCTTATTCTACGCGCATATATCTCATCGGAGACCCTAGACAAGCATGATTCTGCTCGAAGTAATGTGCTGCACCTAAGCCCAATACCTGACTACTGACGACAGCATAGCCGCACAATGTTATCATCCAACAAACACTCGGCGAAAAACTCATAAAGTATGGTGTGCCATCTTTATGTCACTACTCTGTTTACCGTTCATCTCTAGACCCTCTTCGCTCGATGTACAGTTTGTCGACTACGACGGCGTCCGGTTCCATCTCTCTACACCAGAGAAGAAGACAATTCTCCTTTTGTCGATGCATATCCGATGTTGGGCTGAACTCGTTCAGTATGGAGCACTGGATGTGCTGAAGCGCGAATATGGATCTTTGTTGAAGGACGAGGCTGAGTCGGAGTATCATGTCAGTCTCGAGATTGACCTGGAGCAGGCCCCAACCGGCGCAGGTACAGCCTTTCTGGCTTTTCTTCTCTCTCCTCTCATCTAACGTGCACATATATAGAGGACCGTGAAGCATTTATCACTTCCATCGCCCTGTTGAAACGCAATGCTCTCGCGGCTCCTTTTGAACTCGCTTTCAAGTCTCAAAAGCAATTGGAGAGTGCTGGTGCAGGCCAGGGTGAACTGATGCAGATTCATTATCGCGACGAAGAGGGCATCTATGTGCAATCGTCGCCTGATCGTGTAACCGTTATATTCTCAACCGTGTTCAGCGATGAGACCGATCGTATCTATGGCAAAGTTTTTCTCCAGGTGCGTTACATATGCCGATTATTGTCTTCTATCAGCTGAGTACACAACAGGAATTTGTCGATGCTCGTCGTCTCCCAGCGATTCAAAATGCACCTCAGGTACTCTATTCTAACCGGGACCCTCCTCTTGAAATTCGTCATTTGGGAAATCTACGGAACACAGAAGACATGGGATATGTAACATTCGTGCTGTTCCCTCGACACTTTTCAAACCCTACCGTGGCTGCGACGACGATTTCTCACATCCAACTCTTCCGAGACTATCTGCACTATCACATCAAGTGTTCCAAGGCGTACATGCACTCGCGAATGAGACATCGTGTAGCAGAGTTTCAGAAAGTTCTGAACAGGGCCAGACCTGAAGTCGCCCCCTCAGGAGACCGGAAGACTGTTAGGTTTGTGTTTCTTATTCAGCTTGAGTCTCTATGCTTCCTAAACTACATTCTTCAGTGGTAAAACTATGATAAGCAGATGAAGGTTGATGCGATAGAATGTTCTGTACAATATGATACGATGGCTGGACGGATCCCTGTTTACAGTATCGAATAATGCGATATTTCTGAATCTTCCTATTTCCCTTGCACCAGAGATAGCTTTTACTAGATGCTAGAAGTCTTTTAGGAATCTCGTCAGAAATATCTATAGTTTTTGATACCCTGTTTTGAGAATTTCATGATCAAGTACCTTCCGATTTGCTCAATATTTTTGGTACCTGGTTCGCCGCCTCCTGATCGCCATCACAACTTGAACAATGACCATCACCATGCTGGAGGAAAGAAATTACTGTCATTTCTACCTCGTTTGGTCAGGTGCTGTCAGGTGCTCGCCTTCCCTTGATGCATGAGGCAGACTACCAGTTCTTCCAACACGACCATGGCCATGGACGCGTCATCCGTCAGCGACGACTTTTCCGACTACGATGTCATCTCGAACTCTGGCTTGGATTCGAGCCTCGCGGATCTATCTCTAGCAATGTCGGAGCCACCTCCGACCCAGGAGGCACGAGATCGCTTCAACACTGCTACCTTGTCTCCGGAGGATATCCAGAAATGGACGCGAGAATCTGAGGGCAAGATAAAGCAGAGGAGCAGTTCAGCAGACCAGCGCACCGTCAGAGTCTACGTCGACGGTGTGTTCGATATCTTTGGCGTCGGGTGCGTATCTCTTGCCTTTGACCGTATGGCTCAGGCTGACGTTCGCTTAACATCAGCCACGCGCTGCAGCTTCGTCAAGCAAAACTTGCATTCCCCTCGGTGCATCTCGTCGTTGGTGTCTTTTCCGACGAGCTGTGCAGCTCTTATGGGTCGCCAGCCATTTTCCCACACGTTGAGAGGTGCGAGGTTGTCAGACATTGTCGATGGGTCGACGAGGTCATTGGAGATGCACCGTGGCGGGTCGACGAGCACCTTTTGTCGAAGAGAAGAATCGACTATGTCGCCATTGATGAAGGTATCACCGTGGATCCCAAGTACGACTCCGTTCGAGTGAAGGGATACGACGAAGTCAAGAAATTGGGTGAGTGTCGCACGCGCGAGGCCGTACAAGCAATCCTAATGTCAAATCCAGGGAAAGTCATTCACACAAGGAGAACCCATGGCCTGACTGCCCACCCTTTATCGAAATCATTGTCGACACCAGGACCGCCAACACATATTCCGGTACAACCAACGAGTCTATTATCCTTACCCACACCTACGGCCGAGAAACCGGACGATTGCGACCGCGAGCCTCTTTCGATGCCTATAGTTGACCTGTATGCTACCGGAATCTAGCTATACGTGCCGTAAATTGATTGCCTCTTAGAATGGATCCATTTGCATAGCCGGAAGGTCAGATCGGTCAGAACCGATACATCTGTAACAATACAATTATGCCACACATTCTGTAACTAGTCAAACCAACTTCTTTCTCGTAGACAGACTACAATGCAGACCCGTCGATGGGAGAGGTTTCCTGTATGTAGTCTGTTGTTTATGTATCCCTATAGCGCGATTTCATACGGGTTCCTCATTCTTTACTAGCACTTTGACCAGTTGTTTCTGACAGTAACGCCACGGGGTTTTAGAAATTTCTCATTATGTGCTCTAGTTGGCGGACAACTGGGAAGAAATTAAAAATACGGCAGATAAGTACGTATGCCATTACTTTGCACAGAAGGAACGTAAAATCCTGAAGGCTGTGCCAAGCAGAGTTGCACTCAATTTGGGAGCGTCAAGGACAGATTTTCGCGTACAAGCAAATTAGCAATCACCAATGTACATTCTCAGAAACAGCGGGTGATACAAGGGCTATCGAGTGCTCCAGAACAATAGCAACGACAAGCTTTCGATTCACGCCGAACATAAACGGACCAGTGTTAAGTACCTTCGAGATGCACATTACTGCAATCCCAGGAAATGCCCAAACAGCAAGCGCATCTATTCCGGACAATAAGCACCTTCAAGGAAAAAAGAAATATGAAACCGTTAGCGAACCTATGCACCGAGCGAAAGTCCAGTCCACAGATAAAAGGTCTTTAACATCTTCCACAAGCCGTGATTATATCGTGTATTCTACCAACAACATACATTACATACATACCAGATACCTCGACGTTCGACCAACTAAATTGTCAACAAATAGAAATTCCTCGTGCCGATAGCGAAGAGAAGTTGACATGGACGCTCCGAAGGTCATACAGGGAGCGCGGTTGAAACAGGACCACTCTGTGACACCCTTTTAACTATGTTATCCCTGATGCATCATCTCTCCACATGCTTTTTTCTGTGGACATTCATATGCCTCGTCAATTGATCAGGCCGAGCGAAACACTTGTTGCAACCAGGTTCCGTACACGGATAAGGACGCGCGCCAGTGTGCGTACGGAGCTGTGTCATTTCAGGTTAGTTACATATAATGCTAGGAACAGTAAGACAACATACATGCTTGGAAAGATTTGATGACTCCGTAAAAGCACTGGCGGTATAAGCATCAGCTAATTGTTATGTGTTAGAAGACGGACGGCGTACCGCTCGCAATAAGTACACTTGAAAGGCTTATGCCCATTATGTGTACGTTTATGTATTGTCAACGCTCCTGCGATAGCGAAAGACTTGCCGCAACCGGGATGATCACACGAATATGGCTCTATGGATAGCGTGAGATGAAGTAGCATAACTGACACCGAACAGTCTTACTCTCTTGGGTATGCCGCCGCATATGCTGCTGTAATGTCGCAGCCTCCGAAAAGTTCTGGTGACAGGTCTTACATTGAAATGGTCGATGCCCTGTGTGGGACTGCAGATGCCGGCATATTTTCTGTTTGCTGCTAAACCCTTGTTCGCCATGTCGAGCACAATCGTTCCAGTAGCAGTCGTAATGAGCCTTGCCCGATCCAACATGCTCAGATGCGAGATGAACTGTGAGATCGTCGCAAGTAGAGAAAGATTTCCCACATCCCTGCCAGTGGCAGATGTGCTGCGTTTCGGAACATTTATGCTCCGATGTCGCAGGTGGAGGTAGAGGAGTAAGCAGCCCAAAATCCACTGGAGCAGGGGTCGGTGTTAGAGGTGAAGTGGAAGAGGATGCGATGGGCTAGATAGCAATTAATACAACACCTAAGATAGAAGTCATGAACGAACCTCTATTGAAGTCGGCCACATCAGATGGTCCTGGAAGAGGTGATTTGCTAGAACGTCTAATGAGAGCTCCGGTTGCTGCGAGAGCTGTTCGTGACAGTCTCCCCACTGACAAGGAGCAGATGGAGGCATAGGAGAAGATAGACTAAGGTGCTCGAGATTGACATGCTCTACGAGCTGCTCCATGGCGTGAAAACGAGCATGGCAATCGCCCCACATACAGGACAGCGGTGGAAGTGACGAGGGTTGGCCAGACGCCAAGTCCATAAACGATGAGGTACCTGATTCCGGCGGCGTAGAAGAATTATGACTCGAGAAATTAGGAGGGGGCTGCATGTCGAGAAACGGCGACGGTGACTCTGAGGATGATGACGAGCCGCTGGAGAATGCATTCCTGGGAGTCTCATTGCAATTACATAGCCTATCGAAGGTCGGCTCCCAGGCAGACTGGTGCTGGGCTTTAGGGTCTGAAAAATAGGAATGCAAGCCGGTGCAACACTGGAGCTGGAGCTGAAACAGTCAGCGCAGACAACACGACTAGAGGCATATACATACAAATTCATCCAGGCCACTGCAGTCCGGACAGTTGGTAGCCCCGTCACAAATAAAGTCACAGTGATCGCTCTCGTCGCAAGTCAAGGAAGCGCTGCTATGTGTGAGGTCGTTGCAGGTAACCACAACACACTGATCTGTGCACTGGGAGGTCATTTCAAGGTTCCTTTGAGCACAGACATCCTCCGAGCATCCTTGAAAACAGTGAACGCAGGTCTGATCTGATTGCATGAATCCAGACGGGTCTTTTCGCAACGAAGGAGAGGGATCAAAATCGAACGCCACGTTCGGGTTGTTTGACATGACAAGAGTCCTCGGACTTGGAATCCGGATAGATATGATTTTCGGAAAAGAAAGAAAAAGGTTATCGGATGGACGACGGAGGTGGTGGTGGTGGTAGGAGGCCAAGTCCGAAATGAATTGAGGTTGGCGCGAATTCGTAGTGCTGCTAGGTGACTGTGAGGGTACTCATCGGGACTGATGAGGTAATGTTTGGACGGGCCGACCTCCCGGCACGGAGGCAACGTTAACGCCACCTTAATGTGTCCTCAGCCACAACACCATTACAGGCAAAATAGAGGCGCAGAATCCGTACTCTACGATATGCGCATTGCTGCATATTCGGAATCTCTGCTGTGGCGGTAGGAAATTTCAACGAAACGCCACAGTTCCAAATTTATTCAGATCACGCCAAGGCACCGAACCTCCTTGTGGTTAACGGTCATGAATTATCCGACGCAAAGCACCCAGACGCGCCACGCAGTAGGTCTGGTCTGTAAGTAGTAACGAATATTCAAGCTGTCGGAATTCATTAAAAATCCGCTTCATCACTGTTTAGGATGAGTTTGGTGAAGAAACGGATTTGCTCAATAATGGATTCTCCACGAACGGCTGCAAATAGATTATTTGACTATAGTTATATCTGCCAATCACTAAAACACACCTTCGTCAACTGTGTGCAAGCCATTGTACAGGTCATCTGTATCACCACGATGTGAATACCTGAAAATATGTCTAGTCAAATTCCAGTAGAATCGCGTATCTGTGGGCCGAAGTTAGTGCCGGGTAGGCTCCTGTGACCATATATATAATACCAGTATTCCCTTGTAACCTAGGTTAGCTTCATTGCATTCACTAAAACTTGGCGAGACTCGCACCCAAACCCAGGGACGGCATGACTACGACTCCCGATGCTTCATATCGGTCAGAAGACTGAAGCGTCGCTTTGATGGTTCCAGAAAGCATTCCATACGGCCCCTTAATATCTAAAGGAGAAACGGGGGACGGTTGTAATGCGGATCCAAAGGCATCCGACAACACCATTCTCCCACCATCCACGCTACCAAAATCCAGCGTCTTTCCGAAGGCGTCCACGGATAGATTATACTCAGCGGCTATGGGGGTAAGAAGCTCGATAATATGCTGCTGTACTTCTTCAGTAGAACTATTATGAAAATGTGTTAGTCAACCACACATAAAGCTACAGCGACCGTTCATACCTATGTTCCGCAACTCTGTGGTTAATGACCGCGGACGCCTTCTCAGGAAGAGCATTGACTTTAACGCCCCCCTGTATCAGGTCCACCGCCTGGGTAGTCTTCAGCGTCACACCAACTATCGGATTCAGCGCAATCAATGCGTTCTTGAACTCATCTAACGCCTGGTCATCGGTCAGCGCCTTCCTAGCTAAAGCCCTCAGTGCCGGAGTAAATTTCGGGTCATAAGTAGCAGCGCATTGAGCATTCGCAAAACCAGTTCCTGAACGCAAGAACTCTGGCTGAAATGTGTTCTTCTCAATTTCTACAATCATCAGTGACAAAATACCGACGCTCTAGTTATTCGGGTTCAATCGTGGTCAAAGAGTATGAGGCCACCGACGCACCGTATGAGCAGGTGGTATGCTGGAATGTCCCCCTGGTGTGAAGACTTCAATCAGCGCATCGAAGTAGCCCTTTTCTGATACACCAGGGAATGCGAAAATCACGTCGTCCTTAGCGTTCTTGTCGTAGCCCTCTATAAGACAACAGCTTCTTTAGTTAGAAGAGACAGAGATCGAAGACAGCTTACGCCCTTCGTCTACCAGCATTGCAAACCCGTCGACCCCATAGGTCGATTCTAGGTAAACTGCCAGTCTCCCAGCGCCCTGGATAAGTATATGAGGATTGTGGATCCGACTACCGGAAAAACTGTCCTACCTCGGTGCCGGAGGCCTCTTCGTCTATGCCAAAAGCAAACACGACCGTGCGTTGCGGCTTGAACCCAGCGGCAAGAAGTTGTTCAACTGTAATCCTATCCTGAAAATAAGTCAGGGATTGCGGCTAACTTTAGTAGAACTTGCAGCTGAGAAATAAGATCGGCCTTGTCATCCGCACATCCTCGTCCCCATATCCAAGTGCCTGGTGATATATAAGTTGGAGCCGTCGGATCATTCTAGGGGAAGCGTTACCGTCAAAATGACCAGAATACGGGGGATGAGTCCACTTGTTTACAGTCGTGGGATCAACAGGAACAACATCTAAAGAACAGATTGAATTTTCCAAGTGTCAAACGCTCTAGAAATATGGCTACCTTGATGCGCGGTGATTAGAATGGGTTTGAGGTGGCCTTGTGACCCTTGCCAGTGAAGTACTAAACCGTACGTGTTTATCTTGGCAACATGCAAAGTGTCATACCTATTTCAGCCCTTTAATGAGTCCATAAAAGGAGGATTATGACACGGACACTCTGGGAAATGATCGTTCGAGGTACTCATGGAGTTCGCTAAAAACGTCCCAGCGTTCATCATGACCTACAGGAAGTAAGTCGTCGTATGACTCCGTACTATATCACTAGATTAGTATGCGTTTGGACGCGTTCCATCAGTGGCAACTCACGGGATGCGTACGGCGCCACCCAGCAGTTCGTACGCTCCGAGCTTGAATGTATCGGACCGATACAACGAATCGAGAGTAGCGTCCACATCGGCATGTTCTTTCGGGAACAAAGGAGAAATCTGAGGGCATCCGACAGAAGTTTCATTTGGGGCCACCACGGTCAAGTCAATTTCGGAGAAGTCTGGTCCCATTACGCCCCGGGTCTTGTAGAGCAGTGTGTAAGAGCCCCATCCAATAAGTACTGCTCCTAGCAATATACCGAGATTCCAGGAGTTCCTTCTTGGTACCAAAGGCACGGCATTTTTCTCCGACATGACGGTTCAGATTCAAGATAAGCGGAACGGCTAGGCGGCCCGGATCACAGGCGAGAGCTCAAGACTAAAGACTCGAACCAAATTCGGACTTTTTCCTCCTCCTCAATCGATGGTAAGTACTTCTGTTACATCCAGCTATTCAAAGAGTGCGTATTTTATCCTGTGTCCTTGAAGCTCCAGACATCCTAGGTGCCCTAATATCGTATCACAGGGGAACTAATTTCTCTCACAAGTGCCGCCGCTGGTAGAAACTGTATAAGCACCCAGATGAACAGCTAAGCACTCCTCCGAAGACTTGGAAATTGCCGTGAAAAACATCGGAGGGGAGCCGTTTTGCGTTTTGCGTAATGATAGTACTTCCCCTGCCTTCCCGTCAACATCGTCTAATTCTACTCTCGACTCTAGTACGCGTAACGCCATTCTTTCAGTGATACGACGGTCCTCATTTTGGCTCGTCAAGGCCTGTCAACCACCTTGCTGCAGATCAGTAGTAAAGAGTGCATTTGAGTATGGAAAATACCTAAGTTAGGAAGGTATACAGCTTCAACTTTCGCGGAAATTGTTGGTACAGGAGGCATTGGAAGGATGCCCATCCATCTACATGAAATACTTCCAGTGCTTTTACTCTGCATCAACATACAGAAAAAAAGAACATCGGAATACTCGAAGTATAATACAACATACGACATTAGTAACGAGTACAATCAATACCGAGTACGTGGCTTCTTCAGCTCCTTCAATACATCTAACATGACTCCCAAAGCAACAACGCCAAAGCTCTGGGGTCCGAACGATCGTGTACCCTCCTCCTGCGCATCAGCTAATGCCTCTTGCGCTGCCACCCAACCCGCCCGAGCACGATTGAATTTCATACAAAGCCGCTGAATGTCCCGTTCGAGCTCAAAGTTTGAGATAATGTCCGAAAAATCATCCTCATAGTCATCCTCATCATATTCTTCGTCCTCGTCGTCTTCTGGAGGAGGGAGAAATTCTTGTCGTATCGCCCGTGTCAGCTCATGCGTCTGTAACAGAAAGTATTTCAACCCACGATGAACTACAGGATCAGAGAACCATACGCACCTGAAGGTTCATGGACGCCGTCATCTCTCTGCGCTTCCTGTGATCGGTGTAACGTTCCATGATACACCCACAGACAAGTTCAGCTTCAGAAAGATGTGCAGCCGACAGTTTCGAGACGGTATGCGCTTTGGCTATCACCAACAACTGCTGGCAATATTCGTCCAAAATATGACGCATTTCTTCGAGATCATCTTCGTCGGGATCCATGCTCAAGTCGTACGCCACGCGAAGGTGCGGTTGTAGTAAATCATCCAACAAGTCGTGATCGACGAATTCTGCTTCATCTTTACGCGGATGGTACTCATCCACAGGTACGCTGCGATAGAGTATACCGAGGATCTTATTGCTAGGGTAATACCCTGGTCCATCGCCGGGGTTGACTCCCTCACCGGACAGGTAATCAGGTCGTCGACGCCGGTCGGCGGGTAGGGGAAGGTCTGAAAATTTGACAGGAGTTCCGACCTTGGGGAAGTCGACAGCATGTGAAGCCTTCTCTGCTAGAAGCAGACACTCATCACAATCGACACCTTTGAGATCAGAAATTCTCAAGTGGAGTGTCGAAATGTATCCGAGGAGATCAGATTTAATCTAATGACAAAATTGAGTATTGCTCATCCTCTGAAGAAACAGACTGACATAGTTGATAACAAACTCTGCGACTTCCGCTTTACCACAGATATTGCTTCTGATATCAGGAGGCAGCGGTTTGTATGTGCCAGGTTTCGCTGTGAATTCTTTGGGTGGGTGTAGAGTTTCCTGAATGCAGAGTGAGAACGCCATCTCATATATGACAGTAGCGACTTCGACTCACATCTAGAATGATATTATATATATCGCCGTCGAGATCACCTCCTCCAAGGCAAGACGGTAAACTTCTACTTCCTCTGATTACAGGATAATGAGACGCGGAAATTGATGTATATCATTGAAGTTACACACCTGCATGAAAAGACGATCACGTTCGTCAAATGACTCAATTCCGGCCTTCGCACCGCAGTAGCAAACTGAACGTCTCCAGGATGAATTTGAGGGCTACGTGTGACGAGAATTCGACCTTCAACGACTATACGTTCGTTTGTGCGTGGATCAAATATCGTAGCATACACTTGGCCTTCCTCAAGGCAGTCCCATTCGTCCGATACGCCAATTAAAGTGTATGACCCAGGTATGCGGATCCGTCCACGATGCTTGATTTCCCTCAAGATATGAGTGACACCGTATGCGATGACTGTCTTCAGTAAGCCGTAGTGTACTCCTGATTCCGAGTCAAGATCCTCAGATAGTTCCACCTGTAACATCCTTGCCATATTACGGAAGAGAGAATCTAAGTGGAAGGAGCCGCCGAGACCATGGTGGGTAAATGTGGTAGCGGCGGCGTCCAGAGATTTCTTGGTCTGACGTACTTCATAGATAGCTCGGTCCTGTAGATCCTTAAAACTCTTGAGTGGAACTTTGTGGTGCTCCAGGAGGGCAATCATTGGCCGGTTAAGATAACAGAGGATGGGTTTTGCAGATGTGGTCGTGACGTCTAGGCTGCGAATGTTTTCAGACTCAAATTTCGTCTGCGACGGACGGATCGTCAACTTCTCGCCTGTCAAGGTGGGGTCCATAAATAAGACGCCTTTTGCTCCACCGAGCCGGAACTGGAGGGCTGATGGGGCAAATCTGGCGCGTCGTACGACCTTTTCCTTCACAATTGTCATGAGGTCGTGCGAGATTGTCGAACAACCGTCAGTGAAAAGGGCATTGATACTAGAGCCGGCAGTTCGGTCCGGAATATTTGTGATCATCTCGGGGGAGATTTCTACGGACGGCAATGAGGTCGAGAACATCTGGCCCCAACGAGCACCCAACAAGGCGGGGCGAGAAGCGACCTTGGTAAAATCACCCTGTGTAAGGCGAGTAAGAGACAAGAGGATACTTAAGACGCCAGAACGATATGATGCTCACTAGTTGTCCACGAATGATATCTGCAGTAACACGATTACCTTCGAATGTGAATGGCGTCACAAAGGCAAAAGAATAATCCTTCAGTCCGCTCATTGAGTAACCAAGGAAGTCAAACTTCCGGCCTGCAACTACCACTCCACTAGTAAGGACGGGACGGTAACGACACACTAAGAGCCGATCTATCGAGAGCGACTGTTCACGGCGAGGCTTCCCTCTGTCCTCGTCCTGGAATGATACGCGAAGAAATGCTTCATTCTTGTTGTAGCGTCGTAAAACGCTGTTGGACTGATCTGGGAGGGGGCCCTCCAAAAACTGTGTCGTGGGCGTGACTATGAGATGATACGACTGGTATATTGCAGGAGAGGGGGCAAAGCGCCGCTTTGGCGCTCTGGCTTCCGCTATGTAGGCCTCAAGTGCTTCATGGAGGAGACCTGTAAGATCTTGTTCCGCTTTTTCTGGGGCAGTTGCGGCCAACTGCCGTTTACGAGTCCTGCGGTTTCGACGTTTCCTACTCGATTTCGAACTTGACTGTGACGATGTTGGATTTGGCGCCTGCTGCCTGCCGGGTACCTGAGATGAAGTAGGTGTATGTGGTACCGTATTTAGTCGAGTATGCATGGCGTCCTGAAGACTGGGAACATTCAGCACAGAAGTGAATTGGCGAAATGCGGAAGCGGCGGTGAGATTGTCATGGTGCGCCTCTAATTCGTGCAGCGCACTACAAAGACCCAAGAGCTCTGAAGCTTCCAGAAGCCCTGCCCAGTATGCCTTTTCAACTTCAAATGCAAGAGGGAATGACAAAGAACGGAGCTCGGCTTGTAAAGCGTTTAGTTGCTTTTCACTATATCCTTTCTGTCGCAGAACTCGGGTTATTGAACGATGAATGGGATGAGGTATGTGTATCGCTTCGCAACGTTGCAAAAATTGATGTTTGTCAAGTGAGGTGTCAAAATGTAGACACAATCCTTGGGAAATCAATGGTGCGAGTTGATCATCGGTACATAGCGAGGAGAGCCGTTCTGCAGGTACCGACGAGCCGTAAACGTCGTGCACCGTTTCTACTTGAAAGGTCGCAGCAAGAGATGATTGGATATAGATATCACATCCATTGTCTGATGACAAGATGGTCTTGATGTTGGAAGCACGGTACCAGAAAGATACGTCCTTTGATGTCGGTCCGACGAAGTCCTCATTCTCATTCGGGTCTGGATCAACATCGATCCTGAGCCTGCGTAAGTCAGGATCGCATACAACGCAGCCCCGAACGGTGAGTTCCGTTGCGAAAACGCCCTTGCGGCAGATGCGCCCGAGCTCAATGGTGATCAATGGAGAAGCGCGCGCAATGTCTTGAAGTCTCTCTCGTTCGAGGCGCACAGATACAGGGTCGACCCAAGGGCGTGAAGCAACGGAGCGTACTCGGGCTTCATTGATGGGATTTTTGGAAGGCTGAAAATAGACTCGTCTTCCGTCTATGCTTATGACGCTGTATAGCTGCAGGAATACGCGGGCCGAGTTGGCATCCGGGAATGCTACAAGACCAATGCCACGGTGCACATTCGATCTTCCCTTCCGGAAAAGCTCCACCCCAAAGTTCAACGGTGGGGAGTCAGAATTTTGAATCGGTGGTATGTGGATTTTGTGCGCTAGATGGATTCGGAGGTCCTCTTCGGATACCGTGAAGGGAACATTGCGCACAAAGACTTCCATGATGCCTGCTGAGAGATATAAGTGTACAGTGACAAGAGAGACGAGACTACCATACCTTGAAGGACAGAAGGGATGTGGGAAGGATGTACCAAGGCGTATCATGACCATCATCTGTCATTGGTGCCGCATATATAGTTAACTTAAGCGCTGGAAAATCGATAACGGCTCGAAGCGGTGTATCCTTCTCTGCTAACCTCGGAAAAGTACAGCGTCAGCTGATACCGCCAGGCTGTTAACTTAACTGTGGCAAGACACTGTATTGAGGAGTCAATCAACAGCGGACGTTATAGATAAAGGGCCGATATGCTTCTCATTCATCGCGACTTGGTCCTGTGATAGCACGTAGCAGGTAAATGAAGACAAGATCATGAAGTGCATGGAGGAGTCCTCAGAAGCAAGTGGGTAGAATACAAACCGAAAAGCACTTAGCCAAGTATCATAGTGGCAAAATTCCCTTTTTGTATGCATATTGAAATTTCTGATCAGGGACATCCGGCAACTCGGCATCTCATAAGAAATACGCAGGCGGGCCGGGGAGGCTGCCGAGCTATTCACTACGTCGTCGTCGTCGTCGCAGAGCCTACTAACAACAAATCATAGAGATCGAGACGGACATAGTCACTGTCTTGGTCTTCGTGGCTGCTTGCCAGTCTTACTCAGTAAGTATATCGAAGGACTTTCCCACTTCCTTGACCAAATATTTCAGTCTGGCTGAGATTTCGAGTGGGTCTCAGACTTTGTCACAAAATGGGTTCAGACTTTGCAACATGTACTCACGGGCTACCACTCTTCCACCATGACTGCGTTTCCTCCAGAGCTCGTAGAGATAATCGTACATGAAATATGGTACTCCGATATGCCGTCTTACATCCGGAAATCGTTCATGACTACTTGCCCCCGGATTAACCGGATGTGGAAAGCTGTCTATGCCCCTATCGCTTCTCGGGACATGTATATCACCAACCTCGCTTTTCTGGACTATTTATGTGACATAGCACATCGCCGAAAATCTATCATCTATCGCAACCTCATCCCCCGGCTTACCCATACTATTACCTGCTTCGTCGACCTCCAAGAAGACGAAAGGAAGCTTGAAGGAGCAGTGAAAGAGGTATATCGTTATCTCATGGGGCTACCCAATATCCGTGGTTTCGATGCTCTGTTTCCTCTCGTTCCATACATATCCTTCGAGCTCATTTGGATCGGCATTGGGCGGTCTTCACGTTTACGGTTTCTCCGTGGCATTCCCATTCGCGCCCGTTACGACCGATACCTGTCTAATGCCTTCTCTCCTGACTGCCCACGCTGGAGGACACTAATGGACGTATACATTGCCATGAACGACCCAGATCCTTCAGCGGTCATACGCGACTCGATCTGGTCTGACGCGTTGTGCGAATTGCGCAATGTCGGTGTCCCTGAATTCCTCTTTGGGATTGTTGTAGCATCCCCGGGACCGTATGATATGTTCGTAACCGATGGTGTCCGACACTTCGGTCAAACCGCGTATATAGCTGAGAAAAATCTTCAAGACTACGATCCGAGGAATATCAATAAGCGCTTGTGGATGGCTTCCAACAAACGTCACAGTACGTGATTTGAGCTTCTTCCATCGGATAAGTCTAACATCCCTCAGTTCTAGCGTTGAGGTGCTTCACTAGCATCTCCCATCGTTGGGAATATAGACGCGTGCAGTTTCCTATGCCTTATATCAGGAGGCCTAGTCTAATGTTCCTCCTCGAACAACTGGTCTGAAGAAATACTCCACTAATTTCAGTATGGGAACTGCTTGTACATATATGCCATTTGGACGTTTGCCATTGCTAGATCCACATCGATTCTCGACTACCTGATATCTATTACTTATCGGTCGGTGAGCAGATCTTTGTTTTCAGTCCGTTTTGCATAAAAGCTGCGTGGATGTTTGCTCCAAGTAGGTTATCTGGCCCAGTTACATAGACGCGAATGCAATTGATGGAATACAAATGAAATATGTCCGTATACTAATGACTACAAGTGATGAAAGCAGCAAGATAAAGACAGATAAGAAAAGGATAGCTGGAAGCAGCCTCTACCGATCAAGGCATCTTGAGAAGGAATTTTGTATAGCAACTCTCTTCATGATAGTAGGTTCGGGTGCTATAAGAAAATGATAATGATAAGGTGACAACAAGAAGAAATCATTGCTTCCTCCATCACTTTGCGCTTAATGCTATCCATGTCATTACTCACGGCCGAACGATCAAGGTTACCACGAGCTTTCATGAGGCTTTCCACAAATGCAATATTCGGACCATGAACCCTCGCAAAAGACCAAAACGACAGAAAACCGATATCCTTTGAAGAAGAGCCAGATCATCTCGATGACTTTAAAGTCCGTCCCCAGTTCCTTTGCTTGTTTGAGGGTGGTGAAGAATTGGAACACGATCCAGACATCGTCTTTGATCTGATCCATCGCCGCTGGTCCTCACTGGCCTTGGAGGGCGTTGAGGTAAAGAAGGAGGTACGCGCCGAGAAGGTCTTCCACAAGGAGCTCGAGTAGGGAGGGATTCAGGTACGTTTGGTAGTTACTCATACCACCGTGCATGATCTCAAATGCAAGAGGGCAAGCTGAAGACTGTGGTTCGACTTGCAAAGCCTGAAAATTCTTGCTACCGTATTCCTGTCCTCGTTCGATATGAGCAATAGGGGGACGAATATGAATTTCTCTACAGCAGGGGAATTCGTATGTCGTATGTCTTGATTTGCTTGCTGAAGCATAAATGCAGTCCTTGGGGATTTCGTGGTGGTATGAGACGAAAGTCGTTGAAGAGCGGATACTTACCGACTCTAGGGGTTAGTCCCGGTATCAGTGGATCCGTCACCTCTACTTCAATGGTCGCCGCAATAGATGACTGGATATAGATACCAACTCCGTTCTGCGGCAGAGCAAGAGATTTGATATGGGATGCCTGGTACCAAAAATACGGGCAGGCGATAGAAAGCTCAGACGTCATATTGTCGTCGTTGGTCCTAAACCTGCGCAGGTCAGAATCATATATGATCTGACCGCGAATAGTACACTCTGATGCAAAGATACCCTTGCCACGGCAGATGCGTCCAAGATGAATGGTGATCAAGGAAGAAAATTGCGCGATCTTTTTGAACTTCTCTCTTTCTTGACACAAGGTTTCAGGATCGACCCAAGGTCAAGATGCAACGGCAGCTACATGCACAGGATTAGTAGGTTGGCTAGACTTCCAGAACAGGACCAACATCCCGCCAATAGACATGATGCTGTACCGCTGCAGGAACGCATTGGCCAAGTTTGCGTCAGGAAAGGTTACAGGACAGGCCTGAGCAGCTAATCCGGAGACTCGTAGGGACCTTGAATCGGTGGTATGTGGATTTTGCGTGCTAGATGGACGGGGAGAACCTTTGCTGATACCGAGAAGGACATATTTTGCACGAAGACTCCCATGGCAACTGCTGAGAACGAGATACTGTAATCGAAGAGCGCCGGAAATCGAATTTCTCAGCGCTGAAAAAGATTGCAGATGATGACTAGCATGCTCAAGAGCGCAAATGAGGACTAAAGCAGTAACACGGCAGGAGCACGTCGGCTGTGATGGTGACCAATAATGTGATCGCGACTTGATCTCCTACCGTGATCATCATCAACCCGGCAAGCTATCTCCTACGGCAAACATCATGAAGAGCTCATTGAAGGATGAGGATACTGATGAGTTCGAGCTCTGTGGTCGAAAGAGGGCAAAAGTAGACGACATTGACGACGATTTTCGGTGAGTATATGCGCCTTTGTAACATTTCTATGTTTATTTTTTCCCCAGTTTTCCAGCGTCGGATGGTGCTTATCCTGAATCATCGTCGTCTTCGACGCGTCCTCACCAGTCGTCCCTTCCTCCAACCCCACAATCGCCTATCCGAAGACGCGCCAACTTCACTTTAGCTCGCAGGGAAAAAGCTCGCCGCCACAAGAGACGCAACGCTCAGCTTATTCGTCCGCAAGTCGTGATGGCTTCTTCGTCCAACTCATCTGTGTCATCGTCAGAGTTTGAAGCGAATGTCAAGTTCACCTTCACTGCGAATGGTCCTTCCTGCTCATTCTCGCCTGTCGAATATGCTGTATCTGTACATCCCAACGCTCTACAGTGTCGCAGCGCTTTTCCACCTTGTGCGACTCATTTCTCTTCGAATGATCCTGCCTTTGAACCAACTCCTTCGTACGACGACGCTATGCTCTTGTATCCTTTCCAGGCTATGAAACTGGAGTAGACTCTTTCTTGGAATGAAGTGAGGATGCCAAAGTCTGGGAATAATATGGGATTGTGTATGGAAGTTTCCTTTTTTTTGTGTTCAGTTTGTTCGCATGGATTGTTATGTGCACGGTCGTGTTCAATTAGCTACATATTTTGACATGTCTACGTAATGCCAATCGCCACGGCAGATTCTCTCCGAAAGCTGTGCCCGAGGGCTGTTTACTCACTTGCACTGCTATTTATTACCGTCATTGTCAACAAGTACAGAATCGCCAAGTTTCCTTGAACTTTATCGATGACCACGTCACCAGGGGAAGAAAATTCCGGTCCCAGTCGCACCAGAAAGACAAGACCCCAGACGGCATGCGAATTTTGTAGACGAAGAAAGAGTGAGTGTTCGTATAAAGTTTACTTGAACCTAAGGATTATCAACGTTTTAGTTGGATGTGAGGCTTTTTAACTAATCCATAAAGGCCTCTTCTTGATGAATACTTACCTTGGCAGGCGATGGCGCTCAAAGACCGGGGAAACAATGTTCGAATTGTGCAGCATGTAACGTCGACTGCAAGTATTCTGACAGTCGTAGAGTACTGGCAAGTCAAGTATCTACTCTTCTGTCATGCATGAGCTAACATGGCTGTAAAGGCACCCTCCAAAAGGTTCGCTGTGATTTTCTTGCCAGAACTCCTCCCTATACTCGAGGTAGTTACATCCAGGAACTGGAGAAGAAACTAGAAAGGATGGAGAATATTATGCGTCGGGTAGTTCCCCTCTGCGCACCTATATGCTAGAACTAACTCTGCAATAGATCCTTCCCGAAACCCACGTCGGTGGCCTGAGCACCGCCGAGATAGAGGATCGACTGCGACAGGAGGATTATGAGCGTGATGCGATGGACAATAGTCTCACGCAAGCCAAATTGGGTTACATCTATCATGGAAAATCGAGTACCGCCCAATTTATACAAACTGCGAGGGTTTTCAAGCAAGGGCATACCGGTGAAATCTCTGACAGAGTCACTCTCAGACGATCCGAGTTCTGGGATGCACCTCCTTGGCACCAAAACACCTGGTTCCAGTCGTATTATCCAGATTACACCTTTCCAGAAGACGACCTGCTCTCATCACTTGTGGATCTTTATTTTGTGGAAGTCAACATCTTCGTTCCGTTGCTGCATCGACCAACTTTTGAGAAGCTAGTCAATGATAAATTTTATTTGGAGGATAAAGAGTTCGCCACTGTGCTGTTATATGTGTGCGCTCTCTCTTCAAGGTACACGGACGACCCCCGAGTTCTATCAGATGGGGTATCTTCCAAGCAGTCGAATGGATGGAAGTGGATCGATCAGGTGATACGCGCACGTAAGTCCCTGATAAGCGTGCCGACGTTGCATTCCTTGCAATGTATATGTGTGAGTGCGGTTGCCGTTCATCGATTGAGGTCCTTTCATCCATAATACCAATCCAGCTTTTCGCCCAATTCATGTTGGGATCATCGGCACCTCACCTGTGCTGGACGATTGCTAGCATTGGACTTCGGTCATCCCTGGAAGCGGGACTTCACAGAAGGAAAGTGAACTATGCTAATCCCACTATAGAGAGCGAGCTGTGGAAACGGGCTTTCTGGTAATGTTATCACTACCTCATCTATGTACTTTGCTGATTGATCTTAGGACACTTGTGTACATAGACCGACAGATCAGTGCCTTTCTAGGCCGTTCATGCTGTCTATTCGATGAAGAGTACGACCTGCGCTTTTCCCCCATGTTTCGTCGCTAATTGATGCAGGATTGACCTTGATTTACCAATCGAATGTGATGACGAGTACTGGGAGCCTCCAAATGCTGCCAATGCTTTCAGGCAGCCGCTTGGACGACCTGCGCTCGTTTCTTACTTCAACTGTTACCTGAAACTCACTTCCTCGATAACGACTTGCCTGCGCACTATAGTAAGCCCTCCTTTTCTCCACTCGGCTAGCTGAAGTTTACATGAACGTCATAGTATGCAATAGAACGGTCTCTCATCAGGCGCGTATCTCTGGATCTGGATAAAAACTGGCAGAAGAGAATGATTGAGCAGCTTAATGCGAGACTGAAGCTTTGGATGGATGCAATGCCTGATCATCGTGCGTAAAAGCTATCCATTATCACTTAATTCTCATCTACCCACCTCAGTACGATGGGACCCTGACCGCAAAGACCCTATTCACCTCGCCCAATCTGCTTCATTACATTTGCAATATCGTCATTTGCAGATGCTAATCTATAGGCCCTTCATCTCCATGCCTTATGATTCGGAGAAATTCCCGTTTCATTCAGTAACTATCTGCACAAACGCCGCTCGCGTATGTGCAGATATTATCGACACTCAATTACGTCGTAAAGGGCATTTGGTACCTTACTATGGTGTAAGACAAAGTTTCTCTTAGATGCAGATGCCTGTTCTAACGTCCGTTTAGCTTGCCGCATTCAATGCCGCTGCAGTGCTCCTTTTCGATTATTGGCAGACAAAACGTGGTGGCCTTCCCGTGAACCCGGCCGATATGAAACTCGTGGATGCATGTATGAAAACTCTTCAAGTTCTAGAAACGAGGCACGTACATCTAGGTTGTTGCTATCTACGTGGCTAACTAAAGCGCAGATGGCAAATTGCAGGCCGGCTCTGGTGAGAGGAGTCTTCCACGACCACTCTGTCGTAAACTAATACTACGTCACGTTTAGGGACGTCCTCCATGAGCTAGTTTCTGTCGGTGATCTACATCCCAACTCAGCCAACCCTGAAATGGAGATGACTGTCGATAACAACTCGATATTCACGCCAAATGAGGTCTTTCCTGACAGTCTTTCGGAAATCCTTCTTGGCGGCAATACCTTTTACGACGGACCTGCCGTGGATGAGTCCAGCTGGTTCTCAAACATTGAGCTGCCATTGGTACCCTTAGATGAAGTAAATACACAACCTCAGATCTCCGTCGCTTCCTCGGAAAATGTAGGGCTGGAACCTTCACACGTCCCTCCTCGAGGCGAAGGCTACGTCAATGGGACCCAAACCTTGCAAAAATTCGGCTTCACGATTGATAACCAAGATTCCTTCCTCGAGCCTTCTTGTTTCTTCAGCAAAAGCGCTGGTACGTCAACCCCCGATAATACTCTACCGACGACCAATGAACCCCATAATATTCAAAGTAATGAAATGAAGTATGATCTTCCATGCCTGTCGCGTAATGCCAAATTCTCACGATGCCTTTCAAATAGTTTGGATGACTGGGGCTCGTTCTTCAGTAATGTAGACGAGCTTACCCATGGCATATGGCAATTCGAAAACTCGAATGACTCTGCTACTACCAACAGTGGACTGTGGTAGAACTACTGATATGGCTTCCTAGCTTTTGGTTCAGACAGATTGTACAAATTGTACAAATAGTTCCCTGTATTTGTGTAATTACCTATAGTGTCCGACTGAGCGTATTTTGGGCCCAAATACTTGTGGTCATTTTTGACGTCCTTTGGCTGATATGCTTGCGGACCGGGACGGTCCGAGTCACATTACGTGAGAAATCCTATCCTAAAGCGGAGCTGCAAAGAGAACAGTGTCCAAACCTTAATTTTTCCCTTCATCGACAACGTCGTACGGACCCAAATGGTGAGCATTCTGCTCAATGCGTCAAGTTTCCTGTACTAAGCAGTGGATTGGATTATCTAGCCTTCCCAAAAGACATTCAGAACAAAGCGCATTTTGGCCAAGGCTGGAAGGCAGAACAGGTACTTTGCTTGAGTACCGTGAGTTTGCTGTGCTGTACTGACAGTATGATACAGGCCGATTCCCCAATGGTTCCGCCTAAAGACAGACACCAAAATTCAGGTGCGTGGAATATGTTTTTCAGTAGATTTTTGACTAACTTGGGTTGCAGTACAATGCCAAGAGGCGGCACTGGCGACGAACCAAGCTTAACATCTAAGCTGATCATGGATTTGGGGAGAACAGGGTCGCTCGTTGCATATGTATCCCGTACGCTCTATGACTTCACATGAATCTATGCATATTACAGCCACTTCGTCGCAATACGCTTTGCAAGATCCTCCTTCTCGACATTCAACAACCATGATATCTGGCCTAGTTGGCACTGAAATGGATCCTCTCTCATTCCCTTAGTATGAACTATACGGCCTGATCCAATACAGCGTTGACAGCTGGCAGCACCTAAAGGTACTTTACTGACGGAGACATTTCAACGGAAGCAGAGTTCTAAACAACTTGTCCAACATTCAACTAAACTTCTGGCTACACCCAAGACGCTGACCGGAATTCACGGACGTCATACTAACGCCCGTGCCCTGCTTGGTGACTTCTCTACTCAATCTTACTTGGTGTGCAACTGTTGTGAGTGGCGACGTCAGGCAAGATTGGCATTTATCAACGGCAGCAAAAGCTTACCTTTGCCACGGTCCGAATGTAACACGGTTGATATCAGCTGATGCTGAACTTTTCCGAGGACGGCAAAGAACACACCGCTTCGAGCCGTTATCGATCCTCCGGCGCCTAAGTTGACTATATATGCGGCACCAATGGCGGATGATAATCATGATACGCCTTGGTATACGCATCCCGCATCCCTTCTGTCCTTCAAGGTACTGTCGTCTCGTCTCTTCTGTTAGTCTGCTCATATCAACACTCAGCAGGTGTCATGGAAGTCTTTGTGCGCAATGTTCCCTTCTCGGTATCAGAAGAGGACCTCCGCGTCCATCTAGCGCAGAAAGTCCACATACCGCCAATTCAAAATCCTCATTCTCCGCTGTTGAATTTTGAGGTGGAGCTTTTTCGCAGGGCTGGATCGGCTACTCATCGTGGCATGGGTCTTGTAACCTTTCCCGATGTACGCTCGGCCAATACGTTCTTGCAGCTGTATAGCACCATGACCGTTGGTGGGAGGTCGGTTAACTTCCAGCGATCTACGCGACCAGCCAATGAAGCGCATTTAGCTGCTGTTGCGTCCCGACCGTGGGTTGATCCTGAAGCCTTGCTACAGGAAAGACTGTGGCGCCAAGCCATTGCGAAGCCTTCTTCCTCGATCGCCATCGAGCTTGGACGCATCTGTCGCAAAGGCATCTTCGCAACAGAAATGACTGTCCACGGGCGTGTCATGTGCAACCCTGATCTAAGAAGGCTCAAGATCGATATCGATCCAGCCTCTGATCACCAGAATTCGAACCATGGTTCTGTATTCGATTTGCAAGCCTTTTTATCTTTTGTTTTCGCCTCCTGCACATCGTTCTGGTACCGCTTCTCCAATATCAAGACGCTGGTGTCTTCAGGTAACAGATGTGATGTCTATCTTCAGTCGTCTCTTCCGGCTACCATACAGGTAGAGACAGAGAGTGGCGTTCTCCGTGCTTCAACAGAGCGTTCCTCTACGCTCCGTAGTGATGGCCATCTCATGCCATTTATTTCCCAAGGGTTATGTTTCCGTTTCGACACGCCAGCCCACGCATCCGACTTTCTCTCTCATTGCAAACACATGCATTTGCCTTCTTCCATTCATCGTCCTATCACTCGAATCGAACGAGGACAAGAATACAGTAACAGCAAGTTTCAGGCTTTACACGTTGAACTACGGTCTCTGTCCTTCCCCCTTGCATTTGAGGTTGAAAAGGCGTACTGGGCAGGGCTTCTGGAGGCTTCAGAGCTGTTGGGCCTTTCTAGTGCATTGCATGAGTTGGAAGCACATCACGACAATCTCACCGCGTCTTCCGCCTTCCGCCAATTCACTTCTGTGCTGAATGTTCCCAGTCTCCGGGATGCCGTGCCGACTCGACCAGCAGTAAATGCGGCACTGCATGGACCTACATCATCGCAGACGTCGAATTCAGCCCCGTCACAGTCAGGGTCGAAATCGAGTCGGAAACGTCGAAATCGCAGGACTCGCAAGCGGCAGCTCGCTGCAACTGCGTCAGCCAGAGCAGAACAGGATCTTCCTGGTCTACTACGTGAAGCAGTCGAGACCTACATAGCCGAAGCGAGGATGCCAAAGCGGCGCTTTGCCCCATCACCCGCTGTATACCAATCGTATCATCTCGTAATCACGCCTACAACTCAAATTTTGGAGGGCCCGCTTCCGGATCAGTCCAACAGTGTTTTACGACGCTATGAAAAGAATGATGCATTTCTTCGGGTATCATTCCAGGACGAGGACAAGGGAAAGCCTCGCCGTGAACCGCCTCTCTCAATAGATCAGCTCTTAGTGAAACGGTACCGTCTCGTCCTTACTGGTGGAGTGGTAGTTGCAGGCCGGAAGTTTGACTTTCTTGGTTATTCCATGAGCGGACTGAAGGAATATTCTTTCATGTTCGTGAGGCCATTCAAGTTCCGTGGTAAGCGTATTGACGCAGATATCATTCGCGGGGAGCTGGTGAGCATCATATGATTCTAGCATCTTGACTACTTTTTACTGACTCGCCTTGCATAGGGTGATTTCACTAAGGCCGCTTATCGTCCTGCCTTACTTGGTGCTCGCTGGGGTCAGATGTTTTCTAATTCAATCCCTTCCGTCGAAATTTCCCCCGGGATGATCACAAATATTCCAGACCGAACTGCCGGCTCTGGTAGCCCCGACGCAAATCAAGTCTTCACAGACGGCTGTTCAACGATCTCACACGACCTCCTGACAATTGTGAAGGAAAAGGTCGTGCGACGCGCCATATTTGCCCCTTCAGCGTTGCAGTTTCGGCTCGGTGGAGCAAAAGGCGTCTTACTTTTGGATCCCACCTTGACAGGCGAGAAGTTGACCATTCGTCCGTCACAGACGAAATTTGCCTCCGAAAGTATGCGGGGCTTGGACATAACAACTACATCTGCAAAACCTATCCTCTGTTATCTTAACCGGCCTATGATTGCCCTCCTGGAGCACCACAAAGTTCCACTCAAGAGTTTTAAGGACCTGCAGGACCGAGCTATCTATGAAGTACGTCAGACCAAGAAATCCTTGGACGCTGCCGCTACCACATTTACCCACCATGGTCTTGGCGCCTCCTTCCACTTAGATTCTCTCTTCCGTAATATGGCAAGGATATTACAGGTGGAATTATCTGACGATATTGACTCGGGATCGGGGGTACACTACGGCTTACTGAAGACAGTCATCGCATATGGTGCTACCCATATCTTGAGGGAGATCAAGCATCGTGGACGGATCCGCATACCTGGGTCGTACACTCTAATCGGCGTATCGGACGAATGGGACTGCCTCGAGGAAGGCCAAGTGTATGCCACTATATTTGATCCACGCACAAACGAACGTATAGCCGTTGAAGGTCGCGTTCTTGTCACACGTAGCCCTCAAATTCATCCTGGAGACGTTCAGTTTGCTACGGCAGTGCGAAGGCCGGAATTGAGTCATTTGACGAACGTGATCGTCTTTTCATGCAGGTGTGTAGCTTTAATGTCATACATCAATTCCGCGTCTCATAGTGCTGTAATCAGAGGAAGTAGAAGTTTACCGTCTTGCCTTGGAGGAGGTGATCTCGACGGTGATATATATAATATCATTCTAGATGTAAGTCGAAGGCGCTACTGTTATGTATGATGGCGTTCTCACTCTGCATTCAGGAAACTCTACACCCACCCAAAGAATTCACAGCGAAACCTGGCACATACAAACCACTGCCTCCTGATATCAGAAGCAATATCTGTGGTAAAGCGGAAGTCGCAGAGTTTGTTATCAACTACGTGAGCTTGTTTCTTCAGACGACGAGCAGTACTCAACTTTGTCATTAGATCAAATCTGATCTCCTGGGATATATTTCGACGCTCCACTTGAGAATTTCCGACCTCAAAGGTGTTGATTGTGATGAGTGCCTGCTTCTAGCGGAGAAGGCTTCACATGCTGTCGACTTCCCCAAGGTCGGAACTCCTGTCAAATTTTCAGACCTTCCCCAACCCACAGACCCGCATCGACGACCTGATTACCTGTCCGGTGAGGGAGTCAACCCCGGCGATGGACCAGGGTATTACCCTAGCAATAAGATCCTCGGTATCCTCTATCGCAGCGTACCTGTGGATGAGTACCATCCGCGTAAAGATGAAGCAGAACTCGTCGATCACGACTTGCTAGATGGTTTACTGCAACCACATCTTCGTGTGGCGTACGACTTGAGCATGGATCCCGACGAAGATGATCTCGGAGAAATGCGTCATATTTTGGACGAATATTGCCAGCAGTTGTTGGTGATAGCCAAAGCGCATACCATCTCCAAAGTGTCGACAGAACATCTTTCTGAAGCTGAACTTGTCTGTGGGTGTATCATGGAACGTTACACCGATCACAAGAAGCGCAGAGAGACGACGGCGTCCATGAACCTTCAGGTGAGTATGCTTCTCTGGTCCTGTAGTTCGTCAGAGGTTGAAATATTGTCTGCTATAGACGCATGAGCTAACACGGGCGATACGGCAAGAATTTCTTCCTCCCCGAGAAGACGACGAGGATGAAGAATTTGAGGAGGATGACTATGACGATGACGATGATTTTTTGGATGTTATCTCAAACTATGAGCTCGAACGGGACATTCAGCGGCTTTGTATGAAATTCAATCGTGCTCGGGCGGGTTGGGTGGTAGCCCAAGAGGCATTGGCTGATGCGCGGGAGGAGGGCGCACAATCGTTCGGACCCCAAAGTTTTGGTGTTATAGCTTTGGGGGTCATGTTAGATGTATTGAAGGAGCTGAGGAAGCCACGTACTCGGTATTAACTGTGCCCATTATATATGTCATACGTTGTATTATAATTCGAATATTCCAATGGCCTTTCTTTTTCATAGGCAGATGCAAAGTAAAGGAAAGCCAGTGCGGAAAGATCTCGAGGAGGTCTGAAAACGTGTCTTTGTCAACCAAGTTCCATAACCGAGTCCATTCCGCGACATGGAGTGAGGAACGTCTACGCAGCTGGACGCTAGACGTCAGCAACCACGGTGATTCATGGTCATGCGGCAAAATAGCGTTAAATCCCACAATCTTGTTGCCAGTTGGCCAGTCCTTCTCGTTTCTTGATCGTGTAGAAGAAATTAATCTGGTGTCCAAGTTCAGGCGAAATTCCAAGTGTTCACTACAATCCAATACCCAAGTAAACAAGAAGTATCCACGAAGTGCTAATGCCGTGCTCAACTGCTCTCTCGCCTCTAGGTTGAAGCTATAACGTTTCCTAATCCCAGGATTTTACTGGCACTAGCGTAGGTCTACGATACTCTCTGGCGTCTGAGCCATAATTGCTCGCGGTCATTCTACCATCATCCCTGAGATTTCGGGACGATCGCCAAAACTCAGGACATGATGAAAGAGATTTGCCTTTCCCGGATGGTATGAGCGATCCTTCGTGGACGAGATCGGGTGCTGCATAGGAACGCGACCTGGCCTTCTTCCTCTTCTTTGATTGCCTAGACTCCTTATCTGTCTCCTCATCTATTTCTCGCTTACGACTCTCAGATTTTGGGATGGATGAATCGTCCTTCCTCGAACCAGTTATCGTGCCAGCTTGTTTTGTACCAGAAACCTTCCTGACGCTGTCCACCTTCGAAGACCAAGAGTCAGAACTCTGAAGAGACCCGTTTCCATAGCTTTCCAAATTTGCGTCGTCTATAGCCCATATACCATGAGCCTCATTTCGGAAACATTGATAGCTGCTTAGCGTGTGTCGGATGGTGTTCTTCCAGGACGTTGTCGTCGAACTGAAGAAGGGATATACTGTTATAATCCAGTCATATATTTCTGAGAGGCTGAGACGACGATCCGGAGAAGATAGAATGGCTTGTTTTATGATAGCCACATATGGAATATCGGGTTTTTCGCGAGAGGGTACAGAGTCCGACAGAGGTGTGATAGACTCTTTGTTGCGATCTTCAGGACCAGGTATAGGAGCAGTGATACCGAAAGAAATGTTCCCGATAGCACATGATTCGTCATTTGGGTGCAGACTGGAATGGTGAGAAGGGCGACTCTCGAGACAAGGACCATATTTCGAAGGAGGATTGTTCATTCCAGCATAGACATCGACCTTGTCTGGAGACCCTTCTAAGTCTTTCTGTAAATACAATTTCAGCCATAGTTGAGACTCTATACCCTCCTAACTGACCTTGGTATTTTCCACACCTGGCAAGTGGACTCTCTTACTAAGGATCTGATGCAAGGTGGTCGAGAAACCTTGACGAGCCAAAATGAGGTCCATCGTATCACTGAAAGAAGGGCGTTACGCGTATTAAGGTCGAGAATAGAATTCGACGGTGGTGACGAAGAAGGCAAGTATCCAACGTGTGTGCATCACGTGGGCGTGCTCTAGAATCGGGCCGGAGTGCCGAACCCCCTGCGACCGGTCCGAACGATCTTAGCCGGTTACCAACACATGTTTGTCTACATCGACCTTCGGCTTCATGACTGGAAAAGCTCTGGATGACTTTGAACTCATAGATACCAACCAAGAAAAATCTGCTACGCGGCGACATTGTAGTTCTGGCTGAAGTAGCGGGATTTCTTCTCTGTATTTCTCAGAAGTGCCAATCATCGGACTGATGCCAAGCAAAACCTGATGTTTCTCTAGTTAAAGTCTCCTTTCCTTTCCTTTGAATCGCCAACAACGTGCTGCCACACGAGCTCCTACCGACACAGACTCTAGAGGATACTACATCGCTGGTGGCCACTGTGGCACTTTCAACTCAGATGTTCTTTGAACAAAAGATCTCAGCGTGCGCACTCGTGCACTCATAGATCCTCCTAGATTGAACTGAGGTCGCCCGCTACATTGTGATGGACTGCGCCAAATGCTCTTCGTGAGCACACGCATTACATAACATCACGGTGCGCACTCCGATCGTATGCTGGATGGGCGGTAATGTCCTTCGAAAGAATCATGCGACCAGCGCGTACAAAGCCCGAAAGGACTCTAATGCTACATCCCATACCGCCTGCCAAGGGAAAGGAAATCAACCAACGGAGTCTTCGACGTGCTCGGGGTCTCTCGATATCAGACGATATGAGGGAGGGCACTTGATACGTTCGTTTTTGGGAGGTACAGTTCCTTTGGGATTCTATAAATACGGCACTGAGTAAAAATCTATGTCAACAATATAATTCCCCTTGTGCCAACTCTGTTGAAGACGATTCAGGCCCCAGGGTGGTTGGTCAGCTTGATGAACAGGCCTTACTGTACAGTTGTACCAAGAAGGACGGCGACAGTACCATCTGCATTCAGTTATCGGCTGGTAACTCTTGTTTTGCATGCGTAGCTTAACCAATCATTGATCTATCATTCACAGGGGAAAACCCTAGTGAGGATCCGTGTTTACCTGCAATGTGAGCGGAAATCTATGTCTGCCGGACAATGCGTTCTCAGGATCCAGAATGTATTACCATCTGCCAGTGGCATTCCGTAAGGCGTATCCTGTCCAACAACTCTTCATCACCGCTGCTCGGTATTTCTAACCAAGGTGACGATACTGCGCGAAAGATCAAAGAGAAACGGGCGACCTACTTGCCGGTAGTTGGGACGGATTATTTTGCCGATCACTTGGCATGGCAAGGACTTTATCAGTACTGAGAGACCGTACCAAGGTTCCCGAACCGATGACTAGACCGGTTTCTGTTATGGGAACCGCCCTTCCAGGTCCATAACCTCTGTTATGAGACCAGACCCGGACGTCGTCGTACGGTTATCGGTTAAGCCTCACTTCCGTGCGCAGCGGTTCTTATTCATTTCTCACTCTCGACAGTTAATGAATACGCTGGTTCCCCATTGCTGTATTCGATCATTGTCATGAAACCCACCTCATCCCTGATATTTTGGAACAGGCTTACGGTAAACATTTCACGGTCTCTTGGCATGTACTCCCTCTAACTCATCATTGTGGTAGCATCACAAGGTAGACTAACTGCTGCCCTTCCGCCACATTCTCTGATCGTAAACAGGAAGTCCACCGCGGTTCTGAATATGCACCACACATTCTGACCGATCACGGTCTGTATGTCACCGCAAGGGTGGGTCATTCATCACAATAGAATGCACACTTAAAATCAGTGATCACGTCTGGAACCCAGAATGATCATCTTATGATCAGCTATCGCTATCTTTAAGCCCAGCAAGGCACATTATCATGGATTCTATGATTTATCGCTTTCCCCCATGACTTCAACACCTGCCCGCGCTTTGTAAGGACTTGGATCGTAGTATCTTCATTGTCACTCAGAAAAGTAAGGTGACATGATTGGTGTTCTCTTAAGTATCTCTCACTTGGCGGAATGACGCTCCATCGGGAAACTGGCACCTCTTCAAACTGCATCCTGACTTTGTCAAGAGGCTAACGACACATGGTCTTCTCTCGCTAAACAATCAAATAACGGTATCCTCCAGTCTTTATCGATAGCGCGGAAATTCATCTGAGGAACGGCGGCCCCGTCCATGAAATGATTCTCTTCGCCGTCACGGATCATTGCGGTGTCGTAGTGGTCGATCGAGGCAAAGACATATGCATCGGGACGGAGGCGCTCTGTGATCGAAGCGCATATACTTCCCCGCGCATATGGTTTCCCTCCACGGTGGTCCGGTAGCAGTCGGCAGCGTTGGCCCATCTTTCACTTCGGTTCCGAGATACTTTATAATTCATTTCCAGCCCTGGCTAGAGAGTCCCTTGGGCCTGAATCATATTACATTGGAAGCTTCTACGAATAATGATGGGTGCGTCCCTGATGTATTATTGTCCGGTCCATCTTCCATGCTTGGTGGTTACGAAGCGTTCGTGCGGTAGACGGGTTGCACTGAAGCTCTAGAGATGATTTTTGAGTGACCTGGAGCTCGTCTTCCTTACGATATCTAGGCCCGAGTCGCCCTGCGAAGGTCGGCTTACAACAGTGGCGCAACCCCCGCGATAGCGTCCCCAATCACGCGAGAATTTTTGTTGGACTTAGGTATCAGCTTCCTCAGTAGCTGCGCGCACAGGCTACAAGCCGGCGCAGTAATCAAGGAAAACACCTCCGTCCATGCCAAAATTTCGTTTACCTCTTCAATCCGCATTAGTCCTCGCGTTGCGGTTTTACAAAGGCGGGCTTTGGGTAATGGCCCCGGTGAATTAGGTCAATACCTTAGACAAGTCGTTGAAGTCTGTCACATCCATTTTAGTAGCTGCTCTCTTCGGTCGACCAGTAACTGACATTTGATACAGGGAAAATTGCTATTAGTCATCCATGTTCACAATTGCACAATGCGGATAAGTATAATGGTTCCTTTAATTCAGTTGAAGACTGAAGTGGAAAGCACCACCAGGATCCCGTATAGTATGATCTTCATTGGTGCCTTGAGGGCTCATCTTAGAACCGAAGAAATAGCTCTCACCGATGTCAGCGTTATTCTAATACCAATATGCACCTTCTTTAGTCGACGTCGACGGGAGTCTCGAAGGGCATAAGTTCGTTACATTCTTGTACACGTAAACTTATGTATTTATCTGCAGTCTTCCCCATAGGCGTACTTGGACCCTTAGGGATGACCACTGTGATTGATAGTCACTATACGTTGGATAAAGGAACGTTCTGATGCTGCTCGGATGAGTGGCATGTCCACATGTCCTAGTCAATCAATTGCTCATAGGTCCCCATGATAACAGACGGCGCTTGATGCTGCTATGTCCAGGATTTGAGGACTCTCGCCTTAGTTTTTGTCGATATGGAATTGCTACTTGGCGCGGGTAACGAAGGCAACCTAGTAGCCACTTCAGTCGGCTCTCAGCTTGATCTCGAGGGCAAAGTCATTGAGTTTAACCATTACGAGCTGTGCGAACAAGGGCTTTACACCTTCGACTGCCAATGGGGTGAAATCACTGTGATATGCTACAACAGTACTGAGTACGGCTACAAAAGTAACGCCTAAGCGACCCCGGGCTCATTATGATAAGTAGGAGAATTACATTGATTAAGGTATATTAATTAGCGTAGTGGTATGAGGGACCTCATCAAAGACAGCAATAGGGACATCAATTCGAACCGAATATTCCACGAAAGTATTGCCTTAGGCCATTGTTATCCTGCACAATTGCCCCAATGAAGCCGTCCGGCCTTACCACAACGGCGCAACATCCTTCGGTCAAGGAATACGCATCATATGCATGCCCTCGGGTATCCTCGACCGTGTAATCCGCGCAGAAGGGACCACATTCCACATGCCGTCCAAAGTCAGCGCGGACGATTTGAACAGTCCGAATGAGTCCCTTCGGGCATGACGATGAGATACCTTTTAGTATTGTAGAACATCGGTGAAGGTCCCGCGCAAACACCAATATTGTATGATGTGAGGCACCGAATAGCTCGAAAAGCCTCTTCGTTGTCGTAGGTCTGTCTTCTTCTAAGGTCAAGTTTAGCAGACCCGGTGCATCAGGGGCACGGTCTCCGGCACGTAACTGGGCGCCAAGGTCCTCTCCGTATGAGTCAGGGAAGTCATCCTCATCATCAGAGTAATCATCCTCGTCGTCCGACTGCTCGTCAACTACTATGGAACTCCACCGGTAGTTCACTCCAAGCTGGAGGAGGCTGCCCCCGCGACGCCACGCGGAGGGCTTTTCTTTTTTTATGAATGTTTGCTTCAGTAGAACGGTCGTCTGGTTGAGCATTTCGGCGATAACGGGAAGGCGCTCTTCGGTGTATGTTCGGAGGAGTGAAGGGGATGCCAGGCCTCGTTGCACTAATGCGAGCTTCCAGGCGAGGTTAAACGAGTCCTGGATTCCTGTGTTCATGCCCTGTATGTCCGAATCAAAGTCAGGGTGTTTCCCTGATTTCTACGCGGAATTCGACGCACCTGGCCTCCGGTGAAGCTATGCACATGTGCAGAGTCTAAAAACAATTAGATGGTTGCACGAGGATTGCGAAAAGATAACAGCCACGCTCACCTCCAGCTAAGAAGACCCTCCCTTCCCCGAAACTGTCGACCATCCGAATATTGGGTCTGATTCGTCAGCGACTAGTCAATACTTTGTTAAAGGTTAAGCATACCGGTAATTTGAGACCCAATTTATTTTGCCCCATTTCACAGAGTCGCCTGCTCCCGTACATTGGTTAAATGTCTCTCGAAGACCATCCAAGTCATGGGACATTGAAGCGTTATCAATGTTCTTGCCAGTCAAGATGAAATTGAATAACGAGGGAGTTTCCGTGGGTCGGAGACTGATTCTATGCGGGTTACTTGAATAAGGAACATTCGACGGACCGAGATTTGTGGACTTACAGTGTGCTCCCGGCATCACCCCACATATGCCAAAACTGAGTATCTAATTAGAACGTGGGGTTCGGTCAGAATGGGAACCATAGACGCACCTCTTGTTCCAGCCCTTCGACAAAAATATCTCCCACCACTATCTTATCAATGTTGCTGGTTTCCCCAAGGAAGGACAGACCCAACATTTTCCGCACAACTCCCCGTGCACCATCGGCTCCAAGTAACCATGAAAACGTAAGATCTTGCTCCGTACCATCGAGCGTTCTTAGTTTTGCGTTGACATGGTCTTTTTCCTGCGAGAACGAGAGAAGTTCCGTGCCTAGCTCAACGGGGCAATGATACTTTTCCTCCAGCTCTCTCCGAAGTATAGTTTCTAGATGGTCTTGCCCGAGGCACAGTATGTTAAGCTGCCAAGACGCGGAGAATAAGTTCCGCATTGAACGAAGTTGCATGAGGCGCCACCTACGTATGGGAACGCGGCTGTTGGTTCCATGTATGGTGCTATTTCAAAAGTCCCCGAGCATTCCAAGCCTTTATGTAGGTCGTATGTTTTTACTGGTGGGGTAACGAAACCAATGTCGAGAATGGGCTTCGATAGCCCGAGGAGCTCAAACAACTCCATAGACCGCGGCTGAAAAATTTCGTCAAGTATGGAACGCGTGAGGATGAGATACGACTCACCATGATTCCTGCTCCCCGTTGACCAGCACGTATTTCTGGATTTCTGTCGATTATGCGGACCGACACGCCATTTTGGATGAGTGAGAGGGCAAGCACGAGACCAGAGGGTCCAGCACCAACCTTGGTTGCGAGACACGCATGAGCGCCAGACCACAGCGAGAGAACAAGAAGAGAGACATACCACGAGTACTTCTGGGTGCTTGGTGTCCACTGGCATACTGTGGCGAAATGCGGAGAGGAAGTGGGTGGGCTGGGGTTGATCATCCGCGTTTTATATAGCAAAGGCTAAAACAGAATGTGCAAATGTATATTACCGTCCTGCGGCACGGAGACAATTCAATTTCTAGGGACCGGAAGATCATGTTTCTGATGCAAGCTCTGGACCCTGTTCGACGGTCTAGACAACCGGAGAGGATGCTTATTGGCCCCTCAATCTACCGTGTCCAGGGTAAAGAAAGGCACACCCAATCGGATCCCAAGGAAAACCCAAACGGCCCAACTGAGTCATGCAGTGATGCAGACTTAGAGACAATGGGGATGGTTGACTGTTCACTTACACAAGTCACCGTCCGTCTCCAGGGTTTCGTCAGTGTTTCCTACAAAAGGGGAAGTCAACAGTATATTCGTTTACAGCATTCTCAAAGACTACATGAACAAGTCACGTCGCCAAAGAGATCATCGGTAGATGCTGATTCCTGAATTCAAAGGATATCATCACACCACACTTGCTATGCCTACTTCAACTGTCAATCATCTCCACGTCCGTAAGATTCGGTTCCACTGATTCAACCATGCTGTGATGCTTCCCAGGCCTCGAGATAACAATGGAGCCTGGATTAGCGCTTGAGATACGAATGAATCGCAGTAGTTGAATGAAGGCAACTTCCTTCTGATCCCATCGTCGAAACAGATCCACGGTGGGTCGGTGGGTTAAATCAATTACCTCTGTATCCCCACGTAAGCTGGATGAAGAAGGAAATATAGACAATATGCACATACCGAACCCAGTGCGATACTCCTCCGATTCCCGCAGTTTTATCTCCTCCAATTTGACTTCTTTCACACTCTTTGGTCTGCCTTTTCTCCGTGAAGCCTTTTCCTCCTCCAACTCGGCATCGTGTCTTGTCAACCATACGTCCCGCAAGAGACCGTGAAGCTCTTCGAGCGTCAGAACGCCTTCTTCAGGAAGTGAGTGGTAGAAAAGCCCATAGAAGTCAGCTAGAATCACGGTCAGTAATGTCCAAGTCACAGATATGAATACGGACCAAGGAAATGGTGTTTTTTGCCTCGATTGGACGCTTGGCCACCAAGTTTGCCCTTTCGAAGTGCTTTGCGAGCTAGCTGGCCAGCTTTTCGGGATTGCGGATGGTGTATTTTTCCTTCTTCGTCTTTTCGGCTGCTGCCTTGCCTGCTTTTGAAGGAGCCATGACGACTGCAGATGGTGGTACAGAACGAATTTTCAATTATTACGTAATTGGCTCTGTGGCGTTGAGTTCTATCTTTGGATGTCGAACTCGTTTTTCAAGGGTCGAATTTTGAAGAGATGATGTTTTGTAGGGTAAAAGTTCATGGTTGGTTCTAATGTGCAACCGTCTCTGTTTTTCAAATATGATGCACAAGAGGGCACAAGGCTGCACAAGGTCGACAATCTTTTTGCGTTAATTTTCTTGCACCGGCGCAATAACTATGGGGCGGATGTTTGAGTGAAACCATACGATTTTTTATGATTTGTTGTACCTTGCATATGGATAATTAAGTAGAGATGTGCCGGACTTCAGCTTCATGTTTGACACTATGTAGTACTCAACCCTTTAGTTTACGCGTCTGTCCTTTCACCCATGGAAATACGCGTCGTGTTACGCCAATGTTACGCGTCCCGACCCCTCAAACACCGTACGCGTGGTATGTCAGTATGTATCATAGCTATCTTGCTGGACACATGACTCAAGGGAACAGCGGTGCCTATCCTTGACAAGTCGGACCTTAGCGATGGAATATGCGAAGTTACCGGTCGGCTTAAAAGTACCAAGCGACGGCAAATTTTGGACACCCAAATTCTATACCAGGCCAAGGAGATCGGCAATTTCATTTAGGCTGGCTAACATAGCCGCTGTTGAAAACTCTGGAGTTACCGCTGCGCGAAAACTTAAAGTTATGTTTCTACCGAAAAACATGGGGTCACCGTTATGGAGAAGGCAAGATCCGGAGGAGTTGAAATGAGCGGTTTCGGACAAAAGAACTTCAAAGAAACTTTTTCACTTATATAGCAGGCAGCAATGACTGAACCTTAGTTCATCACTGAAATATTTTGCCTGGAGCATGGAGGAGACGAGTGCATATGGCTGCGTTTGGGTGGGCTCAGGGCTGGTTCGGCTGCTGCACGGTTAGTTCCGCAATTTGTAGTCGAATTTCCAACTCGGCGGCGATGATCCCATTTCGCGACCCTCAAGGCGGGTGACCAAGTTTAGGAAGACGGCACCGACCACCTTCGGATTTACCCGTGCAATCGCTCGAGAGCATTGTCCGGGAGATTCCGCTTGAACTTGTTATTTTCAGCCTTGACCCACATGCTACAAATCTGAAACGTTTGCACCGAGGCTGCTTACTCTGCATTCCGAGTGCTCTGACTGAGTCTCGTCTCCTACAGTGGATCCATTCATGAATGGCTTCGGACTATTGTATGGTGCCAGGTCGTCGATTCTTGCTTCGTCGCTTTCTAGGTCCTCTGCGCTTTCTGTGATCGGTATCATGAATGGCACGGTCACACGCTAGCTCATCTGAATTGCTAAGGACTAGATTACAGAATTCAGCTCGAACTGGTTAATAGGACTGAGCATCAGGGCCTGAGATGTCGTGGGCCTAATATTCCAGTATATATGCCCTTCCTGGAAACTGCCAATTCTCACTGGCCGAAAAGTGAGGACGGCAATCGGAATAAAGATGGGATTTTGATCCCGACTTTTGTCTACAGAAAGGTACGTCGGGATTCCTCCAATCGTACCGCCGACGTATTGCTCTGTGCTTAAGATGCCCGAACGTAATACATTCTGTTACCCGCGTATTCTCGCCAGTTTTCGCGAAACATCTGCTCACCAGGAGCCTATAGAACTTATTCGACAAAATTGTATACCTTTCGTGGTGGCATAAAAAAATAAGCGAGTCGTATTATCGGCCAAACCTTTTTCCAGCAATGATTGGATTCGGTGCCTTCAGAAGTCGTTGGTACGCATTTCATATAATTTTCTTTTGCATCTTTCCTGATTGCCTCGGTGCCAAAGATTCCTGATTCGCAGAAGTCGAAGTACGGATCGACAAGAAAGGAAATGAAGAGAAGCCAATAAGGATCCCAAATCGGGAACAGGCTGGGACCGCTTTGGCCGTCCACCTTTGCTCGTCACTGTCGCTACCCTCTCTATCCTAGACATGTTTTCTCTATTTCTTCTCGCTCTTTTCATGACCATTTCTATCGTGATTGCTGAGCCGACATTCTACTTGACACAAGTTGTCCGAGGCAACGATTTCTTCGATGCATTCAAATGGGAGACCTTCGATGACCCAACCCACGGACGCGTTAATTATGTCGACCAAGACACAGCAAAGGCTAACAATCTTTCCTACGGTAACGCCTTTTCTTCCATGCGTTGGGCGGGCATTTAAACACGACCACAGCATCACCCGACAACTCAACGTTTGTCATGCGCGCCGACTCATCTACAGTTGTTCCATCATATGCAAGAGGCAGAGATAGTGTCCGGATATCTTCCTGGGCCTCACATGCCCAGTCGCTTATGATTTTGGACCTCCAGCACATGCCAGTAGGATGCGGTACTTGGCCCGCCTTTTGGACTTTGAGCAAGGATGGACCATGGCCTCAAGGAGGAGAAATCGATATCATTGAAGGTGTGCACCAGTCAGGACTCGCCAGAACTTTGTTGGTGATTAGTGTCTCATCTAGGCGTTAATATGAACTGTGACAACCTCGCCTCTCTCCACACAACTGAAGACTGTACCATGCCGGACACGCGTGCTCAACGAGGGTACGTCCTCTTTGTTTCATTGTTTCTATTGCTTAGTAAGGGCGTTTGGAAAGGTATACCGTCTCCAGCGACTGTAACGCAGCCGTCAATAGCAATCAAGGCTGTGGGACTTCATTCACCCAACCTTTTTCATACGGAACCGGGTTCAACCAGATTGGTGGAGGGTATTTTGCTATGTCCAAAGACGACATTAACGGTGTCCGTGTGTGGTTTTGGCCTAGAAACAGCAGCTCTATACCGGCAGAAGTAATCCAACCATCGAATTTTGTTCAAATCCGGACGGATAATTGGGGAAGTCCAGACGCGTCATTTCCTGTCGATAGATGCGGATACGACGCTCACTTTCTTGGTGAACATATTACTGTCTTTGATATCACATTTTGCGTAAGCAATCAGTTTCTTCTGGAGACTTCTGACGCGATCCTGCGTGATAGGGCGACTGGGCAGGCTCCGCTTTCGCTACCTCAGGTTGCGGTCCAAGTACCTGTGAACAGTGTAAGCCACCAATGTCTCCTTTCCTTCTGCGTTAAACTAGTCATCAATTTGCAGACGTGGAGAGCACACCTGCTGCCTTTTCCGAGGCTTACTGGGAGATAAACACTTTATATATATATGACCGCTGCAATGACTGAAGCACGTCATACTTCTCGACTTCAGTTCTAGTACCATCTTATTTTGTCATTCGTTTTCAATCGAACTTGGGACTAAACGGACAAACGAACTTGTGGATATTACTTGCTCAAGGCAAATACTGACGCGCATATACTGGGGCACTATATACTGTATTATTGCCAGCTTGAATCGTTTGTGGATCCCTTACTTGTTCCTAGATTCTCTTGCTATGGGCGGCATTACTCTTTAATACTGCGCTGATATCTGGGATCCTACAGCTCTTGGGAGTATCTGACACAGATCTCATTTTGCTTGGCTTGAAAATTCAACAATGGCTACTGCATAACATTCAGGGTACTCCGTCTTATCAATCATAGCCGTGATAGCGTCGCTATTTATAGTATTCTTCGAGAACACTCGGGCAGGGCGGAGTATGGCCCACTTACTTCGATTGACGCGGCTTGCGTACTGACATACGAATTCTCTCTCAAGCCTGTGCCTGGAGGAATGAGCCTTTACTCTATTTGCCGCTCCGTCACAGGAACTGCGATGAAGACTTGTGAAATCACTCTGTCGATGGGATTAGTATCATACTGCCCTTATAATCGGGGATGGGTTATGTTTGTCGCGCTACGTTTTTTCTCGATGTTATTACTGGGGCGAGTTTTCCATCGGAACTTGAGTATCTTGAACGAACACTCTTTCATCGATTCAGGTACATATCTGCATCGCGTTCGTACCTTTCCAATTTCCCAACGCCTCTGTACCTGGTTCGCCGTTTTGATTCGGAAAGTGGTACGTTCAGTTTTTATGGTTCACGTTTCACCTGATTTTTCTTCCTTCTGGCCCGGGTATTAGTGCAGGAATAACGGAGAGAAATCCCGGATGGACTAGCAGATCATTCTGTGATTAGCATTGTTTCCGTCCACATGTAATTCCTCGTTGCTGTGGTATGCATAAGCATTAACTTTCGAAATCTCTCACCTGAGCGGGCCGGCACCGACGCCTAAATTAGAGGAGGGTATCGTCACAGCTGATAAGTCAGCGTACAGATACCGCTCCTGGATACGAGGTCTACGGTGACAATCTATGCAAAAGAGGACTAGCGTCTATGGGCGGCGCGTAATTTTTGTCTACGGCCCGGATTGTCATAGACTCATGACTCATAGACTCTCTTACTGAGCGCCCGGTTAAAATTATTAACAAACCTTTGCTTCTTCTCTTGTCAAATCCGCCGATTCTCTTCTAGACCTTCTGGTCTTCTCAAAGCCTCTGATTAAAGTCTGAGGTGGGGCATTGATCGGTCTATCCGCCTCGAACTAAGATACACTTGAAAATATAGGGAGTCTAATTTTCCATGGGTAACGGAAGATTTCGATGGTACTTCTGACGAGTGGGAAATGAGCACTCAGCAGGATGTGGATATAGGCTCAGATATTGGTGAATTAAGAGTACGCAAGCGTTCCGTAGGTCCCTTCTTCACCGTCTCTGCATTACACCAGAGACTGGATGACGCGATCAAACTTCGCTTGGCATCTGCTTGGGTGTACATGTATGGGGTAACTCAGGAAAGTCTTTCAAGACAAAAGAATATCGTCATGGTCATCAAGTAATACAAGGCCTACCACTAACCTTCCGATATGTATATTGATACCCAAAATAATTTCTCCTTCACGATCGCTACCTGACGACGGTTTGTCATCGATTTATCGTCTGAACCAATTAGACAAATCTGCTTCTGATGTTAGCGTAGCAAACGTTGTCCAACTCGTATTATGACGCTGGTTTTTTCGGACTTTTGCTTTGAAACCTGTAATTTTAGTCTCATCGGAGTTTGCAGTTGGGGGAGATGGTGCTCCAGGCCCCACTATCACGATCTTATCTATGACAACCTGCTCGTTTATTTATCCACTTCTGCAATTCGACTTGTAACGCCACCTTAACGCTAGACTCATGTTCCAATCCATTTGCTTTCCCGAAGGAATGTGCTGCGCTGAGTAAGTGGTGGCGTTCGTGCTCGGAGCTGCCGGGTTACCTACGTTTCAAGAATGCCTGCTTCTCTGGTATGAGTGGACGGGGTCAGTTATTGAGTCGAGGTCCAGACGTTGGAGCAGAGAGAAATGCCGGCATCCAGGCGTTGCACAGAGGAGCCTAGTTGCCTTCAAGTTTCTCTATAAGAAAGTAAATTGGGATGCTGATACCGGTGCTTATCATGATACCGTATTATTCCGTTTTGGTGGGAGTAATCGTTTTGTGTTGGGGTTCAACGTTAACGTTGCAACCGTCAGCGCTCTGTACTCAATTTCTACCTTGCCTAGTGCTATCATATAGAAACAGGGAGGTGAGATGCCGAGCGTTGCCGCCGGATTGGAGATCTGACCCATGTCATGGCGATGAATAAGCAGTCCAAGAGCCAGGCGCGACTCAGCATAGCTCCTTGTCTGCGCTTCATTCTGTTCTCAATCTATTGTTCACAAATTTCGTTCAAAGCGCGGAAATGTCGGCAGGCTGGGAGCAGTTAATTAATTACAGGTATTAATTCTGATGTGGCGGTGCCTCTTGTTTTCAGCCAAGCTGCCAGTGCGGGGTTTATAACCCACTATCATCTTGGTTGTCGTAAATTCAAAGAAGTCGAACCTAGTCAAAGTTCGAACACTCCGAAATTAACACCCGGGCGGCGTTGATTGCCATTTGCGGATTTCGGAACTTATCTACGGTTCTTTTGCTCTCGCCATGTCCTCACGCGAAGCAGAGCGTATCAGCTCCGCGCAGCAGACCCTGGACAGTAAGAATATCGCCTTTATAACGAATGTTGTGTATGACGCAGTTTTTGTTACAGTTCTTCACGAAATCTCACAGCTTTTGAATACGAAACTTGACCGAGAGACGCTGACGACATGCGTGAGGATGATAGAAAGCGGTGTCAATCCTGAAGCACTGGCGGTACGAGAATACGTCTTTCTTGCGCGATACAACGGACCATCTGACGACAAGTATTACAGGCTGTGATCCAGGAGCTTCGACGAGAGAGTTCTGCATTGGACCCTAGTTCTATTTCTCGGTAATAAGCCCCGCGGCACTTGAACGGAACCATGAGAGAATGGGGGATGCTGTGACGGCCCTGCTCTTCACTGTTTCAGCAGCATTTCTTAGCTTGAACTATAGACGCTGAGATTGGTATCACGGCGATGTATTGGTTGCCTGATGAGATGGCAACAGTTCGCGGATGATGCTGTATTTTAATATTTTACTATCGATTTTACACTGGAGAAAAACTGCGAATCTGGGGGTAAAATGCACCATAGGAAGGATGTAGGATATCCTGCATGAAAAAAGAACTCGGAAATAAGAGAATGAAGTAACCTAATCGAGCGAAGGTGGCTCCTGCCGTTGTGGCGGCCGAACTCTCTCGGTAATTCCAAACTTGTACCTGCGCACTAATCTGTCCCTTTGCTCATCGTCAGCCACGACGACAACGACACCCTTGTCGTTCCTCGACTCCTTCTACCGCTCTGGCCTTGGTTGTTTCGGTCGTACTGCTACATTTTTAAGCGCTTTCCCAGCGTCTTCACTACCTACCACATGCAGCCTTCGACGTACGACATCCAGCGCGAGGTCGAAGCCCTTCGTGACATCAAGAGGCGCTCGACGACACCTGGCGCACTTGCTATCGACCCAGATTTGCCCAATCAGTCATCGCCAACGTCGCCAACGAGTACATATTGGTCAGGAGCACAGACGTCAGACGGTGATTCGTCAAGCAGCTCACACGACGATGGCTCCAGTTCCGACCATGGCAGCAGCATGGGTGGCATAGATGGCCCCAACAACCCTGCAGACGATCCCTTCCACCTTTTCTGGGTCCCCGCTAGCGTCCATCCTGAAATTGCCCCTGCTGAATTTCGTGCCTTTCTCAAGGAACACGCCAGATCGCCGCCGCCTGGAGATGGGAGTACCACCCCCAGCCGATCCAGCTCGATATCGTCACTTTCGTCTGGAGGCCTGGGAAGGAAGAAGTCGATGCTGAGTCGGCAGTACAGACCATCGGAGAATGATGGCGTCGAGGAAGAAGAAAAGATTGTGCCGCTAAGACGAAATCGGTCTGGCCTTCTCGCTAATCGAGGGCCTCAGCTCACGATAAGTGACCTACAAAGGCTGGAGGAGCTGGCAGAAGAAGCCTCAGACAGCGACGACCCGTCGAAGCTGAGAAGTGTCCTGCGACGAAGTCTTAGTTTGAACATGTCCCCTACATGTGAGTACTACTGATGCCTTCATCTATTTCATTGCATTTAACATAAATACTCTAGCTATTGACACCATAGATGCAATCCCGGAGATGGGCGACGAAGCGGATGCTCCCATAATCGTTCCGCCTCCCGGCCAAATCCTTCGCCGTGCCGCGCGCACCAGAATTCGGAAAGGCTCTGCTGGAGAAGGTGGCAGTCGTTTTGGTTCTTCAACCAGACGGGGCCCATCTGTTCGCTCTGGCACAGCGCCAATCACTCTCGAAAAACGCACTTCCAGTGATCGTTCTTCCAATGATCATGGAGAATCCGACGTCTTAACAGCAGCTCAGCGCCGACGGACGTTTGAAAAAGAAGCTCAAGCGAGACCAGAATCTTATAGCGAAGAGGCCTTCATCTTCGATGCCTACGTGCGGGAGGAGGACGAAGAAAGCAACACGCCTGTCGTTATCACACCTTCTCCGCCTGACGAGCTTGCCTACGACTTACCTTCCATCCAAACATCGACATCCCCCGACGATCAAGCATCTCTTCTCCAAGCGCTGGAACCCGTACTGCATCATCCACAACCTCAGCGACTGCTTGCTCCTGAACCTTCTGCAGATCAACGACCACCATCGCGGACACCATCCCCTCAAGAATCCTTAGCCCCAAGCGTATCTCCTTCTCATTCACCTGATCCACCTACTGGTTCTTCTCCACCGGCATTTCTTCATGTACCTCCAAGTCCACCGGCGCATCATCGTAAAGAGAAAGATAAGAAAGGGTTGTTCGGCAAGTGGGGTAGCGACAAGGGAGGGAAAAAACTTGCAAAAGAAAAAGAGCGAGACAGTGGGGACAAAGAGAAGGAGTCTGGTTTTTTTGGATCTTTGTTTGGCGGGAAGAAGAGCAAAGAGTCCGATGGTCCCCCGTCGATTGGTATTTCAGGTGGTGCGGCTGGCCGCGAAGCTGCTGCCGCGTTACTAGGCGCCTCAAAGTCGTCCAAGTCCTATGTTCCTCCTCCATCACCAAACGGTTCACAAGGAGGTCCAGGTGTCAATAACTGGTCACGGTATCCGATACACGTCGAACGCGCGATTTATAGGCTCAGCCACATAAAACTTGCGAATCCTCGCAGACCACTGTACGAGCAAGTTCTGATCAGTAATCTGATGTTTTGGTATCTTGGTGTCATCAAGGCGCAGAATCCGGCGACGCCTTCGAATGGTCAGGTGAACGCTGCAGGCACGGGCGCTGGGAACCAGGATAAAGAACAGAAGGAGCTCGAACAGCGGGAACGGGAACAGAAGGAACAGGCGGAAAGAGAACGTGCGGAGCAGGAGCGGCTGGAAAGAGAGCAGATGGAGAGTAAGAAGAGAGAGGCTTCACCACGACGCGGAGCTCTAACGAAAGCACCCCCGGGCGGAGGTGGGCGACGAGCTGAAATACCTGTCAAAGGCCCTCAATACGAGATGCAACATCGAGTGATGGAGCAGGAGTATAGTTACGGTGGGTATAACGATCCCCCTAACCGGACATCCTCAGCGCCTCCAAACGTGGGGATGGGACAACCGTATCGGATGCAGCAGCAACCGCAAATGTACTCTAATATGGGACAGGGCACGGTCGATCCAAATGCACCGGAGTATTATTATCCAAACGACATGATGCAAAATCAGCAGCAGCAACGTCTCCCTCCCGGTGCCATGGCGCCTCTTGACCAGTCAGGGTGGCAACAGCCTCAGGGTCGAGCAAACTCAACGTCACCTCCCTCTGCTTCTGGTCCACGGCGATCACGTTCGCCGCCACCGCATGTAAGTCGGTTTTGCTCTATTGAGTAAAAACAACTAACACATTTCTGACAGGAAATGATGTCGGGAGGCCGTACGCCGGGACGTTCGTTGTCGGCAACCGTGCTACCCTCACAGACACCTCCACATGTGAATGGAAAGGTTCGTAAAGGACACAGCGCATATGCTGGGATGCCTTCCAGCGCGCGAAGACCGCGAACAGCGGAGGGTCAAGATCTCCACGCCAACGGATTCACAGAAGACGAAGACGTCCCACTTGCCTTATGGCAGCAACAGCAACAGCAACATAGACGTCGATGATGTGTAAGGAACTGTATACCCAAAGTCAATTGTACAATGCCCTAATATCCATTATTCCTTTCGATGCTATTCACCTCGCTTGCTCCCATTTTGCCCTTTCTGTCCACCATGTCTCATCTAGATTTCGCAATTTGGATCTCTCTGTCTCTCTCTCTCGCCTGCGTTCATTATTACTCTTTACGCACCCACATTCGCCAACGCACTCATCATGATTCCCTTCCGCTTTCTATCTGCAGTCCTGGTGCTGGCCGACCATTTAGCATTTGCATATCGCTGTGAATTCCGCTCCCCATGCTCTTCTTCCCTGACACTCCACGTATCCTTTTACCTCTACTCTGTCGTAGGCATCCTTGTAAAGTTATCATCACGGACTGCACTACTGTATATGAAGGCCGCGGGAATGGGCATCACCACTCGGACTATTTTACCCCACATACAATACTGCTAGCAATTCTTTTTCTTTTTCGTTCTTCCTCAACTTTGCATATCTCATCTCACCTTGTATTTCAAGTACGTATAGCTTGAAGGTTATCTCGTTGAACAGTTCTTAGTAGTAATGATTAGTACTGTCAAGTTCGCATTAGTGGATTTATTACGGTGCCGGCGAGCCTTCTACTGGTTGACTTACGAGATTCATCTAACAGCCATATCCAGTCATCGGTAACGCAAGTATGGTTTGATGTCTCTTATCAATTACTAACATACTGTATTGTCCGTACTGAACGTTTTGTGAAACCTCGATACTAAGAGGTTCTTTTTGGTTGCTGTTTAGCAGTATAGGTAACCTCAAATAATAGCTACGGCCATCGGCTTGCGTTGATGTCGGACGATACATTGATTTGAGAGATGTCGATGGGTCCTAACGTTGAAAATGAAGGAATTCGGTAGTAATTCAATAGCTAGTACACTGGCAACCGGTGCTACTTGGTCCTCAACACCGCTGTCAGTACATGACAACTACACCTGGACGCTTGAAGCGTGGAAGGCATGATACAGCAGAGGATCACCGACACGGGCGGCTCTCGTAGACATCTCGGTGACTGTTAACTCCTAACCAAACCGAGATCGTCGCAAAGGTCAATAATTATAAAGGGTAGCTGTTACTTGCTCTGGATGGACCCAAGAACGATAGTGCAGACAACGGGTGAGAACTATCGCCGAGATAAGATTCTAAAGAGTAATCTTCTATTATTACTTAGAACGAACCTTTTATTTATTCTCTATCTCTTTTCCCTAGACAATGATTTTCGCAACGAAGAATAGACACCTAAAACACACGAAGCTACATATAATTTTACCCGAGAGTTTTACATACCATAGAGTTGACAAGTAGATTAGTATTACAACGAGTAGCGGTACAGTCATACATAGCAGTAGAGTACTGTACCCCCGCGTCTTCGCCCACTACGAGGCGTGTTGCGGGTCACCAATCCAGACCTTCATCATCAACTGAGAACGAACCTCAGCGAAGCTTACGATCATTCGGCTCGAGCAAACCCAATGTTTCCGGCCCGATTTATACGTTTAGTCAGCTACAAACTCCTTCCGTGACTTCCGTCTGTCCGTCTGATTTTAATGTTATCATCGAACTCATCACCTGGCATGGCGGACCGTAACCAAACTCCAGTAGTTATAAAATGACACCGTCTTCCACTTGTCAACCATCAATCCCCCCCCCCTTAATAGGATGAACGGAACGAGTTATACCCCCGTTGCAAAGATACCTGAGGTGTGTGCTATACTTTTCCTTTATCTGATTCGATAGGATTGAAAGACTTTTCATAGATATATAATAAGCTCAGAGCAACCTTTCGGACGCGCAGAACGATATCCATTCCATGGCGACAACAACAGCTGTTGCAAGTCGCTCGCATGGTACAAGACAACAAGGATCTTTTTGCCCAGGCTCTCTATAATGTACGCTGTATCAACCTATTTCCAGTCAACGAATTCTCAATCGCACGTTAGGATGTTGGTAAACCGGCCATGGAAGCTTACTCATACGAGATAAGCCCCATCCTTGAGCGTGTAATGATTACGGCTACCAACCTTCCCGAGTGGGCGAAGCCAGAGCACAAGACCGACTTATTTGACCATAATCAAAAGGCTTGGAGTCCCAAAGTATACTTTTCACCAAAGGGTGTTGTACTCGTGATTGTGTCCGTATGACCGGTTTACTTCACTAATCTATATTCTGATACGCAGTTCTCACAGGCCGTGGAACTTCCCCCTGATATTGTCAATGCAACCCCTCATCGCCGCCATATCTGCAGGGTGTTGTTGTGCGATTAAGGTTTCCGAAATAGCTCCCTATACCGGTCATCTTCTGGCGGATCTTGTTCCCAAGTACCTCGATACGGAGGCATACCAAGTCATCCTGGGCGCCGTTCCTGAGACCACAAAGATACTCGAGCTAAAATGTGCGTTATCTGCACGCCATTTCGTTCTATGAGTTAATCTTAATCTATCTTTGGCAGGGGACCATAGTATGTCACTATCACAAAGCGATTGATAAGTCGTAACCCGTGTCTACAGTCTTCTACACAGGCCACGGACACGTCGGGCGAATCGTTTCAGCCGCTGCAGCGAAACATTTGACTCCTCTCACCCTGGAGTTAGGTGGTAAGAGTCCCGTCATCTTAGATCCGTCGTACGACCTCGACGTTGCTGCGAAGAGGATTATGTATGGGAAAGTGACCAATTGTGGCCAAGTTAGTTTACTTCAGTCGTCTTCTGTCTTACCTCTTAAACATCGCCCTCTAGATTTGTGTCGCTCCAGATTATCTCATAGTTCCTACCAATGGAAATCACGATATTTTGACCAAAGTGGTGGAAGCACTCAGGCGAGCTCATGCCTCATTTTTCTCAGATGCTTCGCCTTTGGAATCCACTTCGTACGCCCGGATCGTGTCGAAGAACCATTTTGAACGACTTAACTCCCTCCTGACGCGGACGAATGGCACAATAGTACTTGGGGGCAAAGTAGACGTGGACAGATTGAAAATTGAGCCCACCATTGCTACTGGCATTCAACCCGATGACGCTCTTATGGAGGGCGAACTGTTCGGCCCTATCTTGCCCGTCATTGAGGTTGGCACATTTGAGGACGCGTGCGAGTTGGTGTCTCAAGGGTGAGCATATTCTTTGGATAAGGGAAATTTATGTTAACATTAGGCGCCACCGTGATAGGGACCATCCATTGGTTTTGTATGCGTTCACACAAAACGAGGATACTAAGATCCTAAGTGCGTAGCTATGACACTGTTACCAAGCGCCTTGTACTTATATCTTGTGTTCAGTTCGGGATGGCACAACGAGTGGAAACCTAGTATATAATGACACATTCATACAATTAGCTGGTATGTAAAACGCGTGATTCTAAAACAACGGCTCACCTTTCCTGTAGTGGCCGAACTACCATTTGGAGGAGTAGGCGAATCTGGTCGTGCGTATATTCATTGTATTTTTTTTTTGGCGCGCAGCAGTCTTACACTTATGCTTGTATCAATAGACGGTCGTCAAGCGGGAAGATACGGTTTTGAATCGTTCAGTTATCTGCGTTCATCAATAGACATGCCGTTAGAGTATGTGGTACTTGTTTTGTCTTTTACTCGTGTTAACATAAAAGTTTTACGTAGGTTGGAGGCGTTATTAACAGCCCGATACCCACCTTACACACCAGAACACCTGGAGTTGTTGAATCCTAATATTAACATCAAGATCCCCCAATGTTCTCCTACATTGGGTATCTTGGAGGGTTAAGACAGATTGAGGGGAGGAACGAGCGTTGTGTACTATGTATTACATATCGGTTTACTGTTCAAACCTTTTTGTAAGGTGGTAATTACAGCTCCGTCGGTCGGAAAGGCGAAATTTCGTGGTGCACATTACCGTCGTGCGTTCAAACATTGAAACTACTACTGTAACTGTACAGAGTGTACATGGCTCGAGAGATTAGGCCTCTATTTGATGGCCTTTGGAATCAAACAGAGACAAAGATCGACATCGGCACCGACCAGGTCATTATTGAGCGCTTTCCCTCAACTCTTCACTTCTCTCCACGATGTCAGCGTATGTGCAAATATTATTTCCAAATGAACTTCTTGAAACCATGATTTCAGAATAAAAACGTCTTGGGCCGATGAAATTGACGAATTAGGTGCGGATCGCTTAACTGAACCTTCTCAATAGTCGCTAACATTCCCATAGAGGCGCCAGTACAGAAAATATCCGACTCCGTCGATGAGAACGGCATCCGAACAACTGTAGAATATGTTTTGAACGATGAGGGAAAGAAGGTGAAGGTACGTAGCGATCTATTCTGCCTTCCCATCCTTTCCTGAATTTTTCACCAGATTACCCGACGAATCAAACGGACCCTCCAAAAAGCTTCTGTGGATCCTAAAATCGCACAGCGTCAAAAATGGGCGAAATTCGGCCAAGAACGGGGAAACAAGCCTGGTCCTGATCGTGCAACGACGACAGTTGGAGAAAATGTGGGATTGAAGCTGAGCGTCGGGAATAAGGTTCGCGCTTCTGCTTGTGCCACCTTGTGGATTGCTATACTTTTTGATTTACAGTCGTCTGATGCTGAGCCCACGCAAGAAGAGAGCATGAAGAGCAAGCTCGCAAAATCCGGTGCTGGCAAGGTCAACTGTAGGATTTGTAAGGGTGACCATTTCACCGCGAAATGTCCCTACAAAGATACGTTGGGTGCTCTTGATAACCCTGGTGAGATGCCTTCATGTTGTGCCCAATTCAATAACTCAATGCGAGGAACAGACACCGGTGCAGGACCCGATGATGGTCTAACCAGCGATGCCACGCCTGCTGCGCCTGCCACAACGGGAGGCAAGTACGTACCACCTTCAATGCGCGCTGGGGCTAGCAGGCCAGGTGAATCTATGCGCGGACTTTCTTCCGGTGGCAACAGGGACGACTACCCTACGTTGCGTGTCACAAATGTCAGCGAAGATACGCAAGAGAACGATCTCCGGGAGCTCTTCCAGGTGTTTGGCAGAATAATGCGTGTGTATGTTGGCAGAGACCGCGAAACTGGTGCTGGCAAGGGCTTTGCCTTTGTTAGCTTCGATGAAAGGGCCCATGCGCAGAGGGCGATGGAAAAGATGAATGGGTTCGGTTATGATAACCTCATTCTGAGTGTACAGTGGAGTCGTAAGTTTTCTTCGGTTTCTATGGGAAGAGTATATGTCTGATCGTCTTCTCTGTACAGAACCACGTCCCGAACAGAGATAGAGAGGCGGTAGTGTCGTTGATACCGGTCGATCTTCTTCTAGTGTGGTCTTACATATGCTCTCGCTAATACATGTTTTGGGTGGACCTCGGGACGCCATCACGGCATTCAGAGAACAACATATGACAGTGATGAAGCTCAAGTGGGGACATAATTTATTGCAGATTCGATTAGGGATGCACAGAAACAGGCGTCTATCTTCAAATTCTGCCTCTACTTTGGTTGCTGTCGAGCTCTCGAACGTTGAGCCAGTTTGATGGTGTTCATTCTATCTAAAACTTGACCCTCATCAGTAGGTGTGATGTTTTATGTGTCGTCTCCCTGAACAACGATGTACCGATGATACAGCTAGCTTCTTGCCGCACGACAGTGGTCTACCAACTTGCTTTAAGCAAAACCGTGTCATATAATATTATCTACCTACCATCATCGCTCGACGGCTGTTGTTACTTGACGTATATAGATGTTCATATGGTTGTCTCGCAAATGGATATACAAACTCGTTTTTCCTGCTCAAAGTGGGTATAATTTCCCGTTTTGAGATTGGAGCCTGGTAGTGCCGGTCCGCGGTCGCAGTGTAGAAGCGTTGAAACAAACTATTTGAATTGACATCTTTCGTCGCCCTACTATTCAAAATAAAAGGAGGCGGGAAGTCCTAGCCTTCTGGACAAGCTGCGTGGACGCGTCTTCCTCAACATCTCGCCAATGAGGGCATTAGGGTGGTCTAATACGTCGGAAATAGAAGAAGCGCCTCGGCCCCAGAGGCTAGCAGTCCATAGCAAGACTGCTCCCAATAGACTCTGCTGATAGAATAGAATCGTGCGGATAGCTGGTCGATATTGAGATCTTCACCGAGACAAATGTTGACCATCAGCTGCCTTTTGTAAGACGATCTAGCTCCTGTGACCAAGAAGGCCCAGAGCGCGACTCCATATAGTTCTAGGCTCGCTAAATTACTTAAGAAATTCCCGTCCGTGGAAAGTTCAGCAACAAATAAATTGATGAATTCAGTACGGGCTACGCACTGGATCGTCATGTCCTCTGATCAGTTAATACAAGGCAACCTTTAGTCTCGTCCCCATCCGTTCTGGCGTGAGCACGTGTAGTTGCTACGGGCAAGATCTCACGAAACGGGTGGGTAACGAAACTAGGCAACCTTCATGGATGAAAGCCGGAGCTTTTCGTCGATTTTCTTGCTCCCGCTCCGCCCCGAAGACTAAGAGTCTGCTGCAGAACTGATCAAGGATCGTTGGTTGTGTGATGCATGAAGACAGCCGATACAGAACAAAGCACGCAGTAGCATAGTACCAGTAAAGAAGGTAGATCGTTAAAGAGCCAAATCCACGAGTATAACAGTTTACGCCACTTCAAATCCCAGCCGATACCAATCATCCCTACAGTCTGCAAATGCAGAACAGAAAAGCTTCACCCTATCCGTTGTAAGGCGTTGGAACTCCTCCTGGAAGAAACTCAGCGCCACACGAGCCCACGATCTCTCAGTTCCCGACACGCTCCGGAGAACGATCTTGAGGGTACGTCGAACGTCCCTTACATCGACGGTCTGCTTTTTTTGCTTGTGCGGCTCGGGCGCTGTCATGTGATCGTGCCATCCCTGGAGCTTGTGCAGGAGAAGCACCTCGAGGGGAACGAGGGTTAAGGCTTCCTTCACGATAATTGATCTCGTTGATAAGAACGGCAGCATCATCGTGCCAGCCATGACAATGTCGACTTTGGTACGCTTGGTCACAACTTTCTCCCCGATATCTAGACGCTGCCGATACCATAAGACTTGGTAAGTCGCCCCGGGCGTCTTAGCCCTTCTGAGGTAAAAGTGGAGAGGGTCCTGGTCGACTAGATAGCGCTTGGCGACTTCCGCCTCTACCGAGGACGAGACGAGGATATCAACGTCCTGAAGTAATGCATCAGCTTGGCCTAAGTCGGTAAGAGTGGGTATACGTACATTGGGTAGACGTCGATTCCCGTAGAGATAACAAGCAGCGCTGCCGAAAATGGCGCACGAATAGCCCGAGTCTCGGAGGAGACGCGTAGCATCGGCGGCTGCTTGAAATACGAGTCCACCTTTTTCGCTGATCGCTGGGATTTGTGCGGACGGTGTCGAATCACATGCTGTTTGGACATCTACCTCTGGTAGAGAAGCTGGCAGGGTGGGCATGATGGCGGACTGAAAGCCAATGATATCGAAATACGTTCTGAGTTCAGGATGAGCAGCCACGCAGGTGAAAGCCAGCTGATCGAGCTCTGCAACGTCTTCGAATGCCGCACGAACGTCAACATTACGATGATGGAGTAGCTTTAGAGCTTCCACAACATTATTGTACGTCGTTTTCTTCATCGGAAATCCTCGAGAGATGACATATGTGAGCATGGTGGAGAATAGGTAACTTTGGTTGACGATAGAGAATTCATTGAAGTATGTCCCAATGGATTCATCAGGGCGCAAGCCCATTGACGAAGGAACTTCTTCCAAGGTGACCTTACAGAATCTTGATTTTCCATCGCTGCATACCACGTAATGCTGAAAAGCGCCTTGTCTTGCTTTCAGAACGCCTTGCCTGCACAGAATGCGCTGAAGCGAGCCAAGGGAATTGTCGTTACGCAAAATAACCAAAAAGTCGATGCGATCATTCTGTATTTTGAAATTTGAGTGCGAAGGAGCAATTTAAGGTAGTTAGCGGACATACCTTTGGAACAATAGGCGAACCCATGATGTACCAAGGAACATATCCTGGTCCGGCAAGGAAGCAGTCATGTCCTTGCTGACGAATGCACGATGATACGGTACGTGTAGCAGCAAGAACGGTTTCCGAGTGAAACAGTTGTTTTCGTTCCTGGACAGATGAAGAAGAAATCTCCACGACACTGGTCGAATCGGACTCTGCAGCTGATACGATGGGAGGTGGAGCAGGCGACATGGTGGCGACAGGAAGTGGTACAGGATGAAGACGGGCCAATAAATCTGCAGTATCAGGTAATGCAGACATTATCTTAGCTAAATAATCGAGGAACAGTGGTCGCTCTGCAGGAGTGAGGCTCCATACAGAAGGTGGTAGGTTAGGAAGACGCAGATATGCCTCACTAATCACGATGACTTTGTCCATGGCCTTCTTCAATCTCTTCTCCGACCTTTGGAAATGGGCCTCCATGTGTCGGTACAGAATCAATTGAATAGGAAGAAGGGGAAGGTCCTTGACGATGAACAAGTCTCTCAAGTGACTACAAACAAAGTTGACCCGACATTCGTGCTTCTTCGTCGGCGACCCATCGTTGAGCACATCGTGAGTATAAGCCATCGCAGCTTTACTATTGAAGGCCTGCTTGGTCAGAGAGAACCGGGGATCCGTGCTCGCTAAGCGCCCGGTTGCATACGCGAGGGTCGCAGTATCACCCATGACATGGACGTCCAGTCGCCACTAGCATTGCATAAATTAGTTTGTATGATGGAGAGTAATAAAGTAAACCCCACAGAGCCGCCGGTCGCTGAACCACAGAGAAGATGCCATGCCAGATCACCATAGATAGCCCAATGTACGTCTAGGGCTTGCAAGGACTCAAGTATTGCGACGGCGGCACTGCGGACGACGCTAGTCCTGAAGGCTTTATTGCCAGTCATAGTTTCTGGGAGACGAATGCGAGAATGAGAGGATGAAGGTTGGACAGGAGGAAAACACGCCACATGAGCATGGCTTTGTTTCTTTCCCTGGGGCCGTGTGAATGGAAGTGTAGTATATTTATGAGCACCTATCAATGGATTCGCATAGTACCCGGATATACCGGTTGTGAAAGGATAACTTGTCGCGACAAATAAAGGGCGTCAGAGCAGAAACGACCACCCTATCGATGAAATAGTGACTTAAACTTTTCGTACAAGTATTACTTGTATCAAGGCGTGGTGGAAGAGTTATCCTCAGTAAGGATTAAACCAGGGTCTGGTCAAAGTTCGACAGATCATCAGAGTTTGGCCGCTAGAAGGGTCCTGAGAGGCCTCATTAGCCGCAGAATTCGAAGGACTTAGAAAAATTGAAAGGTGTGCTTGCTTTTCGGTATTCGAATGCTATCTATCTATCTCCAGTATCGTTCCGGTTGTGTATTGCACGCTGAAAATGTGGACCTGAAGGCGAGGAAGCCAGTGTACACGAGAGGAATAGGCAGAGGATGTTGTTGGTTCCAGAGAGAGTTGCGGAAGGCCCGTATGGCAGCGTGACTGCGAGGACATCATCTTGGACATCGACCACCACAGCATCAGACGCATTCGTCGCTGTGCTCGACTACCGCGTCTCTTCCCCTCAGAATTTGGTGTACTCTCTGCTCTTGCCAGATTCTTTTCTTTTCTCTTCTCGTCTTATGGCCGTGTTCTCGACTTGGATGTCAGTAGCACCAGTGGCACTATACAGGAGGACATTGTATCTGCCCTGATCATTCGCGAAAAATTATCGTCTTATTCAAGGACTGTCGCAGCGGTGTCAGTGCTGGTATACTCGTATATGGCACATGATGAACGCTGTTGGTAATAATTACGCGATTCGACGAGAAAGGTGAGCCCAACAATTCATTGGTATTTCTCGCGTTTCCTTTGCTCATGCAGTTCGTAGAAAATTTGAGGTTCTCATTTTGCCTTCATTCGCGTGGTATTCGGATGTTTGTACGAGAGCAAGTTGACCTGTAAATGGGTCTGCTTCGACATTTCGCAAGGTGAAGGTCGGAGGGCGAACAGACAATGGTGCGTGTACTGACTTCAGCTCGGTTTCTGCGGTAATAAATCTCAATATTTAGCTCTGCTCTACCCTATGGACCCTCTTGTGGGTAACAGAAGTCACTCGGAGGTGCTTCAATGATGGTCATTATTTCTACTGGGCCTAGAGGCATTGGAATGTTCGTTGCCACACTGCGAAATTGGAAATACAAGTTAGATGCATCGGATTCCTTCATTGAAAGCCATGTCTGGCGAATACAAGACCCTCTTGTCCGACTTTGCAGATGCTTGAACAAAGACATGCTCATTCTTTGTATTGTTCAAACAAGGGGATCTTCCTTTCACACAACCGCAACTTACGACACATAGACAAGGTTTAAGCGCTGGGTTAGTGGCGAAGGAGCTATATAAATGGTGGAACCCATTATTCTTCGCTATCTCACGACCACCATCCTAGCCACCATGAAGGAATGTACTGATGAAATCCCTCTGATCCATAGAGCCGCGCTTGCAGCACTGTTGCATTTCCGCACCGTCGGTGTTCCCGCAGCCATCAATGGAGATCTCGCCTGGTATCTCCTGCAAGCCAGCAGGCACACGAGGGTATGACGTTTGCTTTCGCAAATGTATAATTGTTATTAACTCCTCTTCTAGTGGCATCTTGACATCCACATCGAAGGAGATTGGGAAACACTTCTGTCGGCTACGAACTCGCTCGCCCATGCAAATCGTCGCTTCCGTATTGACACCACGGATTACCCAAAGTATACACTCCTCGTGTACACGAATGACGTCCAGAACCCCACAGGGATCGACCTCATAGATGAAGAGCCACCGAATATCAACGAGCCACCATCTCAGAGACGCGTCGACTATTGCAAAGTGTTCTTCAACTGCGGCCTTGTCGGGACGCACAATTTTTTCCTCGTGCAGCCGGGCGATATTGCACTCCTTCCTTTCCAGCTCCTTCTTCAGCGCCGTATGCATGGCTACACCTCTCCCCGAGTTATCGAGTCACACGAAACAAGGAAAGGTCGCATGCACCAAGATGTCGCTGCTATCAAAGCCTACCTCGCCAAAGACCCGAAACGAGAGCCCTGGTTCATCCACTCCAACCAGCGACGTCCTTTCCTCCAATTCTTAACCGATATCTGCACCGCCCTCCCTCACGCGATATCAGTAGCGCAGTACCTCGCTTTGTTGCCTCCCGGATATGCACACTTATCTTCTGCACCCCAAGCGCCTCTCTTTGATGCGTACCTTCCTCTCACCAAGATACCTATCGCTGCGAGGCGTGTGCCAGATGTTCTCTACTCGTCTCTGCATTTGCATCAAGCAAAAGAGCAGTCCAAGCTGCGCAAAGCCATGGTACAGTCCCAACTGCTCAAAGCCGCTATACATGATCTACCGATCTGTATCCGTGCACTTGGGTACGCATGCTATCTCACTGGGCCTGGCGACGTACCCTGGTACGTCCTAGGGTACTCCAAACTCCCATTGGTCAGTAATCCGTTCATCAAACTATCTTGAGCTCATCTTTTTCTCTTTTCAGGATTCCCGAATCCATTTCCTTGTCATCCCAGTCCATGAAGGCTCGGATGTAGCAGACCTACGGAGGCAGTTGTGCAAGGAAGGACTCCTGGCGAAACGTTCCGGTGGCGGGTACATCTTTGCCAAGTGCATCGAGCATGCTCCTTGGTGCCGGGTCACTATCGAGCAGGTCGATCCCCGTCCGGATGTGGAGATGGGTGTCACAATGGATGGCATCCCCGTGTACAGTCCAAGTCACCTCGTCTTTGCCGAGCTTTCCGAGTGTGTCAAGCTCGCTGACAAGCCAATGAAGAAAGATTTCGAGGGAGGTCGGAAGGACAACCAGTTGCTCAGGATCATCCCTGCGATCAGGGCTTTCGCGCGGGCGAAGATGGATTTACGTTCCGTGGTTGTGGACGTGGAGAAGCGGGAGGTGTTTGATAGGTTGGTGATGGACCTGTGTGCTTCGCATCCTGGACTCATGGAAGATTTTGCGGCAATCGGGTTTCGGGAAGTTCTTGGCAAGCGGGTATCACAGTCAAACGATGCCGTCGACGCCTTAGGTCCATGAATCATAATTGTAACGAAAGTATAGATGAGTTGTATGTTTTCTTTGGATGAGTAGTTTTATAAATCTGCGGTGAATTTTGTTGAGGAACATAACGCATTCGACATCGTCCGTTCCAACGGTTCGTAGTGAAAAGAGATCCAACAGTCCTATTAGCTTCAGCGTTCCATGTTCAGCGAAGTACGTCTACCAAGTCTCTTTCTTACTGGCAATTAATTGAGCATAATTTCAACGAAGGAAAGGAAATATGTCTTGCCGTGATTTCTGATAGGCGAACCACTGTGATGATAACCTCAGAAGTCATTTCAGCAGCGGCAGGCAAGATCTCTAGTAGACCTCACTACGGTCGATCAAATGTTACGCAGGTATCCACATATTCAGGGCGATACTGGGTTCCGGCGACCTTGCATCCGCAACACGTAACCATCTACTTAATGTGAAAGGCTGAAGCAGTCACAGACTCCAAATTTTATATCTAAAACAGGAGTCGTTTACCTACGACGCACTGTCTTCCAAACTTCAACCCGTCACCATGGTTCTTCACCGAATGCTTTACAACTATCTATGCTATGCTATGCATCAGTTCCATTGATCGTCACCACGACTTTCGTATCACCGCAGGTAACAGAAGACAGCCTCTCTAATGTCATCCCGTGAAGATTCATCGTCCCCTTAGTGACAGAAAACACCTCCGGACCCACTTCTATGTACACTCTACGAACAGAGAACGGAAAGTCCATGCGCATGCAAGGATGTGGATATTCACCCTTCGCCCTACTCAAAGACTTTTCCAGTTCGGCGTAGAGCCGTCTGGACGGTCGTGTAGGTTTCAAGTAGAGGTGAGTAAGTGAAGGTGCCTGACGAGCAAGGCGGGAAAATAAATCAGGGGGATAGTCGTCAAAATCCTCATAGTGGAGGTATCGAAGGCGAGGAAAGACCGGTAATAGGTGCCCATTCTCCGATACATGAACGGGAAACGGCCCACGAAATGACAACTCTACAAGGAAGGGAAGCGACACTGGCGGCAGCATATCGCTGCCGCAAAACCCCCTGTGATAAACATGGAGTGTTTCAAGCGTCGGAGACATCATGTCCATGAGGTGCTCGTACAGGTGATCCTGATAAAAGTCCTGCAAACAGATTCACAATTGGCATTGGTCCAGGATTGTTGTACAATCAACTCACAAATACAGCACGATTCGACCTGTAGGCGGCCAACTCCTTTTTGGAACTCTCAGAATCGTTCGGATGTACTTCCATGTCGAAATAGAAATGGTGAACGCGTCTGTACGTCGGAGAAGTCTCGCAAAGAACCGAATATAGGGCGTTTAGTTGACTTAGGCCGTACACAAAAACGCTATGGAATCGCGTTTCTTTGGCAAGATTGTAGAAGAGCCTAGAGACTAGGGAGAGAGCGCGCCAAGTAGAGCGGCCATCCATACAGGCAAGCTTGAATATTTCAAGCCAAATTTCGCAGGGAATATTTGAGGTATTATGCGCGCTGTTCATGGTACTGCGGATACAGTCCCAAGCGGGTTGCGCCAGTTAGTTAATACTTGTACCACAATAACTCCGAATATTCGGTGCGAAGATTCGAAGCAAGTACCCCGAGTAGACCGGAGATGCTCAAAATGCCATGACGCGACAGCACGTGACAAACGCGCGGGAGAAATTTGCGTAATTTCTTTCTCTCTCTCTCATCACTTGATTCACTTCACGTACGAATGTCGGCCCAGGTAGGCAATACAACCCCGTTCGGTTTTACTGAACTTTAAGCGGTCTGGACAGAGTCGCGTATCTTTGCGTAATAAGCTCCTGGCTAATCTTCTCGCCGATGCCGCTATAGATGACAGAGTAAGTCAACGCATCACCTAGTACCAATAACGTGTTCATTGGGGCAAGGTACTCGCGGAAGCTTTGACTCTGAAAGATATTCTGTCAGCAAGCTCCGATCACTCGGACGCTCTCAAAGGAGGTCTCACGATATCTGATATGACGACCTTTGCACCAAATCAGGTTCATGCTTTCCAGAACAATATCATTCGGTGCTAAGACTTAGGTTCAGTCCTTTCGAATCAACCCGTCTATAGAACGGCGCTTGACCGAAGAACTGGATGCCACGTTCCAAGCAATATCAGATTTCCTGGAAGTCGAAGGTACGTTGGTGGAACAATTAATTATCGCGTCACTCATGAAGGTCCCGAAATAAAGAATTGCCACCGGGTTCGCTTACCCAGAGACTGAGAGAAAGCATCGGAAAAAGTGGCACCGTTAGAGAAGAAGTAGATAGTAGCCATCGTCGGATTGAGAAAATTATGGGAGAAATTAGAGAGGTCGGTCGATCCAATGCCGACTTTGAGATTTCAATCGGGCTGATCCTTGTCAGATACACCCCTTACTTCAAGAAGAACTTGTACAATCGCTGCGGAAATGGCCGCCTATTCTCAACAGTCAACGACAGGCTCACCACGACTTTCTAGCAACAACTATCGAAACATCCTTGATCAAACTATCCCTCATTCGCGCCCGATGCCACAAATTACTGTATGGTTTCAGGGACGACGTTGATGATATGCCCTCCGCCCTCATGACAATGCACAGCAAGCTCACTGAAGAAGAATCAGCGCTCGAAGAGGAAGAAGCAGAGCTGGACCATCAGCTTCATGAGTATCACCGTCTCTTACATGTAGTCGACGGAAATGGGTCAGGTTTCCGTCAAGTCCTGGAGGATTGGAGTCAAATTCAGAAAGAGACAGAGGAGTGCCAGCGGGATCTGCGGCGTATGGGATGGACTGGTGATTGAAACTTGTGCCAATAATACTTATTGTCTAGTAAAACGGGTACTGAAGATTTCCCAATTTCACGGCGGCCACGGTTCTTCATCTTTCGTAACAATTGCTCAACGCGGGGTAGGTACTTTGGTGGAGGCAGCAAGGCAATAAGTATGAATACTTTGTAAGGGTCAAACATTCATGAATCACAGCCGAACACACACATTCAAAAGCTCGCGGTTCCTTCACACAGAACGACGGCTGTTTCAGGTATTCTGGATACATTCATGTATCGAAACCGGGTTCTGATCGCTGCGTTTGAGAGTTTTTTCAGGATGCAATCTTTAATGAACCAAATAAAAATCAGATGCATGGTATCAGCTCATCTTTGAAGTACAATATATATTTTCCCGTCTCTTCTAATTATTATTACCGTATCAATGTTCAGGAACAAGGCATTATTCACACCCCAAATCTGTCGATCTTAGTTTGCAGACATATTGTCTTGCTGGCTCTTCGCCGTTCAGCTATACTCGGCCCGGTTTTTCTTCGCTTCCTGTACTTAGTAGTACGATAATTTCTGTATTCTGAAAAGCTCATAAATTCTTTCAACAAGACTTTGATTCCCAACCTTTTCTATTCAACAAGAGGATAGTACAAAGAGCCATACGAAAGGCTAGACTATACTGTGGCCACATATGTCTACTGTAGGAAGGAGTAAACTAGTCAACTACGTCTTCATAGTCCGGATGCTAAACCGTGTAAATGACCCACTTGCATGGCAGTAGCTCTCTGTCAGATATAGAACTGCCGAAGGCCAATACTCGTTGAAGAGCACCGAGAAAAATTCCATACAGGCGCAAAGTTTCGTCTAAATAATGGCTACTATCGATGCCTTGCCGCTGATCCAGTGATCACTTGCAGGTACGAGCTCATCGATCCGAGAATGGCCAGCGAAGCGAAAACATCAATGATAGGATGCTCGAATCGTAGCCTTAGTAATGAGAGAGTGCGTGAGCAGATTATCAATAAAGAGCAGTATTGGTGATACATACAATAGGGCAGTTTCCACCAGCACTTGTTCATGTTGTTACAGACATATTCCAATGGCGCCAGCAAAAGCTTCGCAACAACAGGATCGATGCGACAATTGTGGTTCTTGGCATTTCCTGGTCAGTCCGATAAGTTCAAAGATCAAGAGGGAATTGAATAGCATGCACTCAGCAGCTCCATGATAAAAAAACAATCCATTTCGCAATCAGCTTGCCACCCTCGCTCAACCTAAAATCTTCACCAAAAGAGATATTACCGATGAATCCTTGCAAAATCAGTTTGGAGAAAGACGAAGCTGCGATATTTTATATCCAGGGCAAAGGTGAGTAGAAGAAACGGAAAGAGCGAATACGACGCACCGAGATGTACCGAATTCGTTCCTTGTACTACGGCAGCCAATGTTTACAACTGGCCACATCGGCTTCCCATCACTGTCTCGGTGCGCTTCGAGATCTCCATTATATAATCACCGTCAGTGTAGCCGGCAGACGTTCCGAGTCCTGTGTATACAGGTCTCGGTCTTATGCTGTTTTTGAGGTAGAGGGTGTATGATATGCTGGGAGGGGCCGCAGCACTGGCATCATCGAGGGTAACCAAATATTGAAGATAAAGGTTAAGACGTCCAATAATAGGGTGGAGGGTGAACATACCTGCTTCTCCTCGTCTGGCAGGCTCTGGCTGAAGACGTCATGCGCAAAGTCCAGGTAGGCGAATTCAAGGAGGCCTCATACTGGAATCCTGTCTCGATGCTGTTCCCAAGATGCGGTTGTAACTGCTGGAAGTCGTGTTAGGTGAATTTTAGGAAAAAAAAAATACCATAATCATTGTCTACACACCGCAAGTCCTCTGCACTCCATCTTTCTAATATCGCCTTCACTGGCTTCGCAGCTCAAAGCCTCGATTCGTGATTGGCAATCGCGTGTCTGAAAGGTGAAGTACTCGGCTGGATAGTGTTTCTTATGACTTGATGAGAAATAGTGGGAGAGACAAGCAGGAGAAGTCCGTGGACGTTGACGTTGATAGTAAATCTCGGCATCCTGATGACGTCATTACCTTGCTGCAAATTTCTCGTTTCCATATGGATTATACTTTTTCCATCCCTCCTTAGCTCTTACCTGACTCGTAAAGGACTAGTTTTGGTACTTACTACTACAAAGGTAAGTTCATTATAACTATTTCGTCCTGGATCTAGTGAAAAGTGGAGGACATTATTCAGGGAGACAAATATTTTACTGCGATGACACAGAGATGAGCTGAAGAAGTGATCTCAGCCGATTTGACCCCAGGAGATTCGGCATAAATATGCTACGCATATTGTAGGCCAGGGTCAGTTGTTCTCAAAAATGAGTAAGTAGTTCCTTTAATATATACATTAAACAAGAATATTACGAGACTCCACAACAACTTCCAAGTCCTTGGCAGCCTCTTCACTTCCTGTAGGTCATTCATTATGAATACCGATGCTTTCTCAAATCTCTCCTCTGGCAGTCGTCGCCCAATAGCCCAATATTGCGGGTCTCTTATTGTGTTACCGTAATCTTGTGCATGAGTACCAAGCATTGCGTACGTGTCTTTGGGTATCGGGAATTGGTGAGTGACAAGGATCTTGAATGTGTGCGCCATTCCGTCTACGCCGTCAACAACTAACTCTCCGTATCGATCACCCCCTTCTGATCCTACATCCAATCCCTGCACAAGCCCCTTTTCAATGCAAGGCCCTTCATACCAATCGACATGTGTACTGTCATCATGATCAACAGACCCGAGCCAGTCAGCATTTGCTGGCAGAGGCCCTGTCATTACCTGCTCCCATGTCGGTCTCCATTTCTTGCACCCTCTTCCTATGTCAGGATACAAGAAGAGAAAGTACACCCGCATCCAAGGGTGCATTGCATTCACCAGTGCTGTCCATGCATCCTCGAGAGACTCGCTTTCATGGTATGCTGGTATTGTGGTGGGCCGCAGAGGGAATGCCAGTCCTGCGACTTTGTCCACAGGATTGGTTGAGACTCGATTCCGCATGTTCTCCAGCGCACCAAACAGCCCTCGGACACTCTTCACAGCCTCCAGTTGTCTGTGAAATATTGTCAGTATCTCAGTCTTGTAGTTTCCATCCTCGTCTATTGGTTCAGCATACATCGGTCCATCCGGTGTATCCCCAGCAATGATCCTGTTCCACATCCCGATCTCCTGCAGTGTCCATGCGCGCCTAAACCAACATCGATCGCTATCGAAGTCGCCCGCCTTCAAACTCAAAGGCTTCCCTAGCCCACTCAGGTAGATTACCACCTGATCAGCTGATTCGTACACGGATCCGATTGTAGGCACGTCCAGCCTCCACTCCTCCGCACGCAGATCCTCCTTCAGTCCGCCCTCCTGTCTCAGACAGAGGACATCCAGCCACGTATACTCTACTCCCAGATTCAACATCTCGATCCTGACCAAGTTGAGGTTGACATCCTTCGGGATAGGTACAGGCCATTCCCTCTCGTTGATAGGCGTCCACACATTGATGCGATCTTTCTCATCCATCCATGCATGTGATATTGGCTGAGGAGGTTTGTCCGAGTCGGCGATCCACCTTGGCACCACCCGATTGCTGTACAGATCCCAGACAAACCGAGGTTGCAACCACGGGTAGACAATACGGTTACCTACCAGTGCTTTTCGTCGCTCCTCCCGGTCATTCTCTTCACGTCTGCACAGTTCATCTTGGATGGTGCTATGGTTATCTGTGTTCCATACCGTGCGGAGACGGCCGTATGCAGTGCCAAGGTCATAGTTGCTTGAGATGCAGTCTTCGAGAAGGGAGGAGAGGGATGGGGTGTCCAGGCTGTATGATGTCCCGAGCATGGTGTTCATTTGATCTAAGATACCCTGAAGGCCAAGGGTAACGCAGGGAATGTTGGCGAGGGAGGAGGGCATAACAGGCTTATTACCGACATAGATCCGTTGGTTTGGAATTGCGATAGACGATTCCGCTCTGCCAATCTCAGTAAAGGCAGAAATGACTTCATAAGACTTATGCCAGTTTGTTATTTTCTTTTACACAATTCACTTCTGACTGACTCACCCGTAATGTTTTCGCCAGTATATGAAACTCGTAGTCACCAGGATCGGAGAACCCATCACTACTTTCCTCAATGACCCCAGCCTGTTCGTTCTCAATAGCTGCAGTCTCAGAGAGCAAAATTGAGGATTCTGAGAGTGATTCCAGCCTCGAGCTGGACTCCGCTATCGCCTCCAAGACAGAACCGGCATCTTCTGAAGTAGACCAGCTATTCGGGTGTAGTATCGCCTCTCGAGACTCTGAAGGCGCAACTATGTTGATATTCTGGTCACAATCAGATGTCACACCAGGAAAGGAATCTTTTGCTGCGTGGAATGTTGAAAAGGTGGAGCATAAGCCTTTCCAAATCAACTTGACGCAGCTTAACAGCAATCCGCCCATAATCCCCGATGTCGCTAATATCGTTGGACTGAGTACTCGAAGTAGATTATTTAACGGTACACACTATTTCCCATGTTCTTGGCTCATACGGATATGGGTGCGCGGAACAGAGATATTCTCATCAACGCAGGCAGGTGTCACAATTCGCAGTTCGAATTCCCAGGCTGATGGCACCCAAAACGTGGCAGAAGAAGATGAACCAATAGCATTATTCACAGTCTGAACTCTGGGAACACCGATATCGGCAAGCCTCCAAGTCTACGCGGAGATCACAATTGAATTCATCATGCGGATTTCACATCATGATTTCATGACTGACTTGAAGATGAATCGTATGCTTTTATACTCCTGTAAATCCATCGAGTTTGCGTTCCCAGATTAAATCCTCAATAGGAAGTTACCTTGTGCTTCGCGATACTACTTCAGCTTCGAGTCAATGTTTATCGTCACTGCTTCTGCAATGCCGACCAATTTTCAAAAGGCATCAATGATCTCACCGCACACGAGTACATACTACATACTAATGGCATCCAAAATCTACACGGCCCTTCAAAATAGCGTTTCTGTCCTTGTGACGGTCGACGTTCTGGTCAGTACCTTCAACAACAGCTGTGCAAAAATGACTTAGAAATGTAGAGTGATTGTTCACTATTCTCTTCGGTTTGCTGAATTCACGAAATAACGGGTCTTAATTCATCCACCAATCCTTCCAAAACATGCCTACAAATTAGCCTCCTCACGACAAGTGGATTTATATGCTCTCCTGCAAGAGCGATGAGCATTCTTCACTATCGTTCAAGCAAAGTTCCAACAGAGGCACCGGATTTGATACCTAGGCACAGTGTTGTGTTGATGCAGACCTGTAAATTTCTACATTAGCCTTCCCAGGCATCGTCAATGGAAAACTCGAACGTACGAAGACTCCACATGGCCAATATATATTACATCAGTTATTCAGAACTTGTGCGAAGAAGATAAGTACCATCGTGGCGCTATGGAACCGCTGGAATACCTCCCAGCGCTAGGCCGTTGTCAGAGCTGGGCGCCTAAAGACCGCCATAAAAGACAGTGTGAAAAGTGCCGTAGTGATCTTCCAGTTACTGTACAGCTAGACATATCCTTCTATTCGACGTGAGTACATTTCTTTTCTAACCATTGAACATGGATAGCGGAAGACAAACCATTATCAGCAGCGACTTCTTGGTATTGACTAGAATCTCTACATTACACCCACTAAGCCTCATGCAAAGAGCTTCTATCTCTTGGAAGCCACCGTGACACAGTTGATCTTGTTCATGAGCAATGAAAGCGCGGTCATTGATTCGATGCCCACTGGTGCATCATTCCGGAACAGCATCACGTATGCTGACTCTAAATAACACGTTGAAGGTGGAATGTCGCAATAGAGTCATTGTATATATAGTCGGCGTAAATGTCGTTACCATCCAGGTGACCTCCGCCAGGTTCTCATTTCGTTCCTAGTCCGAACTTGGGACGACATCGAAACGGGCGCACGGTGAGTGTCTCCACACCATTGCTCACCACCATCCGTCGTTCACTGTTCCATCGCTATTGTCGTTCGGTCTTTCTGTATTCTAAATAGGCGCTGTTGAATAGAGGTAAGTCGACGGTGGAGCATTATCTGAAGAAACGTACGTGATCAGGCCCTGCTCATTGAGATTCTTCTATGGGCGGCTAGCAAAAATCGCTCATGAATGAGGGAAAAAAACGATCTTGTTTTGAAAAGTGTCTCCTCAGGGCGTCTGTATGAATTGAGGAGATTAAAGCGATAAACAAAGAATGATGAAACAGCAAGAGCACGGACTAGCAACAGTAGATTAATCCATACGCGGTACAGATCGGATGCTACTGCTGCACAAGAGTTGGTCAATGCTGAAACAATTTATAAATGAACGTACAAATATGACTGAAACCCGGTGTGAGATACGATGAGTCATTAGACGAGGCACATCGTCCTTGGTGACCAGTAACAAGTAATACAAGGAGCCTCTGTGACGTAGCGAACAAGCTCTGCGAGGAGTAGGATTTTTATCGTACTTCACGTCTGTTATGAGAAGATCCTACTCTGTTTTCGTCCATGATCGAACCGAGTTATGGTATATCGGCATCAGAGCTTGAATACGTGATTTTGAGCCTACCAGTAAGTTCGGATATCAATAAGTGATTTGGGCCTTATTTGTTGCCGAAGAATGTTGCAAACGCACAAGACGCGCTGTAGCTAGTGAATCGTGTTCATCTAGTCGGTAGCGGTGAAATGATAGGAAGTTTTCATCATGTTCCGGTTCGCTGGAGAAGTAGAAACGGGTCATAATTTATCGACGAAATTACAAAGAGCAGCGGCCCATAGGTGTTGATGACAGCATCGTTTGGAATCAATGGTGTTTTTAGAATGGGTTATGCCAGGGCTGCCGCTGTAGGGCGTGGAGAGGGGCATCAATGGCTACCTAATGTGGACGCCTGGATGCAGTACTGCGGGATGGGAAGAAAGTAAATGCGGCGGGCGCGGGTTGGTTTTCGACCACCTGTAAAAGAATGGTCAGCTCTGCGACAGAAAGAGAGGCGGCGCTAAACATACACGGGCAGCTTGAATAATCCAGCTCTCTCGACTGAAGCTACCAGCCTTGGCTGCCATAACAACAAACGACAAGCAGCGGTCATGAGCCTTCCCTCCTCCGGTGGCACTGATACTCGATAAGTCACCTCCAGGCATATAAACCCAAAGTTACAGAAGTTACGGTAAAATGCTGGGTGTCGTTCCTAGTTCAAAACCAGAGGATGCTCTAATTTGGTTGAAACTTGAGATAAAGCAGCGGGGGAGATCGAAAAGGTCACTTCACCTTAGGGCCCGCCTGCGGTGGAATATACAACTTGTTCCGTTCCTCAGTCATTCATAGTATCCCCGCAGCTGAGTGGGATGACTAACATCATCCCTCGAATTCTGAGCCCTTGTATGTGTAAGTCATCATGCGGCATATAGAAGGGGATCACTAACAAAACCACGATAACCCCCCAGTCAAAGTCGACAGCCGTCCTTCTTTAACGTCCTAAAATATGCCCCCCCGAAAACTGTAGATATTTAAATAGGCAGCGTCAGCACTAATTGCAAAAGCGAGAACCATGCAACATACTCGTCGGGAATCAAGTCACAAATACCTCCAAAGATTGGTGTCAGTGGGGCTAGAGCACCATCGACATTTGAGATAGGGATCAAAAGAGCCAGAAATTTTTTAACAGAAGGGGTATTCGCCAGTAAACACGAGAGTAGCAGGCGGCATCTCAGACAGAGAGCTTGATGAGGGTCTCGAACGAAGGCGTCGGTTAATTCGGTCCGGATTCCGGCTACCAGCCTAACATCCTGTAGCCTCACATCAGCCGTCTTCGCACGGGCGGTGTGTAGTGCCCATACTTTAGCAAGTCTGAATAAGATAATTTTGTGTGCGATACGCCGAAGCCGCAATTCAGCTAAAGACAAGTAAACGCACTATCGAAAAGAGGGACCGGAAATAAACTTTGCAGCGGCGTGGCCTTCTTTCGGTGAACAATTACCATGAGTGATGAATTGAGGTCTGCTTGGCAGATAATAGAGCGTGTCGTACCCATTGAGTCCCTGTACTAGATGACGAATTCAATCGGTATGCTAGCTTCACATTGAATGGATGCACGCTGCACATGCAAGGCCACCAGAGCGCACTCTAGCCATGAAAGCCTGCACAATATATGATCAATGTCAATCATGCTTTTATATCTTCATCATAGGTACATCTGTCACGGGGTTTGTCCTGGACGCGACGATTTTATCCATTGCTGAATACCATTCATGACCATGTTACCAACAGCCCCACCGGCGAGGTCAGCAGCTTTCTTCATACCACCAGCTGTTTCGAGTGCAGAGCCGGCCAAGTTGAACACCGTCGACCTCAGGGTAGCTTCCTTTTGTCGCGGTCGAGAGCCCGCGCTCAGCATGATCGCAGCCTTGATGGTGTCGAACTCATTGAGAACTTCCAGGCCCATGGATCTGGCCTGTACTATCGGCCCGAAAGACGTCGTATACAATTTGTGAAGCTTGTCGAAGACGGACATCATCTTGTGGTTCTCAAAATACCGTTCTCGAGTGTACGGTAGTAAGGATGTATGGGTTCCTGGAAACAACAGACGGGTCAAAATGGATATTTCAAGACGGTATTCCACTTGCCAATATCTGAGCCATTGAGGACCGCGTCGTTGATGACCCTTGCGAGGCACTCTACATCAGCAAGACCAAGATTCAAGCCCTGCCCGGCAAGGGGGTGTACAGTATGCGCTGCGTCACCGACAAGAACTGTACGACTCCCTTGTCCTTCGCCGATGTACGCTTCGGTATGATTGAAACGCAGAGGGAATGATGCCACCGTTCCAGGTTGGATTGAAGTCACAAGGGGCGGTAACATCTCCGAGTCAGTTGGCGGTATACCTTGGTTCTCGGCCGTGTTTTCCATCATGTGGGAAGATGAATAGGCCGAGGTTGCATCGATGCCATGAGCCCGTTCACGGAACCCAACTTCTTCGATGATTTCGTCTGTGGTGATGGGAGTTCCAGCCTTTTGGTGCTCAAGAATCCGATTGTAAAGGTAATGCAAGGAATCATGAGGTAGGCGGTAGGCGGCATTTATCATGCGGGCTACAACGGACGGACCGGAGGCTATAATTGCGGTTGCTATGTGTGGTCGGGTCGACCACACCAATGACGAGGCCGTAGGAGAAATGGGTAAAAAGGCAATGGGTCCGGTTGGCAAGAATCTCTGATAAGCGGTGGTGTTAGGTCCTTGGAAGGGGCCTCGGGGAGGATGGAACATGGTAGCAACAATGGCTTGAGTATCGTAAGACCAACCGTACGAAGGGATCTGTGCATATTTGCGCACGGGGGAGTTGAAGCCGTCGGCGCCAATCTGAGTGAGATTCGTGAGTGATATCATAAAGAGCGAGTCGAAGTGCTCACCAGCAACCTCGCCCGAAGTATCCTACTGTTGTCCAAATGTACCAATGGCCAACCGCCAGCATCCTCATCTTCCCTGACAATAGATGTCACCTTGGTTTTGTCGATAAGGTGCAAGTCTGGCATGGTACTTAAATATCGCAATAGTCCACGTTGAAGGTTGATATTCTCTGTTATTCGCGACATTCCCTCGTCTAGCCCAAGGTCAGACGCAGAAAAGTGTATTCTGGCGTCTGTAATCCCATCCCAGACCTGCAAATACATGGTATTAATCTCGGGCAAATGCAAAGTAACTGGGGACGTACCTCCATCTCCTCGATGGGACCTGTGCGAGCTTCGTCCACATGTGTCCATGCACCAATGTCTACGGTGACTGCTCAGTAGCACAGCCCAACACATGAGATGTTACGTTGCCTTTTAGGAATGCTTGAGACGCATTAGTGAGGGAAATGCACCTGTTGCTGAAGGCTCCATCGACCGGCGACCACTCGCGGACCTTTGACAGGTCCCCAGCCTCGATAAGTGATATTTTCAGGTTGTCTCTGACGTTCTGGCTGGATCCTAGCGGTAACGACGCGTTGGACATACGACATCATACAGAACAATTGGATGCATACCGAGAGCACTGGCTAGAGCAAGTCCCGCGGGGCCACCACCGACGATGACTACATCGTATTCTTCGCATTGGCTGCTGGCACTTGATAGCAGCCTGCGAGACAGCAGTAGTCTTCTGCAGCTACGCGCCACAGCCGGCGAGCACCGCAACATGACGGAAGGAAATGAGGTGAGATCGGCACGTGCACGTGCACTCCTTGCTTTTGTCCCACTTGTCACTGTGTGGCAATGCTATACTAAATGAATCCGTCCGTTCCCTCCTTTGACACCGCTCTCCCATGACCGCAGCACCAGCGTCGGCGGCGCAAGCCATAGGCGAATATCTACAGTCCCCCGACGACCTTGTCAAGGTCTCGGCATACAGGAAGAAACTAGAGAAGGAAAAGGCTTCGATTGATGCGAGGCTGAAGAATGGGGTCAAGGAGCAGTTGCAGGCCACGAGGGAAGGCCTGAGGAAGTTGATGGGCACGCGCAGCAACGTCCAAGCCATCAAGGACGAAACGGTCACCGTAGACAAGCAATGCAGTGATCCTCAGAACACTGTCTCTACTTTTGACCAGATCAGTCGAGTGCGTATTGCCTGTGTATTTCAAGGGAAGTTTCTGACCATGACAAAAGGTATCCATGGTTCACCGTCATTTCGAACAAACGGAAGAAATGGTCAATAATCTCCTCGAAATGAATTCCAAGCTTGTCATGATAGAGGATCTGCTTAATGGCGATCGTCAAGACATTCTTGGTCCTGCTCCTAATCTTCTCGTCATCCACTACCTTCTTAATCAACTGGAATCATTTCGTAACCAGACTATGCACCAGGCCAAGAAGGCTAGTTCAGATTCACGAGCGACTTTGGCGCGTTGGTTTGAAAGGTTGAACACCGTCATCGAGCAATTCGACGAGTACATTCTACAGTTGGCCGGACATGTCTTGGATATAGTTCGCGCTGGATATCCGGATGTGGTCGTCCGATTAATCAAGATTGCTGAAATAGAAGGCAGGGAAGACGAGAAGGTCATCACTGTCACCATTTTTCCAATTCCACACTCATACATTCACCACAGGCAATTGCCATTCGTTTAGTGAAGAAGGCCGCTAAAATGGATGCTGCATCGAAATTCAAATCCATGCAAGCAAACGCTCGTGTCATCAAACATTACCGGTCGAAGATTACCAGAGGCATTGCAGATTCGATCAAAGTCAAATTCGAGGAAGCGTATAAGCGCGATGAGCAGGATCCCGTCAATTTTCTCGACAATCTTCAATGGATGTATCAAGACCTCATTCGGATAGAGTCTGAGGTCGTTCCTTGTTTCCCTCCAGAGTACGACATATACTCCCTCTACATCCGAGAGTATCATAAGGCTCTAAATGCTACCGTGAAGAAGATGGTTGCGTCTGAGCCAGGAGCTAGCGTGCTGCTTCATCTCTTTGAATGGCTGAAGGAGTACAAAAAGTCCATGAAAGAGCTGAACGTCCCGCCCGAGCTTATGGAGCCTCCTCTCCTGGATGGAAAGGAGCAGTCGTTGATCGAGGATTATTTACAGGTTATCGTTAAGAAACTTGACGAGTGGTCCGCTAACCTCATGAAGACGGAAGTAGAGGAATTCACCACTCGTCGCGATCCACCGGAACTCGACGCGGACGGATTGTATGGCGTTCAAGGCGGGGCCGCAATTCTATTCCAGATGGTCAATCAGCAGATTGATTTGGCTATGGATAGTGGGCAGGGTGCCATATTGGCTCGTGTTGTTGCAGAGACGAACAGGGTCATGAGGTCCTTACAAGATCAATGGGTCAAGGTGATAGAGGCGGAATACAAGAAGCAGACCGACAAGCCTGATGAAGTGGCCGGTGGACTGGTGGAGTATATCATAGCACTTGCGAACGACCAAATCAAGTGCGCAGATTACACCGAAGCTCTTCTTGCCCGCGTCGAACCAGTGGTCTCCGACAAATACCGAGGTACCATCAACGAACGGCTGAATGACGCGATTGACGGATATCTCGATGTTGCGAAGAAGTGCACGCAGACACTCATCGACATTATCTTCAACGACCTGAAACCCGCTACTAAAAACCTATTCCAGCCGCCCTGGTATGAGGGCATAATGCGCCAGATTGTCGAGACCATGCGCGATTACATGACCGACTACCAAACATACCTGAATCCCTCCCTACTCGAGCTTCTCGTGGAAGACCTCCTTGACGCGTACCTCCTTCTTTACCTCAACGCCCTCGCGAACACCCCAAAGCTGAGGATACCAGCGGCAACGAATCAGATCAGGGACGACGTCCGGATCGTGTTCCAATTCTTTACCACCCTCAAGCAAGCAAAGGAACTGGAAACGTACTTTGAAGTCATCGAGATGATCTTGGCTCTTCTCGAGGCTTCGAAGGATATCGTTTTTCTGTCGTTTTGGTCATTTGCGAGGGTTCATGGTCCGAATATTGCATTTGTGGAAAGCCTTATGAAAGCTCGTGGTGACCTTGATCGTTCGGCGGTGAGCGATGTCATGGATAGCATTAAGCGCAAGGTCAAGGAGGAAGGATTAACTGATCGTGAGCATTTAGTAACTTCTCGTTGTTGTCACTTTCTCATTTTCTTATAGCTCCTGAACCTACTATCATGAAGAGAGTTGCTATCCAAAATTCCTTCTCGAGATTCCTTAATCGGTAGAGGCTGCTACTTTAGCTATCCTTTTTCATCTGTCTTTATCTCGTCGCTGTCATCACCTGTAGTCATAGTATACGGACATCTCTCATTTGTATTCCAGTATATCACTTAATTGCATTCACGTCTATGTAGCTCGGCCAGGTAACCAACTTTGAGCAGACGTCCACGTACGCTCTTTTCTCAAAAGCACTATGCATATCCGGTTTTTATACAAAGCGGACTGAAAACAAAGATCTGCTCACTGACCTATAAGTAACAGGTTTCAGGTAGTCGAGAATCGATGTGGATCTAGTAGCAATGGCAAAAACAAACTTTTACCTTGCTTTTACCAGCCGGCCGGTGTTTCGGCCACGTGGCTACGTAGGCGCTATCGTAACTTTAAGCCTCCGCGTCAAAATATGCCAAACTTCACCAAACAACCAAACAGCCTTATATGGAAGTTGCATTATGGACTGGCGATCTTATGCTCGACCAGCTCCCTCCTGAGCTCGTTCACGCCATTATCTCAGAGTTCTGGTACTCCGAACATCCCTTGGAGGATAGAATTATATTTATGAAAGCATGTCCCCTCATCAACAGCCTCTGGAAGGTCGTCTTTGCGCACCTCGCTTCCCGAGACATTTTCGTTCCAACGAATGAATATCTGTTCTATCTCAGTTCTGTTATACGCAACAACGACTCTCTGATTTACTGAATTCATCTCCCCAATTCTGCTCGTACAATTACCTGCTACGTCGACTTGGTGGAAGTGTTATGGATATCGGGGTCTTTTCCGAACTAAGCACAAGTCAACATATGCCTGCCCTCGGCCTTGACCTCGGCCTACTGGTATTTTCTCTTATTTTCTCTATTCTTCTTGCTGATACTAGAATACTACAGAACATTGTAGAATTATAATGACTCAATGCCTTACTAGTAGCATATAAATATTGTCTTTACCGTTGTATTAGAATCTTACACTAATTTTACTCATCTTCGAAGTCCACTTAATTGTGTGAACTAAGCATCTCTGATCGGTTACGCCAAGCGCTTGCCAATCAATTGCTTTCCGACTACGCCTAGCACTTTTCGGAGACCCAGTCAGTTACACCTAGCGCTTGCTGACACCCTCGTTAACTACGCCTAGCACTTGTTAGCACCCTTACGGATCCCTCTTGGTGGTTGGAACTCAGCTTACAGACATCCTCACTCACAACTTGGGTTTTACTCGAGTACTCATTAACTCGTGTATTAGCTCAAATACCCTGATTCTTAACATTGGTGGACACATTGGGACCACCTTGTAGAGGGAATCAATTGATCTATTATTTCCTGCTCGCTTCAGCACTTTATCATACCCACTCACATTGAATTCAGTTACTATGCTGGGACCCATTTCAACAATCCATTTACCTGCTTCGCAATCTTCTCCCCCAACTCAGCATTTTCCTGGTGACTCTCTTGGCTTTCCAGATCCTCCAGCACCGCTTGTTTTTCCAGTTGACCCGGCAGACATTTCCAACTCTGATATCCAGAAGGTTACTCGCCTGTGGCCATCCTGTGTTCCCCTTTTTACAATCATGGGGAATTTGCATTTACAGGAGCACAGGGATCGCATTATACAGGTACTTAAGCTCGGTAGGAACAGGAAACTCGGGAATGGCCTACAAACCGCCAGTGCTCGTGTACTGAACCACCACCAGTATACTAATACCTTTTCAGAAGAAACGCGCATGCTAGATCGCCTACTCATGTCCGTTTTTGCCTGCACCACGTTCACGAAAGACGTTGTCTACAAGATGGATGAGAACCTCTATCAGGAACTTTGCACCAAATTGACCACTCGCCGTGCAATAGCTTCATCGTCGCTCAATACCTTCAGTTATTCAGATTTATGGCCACCTGCATGGGCCATCAACACTGCAAAATGTTTGACAGCCAATGACTTCGAGATACACGCCTTATGGTATCACATTTGTGTTGAACATTTCCTACATATGCTTGATGGTATCCATGACTGGGATAAATGTCGGACCCGCGAGATGTTACAGGAGGAATTCATGGCAGCGCTACATCAGGCATATATCAGGAAAGAAGAAAAGGAGAGTCCTACTGTTCCTCTTGCTCCGGGACAGTGCAAGCCTCACCAGTCGAAGACGCCTTGTCAGAGCTTTACCTCCGACTGGAGTCTGGGGGGAGTACATGGTAGCATTACAAGAAAAGAGGAACAGTGCAGTCGAAAGAAACGAGTTCCGAACCTCGAAGCCCTGGACTACAACACTAGCGTTTCAATCGATCAGAATTTAACCGGACACGGAATTCGTACCTTCCGAATCGCTTCAAATACATGGTGCGCACCATTGTCAGAGAAGAACAGGAACTCCCTGTTACCACCTACAGTGAGATGTCACATCGATGAGCTGCAAAAAGATATCAGTCTACTGTCAGATCCATGCAGAGTAGCTCTTACTCACCCCCAGTTAATGACTGACAGTGATGCGACTTCTCATGATATGTCTACCTGCGTAATGGCACCGACAAAGTCCCTCACTTCTGAACTCCCTTATTCCTCTGGCCGGTCGAACATATGCAGGAGCCCCTCTAATATATCTGAGGCTATTTCGAATGAAACGAGCCTGGATTCGCAGAATGGTGAGGACAGACTCAAAGCAACAGGAAGACGATGGCTTACCACCCTGTCCTCGATCGTTAATGTTATCACGGGAGATGAATCAGCACAAGGCAACCATCAAGGACTCCATTCTCAAGCAGAAGAGGAGAAGACGCTAAGTCGAAAGACAAGACGAGCGTTGGAAAGGGAACGAACAATATGTCACCAACAAGAACTCATGTCCGGGGACATCATGATGGTTGAATACTCGCGACCACAGTCAGAATTTCAGCACAAGGAACCTTTGCTGAGTTCTAAATACAATTTCGTGTCTTCAAAACTCACGTTCCAGGAAATGGATGCTGCCGATCAGGTGAATAAAGGTCTTTGGCTCAATGCCAGATCAAACCACAAACCTTTCTCCTGGATTATCATACCCATGACAGTCCCTACCGCCTTCTCATCCAGTCATACTCAAAACAGTCTGCTCATGCACTCAGACCAAGCGCCACTTCCAGAAAGTCGCTCGAGTGTTTCCATATTCAAAAAATGCGATTTCATAGTATCTGTGTCTCATGTCTTAAATAATGAGGTAACTGACAGGCGTATCACACCCATGAGGAGACTCGATGATCAGATTTGGGATCCGGGTACAAACATGCGAGGCACGGTTGAAACAGGGATTACCCTGGAAATCAAGGCAGAGAATTCTCCTGGTTCATTGATGTTACGATTTATTCATTTTTCTTCGTTTTACTCAGCCTGATTACTCATATGTGATCACCACGGACAGTTTCTCATGTACTATTATTAGCGTACCCAAAGTGTATTTAAGTAGAGCCTCAGCTGGTCTAAACCCCAGCTTCGGCTAAGGTTTAATCTACCCAATATCGAACTCCGTGTTTCGCGTCTATCTCGTCCGCAGTTAACTTGATCCGTCGCCTTTGACTTGCTAGAGTATCGTCTACCGAAGTGCGAGTAGCGATCCTAGTTCGATCTAAGTCGATTCGAGTTGGTTGCTAACATTTAGCCGAAGCTTGTCCCACGTTGCTCAGCGTTGCATGCTGCCCAACATTTTTCACATACTCCTTCTTGCTGCAGTAGTCATCTGGGTAGTACCCTTCGTACTATCTGACCCAATTGCCAAGGTTCTAGTCATCTGCCTGGTGGCTATTATCATCTGAACCCGCGTGGAACTATTCATGGCCCCGATCCTAGCAGCAATATTCCTGCTAGAACTACCATTGATTTTCCACCGTCCAAACTGACGCCCTTCACTGTCATCATACAAGCAGTCGCAATCTCGGCAGTTATTGTGCTGATTACGACTAGCGAACTTTATCCAGTCCTGACGGTCGCATGGTTAATCGTAACCATTGGACTTTACGAAGGATAGACCAATGTACGAATGCCCTTGTCCGACGCCATTCCCATAATCTCCGCCGTTTTTATTCTCTTTTTCTTGTCCATCTTTTTGTACCAAATCCACCAGTGTTGCCGTTGACAAAGAAGAGTTCGAGCGCAACTTCCGTTCCATTACGTTCCAACCACCCCGGCATACCCACCGCCGATAATTTACATCCCCGCAGTGTCACAACAAACCCTGCACGATGGCAGACCAATCACACCCAGGGGACCTGGAGAGTCCCTCTACAGGTCATCGCAGTCCAGCTCGGGATCCTCAGAGTTGAGCACCGACTCCTACAGAAGCGCTACCACCGAGTCAGTCAACATCACCGATACCCGGGGCGTACTCTATGAGCGAGGAGACTCGCCCATACCAGGCCTCTTCGACCAGCCTCCAGTCCACCGCGAGTCAGACACCGACGAATCAGGAGAAGAAGGAGGGAGCGTGGAGTCGAGCGAAGAAGGCGCTCTCAATATCTGGGACAAAGAAGGACGCCGGCTCCACAACTTCCTCAAAAATGATGGGGGGCCAAACGAAGAAGACTCTGACCCCGATCCCAGAGACGAGTGGGCACACAGGGAAGTGGAGGGAGGATTACGAGCGGAAGACACAAGGGACCGGGCCAGGCTCGAAAGGTCGAGAGGAAGAAGGGGAGATGACATCGACGAAGATTCCGGAGAGCTTGCCCTTGGGGCCTCCGCCGCGACTACCGCCCATACAGATGGAGCAAGACCCGTTCCAACTGCTTGGCCGCCTCACAGAGGGGTACCAGTTGCCTGGTACCCCCATACAAGCTGGGTCTACGCCGACACAGGGGAAGAGGCTCCTGTGGCCTGAAGTGCCCCAGACGGGCCCGAGCCCACCTCCGCTGGGAGACAGACCGACGTACTTGCTCCCGCCGCCCCCTCGAACGAGCAGGAGGATCGGGAGCTCTGGAGCGAGTTCCCGGATTATGACTCCGCGGAGCTTGGAACAATTGCCGGGGCCGGGGACCTCGCCCGAATCCCCAACTTTACCCCGTCGGTCATGGGAAGAGCCTTTGCCGACCCCGTCCTGCGCTACCAGCATCCGTGGCCCCTTTTTTACCACACGCTCATTGAGTCCCTCAGACTCACTCGAGATGCCCGGCTCGCCCCAGAAGAGCAGGCCCGAATGGACCAAGCAAGAGCGGATGATGCACGCATCCGCAGGGCCGAGCTCGATGCCCTCCAGGGACCCAATGCCCTCTGGGATCTTCCCCTTGAACCCGACGCCACCCTCGCCGAAGTCGAAAATAGAATGCGCACCGCTGCCCTCCGATATTCCAGAGCAGTCCAGCGTGCAGGGACCGACCTCGAAGCCAGGAGACGAGCCTGGAACTCCTACCAGGCCGAAATTAGCGACAACGACTCTGACATCGGGCGATGGAGAAGGAACAAGGAGCTCGACCGCCTCGCCTGAGAGGGGCAGGCGCGAAAGGATGCCGAGTCGACCCCCGAACCAAGCAATCGAAAAGACGGTGATGGACACGGTAAGGACGATCCTACTAAGGGGGACGGCCACGATACCCGCCATCTTTAATTTACTTCCATGGCATGGCCTATATGAAATTATGATGGAGGATATGGAGAAGGACCCGCAGTGGCTACTCACGGAGGCAGGAGAAGACTACCGACATGCCAAGCACATGGGCGATGTCTACCTTATGAAGAACATTCTAGAAGTGGAAACGTGGCACAAGGCTGCGGTCATATGGAACCAGGTTCATCCCGAGGCCAACCAACCTGGGTGCAAACCCTACCGACGCCCTCAGCCAATGCCCCACCCTCTTGAATACGAACTATTTCATGCTGGAGGAGCCGGAGATGACGACGGGTATGAGGAAGGAGAGGCTGGGCCCTCTCGGACGGATAAGGGGAAAGGATCCACGGTACCACCGTTACCACCGTCAGGACCACCCCCAGGTCAGGGCCTACCCCCTAACTTTGGAGGCTATCCCCCACCTGGGGACAACCCCCAACTACGATCACTCCTCCGGCCACCTAACCCGCTGGTACCGCCAGTGCCACTGCCGCCACCCGACCCTATTCCCCCCTGGCAATTAGCACCAGGGGCGGTTAATAATCCATGGAACGACATGAAACCCAAGCTGATTACTCAGCCGGAGTATTTCACAGGGGAGTCATTGGACATCAATCGCTTCCTGCATCACTGCGAAATGTACTTCCAGGTATTCCCCATGTATTATACCATGAACGACCAAGGACAGAACCCCTACCGCATTACCTTTGCGCAAGGGTACCTTAGGGGCGAGGCAAAGCAGTGGTGGGGCAACCAGTACTATCGTTATCGGGATCTGCATGGGCACTGGAGATTCCCAACGTGGGAAGAATTCTCCCAGGACCTGACTGTGCAGTTCCGTGAAGTGGCGGAGTTAACCATATGGAAGCAGGAATGGAAGAAGGTTCGCCAGTCAGACTTCAAGTCAGCGGTGGAGTTCTTCACGAAGTTTGAGAGGCTGGCCCACAAGTGCGAGGAGTTCGGCGACGAGAAGCAGATGTTCGAAGCCGTGGAAGCAGCGATACGCCCCACGGTCCGAAACACGGTTATGCATGGGGACAATGAGCACCCCACAACCTATGCAGAGTGGAAAGCGCGTGTCTTGAGGATAGATGCCAATTATCGGTACAGCATGGCCCAGGGATTGGGCGGTAAGTCCTCCCAGAACCAGAGCGGTTCTGGTCGAGGCAATCAGAATCAGTCATCACAGAAGGGTGGGGGACAAGCCTCGAGCGGCGACAAGAAGGACGCCACGGGAACGACCTATGGTGGAGCCAGGCAGCCGATGGAGATCGACAAACTTCGAAGCGATAAGCGATGCTTCAAGTGCGGGAATACCGGATGGAGCCGGGACCATAAATGCCCAATGGACAAGTCCAAGTGGCTCCCCATCAAACTTCCCCCACACAAGAAGATCCCCATGCAACGCCTTCGTCAGCTACTCGTGGAGGCTGAAACAGAAGAGAACGGGAAGGACACGAAGGTTGAGGAGGAGAGGTCATCAAAAGATGAGCCGGCATTGAAATAAGCGATTCGACGACGTCGGCCAAGGACTTAGTTTCATCTGGTGCGCGCTCCTGTAATACTAGTCGGACTTACGCTACATATGTAGGTACTCCATTTGAACAATATATCAACTGTTTTGCCGTGTTACCAGTCGAAGAAACTAAGGAAGATGAATCGCAACACCCCAACGGCGTAGGAGGGGATTTCCGCCACTCTACGCAGTCTGCGTCCAGCAATGAACCCCTAGGGGCTGGTCCACCTCTGACACCCCCACTTGACCGCATGGGGGAAGCCCTGAAGAACCCAGCAAACGCCTCAGGTCAAGACAAGATGGACGCCAGACGTGGTGGTCATCGCCCCGGCAGGGAGAATCGGCCAACGACCCCGGGGGGTGGGCCTCTCATTCAGATTGTTCCTCCCCCCAGTGGCAGAGAAGCAGCTGAGGCCGGGAACCAAGGGGACCACCTACACTCAGTAGTGGCCTCACCCGCAAACGGTGCTGACCCCCTCGGGGAGCCAATATGTGTGTGTCTGCCTAGGGTTACCGAGAGTACCGCTGGTGTTAGGAATGAGGATAAGTATGGACGAACTGTGGAGGTTACAACGCCGAGCACAAGCACCCTTGGCCGGGGTCGAACACAGGGCAGCGCGCCCTCCTCCACCGACTCGACGGAAGGTGCCCAAGTGCCGCTGAGGGGCCCTTTTCAGCCCGGTGACCAATTGCCACCTCGAGGCAAGAAAACTCAAGTTTCGCTGGAGGAAGTCGAAGACGAAGAAGCCCACCTACGGTCCGATATCCCGGTGACATCACCCAAGGGGAAGTCTCCTGTGACCCCCGTGCTCGACTTGGCACCTGAAGCCAAGCGGGCTATCCTTGACATGTACTACGAAACCGTTTGGAACCCATTGGACTCGCAGAGCGTTACGACTCGCGAAAGACAAGCCGACCGCCTTCGCCACCTTAAAACGGTGGATACATCCCCGGAGGGTCACAGAAGTAACCGTCGAACTCTGGGACTCGCTCAAAGAACAGTCGGAAACAGCACAGGAGGCGAGGGAGAGGTGGGAATGGATGGAGGACCTAAAGAAACCTCCCATGTACATACGCGGGCGAAAAGGACGAAATGTATCAATAAACGTGCAGTTGGAAACCCTAGACACTCAAGAAGTGTTTGCCCTTAAAGCACTAGTAGATAGTGGGGCCACGGGCAGCTCCATTGACCGCAACTGGGTCCGAGAACATGGGATCAACCTTAAGAAGGCAGCACGTCCCGTTCCAGTCTATAATGCCGACGGCACCAGAAACAAGGGAG